TTCTAGCCATGGTGCTTTGCCTCCATTAACAGCAGCCGCGCGCCAGAGACACCACACACTAGCGGCACTTCCAAGAACGCCTATAACCAGAGTATTCTGTCTACCCAACTTATCTGCAGTGACACCCATCAAGACTCGTGACACAGCATTAACCCCGTTATTAACGGCAAGCAAAGTCGCTCCAAAAGACATAGAGTAACCTATAACTGTTGAAAACTCGGGCAAAAACGCCATTGGCACAAAATTTCCGCTTGCCTGCAGTAAGGCTGCAAGTGATTGTAAAATGAACGCTGGCTTTTTTGCAAGTCTGATATTGACCAGCGTTGGTCTCCTGGTCATGCTGCGGCTTGGAGGTGCAGATATAGCAACGGGAAGGGTTATCATGAGATTTGCAAGTGCCATTGCCCGTAGTGTCCAACGTGCCCCAATTATGTCCAGAAGGGCCCGAACGAGCGGAGAGAGTATCAACCCACCAATGCTTGCTCCGCTCAGTATAAAACCCATAGCTGCTCCACGACGGCGATCGAAGTATTCCGGCGCAACGCTAAGGATTGGAAAATATACCATGGAACTACCCATTCCGTATAATAGACCTTGAGTCAGTAGAAGTTGCCATAACTACGGTTAGAGTCAGCCACTAGCTTTACCATGGGTTTGGATACGGCTTTTGGTTATTTAAAATGGGACATATGACTATCCATCCAATCAAGGAACATATAAGGCTGTGTTTTGCAAAATTCAGGGAAACAATAGCAAGGATTTGACTGACTCTTTGAGATGAACCGGCAAGCGCATACGAAGCACTCATCAGGCAGCATCCTATAGTAGCAATTTTCTGGTTTGCATTGCCTTTAACCCTACTCATGAGCGGGTTTATCACAATTGAGCCACTCCAAGTCAATCCGGCGCCTAGTGTCCCGACCAAGGCAACGGCTGCTCTGTTCTTTGCGTCTAGTGGGGGCAAGATACTGTCACTGCTAGTAACGTAGTAGTCCTGGAAAACGCCGTATGAGAAATTCGGGCCAATAGTCATGGCAACAGCCAGGAAGCTGCATATCAGCACCGTAACCTGCCGCTTGCGAGTGGTGGGAGCAAACTCATACTGGCCAGCGGCGTACTCAGGAGGCATCTCGTCCGCAGGCCTATAACTCTGGTCTCTGAGGTCACGATGCTGGAGCGGTATAGAAGCCTCCGGAAGCCGGATAGATGCCATAATGCAATTCACTGGGGTAGTACGGAGTGTTATCCCGTTGTGTCTGTATAATATACCTGTGTGGTTGTTTGGTCAACTAACTATTAGCTGCAGCGTCTGGTGTTCTCGTATTCCCTCCAAAAATGTCAACAGCCGATCACAAATGCAAGGCGGCTGAACAACCTCAGACAACACAGCTGATGACATACGATGTACTCCGTACCCAACTCCTTGTACAGAAGTGTGATGTAGCCGTGACTGGCTTTGTTGCTGAACGATAAGTACCATCCATCTATCAAGGCACTCTCTCGGCGAATCATATTTCCTGTTCGGAGCTAGTCGCCGATTGCTATTATTAAATTATAAATTGCCGTACTTAGGACCGGTTGTTTTATTCTCTTCGTCCTCGGTATAACTTACGCTGAACTATATAGCCACTTCAAAGGGACCGGTAAAAAAGAAAAAGATGATACTCTGCATACCGGTTGTGTGGGACAAAAGTACAAGCGTGGGTCAATATTCAACCTCCGAGTCGTTCGGGGACTGCTAACGTTCTTGTGGCCAGGAAAATGCTGATATAAACTGATGTGGCTACCACAAAGCTGCTGACCATCTCCGTCCCTTTGTTCCGCCACATGGGGAAGATATGGATTCCGTCACTCAATTGCAGCTGGGTACTCATTCGATGTTGTTGTAGTGTGGGTTACTATATGCTATAGTGCAAGTTTCCACTTCCGTTGCGCAAAACAGGGCTGCAGCCTTTATTTTTTTTGCCTCCCCTTTCTTTATTGTTTTGATAAGACAGTAAGAAAAAGAAAAATGAGAAGAGGAATGAGAAAAGATGAGAACCAGATGTTTGTCTGCGTTCGTATCTGGAATTTTGCCTTGGGACATCGAATGGTTTTTGTTGGTTCACTTGTAATCTCTGATACGGATTGGGACAAGATGTGTCTCAATGACTACTCCATCTCATTAGGAATCTGCGGCTCTGCGTATGCAAGGTGTTTCTTCTCGATATCCTACTGCCATGGAGATAGCCACATGTGATGCACGATTGTATTGGCGTTCTGATGCTGGCTGGTAACCGTTCCAGGTTTGTTGGCGGCCGCCTGCGACATCCTTGGTAATGCGGAATCTATCCGCTAGGATGTGACCACCCTACAAGGCTGCTACCAAACAATTAGATCTTGGAACGATCTAGAGCTGATGATACATCATGATCTCTTGCTCAGTGCTATGACCTTCTGATATCCAGAGCTGAGAGTGAAGTCAGGTTCGCTTTCATAGAACTGCATGTCACCAGATGTGCATCCTTCGTACCTGCTGACAGAGACAAACAAGTCTGCACCGATCCATTACCTCAATCTTTCACCCCATATATCAACATACGCGTAACAAACATCTCTCACTCTGGCCCGAGGATGATTTATGCACCATTTTGAGGGGGTTGCATGCCGCATAGCGCTTCTTCTGCAGGGTTGATAGCTGATCTTCAACCCGATTCCGAAAGTTCCCACCCGCTTCCCCGTCCTTCTGGTAGGAAAATGAAGAGACCATGGTAAGAAAGGTTGTATAACTTGTCAAATAACTTCGTCATCTACCTCGGCGTTATATCACCACACATGGGATTGGTGGTAAATGGTTGTTCAAAGCAGGGAAATACAAATCACTACTCTCATACAACGATTGGTTTGCCCCATCGAAACAAGCGAGTGTGCCGTATCCTATTCTACTAGGCTTAGAAACCAGGAGCCTGAAGCCAGGAGGCTGGTATCGCTTGACCACCTCAGTCCCAAGCCAGGATGAGGCATGATCCAGAGAGGCTGCCCATAGGCGGGCTGGTACGTCCGGGGAAAAATTTTTCTTATTGGCCGTCAACTGCCGGTAGAAGTGAACCAAAAGGATGTTTACGTGGCCTATCAGTATTGTCAGTAGGATGCCAAAATAGTATGATTGGATGGTGGTGAATAATAACGAACCAGAGGATCCCCCCGCCCACCATGCCTCGGGGTTTGCAGCCTGCATGAACATGCAATGTCAGCTTTACTCCGTAAAACTACAGATGAGCTGTGTATTGTGTACGGAACACTCCATACATGGATAGAATCTGCAGGGTATGTTTGCTTTTCTTGTCTTACCAGCACCGCTTAATTCCCTGTCCGAATTAAAATCTGGTTCACATACACGCGCTATGCAACAACGTAAAGCTGGCGCAAGGTTAGCAATGTATGCCATTGGCTTTCTTCTCCCAGCAGTCCGGCTCATGCAAATGCAGGTAACAATGATCCCCGATGAGATACCCCAATTCCACCACGCAGATCCCAGCAATATGGACAGTAACCAGGCCGGTTTGGTAAGCGCCACCACTTGTACTATGTAGCCCATTAGAAAGATGCTGATGAGCTTTCGAAGCAGCCAACCTGATCGACATGATGATCCTTTTGGCGTCTAGGCTTAGCTATCAAACCGAGGGAGGGAGGGGGAAAGAGGAGCAGGGCTGGAAGGGTTAGCGTTAGATATCCTGCCATCTCAGCTCCGTAGCCTTGATAGTTTTCCTAGTAGAGGGCTGACGAACTAATTTGATCCTTGGGCGTATCGTCATCTGTTTTATTGATAACTCATCACGACACGGAGTACGGAGTACTCTCGACGTACACCCTCTAGTCTAGCCCCGTATTTCCGGGCTCCATGGACATGCAGGAATTAAAAGCCTTGACCTCCCGCAACTCAAATATTGCCATTGCGGAAGCAAGAATAACTGGCTGTTGGAGCGTTAGTGGAGATAGTATTATCAAGCCAACTAACCCGTCCATGCGTAACTTCGGCTGCTGTTATAGCTGTTAGTTATATAACTAGCTCATAGTCAACCTTGGGTCTTTCGTGGGACGTTATTTATAAGCCGTCCTTTTGATCAGAGGGGGGGAAGAAGCGTTAAGGCAAAAAAGGGTACACACACAGGGGGGACGGCTGCATCGGCGTGCAACGGCGTAGTTAGCCTTCGGATGATACTCAACGAAACACCCACAGATGCCCAACTGCCGCCGCTGCTTCTGCAAGTAAAAAAGAAAAGAAAAGAAAGAAAAAAAAAGCATCACATGCGGCGGTGGTCTGAGACGTCATACTGCCCTTCCCTCACTCATTTCTCGTGGCTGAGATCTGATATTATTCATGTTATTTGCAAAAAAAAAAAAAAAAAAAAAAAGTAGAAGATGGGGAGGGTAAAGTGGGAAGAAGAAATAAAAAGAAATAAAAAGATAAAAATAAAAAATAAAGATACAAAAAAAAAAAAAGCCGCGAGTGAAGCCATGGGTCAGTCTCATGCAACACTTAAACGCGACTCTTTGCCTTCACATGGAGCGAGACCCGGCCTTTGCCTGTTACTATACCTCACGGACAAAGCATTCCAAGGCCGTTTGCCGTTGTCATTGTCGCCTTCATTCATGGTTGCGGTAAAAGCCGAGAATGATATATGAAGTTTCGACCCGGGCCTCACTCATTCATAGACCTCTATTTGAGCGCTCAAATTCGCTTGGAACTATTTGCACTTTTTCACAGACGTCTCGCCTACCAACATGGACATCCATATGCCCCTGTCTATGCATCCCTTCGCATTCCTTGCTGTTTCAGCACTTGCATACCTCATTGGCGATGCCATATATCAACTGCAGTTCTCTCCGTTGTCCAAATTTCCAGGCCCAAAGATCGCAGCGGTGACCTATTTGTATGAGTTCTACTATGACGCCATCCTCAAGGGCCGATATATCTTCAAAGTCAAGGAGCTGCATAAAAAATATGGTATGTCTCTTGATTAGAAGCATATCTGTTAAAAAGGAAGGAAAAGGGTGCTGAATAGTTCCGCCATATTAGGACCTATTATTCGCATCAGCCCACGTGAAATACACATTGATGATCCGCACTTCTACAGCATCCTATACTCACATAGCAATCCCCGAGACAAGGAATATTATTATCTGAGGCCGTTTGACTTCCCTCTTTCTTCGTTTGGGACAGAAAGCCATCATCTTCATCGCCTTAGAAGGGGTGCTATGAACCCTTTTTTTGCAAGAAGTAAGGTTCTCCAGCAGGAGAGCCTAATACAAGGCCTCGTGGAGAAACTCTGCAGCCGAATCGAACAGTTTAGCGCCACAAGAAGCATTGTTCCGCTGTCACTGGGCTATACCTGTCTGACCACAGACTTGATCACGACCTTCACCATGGATCGATGCTATGGCTACCTTGACGCTCCAGACTGGTATCCTAATTGGGGACAAGTCTTGAGAGATGCGTCAGAAATGTCTATGGTTTCCAGGCAATTGACTTGGATACTGTCGGTATTGAAAATGCTTCCAAAAACCTTTACCATGTCACTAAATCCAGGTCTCAAGCTGTTCTATACCCTTGCGGAACGATGCAAGGAGCGGATTGATGAAGTCCGATACGAACGCATGGAGGAGCACAAAGGCCCCGGGGAGACAGTTGGACGCAAAAAGACATTGTTTGACCAGATATATGACTCCAGGCTTAGTATTGAGGAGAAGATGCCTGCAAGGCTAACTCAAGAGGTTCGTTCTATCATCGGGGCGGGGACGGAAACGACCTCTAACTGTCTCTCGGTTATCTCCTACCATCTTCTACTGAATCCGGAGAGGCTCCAGAGACTCAAGGAGGAACTTCAGGAACTTGAACCAGACCCAACGGCCGAAATAAAGCTATGTCAACTAGAAAAACTTCCATACTTGGTAAGTTGGGGGTACCTGTTCCCTAACAAATCAACGTCGGTACAAAGCTAATCAGCTAATCTCTCAGTCTTCGGTTGTTCTTGAAGGTTTAAGGTACGTAAAACGTGGTTCATTCGCCCGCTTAACCTTCTATGCCTCGCTAAACAAATTATCAGGCTGTCATATGGTGTCAGCACTCGCCTGCAACGGAAATCTCGTGAGATCATGGAGTATAATGGATACGTTATTCCACCTGGTGTGAGTATAATGCCAAGGACTCCTGACATCTTTTCCGCCTAGAGATGGCTGACAGTTGTCTTCAAAAACAGACACCAGTGGGGATGTCATCCGTCATAGTTCACCATAACGAAGACATATTCCCCGACTCACACAGCTTCATCCCCGAGCGGTGGCTGGACCTTCAAAAACGAAAGTACCTTGAAAAGTACATGGTATCCTTCAGCTCTGGGTCAAGGAGATGCCTTGGAATGAAGTGAGTACTCGGCTGCGGCGGCAAATTTATAGTTAATTGTGTACATTAGCTGACGGCTTTGTTCTCTGATGGAGCAACAGCCTGGCAAGGGCAGAGATATTCATTGCAACTAGTACCATATTCCGACGATTTGACTTCGAGCTATGCCACACCACGCGGGATGATATCCAAATCCATCACGACTTGTTCATTCCAAGGCCGAAGAACCTTAAGACCGTCGGCGTCCAGGCAAGAGTGAAGAGCAAGCCAGGATAGGATATATGACGACTAGCGAGAAACGATGAAATGAGAAAGGGCAGCCTCGGAATTTTCTTTTCTTTTTTTTTCTTTCTCGTTCTTTGTTATTTTTAGCGTGGGTGTGTCTTATTTGGCATAAATGTGAATTAATGAAGCCTTGGTTGGCATAGCATTGGATGTCATAACCAGCAAGATATTCTAGCTAGTTATTGTGCCTTCATGGCTTTTGGGGAGGTTATTGATATGAGGTGGGCCCTTCTCTCTTGAAATTGTATGTAGCTGCGTCGTTAGGAGAACCTCTTCATACCAAAATAATAATGTTCAAATATCACAGTGGGAGAGGACGTACTCTGATCAATGTCACCCTCACATTCTGCTACCTCACACGGAGGTATTTCATACTTCTATATGTGAATCACCGGGGAACCGGTCATAGAAACCCCATTCCTGGTTCGGCTAATACTAGTACTTCAGGAGGCGATGTCACAGTACTCCTTTGCCGCACGCACCGTTTGAAGCAGGTCCCGATAGTCTGATCATTGTTGGATAATGAAAGGGAAAATAGCTTTGCCAATTTGCCACTTGTATTCTATATCTTTAGGTTTTGCTATTGGCCAAACTGTGGTTCTGCGAAGAAAAAAGTAGATGCACCCGTTGTGGGGAGATAACTCCTGTTTATTATATATTAGTACGTTCTAACATCCTACAGGCCACTTTTATTCGGGATGTGAGGTCATCGAGCTGTTAAGGCCGGATTGCAATCAGTAATCAGTAATATACTTAGGGCTAAAAGGAGATAGATTGGAGGGGCATACATATTCATCCGAGAATATATTGAAATGATGACCGGGAATTTGGAGAACAGCTGAGATGAAGTCATATCCATACTGCTCCCAGCCGAGCTTTTCCAAATCACGAGCCACGTCAACTCGACATATTGCCGTCGGATCTTCTGGTGTAGAGACCGGGACCATCTCGTTACAACGGAGGAGAACCGTCTGTGGCAACGGAGCGAGCTCCCCAATCGGCGTTGCATCGTATTCTTCTTCCCTTTCGACGTTTGGCTGTTTTGTCTTCATCTTCCGAGATAGGTCGTTCTCCAGAGCAACTCGACGGCTATACACTGCTTCGTCCGAGCAGCCCCGCCAGACAGGTAACATCCAGTTCTGTACCATCTCCAGAGCCTGGGTCATGCAATTTGCGGAGAGTTGTTGTGTCTCTGGCTTTGTATATTTCCCGAATTGCAGCTTATGTGGGACAATCGTCCGTGACGGTGGCCTGGGGGCGAACGGGTAAACACTGTCGACCATCACGATGCCCAGCACCCGCAACTTCGATGACTTCCTCGAAAATATGCTGGCAATTTCCAGCGAGACCATTCCACCAAGAGACCATCCTGCTCCGCCCCTCAAGAGGCAACAAATCAGTATACGTGACTCCTTCACAGATCGGAGGCGGGACTCTCACCTCCAAGCAATATTGGACCAGATGCGATATGGGAGCGGATGAACCGCGCGTAGGTCTCTCCCATTTCAGGTATTCCATCTTCCCAGGCCTTGCCGGAGTAGAAGCTGGGATTTTGGATGGCGTAGACTGCGCGGTCGAGGGAGTGCAGGTAGTAATAGTTGACGCTTGTCCCGCCACCGTCGTGGATCAGGACCAGGGGAGCAGCAGACTCGCAGCCATCTGGTGCAGGCTGAACGAGAGTAAAGCAGATATCCACGTCCATACTATCGATGTATGTTGTATGGATATATTATGTATATTCCAGCCCGTCTCTATATACCTGCGTCGGCTATTTCGCCTCTTTCCAGTTTTTGTTTTGTGAGGAAGTAAATATAAATACTGAAACGTTATCAGCCTTTGTGTTTCTGCTTATTTAATTCCTGTATCAAATAGGACGAAATGGATGATATTAACCGCTGGACGAAGACAGTGAACTTTTGATATTATTCTTTATAGCTCAATAGGTGGAGAGTATAGTGAAGACGTAGATACTGACATTACTACCATTGGTATGAGTTTTTTTTTTTGGTTTACTCCGGTGGGCGGCGGAAAGATATTGTACACTCAATATAAAACTTCTTCAACCAGCGAGTTCCTTCTCTCCTTTTGAATCGAATATTATAATACTTCTAATATTCTAGCTCGATGCTGATGCTAAGTGGAACAAATGCTCCCTTATGCAGCCCTAAAAGCCACCAAACATGCTCTTCCCAAGCTGTTTTGAGAGGAGGCCTTTAAGCCCGAGGGAGCGCCCTATGGTTGACCCGTTCGGAGTTGACTGAGGGTTGGTGCCGTTCGCTTGTCCCGGGGAGGCCCCGTTTGAAGTAGGTACCGGCTGAGAGAATGTGATAAAGGCTGGTTTGGAGGATTTATCTTCCGCGATAGGAGAGCTAGCTGGGTTTACCTTGCTGGATGTCGAGGCTGGCCCCGTCGAAGACGTACGGAGAGGTTTATGCAGCGGAGTTTGAGATCGCTTCAAGATATGTATCTTTTTTGGGGGTGGAATTTCTGACGGCGTGTGTTGTTGGCAGGAGGCAGCGGCTTGCTGCACCACCTGTTCACCATCAGAGCCTGGCTTGCGATAATAAATGTCTGATCCCTCTGAGGCGGAAGAGGAGTCAGAATCGGAGTCTAAGTCTTCAAAGACAGTGACTTGTTTCTTCACAGTCGGCTTTTCCGACGTATTAGTCTTGGATGGAGCATCTTCCTCGTCTGCTGAGGACTCCTCACTAGAGCTAGAATCTGACCTCTGTGAGCTGACTTTGGCGTTGGCAGTTTTCTCGACACCATCGTCATTATCTTCTTTTTCTTCTTCTTCTTCCTCCTCCTCCTCCTCTTCCTCTGACTCTGAACTACTAGACCCTCCCTCTTCTCTCTCAGCCTCCGTGGGTTTAGTGTCTGTATTTTTCTCTGGTGTTGTAGCTCTCGATTCAGAGTCAGCAGACTCTAATTCATGAGACTGTGAAGTGACGAGCGATGACTGGCGAGATGCTTCCCCTGTACTCGCCTTAGGTTGGGGTGTGGTTTCTTGCTCTTCAGCTTCGCTTGCACTCTCACTGCTACTCTCTGAGCCTTCAGACTGAGGCTCAGGGGCTTCAGAGTTAGAAAGGGCCATAGAGTAGATCGATGGCGATTCAGAGCGGACTGCCTTCTTAGAAGACCTTAGAGATCCTGTGGTGGACGGCCTTTCATTGGCAGCATCGGAGAGAGAAGGAGACATGCGTGCTTGAATCGTAGGATCCTCTTCATTTTTTTCGTCTTCGTTCTCTCCCTCCGATTCGTCTTCATTATCACCCGTCTCCTGGTCTTCTCCTCCTCCTCTTGCTTCTCTATATCGTTCCTCATCCTTCTTGTCTTTGTCTAATACTACCGTGGGTTCTTCGTCCATTGCTTCCTCATGCTCACTCTCAGAAGGGGATTGCTTAGATTGAACTTCATCCCCATCACTGGACCTCGGTTCAACAGACGATGACTTGGGGTAACCATAAATCATACTTATGTCCTCATCTTCGTCAATCTTCTCGGGCTCTTCCCGGGCCAGTTTGGGTTCTTGAAGGACAATGAGTTTATCCATTGCCCGATTCATTCGTCTGCGTGTATTTTTCTTGCCCCCCCTAGGATCTCCTTTCCATATAGACCGAGTATCTTCAAGTAGTTTATTCATTATTGGTATATGCTGTTGAGAGGCATCGGCGGCCTCTGCGGCCTGAATGGCGTATTCTAGATCTATGGTCAGTTGCTCATAGTTATATTCGAACAGCAGACGGTTCAATTCGTCAGTCCAATTTTTGGCACCATTTTTCGCTTTTCCAGTGGATGTAGCGTTTTGGATCTGTCTGACATTTTTGGCTTGCTTTGCAGAGGCCGGCGCAAAGGGTATGCTGCGCAGTTTATCGGTGAGCTGTTGATGTACGCCGGATGAACGGGGGCGGTTGAGACGGCTTGGTCTCTTGGAGGTTAGGATTGTATCGGCATTGTCTTCTTGGGCATCTAATTTGTCAATTGTGCGCTTCTTAGGGGGGCTGGCGGTAATGCCTAAACCTATCTGATGTGATTTCTTACTGTTCGTTTTTGTAGATGGTGTACCTGTCAAATCAATAACTGCGGGTTTCGCCATCATGGCTTCTTTAGAACTCGGTCCTGCAGTGGCGTTGCTCTGTTCCGCGTTTGCCTTCTCAGTACGCATACCGGTCTGGATATCAGCCATCTCAACATCGTCTGGTTCTGAAGCTGGCGTATCCGTAATCTTTTGTCGTTTTGCACGTTTTGAAGGTCCTTGTTTGGTGGTAGATGAGGGTTGGTCTGCCAGCTCGTCACTATCGGCAATCCGTGGCCGCTTTGCATAATGTTCCCTAGGGCAAGAAACACTTGGTGAGGGATGGTTATCAACTGACAAAGGAGACTTATGCTGAGCCAAGTTTCGCATATGGTCTGTTAAAATTGGCGGAGGTTAGCAAGGCGGAATGCTCGGGGTATAACGTCCTGTAAAATACTCACTGGAGCCTAAAGTATTAACCTTAGTAGCAAGAGTGTCGATGGTATCGCCATCATTCTGGTTTTGTTTTGCCCGTCCATACATGGATAATCGTGCGGCCGAACAGGGGAAGTCGTCCAAGGGAGAAGACCGTAGCTTCGAAGCGGTAGTATCGGTAGTCTCCTGCGTCTGCTCCCGTTCACTCAGAGCCGGAGATGGCTCCATATGTCGACATGTCTCCGTTCCGGCTGTTTCTTCTTCAATGGAGTATAACGGATGGACTGACTCAGCCACCTCAAAATGAGTGATGTCGCTATTGACTATATCAGCATGAGGCTTAACAGGCGAGTTCGAATTGAGTCCATTGGCTGCTGAGAATGGTACGCGCGGTCGTTTCGAGCTCCTACCGGCCGCCTTAGAGTAGTGACTTGTGATGGCATCCCAGTCCTGGGCGACAGAGCCGTAGCGGGTTGATCGAGTGCTCGTAGGCTGTTGAAGAACCCGCAGGACACCGCGTTGGTCCAATCCGTCTGCATATGCCTTTCCATAGTCGATAAACACGTCTGACACAGTCAGATCCGCGTCTAACTCGTCCGTATCATGGTTATCATCCAGCAGCTTTTTTATCTTTAGCGGCCTGTAAACCCGTTAATATCAAACAGGAGAAACCCAAAAACAAAGAGAGAGATACTCAGCCTCTGGCCGGAGCTTCTTCCACTGCTCTGAGACCTTCCATGCCAATTCTCCCAGGCTCATCTGCTCTGGCCGGCGGATGACCATGAGGAAGCTGGTGCATTTTGAGCCACTGTCGCTCTTCTCCTCGCCTTCGAGCGTACGAGGGACGACCTTGACGGTCAGCCGGAGCAGCACCATCTTGCCTCTTTTGCCGTATCTATCTTGTCCGCAAGTCGTAGTCGTCGTTGTGGCTGTTGTTTCTTGATAACTGTCGTCAATAAAAAAAATTAGCGACTCCTCAAATTCACCACAATTTCAACCACTTCAACATCACCAACTTCGTCAACTCCGTCAACTTCGCTGACACGATATTAAGTAAAAAAGAAAAAGAAAAAAGACCCCTGGCTCTGACTGAAACTGCGGCCCCATAGCCAGGGCCAACAACTAAGAAAAATAAAAAGGAAGACCCCAGGGCTTACGCTTCAAGCTAGAAAACCAAGTTAAAAAACCACCTTCGACTCTTGTGTGTTTCCCTCGCTTTCTCTCGACTTCGCCCGCTCGCTCTCCACCGTCCTCGAGATTCTGCATGAGGCGAGAGAAGACGGGAGGACTGTCTATCGAGCGTTGCTGCGTTTGATTTCTATCCTGATGGCCCCCAGAGCGCCGCTGGATGCTGCTGTCGTATATGTGTCGTCTACTGCTTCTGCTGCCTCCAACCACGCCAGCATCGTCACCGGAAGATCCAGGCCGTCAGAGACGATTAAAGACCGTCAAGGCCGTCTGATGCTGGTGTCCTGATCCCGATATTTCACACCTTCAATTCAATCTCTCCCTCCTGGCATCCGCTTGAACCATGATCTGGCGGCTTCGAGGGTCTCTCCCCGCGAGTCTCGCCATCCTCTTCCCTCTCCTCGCAACTCAGCAGCAGTTGCTTCTCTCCCAGGCTGGCGATGTGCCTCTTGCAGCCTCCTTTCCACGCGGTGCGGTTGATGCCGGCCTGCCCATACCAAACTCGATATCCAACCCCGTCCATCCGTCCGTGAGGTCTGATGAGAGCGCCCTTGAAACACTGGCTCTGGCGGCCTCTGGCTCCGCCGTTCGAGCACCTCCTGTTCAGATCAGCAGTCGGAATGACCCGACTCCGCAGCTTCAAGCGCGATCTCTACAGGACTGGGAAGTGGAGGACTTTGTCCTCTTGGCGACCGTCGATGGCACGATTCACGCAAGAGACCGGAAGACGGGTGCTCCCCGATGGGCGCTGGAAGTTCCCAGTAGTCCCATGGTAGAGACTGTCTATCACAGAGCAAACCGCTCGCATTCATCTAAAGACGCGCAGTTCGAAGACGACTTTCTCTGGATCGTCGAGCCTAGTCGTGATGGCAACCTGTTCATCTACAACAAGGGCCAGAACGGTGGTCTACAGCGCCTAGGGCTGACCGTTAAGATGCTCGTTGACGAGACTCCTTACTCCGGTATCGACCCTCCTGTCACGTATACCGCCAGAAAGGAGACCACGCTCTACACCGTTGACGCTAGGACAGGATCGATTCTCCGCATGTTCAGCTCCCGAGGGCTTGTGGACCCAGACCAGACATGTCGACGGCTCAATGACTTCAAGCCGGCTGGGGACGAGTGTAAGTCTGGCGGAAAGCTCACCCTCGGGCGAATCGAGTACACGGTCTCCATCCAGAACACAAACACTGGCCAGCCCATCTGTACGATCAAATACGCCGAATGGGCCCCCAACAACCGAGATGTTGATCTCCAGGGCCAATACTTTAAAACCATGGATGAACGCCACATTTACAGTATGCACGATGGAGTTATCTTTGGGTTTGATCACTCTAAAGTGGATGGACGCCGTTACACTCAACGGTTCAGCTCACCGGTCGCACGCGTCTTCGACGTTGCCCGTCCTCTGTCCTCCGACGAATCTGACACGCCGTTGGCTATACTCTCCCAACCCCCTTCTACCAATGATTATGGCTCAGCTGGCCTCGATAACAGGGAGTCTCGCGTCTTTATCAATTGTACAGATACCGGTGGCTGGTACGCCATGTCTGAGCTTACCTACCCGCTGGTCACTGGTCGGGCACGCATAGCGGATTGCTACGATAGAGATTTTTTGTCACAAGACAGGCCACTTATGTCTCTTGACCTTGCACAACAGAAAGCCATTCTTGTCGGTGTTCATTCCCTCGCGGAACCGTCAGCCAACTTTCATCCCAATATTCCAAGCATCTCTGGCCCATTAGCGGAGTCATCCAACGATACCCCGAAAGATGTCTCAAGAGAACCGGAGAAACTTCCCGCCCCGGCTGGCCCTGGAAGGAACAGCGTTATCATACGCAAAGGCTGGGACAATGCACTGGACATATTCGTCACTCTCGTTTTATTATTTATTGGCACATTCATTTATTACAATACCCAAAACATCCAGGAGCTGATAAAACATCGACTTGACCTAAAAAATATCATTACCATTCCCCATAATTCAGTAACAACCAACTCTAAAACAATTGAACAGAAAACTACGGATGAACAAACAGACTATCCTTCACTCGTCATCCATCCGCCCCCAGAGCAAGAACAAAACAAGCCAAACGATACGGTCATAGAATCCAAAGAGGACGCAACACCACCAGCGGATGCAAAGACCAATTTGCTTCCTTCAGACCAAAACAGTGAACCGCAATCAAAGGAGGCAGAAACAGCGGCTGGAGACGAGCCCGCTGATGGTGAAGACGCTGTTGTGAAATCCCCACGCAGGAAAGCCCGTCGTGGGAGAAGAGGGGGTCAGGCGCACAAGCGTGGCAAGAAGAATACCCAGGAAAGCACTGAGTTGGACAATACCCCCAGTCAATCTGGAGGGTCTCAGGGTGCCAGAGCCAGGTTTAATTCACAGGCCGATTTACAACTTGCTCGCACTACATCAAATACCGAGATTGTAGACGCCGATGGAGCAATTCGCATTGGCCAGCTTAAAGTTTACACCGATAAGGTACTGGGACATGGAAGCCATGGTACAGTTGTTTACAAAGGTAGCTTTGACGGAAGAAATGTCGCCGTTAAACGCTTGCTTGTCGAATTCTACGATATTGCCGCTCATGAAGTAGGCTTGCTTCAGGAAAGTGACGACCACAGTAACGTTATTCGTTACTTTTGCAGGGAGCAAACTGCGGGTTTTCTCTACATAGCCTTAGAGCTCTGCCCAGCTTCGTTACAGGATATCGTCGAGCGCCCTCACAACTTCCCAGAACTCCTCCGTAACGGTTTAGTACTGCCAGACATCCTCCGCCAGATCACAGCTGGTGTCCGCTATCTACATTCGCTCAAGATTGTCCATCGGGACCTGAAACCTCAGAATATTCTCGTTGCTGCACAAAAGTCTGCAAGGGGGGTAAATAATCTACGTCTCCTCATATCCGACTTTGGTCTCTGTAAGAAACTAGAAGACAACCAGAGCTCGTTCAGGGCCACAACAGCACATGCTGCAGGAACGTCTGGTTGGCGTGCGCCTGAACTGCTTGTCGATGATGACCAGACCACCGTCAATTCGGCATCGTGGGCTAATACCGGCACCTTGGACTCCTCCGAGCCTGCTGTGGTTGACCCCCAAACTAACCGTAGAGCAACGAGGGCTATCGACATCTTCTCCCTCGGCTGCGTATTTTACTATGTTCTAACCCACGGAAGCCATCCTTTCGACAAGGACGGCAAATTCATGCGTGAAGCCAACATTGTCAAGGGCTATTACAACCTCGACGAACTCCAACGTCTTGGCAACTATGCGTTTGAGGCTGAAGATTTAATCAGCCGCATGTTATCCGTAGATCCACGTCTGAGGTAAGTTAGCCACTCCACAATAACCGGATATGAGAGATGCACTAACACCATGCAGGCCAGACGCAACTTCTGTAATGATCCATCCATTCTTCTGGTCTCCAGCCGAACGCCTCAGCTTCCTCTGTGATGTATCTGACCATTTCGAATTTGAGCCCCGAGACCCGCCTTCGCCAGCTTTACAATGTCTAGAATCCGTTGCTCAAAACGTCATGTATCCGGACATGGATTTCCTGAAGCTACTACCCAAAGAGTTCAAAGATAGTCTCGGCAAACAACGAAAATATACAGGCTCCAAGATGCTTGACTTGTTGCGTGCGCTACGGAATAAACGCAACCATTATAACGATATGTCTGAACATCTCAAAGCTCATATTGGCGGCCTTCCAGACGGATATCTGAATTTTTGGACAGTTCGTTTCCCAGGCTTACTAATCAACTGTCACTGGGTTGTTAGAAGGCTTGGCTTGGTGGATCTGGAGAGATTCAAGAGATACTTCACTCCGCCCTGAATTGCATGGCCCAGTTCTCTTTCCCCCTTGTCGGCACTAATTTATAAATCAAATTTGGAGCGTACCTCTAGTTGGCTTGTTTCCTGAATGAATTGATGAATGTGATATAAATCTCCCCTTTTTATCTAACTAGTAACGACCCTTATGAAATATTTATTCGGTTTAAGAATAATCTATTATCTTTCATCTCAACGGTTGTAGTATATAATTAGTGCCTAATTAATACTGATGCTAACGATCTTCACATCTTCTTCAGGTTTCTCCTTGTGCGTCTTAACATTCTCAATTTTATGCACCACGTCAAGGCCCTTCACTGCCCGACCAAAGATGGTATGATGCCCATCTAACCATGGTGCTTTCTCTGTAGTTATGAAAAACTGACTCGCATTCGTATTTGGGCCGGCATTGGCCATAGAAAGGGTATACGGCTTGTCATGTTTAAGAGACGAGAATTCATCTTCAAATTCTCCTCCCCAAATGGACTCTCCTCCTGTCCCATCCCCAAGCGGGTCGCCAGCTTGAATCATGAACTTGCGAATAACACGGTGGAAGATGGTATTGTTGTAATACCCATTTTTTGAGTGAGTCACAAAGTTCTCGACCGTCTTTGGAGCAACAGAAGGGAACAGTCGGAGATGAATGTCCCCAAGTGTTGTGTGCAAGATTGCCGATGTCCCTATTTCTGCGGGCTTTGCAGCTGCGGCTGCTTCTGTGGCACTTTTATCGTGAATAGGCTTCTCATTCTGGACATCTCGAGTTGATTTCGATATTTCCGTTTCGTTGGTATAGAGGTAGAACCGGACTTTGGCAAATCCAGTACATATAAGTATCGGGTCACGCTCTTCAGCCTCTTGAAGCAATGGGTTAGAACTGGCAGCCATAGACAAAGTCACAACTCCTTTCTTCTGTGGCTGGCCTTGATAGATCGCAAGGTTTAGAGCCCTTAACGGCTCGTCTTTTCCAAAGACTTTTATGACCCTATTCGTAAATGTATTTATACACTTAACGCCCAGTATAGAGCCGTATAATATAAAATGGCCGGACTCGTCAAATATCACGTTAACTTTAGGGAAAGTGGCAGGATTCCCAAGTTCACGTTCTGTAGCTAGTCGACGGCCAAACTCGACTTCCTCTAGTTTCTGAATAGCAGTTCCAGCTTGTTGCATCTCCGTCACGGTTTGAATGGACTCATCATATGATCGGTACAGCTTCCCAGAGGCGAAATCAAAAACGCGAACTTGTCTGTCCGGGAAGGAGAATGTTGCAAATTGGTGGCCAGACGGTGAGATTGTAATTGACGAAGGCAATGACCCCGATTTCTTGAATATGAAGAGATCTGTCGACGATTTCAAGTCGAAAACACCTTCCGGTTGGTCAAACGGGTCATCTGGGCGCCAATATTCTACCAACCCTTTATTATCAACAGATATTACGCAGTTGTATGCGTTGTTAAAGGCCATGGTTATGACTGGTGCTCTGTGCACTGAACGTAATGTGTGAAGGGGAATTGTTTTCTCGCATCGTCCATCGAATATTAAAATCGCATTATCTTCCTCGCTTGCTACCGCTAATAAAGGTAAAGATGCTCCTCGCCGATGTACCCAGCACACACAGCTAGGGGTAAACCCAAGGTTAATGACGGACAGAAGGTCTACATTTATATTAGCCGAGTTCTTGCGGGCTTAGGAGGTAAGGAAGTGTATTCTTACCAAAAGTTATCACGTCAAATACTTTTAGAGTCTTATCCGCTCCAATGGTTGCAAAACTTCGTCCGTCCGAAGTTACACTGACACCTTGTATCTCGCCGATATGAGCACGGAACTCTTTCACGAACTCCATACCAACAGCCATTTTCTTCCAAAACTTGACCACGCCATCGATCGAGCTTGTAATGATAAAATCTGTATGTGGTGTCACAGTCACGTAGGCCAGCTGGTCACGGTGCATCAGCGATCTGGAGTATCGTGGAGACGCTGGTAATGCCTTGATGTAGAGCTTCTCATAAGGCAGTTCTCTCCGCTTTTTCTTTTTCTGTGGGCCAGACGGAAGGGCAGGGCCATAGTCATCATCTGATGAGGAGCTTCCACCTACATATTATTAGGTTAACAGTTGCGCTTCTGAGTATAATACAAGGTATAAACTGACCGTCCATCCGTTCATCCTCTTCCACCTGCGAGTGTAGTCTCACATTTGCCGACTTCTCAGAAGATACCGCAGTCCCAGACATGACTCCAAATTCAACCGGCACTTTTAAGTCCCCGGGAATCAATCGAGCTGTACTAATACGTCTTTGTTTTTTTTTTTAATGTTTTATGAACTAAAAGAGATTCAACTTTTGACTGCGAACTCGGAAGCTTTGACTGGAGAGCTTACTATCACGTGATATCCACAACAACGAAGCGGCTTATCAACTTGATAACTAAGAAATAATATTTTGGAGGCACAAGCGGTTTATTAGAAGAAACATCCCAGCTCCGTTACGCCCCTCACAGTTGCTGGAATTCTACTTATCCCTGTATCACTGCAGAATATTGCCATACATCAGTGACTATGGTATGTCTTTTCCTAACCCCCCCCCTTATGTTGCATCCTACGCTAACCCCGCCAGGCGAATTCTTTCAACAATCCGACACAGATCTTTGGCGAAGATGTTACGGAAGAAAAGGGCGAAAACGCACGGCTGTCGGCCTTTGTCGGTGCCATTGCTGTTGGAGATCTGGTTAAAAGCACTTTAGGTCCAAAGGGCATGGACAAGATTATGCAATCTGCGTAAGTTGGAATTTAGGCAAAGAGCTCTCCGGAAGAATAAGCACGCTAACTTATATATCACAGCTCGACGGGAGAGATCATGGTGACAAACGATGGAGCTACGATTCTAAAGGCTATTGCGCTTGATAATGCGGCCGCCAAAGTTTTAGTCAATATTTCAAAAGTCCAAGACGACGTGGTGGGTGATGGAACAACATCGGTAACAGTTTTGGCTGCGGAGCTCCTACGTGAGGCCGAGAAACTTGTTGAGAAGAAAATTCATCCCCAAGTTATCATTGATGGATATCGGATAGCTAGTCGTGCTGCCCTGGAGGCCTTGGAGGCAAGTTCAGTTGACAACAGCGCGGACCCTGTTGCGTTTCGAAAAGACCTACATGCTATTGCACGAACAACCCTTAGCTCCAAAGTTTTAAGTCAGGATCGAGACCAGTTTGCCAGCCTTGCCTGCGATGCAGTGCTAAGATTAAAGGGATCTACCGACCTCAGCCATATACAAATCATTAAGAAAGCCGGTGGGAAACTTTCCGATTCGTATCTTGATGAAGGATTCATTTTGGATAAAAGTATCGGAGTCAACCAACCTAAAAGACTTGAGAAAGCAAAGATACTAGTTGCAAATACTGGTATGGACACTGATAAGGTCAAGATCTTTGGTGCCAGGGTCAAAGTCGATTCCACAGGAAAATTGGCGGAACTTGAGAAGGCGGAAAAGGAGAAAATGCGGGCAAAGGTGGAAAAAATTAAGGCCCACGGAATTAACTGCTTCGTCAACCGCCAGCTTATCTACAACTGGCCCGAACAACTCTTCACAGATGCTGGCATTGTTTCCATTGAGCATGCCGATTTCGACGGTATCGAGCGTCTGGCCTTGGTGACTGGGGGAGAGATTGCGTCTACCTTTGACCATCCTGATCAAGTCAAGCTTGGTCATTGTGATTTGATCGAAGAAGTGATTATTGGAGAGGACACCCTGATCAAATTCTCTGGCGTTGCTGCTGGCCAAGCTTGCACTATCGTTCTCCGCGGCGCTACAGGACAACTCCTCGATGAAGCTGACCGGTCTCTACACGATGCCCTTGCCGTTCTATCCCAGACTGTCCGAGAGCCCAAGGTTACCCTGGGCGGTGGATGCGCAGAAATGGTCATGGCTAAGGCAGTTGAACACGCTGCACAAAATACCACTGGAAAGAAACAACTGGCGGTAGATGCATTTGCACAGGCACTGAAACAGCTCCCCATTATCCTTGCCGACAATGCCGGTCTTGACTCAAGCGACCTCGTCACCAGGCTTCGACAGGCCATCAACAAGGGACTGACTAGTTCAGGTCTAGATCTGCTCACCCCTGGCGGAGGTATCGCCAACATGCGCGAACTTGGTGTTGTGGAAAGTTACAAGCTCAAGCATGCTGTTGTCTCATCAGCTTCTGAAGCTGCTGAGGTTGGTTTCCCTTCTTTGCTTGATATAACTATAGTATTCGTTCATTGCTAACCGCATCACCTTCTAGCTACTTCTACGAGTTGATAACATTATCCGCAGTGCTCCTCGCAAGAGAGACCGTCATTAGATGGCTATGGGTTTAAAAGGGAATGAAAAGTAAAAATTTGAGTCCAATGTGGTGAAAAAAATACTTCCATAGAATACACCTGGTTGTCTGGGATAAGTAGGCAGCTGTTTAAATCATTAGCTGTTGAGAACTAATGCATATAAATATGACCACAGCGTTCCTTCGTAGCCCACCAGTGATTATTTTAGTTCTTAGTGACTGTTAGTGGTTTCACTCAAGGACATCCTTGCTCGATGAACATCCAGCCTAATTCAATCGCTAGAAAAGAGCAAGATAACCGATATGAGCTCTAGCAACTGTATTGCATCGAAAATCTTTAAAGCATTCGCTATGGACTCTCGACCATGGCAGCTTACTCGGAAGCTCAAGAGCGACAACCACCTGGATATGCAGGGAGAACTACACGGAACAGTGACATTCAAACCAGCTCATTCTGGAGGGTCCGACAATGTAGATGACCTTGTATATGAGGAGCAGGGAGAGATGCCAGATCCATCCGGCCGTAACATGGCTGGAATGAAATGGTCCCGCAAGTATATGTGGCGTTTGGCGGATCCCAACTTGAGCGTCTGGTTCGTCAAGGTCGACATGAAAGCCAGCAAAGAGACGCAAGACGGCCAGTACAAGGACTTACCAGACTATCTCTTCCATCAGCTGCGGTTCACAAGTGAGGATGAAGGCGAGGGGCAGGAGGGGGGCAGCCCTACTACACCAGACTTTGTCCCGCCCGCCGCGGCCCCAGAAGAAGAGACCACGATCCTTTTTGCGCATGGGAGCCATCTTTGCATCAACGATAACTATGAGACTACATATGCCTTTCGATGTTCCAAGGGTTGCAAAAACAAGGTCTACAGCTGGTCGAGTAGCCATTTAGTCAAAGGTCCAAAGAAGAACCAGCGAATTGTGAATCTTTATACCAGGGCGACCACTGCTGGGAATGACAAGTTGTGAATTTGGTATCTCTTAAATAGCTATTGACAATACCCATTTGCACTTTTGAAGCTCAAGTCAGAGCATCCTTGTGTGTTTATCTTGATTATATGGTTAATGAAGGTTAGATTGATATATACTGGCTCGGTTTATATGTCTTATATCCTTATAAATCTGCTTTTTTTATATATAAACCTCAGCTTCAAGTTCACCGAGTTCTCCCTCATCTATTTCAACTTGTATAAATTTACAAAAAAGGCCTGGATAGAACATCTTCAGTTACAGAATAAAAAAGAAGAAGGGGCTGGGAGGTGTCCCTTTTTTCTTTCAGTGTCGTTTGCTGTGTTGTTGCCAGCCCCCCTTTTCCTCCGTTTACTTCGGCTTCAGCTTTCTTTCTCTTTCTCATCAACTTCCTCAACTTCTTTCTTTGCCCCCTTCTATCACAAATATCTCGGCTCACTCTCGGTTCTTAGTTGGTTGTTGTTTGCTGTTAGCCCATAAGACCCTCAAGGAAGTGAATTCTGGGACAAAAAGAGCTACAATAATGTGGAAACCAAGCCTCTTTGATGGCTTGGAGGGCGAAGTCACTGCAGCTCGCGCCGATGAGACTTCACCTTACCTTCTCGATGACTTGGACGCCTTCGAGTCATGTCTGAGCAGCATGGGCAGCATGGCCAGCACGAAGGAGAACCCGGCTACGCCTCTCACCCCCGTTACTATCAAGTCATCGTTTGATCTCAACGAGACCCTGGTAGAGGGAGTAGGCTCTGTCAACGACCTCATCCATCATTGTGGAAGAGGAAAGAGCTTAATCGTTACTGATTCTGAGGATGATGAAGTACGTGATCTCTTCAGCGGTGGCGTTGACGCTCCGAGATTAACAGCATCTGCAGTTCTTCACCTCTAGTTCTTCGCCTCCTACGCCTGCAAAAGTCCAGCCTTGGGACGGATATATCTCCTGGACGGATACATTGGCCAACAATGATTATGGGAAATTTGAAGGAAGGTTATCCTCTGGCTGGCAGAGCCCTAATCAAGACTTTTTAGCCCATGGCCTAGTTTATACCCCCCGATTTGACGATAAGGATGCCTATCGAACGGTTTTTCTGACTCATCTTCCTCTTGATGTCGACATGAAAACGCTTCTCTCTGCCATTCGGGGAGGACCAGTATACTCGGCTCATATCATGAACATGGAAGCCTTTGCAGGATACCATATGGGAGTTGTGACCTTTGTTCAGGGCAAGGATGCTGCTGCCTACGTCAACTTCGCAGCCAACCACGGTGTCTACTTCAACGATTCCAGAGTCGATGTTAGACTTTCAAAGACTCCTACATACCCAGTTTCAAAGGCCATGCAGCAAAACATTTCAGACCAGCTGTATTCTCGCTGCTTAGTAGTTCGTGGAGATCAGGATCCGAAGCGTTACAGTTACATTGCCAGGCACTTGAAAGCTAAAATGCCCGTTGACTTTAGCATGGGGGATAGGATGACTGAGAACTCTGCGGAAACTGAAATTAATATCCGCTTCAGCTCAATTCGGGCAGCAGATAATGGGTATCAGATTCTCCGGGCATTTTTGAGGGATTGTATAGTGAACTTTACTCAGGATCCCTGTGCTCAACCTCTTCCCGGCGCCAGAGAGAAGGAGTTGGAGGGAGTGCCTACCATGGAATTGGTGTGTGACGACCCTTGGATGTAAGGTAGGGGGGAGGCAGCAGATGGTTCATTCTGGTGGGTCGTAGGTGGGCAAATTTGCTCTTAATATTAAGACGAGCTTCATGACCAACGAGATAGGAAATTATTAAGGTTTCCTTCTTTTTTTCCCGAGGGATATGATTTAGGACCATCACGTACGTATAAGAGAATGAAATTATTCCGGGAGTAAGTGCAGAGCAGGGAATTAGCCGACATGCAAAGATTATACAGGTTCTGTCTCCCCCTCGCTAGGCGCAGGTCGACAATGAATATACGCAGAATTTCAAACACAAAAGTAAAAAAGAAGGGTACACCTAAGATAATAAAAGGTGAAATCATAACAAAAGGCCCGCACAACCCAATCATAGCCAACCAGGCCGTCTAGACAAAATTCCGCTTTTTACGATTATATGCCCGCTGATCTTTCAGCCACTGTCGGTAGCCTTGAACACTGCCAATTTTCTCGCCGTAATAGTCTGGCACCGGGTTAGCAAACGAATTGGCAGAGGGGTCAACGCGGAAGCGTTTTATTCTGTTATAGAATTCTTTCTCTTTCTATCAAATTATTTAAGATTAGCAAATAACCAATAGATATTGTATGAAGAATATATGGACGGATGGCATACAATAGTGACGGCACTCTTATACTTCCGGTACACCAACCCCCATAGCCCGTTGCCTAAGAATGGACCAGCTAACCAGCCTAATGCTCCGGAAGCAGCAGTGGCTAATCCAAGCACAATCAGTGGGTCAAAGCCCATAATCTGTGCTCCAAGACTCTCCAGGTTTTGCGTAGCTAGGATCTGGCCTCCAGCTGCAGTGGTCGTGAATGCAGCGAGAATAGAAGAAATGAGAGAGTATTTCCGGCGAGAGGCGCGGAGCTGGAAAAATGAGTTCCAATCCAGCTTTACAGGGGTATCAGCGGAGTTTGTAGTAGTGCTGGCGGAATTGCTGCTGGACGGGGCAGCTTGGGTAGAAGTAGACGAGTTACGTCGTGAACTAGGGGAAGAGTGTCGGATAATGGATAAAAGGGCGGGGACTGATACGGAGGACGGGCTGGTAATTCCTCTGCATATTGCTGATGATTGAGTAAAAGGACGCATTGGTGATTTGCATGGTGTAGCACTGCTTGCAGCTCGTTTGGGCTGATGTTTTAACGGCGTTGGCAAAAATGCTGACCGGCGGCATGGCTGATGGTGATATCCCGGCACTGACATTGACGAACTGGTACCGGTGGCCAGCGGCGACCAGGCGCTGGAGAGCCTGCCGCTGAGGACAGAAGCACGGATTGGAGTATTCATGGCTGTGAGATGGCTCATTGTGCGTGTGGTGATGTCGAAGCTCGACGACGTTCTTGATATCTTTTTCGCCCAAAAAGAAAGCATTTCGATCTTGCCAAGATATCAATTAGGTAAGGAGCCTCTTTATATCACATGATCTGTATCAGACCCAGTGATATTATGGTTGTTACTAAGCATTGCTTAATTGGGAAATACACCGCTGAGTCATCATAATATGTTGGATTAGTCATCCATTCGACTCTACGGCTCGCACCTTATCACTCATGTTTCCATGGGGCAGATAGGTGTTTTTATCCCGTGGTCTCATGGCCCAAGGTCCCGACATAATATGGCCAATTAGCAGGCATCCTATACAAAATATAACCAATAGACGTTAATATAGATTGATCGTGACAGAACTGAAAATGGTTAATGAATATCTTGAAGCTAATTACCAATACACAGCCCATGACTATCACGTGATATAAAAAGCAAGTTGAAGAAGTAATTGAATTGATGAAGATTTGAATACGAAAGAATTGCAAGTAATCGACTTGGGCCTGTGTCTTGTGGCAGTTGATAATATCTCAACTTGTGCTTAACTTACTTCTTATTTACCTGTGTTATAGGATTGTGCTCTCTATTGACATATTGATGTTGAGCTGGCCTTGCTGCCACAGCCTGGTGTACTTACGATACCAGATCCCCTCCCACCTCATACTCAGACCGGTGTTATACCAACTGCAAGCAAATATACCAACTTGAGGGCTTCTGACAAGAGCTCTCATACTATTTACAAAAACACGTACTATACCTTGGCTATCTTCATATATCAACCCGTGCCAGGCTAGGAAAGGATGCACCTAAGTCCGCACCTGTTTCCATATGCTTGGTTGACAGGCGCATTTCCGTGATAGCTGCGAGGACGAGAATCGAGAATAATAACTCGTCTATATTCGAGTATACAAACACCTGGTATCTACCAATAGTGAAACTGAAAATTAAAGAAAAATGCCTCGTCCGAAGAAACCAGGCGCTCCAGAACCAAAAAGGAGAAGTAGAAAAGGCTGTTGGTACGTCGTGCTTTAGGAATAACGCCATGATTTTACTCACTTTAAAGAGCAAAGATAGCGTCTAATTAGCTACGAGATAGGCCATGCAAGGCTCGGAAAGTGAAATGGTACGTACATACCCGTTATATAGTAAGCCTTCTATTATATAACTTTATTATAATTTAATATATAGAATGCTAACAATGTAGGTACAGCGGTGAAGAGAAGCCGGCATGTCTCAATTGCAAGCGCCAGGGTGACAAGTGCGATTATAGCATCCGGTTAAATTGGGAGGGTCGATCAAAGAAGCGAGCCATAGCTGAGAATACTAGACTGGATAACGAATCTATACCGCCTCCTTTGTCGCCATCTACTCCAAATTCCGGAAATGATAGGGCAAGTGGCTCCCCTATCTCTGCTGTAAATCATATCTTCATGCCGATACAGCAATACCAAAGCCAGGTCAATAAAATCAGTCCGGGTCAGGATGGGGTGTCTACAGGGCGGTTTGAGAGCCCAATTATGACAACCAACAATGTGCAATATTTACCACCTAGCGGTACCAGCGCTCAAACAAGAACGACTGCGGATCAAGCATGGCTGCCGTACTCACCAGGCTCCAATCCCGATACGCCACAGGGATATTCAACTCCATTGTTACAACATCAGAAAATCTCGCCGAGTGAGAATAACCAAGTTATTCCATCTAGCTCCTCTACTCGGCATGTAGGCCCTCCAAGCCTAATGAGTACATCACTACCTAGCCACGGGTTTCTAACCAATAATATACCAATGTTTCTCTCGCCTAGTGTTACTACTAAAGGCTCGCCAGGCTCGTCCGCATCAGATGAAACTTTTCTGCAATTCTCGTCAACTTCGACAACGGGTGACGTTAATGCATTTTCGGATATGCATCGTGTTTCTGTAGACTCATTGTTGTCTCATGCGATCCCGCCTGGGCCTGACCCAAACCATGTAAGGGACTATGGATTAGACCGCGGCGAGCCCGATTTGGATGTGCATAGGGATATTGAATTCCTAGCGAGCCTTCGCGACCATTCTATAAGGGATGTTGACAGTGCTAGAATCATTCCATGCTATACAGGTTCTAGCGGCACTACTACTCCGTCCTCTTCGCCAGAGGGCATGCCAATGGAAAATCAACGAAACGTGACAACTGTCTTTTCTAGAGGAGGCTATTATGCCAAACCTGTCCCGATATATATATCAAGATTTCTATCACCGCTACCGCCTACTTTACTTGATAGCCCGATAAATATGCTCTATTTCCATCATTTTATAAACCATACAGCTCGAATTTTGGTACCCCATGATTGCTTCATGAACCCTTTCGCAACGGTACTACCTTCAAGTATGTTAAACTTCCTTCAACCCTAAACACCTAAACCGGGATCGGCATTAATATGCGTATATAGTGGCTATTGAAGACGAAAACATTTTAAACTTGTTGCTGACATATTCAGCAAGCCATAGGGCGCGTCTTTTGGGCCATGCAGAACCATACACACGCATCGCCCGTTGGACTAGCTCCGTGTTCCCGTCCCTTCGACACGCTCTAAATGACCAGAACAAGAAAACGTCTGCTGCAACCTTGGCCACGGCGATCATGCTAGTCTCCCTTAAAGTAATATCACCTACTACATTTGAGGTTCCCATCCGATGGGAAAGCCATCTGATGACAGCACGCGAGATATTCCTTGCACGCCAAAAGGCAGACCCTAGTCATTTTACTGGGCAGGTTAATTCCTTCCTCCACCGCTGGCTAGTGTATCTAGACCTCTTTGGCAGCCTTTCCTCCAGACGAGCAGAGCCGCCATTGTTTAATGGCACTTATTGGCCGCTTGATACTCCAGCAGGAAAGGGTCAAGATATGGTTCTAGACAAAGAGCTTGAAATCGACTGTTTCATGGGGTTTACTCCCCGATGTTGCTCACTTTTATCGCGGTTAAGTGTGTTGACGCACCAGTGCGACAATGTACGTGTCGACCCAGCGGGACGTCTCTTTACAAGCTGGCATCCGCCAGCGCATGTGCTCGACAGGGCGGAGAAGCTGTTGCAAGACATGGAGGCAGCAAATCCTGTTCGTACACGGGGACGTAGAATACACCACCATAAACCGGTAGAGCCCGGCATGGCTGCAGTGGACGAGGCATATCGACTTGCAGGGATGATCCATCTTCATCGAAGGGTTTTCGGTCGTAAGGCCTCAGATCCGATCGTCAGAGGTCTGGTTGATGCACTTTTCGAAACGCTCAATCAGGTTTCTCGCGGTGGGCAGGAGGAAGTGTGTGTTCTGTTCCCGCTCTTCACTGCCGGTTGTGAGAGCCAGGATGTAGGCCAGCGGCAGCAGGTCAGTGAGCGTGTTCAGGGCTTTGAAAGCGTCGGCATGAAACAGGTCAGCATCACTCCATGAAGCTTCATTTATCCGTGCGCTTAAATTAAATTCCTCCCACTAATATGCTATTTTGTAGATACGGGGGGCGAGAAAGCTCATGCAGAGGTCCTGGCGGGGAAGCCCTGCCGTGAATGTCCTTGCTGATGACGAAATTTCTGGCATGATAATGATGTAAATTAGCTATAGGTGTATACATATATCACGCCTACGCCTATTGGGCTACTGAACCTGTAATTAGCCGCCGTGATTGCGTCTGGCTTGGGTGTACCGATCGCGGGTGAACTATTATTAGATTTCCGGGCGGCTGATGCAGCGCATCTCGCGTCTTTTCGCCCCCGCCGGCCGCGCTAAAATAAAGGCTTCTCCGGCTTCTTCATCTCCTTCTTCGTCCTATACTTCTTCACCTTCTCTCCAGACTTTCTCTTTCATCATTTCTTCCCCGCACCACAGCGCTTACCTGCATCTTCCAGCTTTGTTTGTTTTTATAGATACATTACTTAGCTTGTCTATCTTTGCTACTGCGCTTGGCCTCTTAATGAGCGTTGTCAAAATGGACTGTGAGAGCTCCTTTCTCTCACCTTCATTATGTTGAAAGGGTTAGATGAACTGACTCTTTGCTCATTTCTTCACTCTCATATAGTGTCGCCAGATAAAAAAGCTTCTTATACCACCATAATTGATTCTATCCTGGCCAGTAGTGACCTCACAACCATCTCAGAAAAGCGCATTCGTAGAGGTCTACAGGAAACTATCGGCCATGACCTAACTCCCTATAAGGTCAGCATCCCTAGCTTCCTTAACCCCAAACTTTGCTTATACATTATGAAATTCCAAATCGATGCTGATATCTGCATAGGCTGCCCTCAAGGAACTGATCATGGAGCGCTTCGATATGTTTGCCGAGCAGTCCAACGTCGTCAAAGCTGAGCCGGAGCCAGTCGTCTCGTCCCGGCCCGTCGCCAATGGCCATACTTCGCCCTCTCCACCACAAAAACGCAGCGTGGACCCGGAAGCTATACCGGATATAACAGACTCCTCTCCGCCTCCCGTGAAGAAGCAGAAAAATGACGTCGTGGACTCCGACGCTGCTTTTGCGGCGAAACTGCAAGCAGAGGAGAACCTACGAGCCCGGACGACACGTGGTGCTAATTCAAGAAAGACCGGACTGGTCAAGAAGAAACGGAAGAGCACCTCCAAAACTGCGAAGAGAGTGAAAGCATCCGATGATTCGGACGTGGATGGATCGGGTGCGGATAATAAGAAAGAAGTGAACCGCACGGGTGGCTTCCACGTATGCAACCTCCTTACCACATTTTGCATCTAAGCATCTATTAACATTTCCCAGAAACCGATGGCACTTTCACCTGCATTATCTGCCCTACTTGGCGGCGAAGTGACTGTGAGTTGATATGTTGTTATACTGATACCAACCTGTTCTGCTACTAACCTGCCAAGCAGCTTTCGCGACCACAGACGGTAAAGAAAGTCTGGGAATACATCCGTGAGAACGAGCTTCAGGACCCGGCCGATCGTCGCCAGATCCGGTGCGACGGCCTCATGCGCCCTGTTTTTAAACAAGACCGTATACACATGTTCACAATGACCAAGATCCTTAACCAGAATCTCTACGACCCAGAGGAGTGACCAACTTGGCTTTTTTGGAATTAATTGGTTTGAGTTGACCTGCCCGTATCCATGGCTCCCTCTTACGATAACGACCTTTCTTTTCCTCTGGATTTATTGTCTCCTTCCTCCCCTTCGCGTTACAAGATCAGCGACGGCTCATTCAATTCACACCTGCGAAACGGCGTCTCTTGTCTTTCTTTACTCTGTTACTATCTATTGCCATCTTCACTGGGAGGCGTCAGTGGTGCATTCTATAGGGCATATCTTCATATCTAGCTTGGAGTTAGCGGTCGGATCAAATGAAACAGAATACCTCAAGCTTCCTCTACCTCGTCTCTCTTGTCCATGTCAGCTCAGTCTCCGTCTCTTCATCTCTTCTTCATCTTCTGCTTTCTCTACTTCCAACATGGCAAGTTTTGGGACGCTACCGCGCTAGCCCCGATGCGGAATGGCCCACACAACGCTTTTGCAACTTTTTTTTTTCCACATACAAAAAATTGATTTCTTTCCTCCACCACAAATTTGCTTACTTTGCCTGTAAACTCGTCCCGCAGTTGCTCGCTTCCACGCCAGAGCAGCTCTTTAGAGGCTTCCGACCGCAACGATGTCGACGTTTGATACTTTGACCGAGCAGGACCTGCAGCAGGATGAGGTCGAGATCGATTTCTCAGGCATGCCACACTCGGGAAAACCCACGTTGAATTTCTGCCCGCCCAACTAACAGTTTCTAACAGATTTAAAGGCTGAATTCGAGGTCCGACTGGAGGAAGGACTGGACACCTTTGTCGTTTTCGACGGACTCCCGATCGTCTCCGAGGATAACAAGGCCAAGTTGATTAAATTCTTGTTAAAGAAGATTAAGAAAGGTGGTGATGGCCCCGCCTCGAGTAGCATGGACCCAAGCCGCCAGATCTTTTTACCAATGAATGAAAATGGAATGTCTGAAGGGTGAGACCCGGTATGCGGTTAAATAGGGAGTTTGTATACATACTGATCAAAATTTTTGGCAGTTTCGCTTTTGTTGAATATGACACCCCCGAGGAAGCCTTTGCTGCTATAAAGACTCTTCATGGAACGCCTCTGGATAAGAAACACACCCTATCAGTAAACAAACTTACTGATATAGACCGATATGGACGCGAAGGCCGGATAGATGAGGAATACAAACCCCCAAAAATCGAACCGTTCCAAGAAAAGGAGCACCTCCGATCATGGCTGGGCGACCCCAACGCCCGTGACCAGTTTGCGATGTACCGTGGCGACAAGGTTGGCGTGTTTTGGAATATGAAGAAGGATCCTCCAGAAAATGTTGTTGACCGAGACCACTGGACGCAATTGTTCGTACAATGGTCTCCAATGGGCACATACCTGGCTTCCGTTCACCCACAGGGCGTCCAACTCTGGGGAGGACCCCAGTTCAGCAAACAAAAACAATTTCCTCATCCATTTGTTCAACTTGTCGAGTTCTCGCCAGGAGAAAACTATATCACCACATGGTCCAGTCGTCCGATCCAGATAGAGGGTGCACCTGGTGTTTTAACATATGATGAAGATGGAAAGAATATAATCATTTGGGATATTACAACCGGAAAGCCTCTCCGATCCTTCGTTAGCTATGACCTATCTGCTCCCGCCGGCGCCGATGGTGATGCCGCCGCACCAAAAAAGAAAGTACAATGGCCCGCGTTTAAATGGTCAGCAGATGAGAAATATGTTGCCCGTATGCTTCAACACCAGTCCATCTCCATCTACGAACTACCTCGCATGAACCTCCTAGACAAGACCGTAGTCAAAGTTGAGGGTGTTATGGATTTCGAATGGTCACCTGCCACAGTCCAGAGAGAGGGTGTCAAACACAATGAACAGCTCCTCAGCTTCTGGACCCCTGAAATCGGAAGCAACCCAGCCAAGGTTGGCCTCATGAGTATACCCTCAAAGGAGATTGTCCGCACCCGAAATCTTTTCAATGTCTCCGATGTGAAACTACATTGGCAGTCCCAGGGTGCCTATGTCTGCGTCAAGGTCGACCGACACTCTAAGTCCAAGAAGTCAATGGCTACTAACCTAGAGATCTTCCGAGTGAAAGAGAAGGGTGTTCCAGTCGAGGTTGTTGACTCGCTAAAGGATACCGTTATAAATTTTGCTTGGGAGCCCAAAGGTGATCGATTTGTCCTCATCACAACTGGTGAAGCCCCCGCTGGTTCGGCCGTTGCTCCAAAAACTGCCGTCTCTTTCTTCTGCCCCGAGAAAGTCAAGGGTGGTGCTATTGGTAACTTCAAACTCATTCGCACCATCGAAAAGAAGACAAGCAACGGGATCTACTGGTCTCCCAAGGGCCGATTCGTTGTTGTGGCCACGGTCCATTCGCAGCAGAATTTTGATCTTGATTTTTGGGATTTGGACTTTGAAGGCGAAAAGTCAGAGAGCGAGAAGGATCTATCAGCCAACCTTCAGCTCATGAAGACCGTTGATCATTTCGGTGTGACCGATGTCGACTGGGATCCAACTGGCCGATTTGTAGTCTCTAGTGCCTCTGCTTGGACTCACTCGGTATGTGTAACTAAAAGCCTTGTTCATATTGTAGATGTCAGTGCTAACCTATACGCAGTTGGAAAACGGCTACAACATTCACACATTCTCTGGCACAACACTAGCCGAACATCCCACCGAGAAGTTCAAACAACTCCTCTGGCGCCCACGACCCCCAACTTTCCTCTCAAAGGAAGAGCAGAAACAAGTCCGCAAGAACCTCCGCGAGTACTCTCGCGAATTTGACGAGGAAGACAAGTATGCTGTTGATATCGCCAACACTGCCATCGTTGAGATGAGGAAGAGAGTCCTCAGCGAATGGACTGCCTGGCTCAGGAAGGAGAAGCAAATGATTCTTGAGGAGAGGGAAGACCTCGGCCTATCCCAAGACCCAGATGATGACATAGTTGCCCAACCCACTATTTCGGCCGCTGAGGGCGATACAGTGGTGGAAGAAATTGTGGAAGAAATCATTGAAGAGACCGAAGAGATCATTACTTAATTGCTCTCGATATTTTGCTTTTATTTTATTTTTTATTTTCTTCTCATTTCGACCTTAATCCTTTTCTATCATATCATGTCATGTCATGTCTTTTTGTATGGTTACGTCGAAATGAGAGGCGCAGGAAGGACAGAAAAGGGCGGAATACCTTCGAAGGATTCTGATAAATTTTTTTATTCGGCCAGATACATCTATGGTTGCAATGAATCATCATAGAGATTTCAATGTTTCTTTTTCTTTTTTTTTTTTCTTCTCGCTTCATGTACCTGGTCGTTTCGTCTGATCTACCAAAACTGTTCTCACAGATATTGGCCAAACCAAGCCAGCGCCTGGGCCAACGCCTGTTCTTTTGCGAACATGATATCCGGGTTAGACAAGTCACCACGGACAGCAAACCCATGAGACACTCCTCCATATAGGCTTATCTGGTATGGCTTGCCGACTTTTGCCAGAATCTCCTCAGACTCATGACGCAGGGGTGTCGTTAGGATTTCGTCAACCTCTATACAGACAGGCAGATCTAGTTAACTGGGAACCTCGTGTATACAGCGAAGAGACAAAGGACATACCAGCAGCTGCAATGGATAGGGGTCCTTCTATGGCAGATAGCTCCTCCCGCGAGACGAATGATGGATGGGCCGTGTATCCAACGTTTAGCTTGCCGCCTTTCAAGAAACGACATACATACTTAAAACCGGTCAGGATCATGTATTAAATATATCACATATCAATATTTGAAAAGCGGGACGATATAATTCATACCTTGCCACCAAAGCAGTATCCCACGCCACCGAGTTTCTCGATTCCATGCTCTTCCCGCAGCAGCTTCACAGTAGACTCGACGATAGGGTCGACGACGTCAGTGCCATGCTTTGCCAGCCAGCCATAGAGATCAAACCCAGAGTCAGGCTTGAAACAGTCGGGCGTCAGCTTGTCGCCGTGGAACAAGTCAGGGATCACTGTGAGGTAGCCCTGGGCCGCGATGTAGTCTGCAAGCAGCTGGGAGTTGGAATGTATGCCCATCACATCTGAGAGAATGATAACCGCCTTTCCAGCCTTCTTGTTGGATTCCTTTGGCTGGGCAAAGTAGATATCAGCTGTGGTCTGGTTAGCTATCTATCGATATAGAAACACCATGCATGGCCGAACTACTCACTGTTTCCTATCTTCTTCGTTTCGCCGGTAACGGTGCCTTCGTGTATGAAGCCCCTGATGCAGCACTCTGCTGGCGGATTAGAAGCCATCCTGTACGTATTTGAAGCTTTACTCTTGTGGATTGCTAGATTGGTAAGATGGATGATGTAGACGGCGATTTTTTAGATGTGCTTCTCGTACTGTGAATGAGCGTATTTTAGCTGTATTCGAGGTTTACACCGTATTTACCACCATCCACGCTCTGAGGCGGCTCTTTTTGGTGTGTTTGGAGTAAGTCGGCAGTATTTTATACCATCCAAGACAAAGATGGGCCCCTCTCTTCACCAGACCCTCCATAGCAGGCTGCCATCGCTGTGTGTGTCCACGTCGAATACGAGTTAAATGGCATCTTGGAGGCCAGAACAAGGGGACCCTGCAGGTGGATCTTCCAATGTTGGTCCGACTCGGCAACATTTCCAGTCACAGTCTGTGGCTGAACATCTCAAAGCGCTGGCCATCGACCGTTAATGTCTCCGAGATTTGATATAATCTATGATTATTAGCGACTATAGGAGGAATTATTCAGTCCGATGCGGTGACATTCTATAAATCATCACTATGGCGCAAAAGAGGGCCTATCATGAGGAAGGCTGCTATAAAAAAGATGCCATTCCCATCTACAATCTCCATCGTCCATCAGCCGCCAAACAACCTCCCTGACTGTTTTAATTTCATTCAGTATAAATACCACCTACTCGAGCCATGCTCAGCCCAGTCAAATATCTAGTGACTGGCGCATCCAGCGGCCTGGGTGGCTCTGTCCTTGCTACTTTGTACAAGAACATCTCAGATCCTTCGCAGCTTGCGGCGGCATCGTCAAGACCTCAAACTGGCCTCGAGCTTCAAAAGGCCTATCCTGGAATCCAATTCCGCTGCCTGGACTACAATGATCCAAAATCGCTGGTAGATGCATTGCAGGGTATCGAGCGTTTCTTCTTCGTCTCCAGCCCTGAAGTGAACACAGAGAAACGAAACAGGCAACATGAACAGGTGGTAAAAGCATCCGTCGAAGCAAAAGTTGGCCATGTAAGTGTTTTGACGCATTGCAGATTTCTGTGTCTGTTGAATTTAACGAGAATGCTGTGATTAGGTGTATTACTCCAGCCTTGCATTTGGCGGATACGGATCAGAGTCCACAGCTTCTGTTCAGCAAGCTCACTATGTGACCGAAAAGCTCTTGGAAGAGTTCGTCGCCCATTTCTATTACTCCCCCGATTAATGGCTAATGTTTTGTGAAACGTGTTTTTCTAACCAACCCACAGCTCCGGGTTACCATACACCTCTGTTCGTGAAGGGGTTTACATCGATGCCTTTCCTGTCTTTGTCTTCTGGTACCCAAACACAACTACCATATACCTCTCTGGTGATGGCCTTGTTGCATTCGCTTCCCGTGATGAGCTGGGTGAAGCCACCGCACAGCTTATCCTTCGCGATCCAACAAGCTTGAGATTGAAGAATCATATTGCTTTGCTCACCGGTTCTCGCACCTATAAGCTAACAGATGTTATTAATGCTATATCGGATGCTACTGGTAAGCAAATCGAGGTCAAGCGGGTGTCGAAGGAAGAGTTCCCTCATATAATGGCCAAGGAAGATGCAAAAGATGGCAGAGGAGGAAAGTCAGCAGCCTTTTTCACGAGCTGGCAGAGCCTGGTAGAATCGATGGAAAGGGGGGATGCTGCAACAGTAGACCCCTTGATGGGCGAGTTATTGGGTAGAGAGCCCTATGATGCTCTGGAGTATGTGAAGAAGCTAGTGAAAGGTAGTGCAGATAAGGGGGGTTATACGTGGCATCAGAATTATACGTAAGAGACTACCATTTTGCATAAAAGCTATTTATTAGATAGTCTTAAATATGTAATAGAAGCGAAGTATAAGGCTGGATCTATTTATAAAGATCAACTATGTGCTAGAATATACTGCGGATAAGGTTGAGATTGCCAGACCTCATTATCATAGCTTATTTAGTCCACTCTCCACCGATCCAGCGGTTGAAGATGTCCAAGGAGTTCTCAGGCTGATCATACGGAACCAAGTGGCCAGCACCGTAGATGCGGAGGAAAGCAAAGCCTCCGTGGTTCTTGACCTGTCCAATTTCCTTTCCTGTCACACTGTGCTTGACTCCAGTAAGCTTCTTAGGCTTGAAGTCACCTTGGCCGGGCCAGTTAAGCGCATCGCACCAGGCATGGTTACCGAGCCAGTTGCAGATATAGTCAGCATCTCCAGCGTAGATAAGAACAGGGATCTTAGTCAAAACTTCGGGAACCTTGCGGTGGAAGGGCTGGTTCCAGTCTCCCTGGCTGAAGAAGCGACGGTTAACTTCGTCGTTGCAGGAAGAGAATGACTTAGTTTCGGTGCCGACGGCGCTCATGACCTCAGGCATGTTAAGGTACTTGGAGATCCACCCAAGGATAGGGTAGCAGAGGTTCTCGGGGTCTTCGCAAGGGGAGCGGACATCGTAGACGTTACGGCCGGTTTTTGAGTATGGAGAGAGGAAGGCTTCCTGGCAGAACCCGGCGCTGCGAACACAAGCACCAACATCGGTGGGTTCGTCGTAACAAGCCTTTATTTGCTTCTGGCACTCTGGAATAGCCTCTTTCATGGTTTGACAGGTAGCCTCGTCTAACACGGCATCGTAACCTCCCTCACCACATCCCATGGGTTCATAGTAGGCATTCTGGGTGTATGGGTCGGTAAGGCCGTTTCCAATAAGGATGGACTTTAAGTTGATGTTGGACTCCTGTTGAAGGATATCTGCAGCGTAAACTGGTATATAATGACCGGCGTAAGACTCTCCAGAGATATGGAAGTCCTGCTTGGAATATTGCGGGAATTGCTTGAAGAACATGGTCAAGAATGCAAAGACGTCCTTTGATGCGGCGGGCGTGTTATAGACTCCCTTTTCGCCGTAGGAGAACCCAACATTGACAGGCTGGTCCAAGAAAATCATAGAGGCGTTGTTAATCCAAGAGTGAGGGTTGTGAACAACCTTGATGTTCTCATCGATCCTGGCCGGCCCCATTTCCATAAATAAGCCGGTCATGGAAGAGCATCCTGGGCCTCCGCTGAGCCACAGGATGATGGGGTCATTCGTTGGATCATTTCGGGACTCAAAGAACCCTATAGTAAAAGATTAGCAATGTTTCCTTTGAAATATCTAGGGACGTAGGACAGAGGAGCCCATTTCTGGCAGATATAGGTGTGTAGACACATACAGAAGAAAAGGTGCTTGTCATCGGCGCTGTTATCAAGATAACCACTGTATTGCTTGACCGTATCAACTCCCAACTTGCTTGGATCCACAGTCTTGATCCTCATGCTATATTCGCTGATATCAGAACGTCCCTCTCCGTCGCTATGGATCCAAGTGCTTTCAATACTTTGTCCAGACACGACATGGTCCCAGTAGCTTTCAGGTCGAGCCTGGTGAGGCTTCGGGGCGTTGAAGAAATGGGTTATCTGGGCTTCTGGCACAGACTTCTTGATGCTTCCCCAGATCGCCTTGCCTTCGGTACTCAGCATCCCCTCGGCCATGATGCCTGCTTCATGGGGAGCTGCCAACGTTCTAGCGGCTCCAACAAGGAGCATGGAAAGAAGGCCCTTCATAGTTGATTGGTGCAGACAGGCCTAAGAAGATGAAGGAAATCGACGAGTGTATTTGTGTAAATTACACAATGGAATTTGGACTCATGGAAGGAGGGAACAGGCCGTTCTTGTATCTAATGGCTGAGCCATCGTCTGCCACCTTGTGAGCACTTCTCTCACTATCATATCCGCAGGCGAAAAACAACAAGTGGAGGCAATCCTGTCGATCAATAAACAGTTCGGCGAAAAGGTTTCCGGGGGGAGGCAGAAGGTGATGTGCACAATATCCCTTCTTTGGAGCGTACATGGTAGTAATATGGGTATAAACTTGTGGACATTAGGATAGGATTTTGCTCAGGCGATAGGCCATGGTGGGCCACACTGACGGAAACTGCTGCGAAACAGGGCTTATAGAATATCCAAGCGGAGTCAAAGAAGGGGAAGTGTCTTCTCCATCACGTATCAAATTGGCTTCAGGTATCGGGCGAGCTGGCGCTGGCTGCGTCAAGGCTGATGCCTCAGTACCACCAATGCACCACCGAACGCACCAAAAGCCTTGATTTGTAGTGGCTAAAAAGCTTCAATTCCCCAAACTGACCCACAGGCGGAGTTTTGTATTTTATTTCCCACATATTCTTATTGCGGCCTCGTATGTCTTGAGTCTCGCGGCTGTTCGCATAGAAGGGGGCTAAATGTCGAGATGAGACAAAGGTGCGACATCAACTTTGGATCAGAAAAAGGACTGGGCGAGAAAATATCTTCAGATACACGCCAGACGCCGGACATCACTCGTTTTGAATAATTAACTAGTTAGTTATTAAGCCAGACATGTCATGAAGAATGGGCTTGGGTTTGCTGTTAAGGTCTTAACAATAATCTTATATATGGCGTGCTCCATTGACTGTGCTATCATTTCCTTATATATACTATACTTACGGTGGATGTCCGAGAAATTATTTCCCGTGTCTCCATTATGCATTGAGTTAGTGGGAACGAGACTCTTTCTGGAGTGTGAAAAGCGTGGAAGAGACCGCAAGGTCATGTCGTCCCTGTTATAGCATTGCTGTTATATGTCTAAAAGCTTTGCAGATCCCCGAAATGGCGTGGACTTTGGCTTGAACAAAATAGGGGAAGAAAGCCGGATAGTCAATTACTTCGTAAGTAATATCAGTTTCTTTAAATTTTTTCTCTGAGCGGCTCTTCGTATATACATGCCTACATACGGTTAGTGACAATATAGGTTTCCCTCAACGGTCATAGAGAAGCATAGTCGTCACAAGTCTCAGTCAATTTACTGCGCGTTCCGGGTTCCTAAGGGCAGTCACTTAGCAGTCTACTCTCTATAGTTAGCTGATCAGTTATAGGCACAACTCACCATTGCGCTATGTCCGGCATCCGCAATCCAAAACAGCCGAGACTCAGGGAATGCCTTGTGCAGTTCATAGGCCGTCTGAGGTGGGCATACAATATCGTAACGCCCTTGAATGATGGTTGCTTGGGGGGTGTCAGTCGGGTAAATTCCCGTGAAGAACAAATACATTTACCGAGACATCTAGAAAGGCCACTTACTGGGGATGTGTCTGATTAGGTCGATCTTCTCTTTCTTCAACAATGAACCGTGTTCAATCCAAGCATCATTCACAGCATAGTGGAGTTCCATTGTAGCATGTGCTAGCGTCCAGTCCTCATCATCCAACTTGCTCAGGCTCTGAGGATTCTGACGCAGTTCACTGATAGACAACTCCCACTTGTTCCATGCTCTGGAGGCTGTGATGCGTGTCTGCTTGTCATCAGACTGTATAAGCTTGTAGTATGCGGCCACAACGTCCTCTCTGTCCTTCTCAGGGAGGAAGTTAACAAATTCCTCGTACGCGTCGGGGTACAGACGACCAGCAACGATATGTCGAGACCACTCAAGCTCTTCCCTCCGGAAGGTGAAGATGCCTCGAAGGACGAGAGAGCCAACGGCTTCAGGGTGGGCCTGCGCGTATACTAAGGACAAGGTCGAACCCCAGGAACCCCCGAATACCATGTGCCACTTCTCGACACCGAGGTGCTTGCGGAGAGCTTCAATATCTTCGACGAGATGGTGAGTCGTGTTCTCACGCATTTCGGAGTTTGGGAGAGACTTCCCGGAACCACGCTGGTCGAACAGGACGACACGGTATACATCAGGGTTGAAGAAGGTGGTATTTCCCTTGGTACAGTGTCCGCCGGGTCCTCCATGGAGGAAGATTACTAGCCGCTCCAACCGTTAGTAAATATCTACAAAAATAGCCGCTGGTATAAGGATTGACCTCGTTCACTCACCTGGCTTGCCGTCTTTCTTCCCATACTGTTCGTAATGGATTTTATGGATAGATCCTACCGGGAGGAAGCCTTCGTCAAAGGCATCCGCATGGGAGTATCCAGGGTGAATGTCTTGTGAGCTCATCTTGGACTGAAACCAGCTCTAGATATATATGGTTGGTGGTTTTGTTTGATATCTTGAAGATAGCAATCTGTGAGAAGCGTTCTCTTCTTTCGAATAAACACAGAAATAATGTAGATGATAATCGCCTGGAAAAAATGGTTATGATGCGACTTTCCCCGCCCCCGCGCGGCTCAGGGGGCGCGCAAGGCGGCAAACCAAGGCTATTTACATAAACGATTGAACAAAAGTAGATGGTTGGAAATACAACTTCGTAATCACCATGTATCCATTTTATATCTATGGAGGAGCTGTTGGTATAAAACGAGAATACCTACATACATGATGAGCTTTAGTTTTTCTATCTACCAAGAGTCCTCTCCATTTTCGAGCCCTTAAATACGTAGCATAACCAACGGCTGTTATGCTACTAAGAAAGGAAGCATAAAACCTGCAGCTTCAAGCCAAAAAGACTTCCTGCGTATTTTGATCCGATTTTAAGAAGAACAAGGCAATGTTGTAGTTCACTTTTTCCTTGCCTCAGTGCCCGAATGCACCGTCAATCCATCGAGTTTAGCATTCCCTTCATCTCCTTGCCGGATCTCGCAGCAATATGCACACTTCAAATGACAGGGAAGAACTGCTGTGATGAGCCCCTTGCATTCCTTTTTATGACATGGAAGCACACGGGCTGCTCCAAGGTGGCCGCAGATATACTTTGGAGTGGTCTTTTTGCACATCTTTGAGTGATTGTTTGTTCGCTAAGCCAGCAGATGGATAGATAAAGGGTAATATGAGGGTGATTTGGTAGCACTAGGTTGAGGATCTCGTTAGAAGCTGTGTAGAAGTTCATATATGGCAGCAAAACATCTTACCTGCGTGAGAAGGTTATGAAACAGCAATATTATCGCGGTGTTGCTAAGATGAATGGGTATTTCTATAGCATAAACAGGCTTATTCAACTGTAAAGGGTAGGGGTCAGGCGAGGGATATTCTTTTCTATTGCACACTTGAGCAACAACACAGGGATGACATCTAAGCTAGCAATATAAAAAGAAAAAGGCTGAATAGGACTTCAACCTGTAGAGAAGGTAATTCTAATGTGAAAAAATAAACCCAAAAAAAAAAAAAAAAAAAACATAGGTATAGATAGCAATAGATATCATAATTTGAGGGGTATCTTGTCATGCAGATACAGACAAGAAGGAGACTCCCTTCTTGTGTATCAGATATAGAACACGTCCTTAATATTACATCTAGTTAATAATAATCAAAAATAGTGATAATTCTGGGAATTCTGAGGAAGTAAATGTATATCCTTTTGAGAACCTCATATATAGCAATGTGTCATTCCCGGGGATTTTGTAGAAGAGAGCTTGTCCTTCTATGATAGTTCAGGCCTTCCCTCTCAACTAAGGAAGTTAAGATTCTAGCGGCTTCATGTGCTACACCAAGATACTGGGTTAGATGAGACTGATATGGGCGCTAGAAGGATGGTAGGCTTACATATCTCCCATGAGCTAGCCGATAGACGTTCGCTGACTGTGCTAATCAGTTCTCTAAGCTCGCTCTTAAGCACCTGGACTTCAACTGAGGCGGCAGAGAACTGTGCCTGTTCGCGATGGTGCATATTGGCCAAAATGGTTGCGGCAGTGGATGGAGCTAGTTGCGGGGAGAACTGTTGTGGCCTGACTCTTGAGGCATTCCGGGGTTGATCCTTGTTTTCCAGGCCCAGGGCACGAGCCCAGAGAACGAGAAGCCCGAGGAATGCACAGTAGGTCTGCCATAATGGCCGGGGCTGTGACAATAGAACTCCGAGGCCGGGTTTAACGTTGCTGCTCCCCGGTTCCTCTTCGATGCATAAGCCGACCACTTCGAGGGCATGTAAATACGAATCATGACAGACTGGATTTGTCGAGACTAGACGAGTATATGCCGCTTGTGCAACCTGTGGGGTGACTGTTCGGCCTGAGGAGAAGGCACTTCCCGCCGCCATTTGAATGTCTGACAAGTTATTCCGCAGTAGCACTGCAGAGAAGTCATACATAACCAAGGCACACCACGATAGCGGACACCGCTGATCTGGGCCTGAGAGGTGGTCGAATTGATCTCGCCAGTAGGCCAGTGCACTATCAAATTCCAGTCTCTGTAATTCGCGGATAACTAAGCTACTGGAAGAAGATACAGATCGATATTTTGCATCCCCTATCGCCGAAGTTATTCCATGGATAATAATGTGTAGTGACAAAGGATTAGGAGTGTTGTGCCAGAGGAGAACTTCGCGCATATGATCTGCATCTTTTATAGACAAGATTGACTGGACGGCAGAGTCCAGGCTAAGGTACCTCGATCGGCTCGTTTTTTTAAGCTGACGCATTTCCTCTTCCCATTTTACAGCAGAGGGTGCATCCCAGAGTGACTGGCGGCTTGGAAGTGGTATTTTCATCATACCAACAGAAAGCAAGGCATGATGTGAGAAGTAGACCATATACTGCACATCGTTGACAAAGATGGTGTGTGCTATCCTATACAAGGTAAGCACACGGGGAGCGGTTATTCTTGTGCCAATACATACCTAATGATTGATTCCCGCTGTGCCCATTCCCTCCACTTAACATCTGGGGATTGTCGAGTGCCTCCTTCTCGGTTGGGGCTCTCTGTCATGAGATTATTACGCCGTGCAAGCTTGTAACCGAGTTAGATATAGTGCATGGCAATAATGGGGGTATTTGCTAGATCAAGCCTACCGTGACAATAATACTATGTACAATTTCTGACATCTCATGCTCATGCCGCGCCATAGCATACGTGCATATATGCTCGAGGACAACCCTGGATGAGTTAATATTCAGAATATCATTCAAATAGAAATGAGGCTAGAAACGAACAGTGTCTGGATAAATGGCATCTCAACCCTTGCGCTCATGAGTGGTTTCTATCCATAAGCTCGATGTTAAATATAGTTCTCCATAAAAATTGAGAAAAAATCTACCTCGATTGTTTGAGACCACACATGCTTATGTAGCAATTTCCCCAACTCGTAGAACTCGTGTGTTTTGCTTAGAAAAGCACCCAGGCTACACAAGGCGAGGAGTAACACAGACGGTAGTCGTGAGAGGTTAATTGTTGGTCGATGGAAAAAGGGCATGTATACATCGCAGTAATCTAGCGCCAGATGGAGAATTTGGTTCATTTTGATAGGGTCCTTTAAAGGTGTGTTTACGAGGTCCTAGCACGGTATTAGAAATGGGGTATGCCGAAACACCTGGCAATATTCTGTTTTCCACATACAGAGCATTGGCTAAGTATCTTCCCATGGTCGAGGGTGGTTATCTGGGGAGCCTCGTATTGGGGAGAGTTAGAACCGATAGACGGAAGGTATATGTCCTGACACAATTGAACGATGTTTAGTAACCAAGTCTCTCAAATCCCAGTATGGTTATTCGCATAGACAACATACTGGAGGCGACGTATGGTCAGTTGTATCACCGAAATGAAGATTGAGATAATCGTCAGATGGCAGGTCGAAGAGACTGGTGCTGTGGAAGAGCCAGGGATAGTCGTCAAAGGGTGTGGGCATTGCCAGATATGGCTGTTGCTGCTGCTGTTGCTGCTGCTGCTGCTGGCTCATAAGCTGGGGTAAATGATTGATGGAGTTATGGGGAGCATGGGTGCTCGCCTGCCCGTTGGGTGAAACATGGCTGTGGCTATGATTATTATGGTTACTGTATACATGGCTGGTAGGGTCGGTTCGAGGCGAGGGGAGCGTAAGAGGAGCCATTGCCGGGAAATGAGAGACGGGCGGGCGAGCAACGTCACTGTAGACCGCAGGAGGCTGGCCTGCCGGGCCATCGAAACGGTTCTGATGGTCGAGATGCCATTCTGCAGCGGCGGTTGCGGGCTTAGTCTCTGACGGGGAGCTGTTGGTGATGGCCAGGTTCGTCGATGGCGATGGTGACAGAGGCGCAAGAGTAGCAGACTGGCCGCCAGATGGAGCGTCCGAAGTCGTAGAAGGCTGCTCTACGCTCTCAGACGTAGACTTGCGTTTCTCATGGCGCCGTAGATGTGCATTAAGGAGGTCACTGTAGTTACGCTGTCATCAGCATCGAAGAAAACTGCTCTCATAACTTTCAAACAACCACGCAACCTGCTTACTTTCGAGTAAACCTCCTCTGGCACAGATAACAGAGGAATGCTCCCTTTTTATCTATTTATCCTGACAGTTAGAAGTTGACTGCCGAAATGTCTTTCATCTGGAGGAGCAAAATCATACGAATCAAGGCATGGCGGTTGAGGTGTTCACTTCTAAGATACGAGCGGTTGCAACCCGCAAACTGGCAGTGAAATTTAGCCGGCTTCTGCTCCTGGTTCTTCTGCTCCTGATTCTTCTGTTGCTCCTGTTGCTGTCGATGATGCTGCTGCTGCTGCTCCATCTTTGAGCGGACAAAGGGAACTAGGGTCAGCTATCTCCAGGCATTGTCGAGCCGCCCAAGCCATCTGGGGTTGAAAAAAAAAATACGAGAGAATATGATATCGCCCTGGGGCTTGCTGAGGTGCCAAAAAGAAAAAGAAGGCGATGCTGGCAACGCTGTGAGGAACAAAATGACAAGGCAAACGTCTCGCTAGTCTTTTCTTCTCCTGCCGCCGCGGGGTACGGAAACCTGGAGTCTTCCATGGGCGATGTTATGGGCGATGTTGGTTGATATAGCAGTTATTTCTTCTATAGGAAGACGGCTTCGTCGACCACGACAGCGAGCATCATCGCCGCCTTTATATGATGGCATCTGACTGGCACCTCGATATAACCCTAGGTGCGCCTTTACATGAGCTAGTAACAGTGTCTCGGGCCTATCTCTATCTTAATACGGTTTCTCGAAGGGCGTTTCAGCTGATACTCCCTATATCTACCCCAGATACAGTATACGCCCCGTGGTGGATGCTATCAACCGATCCAACCTCTCTGTGTATTCATCTGGACGCTTGCATGAGCTGAAAAGAAATGCCCGGGTTATCCAAGGCTGCTGCTGTGCAACTGGCTGCGTACGCAGTTTTCCCTCCAACGGTTGGCTGCTCTCCCGCTGAGCAAGAGATATCGGATTTGCTACGAGAATCATTCACCAAACCTAGTGGATGACTTGATGGGTTCTGGATTGGTCACTTTCTTCTTCCACAATAACAGCTCAGAGAGAATCCGAGAAGGCGGGTGGACGGGAGAACTATACGAGACCCGTCTTGTCTGCACTGCATATATAGACACCGTAATATCAACCAGGACGGCCTTCCTTGGATAAAAACAACAACGATATTATTGCTCTTAATGTGATATTCGTCATGTTATACAACCCCAGGCTGCAGAATATCAGCCGCTTCTTCTCATTCGCCCAGATAACCAGCAGAATTTCAACCCCCACGATCGACTTTTAAGGCTCTTGTCCATGCATCCTCCACTTGGTCTCTCCCCTTTTCTCTCCCTCAATTGCACAGAGAAGGTCCGAGATGTGTCTCCAACTCTCCACCAGTTCTAGTTCGTCTCCTTTGGCTGGCTGCTTTCCACCCAACGACGCTGAGACCGTCAATCAGACCGTAAGGAGACCAATCGTGTTGACACTGGACCCCCCTGTCCCACAGTGCTTATTATTTGGCTTTCCTTATTTCTTTTTCCCGGTGTGTTTCATTCGCTCTCCCACATTCAATTGACGGCTGGAGCGTTGCCTATCACCCAATAGACGGTATCTCTCGTTCTCGGGTTTTCCCTGTTGCGGCCCTTCGAATCGAAAGAAAATAGCTTGTCAAGTAAAAAGCGAGAGCTAATCATTTAATATGACACCTCATAGACCCCCCTACAGCCAACCCTCCATCCCGGATTATTATTGCTGATGACGATTTTCCCCAGCATTCTTCGATGTCCTGATGCTCAAGACTTCTACCTCATAAGCAATATTCATGTCTACTCTAGCTACGGTAATGCTTGACAGCGACAGCGCCTTTTAACTGGCTCGGACATGACGCTGAAGGTGTGCATCGGCGAATGCGCTGTACCCTAAATAAACCAGATCATCAAGATCGCAATTGAATATGAAGATGTCTCCAGAGGATCTGGTCATAATGACCGAGCTCATCAGCAGGGGTGTACTGGTATGTTCTTCTGTTCTTTCTTTACTTCTTCTATAATATAGATAGGCCGTGGCTAATCCTAACCAAGGACCCAAATAACGATCCAAACATTGGGTCAGCGCGGGGGGAAAACAAATCCTCAACTTCGGATGCGCTCAACAGCGTAGGGCTGACGGCGTCTACGTCTGGAATGGCATTGCTTTCCACTTTCCTCCCTGCGTTTATCCTGGCTATTGTTTGCTTCTTGGTGTTTCTTATCTGTCGCCGCACACAACGCCGATTTTATTCCCCAAGATCATATCTAGGGCATATGCATGACCAGTATGTTGTAGTTTCTCTAATATAGGCGCAGAGAGTGTACATCTAATGTATGATTGTGCAGTGAGCGAAGCCCAGAACTTTCTCAAGGGTTTATAAACTGGATAGGAGAGTTTATACGCCTCCCGGACAGCCATGTTCTCCGACACTCATCCTTAGATGGATATTTTTTTCTTCGGTTCCTCAAAAAGATGTCGCTCCTATGCTTCATCGGATGCTGCATTACCTGGCCCATCTTGATGCCTGTACATATCACTGGGGGTGCAGGCAATACCCAGCTGGACCTCCTGACCTTCAGCAATGTTGTCGACCCTAAGCGATATTATGCACATACAATTGTTTCTTGGATATTTTTTGGTAAGCTACTAGCTCCTTCTGGATACCGTAGCCATGAGTGCTCCAAGCTATTGTTTCTAACTTGTAGCAGGCGCTGTATTCCTTATGGTTTGTCGAGAAAGCATCTTCTACGCAGCTCTTCGCCAGGCTTATCTACTCTCTCCACTATATGCTGATCGCATCTCCTCCCGAACCGTTCTCTTCATGTCGGTGCCGAAGTCTTACCAGAATAAGACAAAGCTGTCCAAAATCTTTGGTGACTCAGTCAAGCGCGTTTGGGCATCTGAGGATACCTCGAAATTAGCAAGACTTGTCAATGAGCGAGACAGCCTTGCGTATCTCTTGGAAGGGGCCGAAACGAGATATGTTAAAGATGCACATGCCGCCCGCCTAAAGGCATTGAAGAAACAAGGTCGAGAACCGGAGATCTCGTTGGAAGAAGCCACCGTTAAGCAAAGTACTGAAACTGACATCAAGCAGGCCCCTTGGCTACTGAATGTTAACCGCCCTTCACGGCTATCCTACTATTTCTTCGGGAGAAAGATTGATATCATCGACAGTCTCCGCTCTCGCCTTGCTACACTCATTCCAAAGGTCAATGCTCTACAGGAAGAACACCGAATCGGCGAAGCAAAGAGTATAGGCGGCGTGTTCGTTGAATTCACAACCCAACGTGAGGCCCAAATAGCATATCAGACACTCTCACACCACCATCCTTCCCAGATGACTCCACGATTTATTGGAATTCCACCTCACCAGGTGCTATGGCCGGCCCTACGATATTCATGGTATCAAAGAATTGTTAGGAAATTTGCAGTCCAGGGATTCATTACCGTCTTGATCATCTTTTGGTCTATACCATCTGCCCTTATTGGATCAATTTCTAATATTGCCTACCTCACAAATCTTCTCAAATTTCTCAGCTTTGTGAATGAACTTCCCCCTTTCATCAAAGGAATAATAAGTGGCCTGCTTCCTGCAGCGGGTTTGGCCATATTGATGTCGACCGTTCCATGGATCATGAGATGTACGCAGGCCCCTTGACTCTCTCATTTTCTAATATGATTCCTTATTCTCACAAAATGCTACAATAGGGTGTGGGAGGCAGTCAGGCGTCCCTTCGACGGCAAAAGCAGAGTTATTTACTCAAAATGCACATTTCTGTTTCCAGGTAGTCCAAGTGTTCTTGGTAACTACCATAACGTCAGCGGCTTCAGCAGCCACGAGCCAAATTATCAAAAATCCGCTCTCGGCCAAAGACCTACTGGCAAAGAATTTACCTAAGGCAACGAATTTCTACATCTCATACTTCCTTTTCCAAGGCCTCATGCTGAGTTCAGGGGCGGTGGTGCAAGTTATTGCTTTTCTTGTTTTTAAAATTTTCCGAGCTTTCTTTGACTCTACTCCGCGGAAGCTGTACTCACGCTGGGCTGCACTCACGGGAGTATGGTGGGGAACAGTTTTCCCGGTGTTTACAAACATGACTGTTATTGGTATGTAATGATTATCTCGGTAGTCTGACAAGAGAAGCTAACGTCACTAAAATAGCAATCACCTACAGCTGCATAGCACCTCTTGTCCTAGGCTTCTCGGCTCTCGGTCTCTACCTAGTATATCAGGCTTATAGATACAATCTGCTATTCGTCTATGAACCAGTTGTGGATACGAAGGGTCTTGTATACCCCCGAGCACTCCAACAAGTCTTGACCGGTGTTTATCTAGCAGAAGTATGCATGTTTGGGCTCTTTGCGATCCGCGCAGCGATAGGCCCTATGGTTCTGATGGGGATGTTTACGGTTTTCACCGCTCTATGTCACATCTCCTTGAATGAAGCTCTGGCACCGCTACTATCGGCGTTACCCCATACCTTGAACAACGAAGACGACTGGACGTGTACAACGCCAATTGACCTGGATAAACCCGGATTCCTATCACGAACCATGACTAGCGGCAAGGAATTTCTACCTCGACGCCAAAGCACACTGACTCTAGCTGAGATTACCACAGCACAAGACTCGTTGTGGGATAAGCTCAAAAATATCCGTTGGTGGCTGTTTCACCCTAGCATATATGCCAACTACGCTGCATTGCGAGAGAAAATACGGCAGGACCCATCAATCCCATACGACGAACATGTTTCCGATAACGCATACTTCCCTACCTGCGTCTACAGCCGCCCACCTCTTCTCTGGATCCCACGAGATGCTGGGGGAGTAAGCCGGCAGGAGGTTGAGCTTACCAATCCAATTATACCCATGACTGATGACGAAGCCCACCTCGACGAAAAGAATAAAGTGGTATGGGATAAAGTCGGAATGAAGCCGCCGATATGGGAAGAAAAGGTGTTTTACTAAACGCTGTTGCCCTGCGGAGGAAGTTTTACTTTAACACATTATGTACAGCACAAAACGGCCTTTTATGTGTATACCTTTGTTTATTTTCTATCATGAAAATTACGAAACTACGAATATATCTATACGTGATGTATTCTGATATTTGCTTGTTGCTTTCGATGAAGCTAGTGGCTTTGGCTTAGATGGCCGCCTGTGGCAGGTTACAACAGAACATTCTTTAACTAGTATTATATTTTAATTCTATTGATGCTTCTACAATTAAATATAGGGCTGGGCGTAAGGATGGCGTGGAGTCTGTCAGCGTATTCTTGTGCCATCGGTGCCGTGTGGCGAGAATGATACGCCATCGAAACCTTCAGCTTTCGAGCAAAAATGCCGTCTTCTTCCAATTTTGCGGCGAGCTCATCAAGAGCTTCCAAGTTCCTAGAGAATGTGACGCTCTTGGGGCTGTTGATGCATGCCACTACTATATGACCGTCATTTGTAGGATCGGCAATGTACTTCTCAGAGAGGCCTCTAGGCGTATCCCAGCACCCAGCACTCCACCGGTGAGAGGGAAAGGCCTTTGGTACTTGCGGGCAAGTTCACCGCGGTAGTAGGCAACACCGAGCGCTTCTCTGAAGGACAGCAACCCAACGGCATAGACGGCGCTGATCTCGCCGCTGGAATCGCTGGTCATGGCCGTGGTTTGATGCCCTATGATCCAAGCAAGTCGACAAGGCAGAGCTGGACGGCGACACTGATAGGCTGACTTGTGTGTATCTCGGAGACAACACATATATAAGGGAGAGCCTACTGACCATCTTCGGTTGTTTCGTACACTGTCTTAAGAAGCAGTCTGCATTGAGGGTCCAGGCCCTATGAAACTCAGCCAGAAACACGGATTTTCCAAGCTTTTTTATCTTGGATTTTGAGATATCTTTTACACTGGCAACACTAGAAGCCAGGTTGAAAACCCCGGCATCGAATAGGGAGACATCTTCGCCCATGAAGTAGCCTCCTACCACGTTAACTCTAGGTTTTGTGGCCATTAGCGCTGGTAGTTATAGAATAAGAGCAGCGAAAGTGGTTCAGGGCATAAATATCCTGCCGATTTTAGTCTTGTCTGCATGATACAAGGACTTGACGTCGAATCGTTGCTCAGGAATGGGGCACCAGCCGTCTTTCCCAACTTCCATTGCTTCGAAGCAGGACCCCAACCCAATAGAAGTCGCTTCAGCGCGGGAGTACTCCGTACAAGGCAGTAAAAAGAACCGTTTTCCCCTACTATGTAAATTTTTCTTTATCCCTGAGTAACTGGTAGTATCGTGGCGAGGGGAGAAGTCGAGTAATGCCCACAAATGGCGGGAAGATTATTATTAAATTAACATACTGTGTAGGGTGAAGCTAGGCCCTACTTTATGAGTTACACCCGTTCCTATTTAGGCTTAGTTCCCGTAACCTTAATAGTATATTAATTATTTCTTAATTATACTAAAAGGTACAGTTTATTTACTCTATAGATGTAGGCCCCTCATCCGGTGATCCCGTACATTACGGATGAGGGATATGGCGTTAAAATAAACTCATGTGTTTGGATGTTTATTCTTCTATATATAATCCTTCTGTCAAAAAGGGGGATCAATGATATATTGAAGCTATCTGTGACCGCCAAAAGACGCCATGGCATGATCTAATTTAGGCCACACATAGTCGTTTTCGCCCGCCCTCCTCTTCCTTTTGATTTAATCTCTTCCGTAACGCAGGCTTGCCTTTCAGATGCCTTGGTCGCTTGGTTAAGAATCGCGGGTCCAGTTGAGAATATTCAAAGTCAATGATTAGCGCCCGGTTGAGCTCTGCATTCCACAAAATGTTTTCTAGCCGAAGGTCCTGGTGTAATACTCCTAGGGATATAATCTCTTTCTTAGATCTTGAAATTTCTCGCTTGACTACCTTGTCATACTTTTCCCTATCGATATGTTTACCTGCCCAGCCCATGAGTAGCATATGGCGGATACTTCCAGCTCCATGTAGGAAGTAGGTCATAGCTAGATCAATTTTACCAAGGAACACAGGTATCGCTGACCCCTGTGCCCGCTTTAGAAAGCGGTAAATCTCTGATTCGCGGGACACTGTGCCCCAGAGATTGGATGTAGTCCCTTTACCTACGACGGTATACCCATACGCGGTGCAGGTGACTTTGAAAGGCGCTCCAGTTGATCCGCAGCCTCCCATCGGCGTGCAGTTAAAGTCAAGATTTTTATCGAGCTGCTGATTGATCAGTTTAACCAAGGATATGGTATCAATTAGGTGATTATCGTTTCCGTCTCTTCGATGGAGTTCAACGTTCGGGCAGCGTTCATCTAGTTTGCCCCTTTGTTTCAATCCAAGCAGACATTTCTGAGTACAGAATTGAGCGTTATGTTGGTAGCGGCCACCACTTTCATTATGCTGGGAACCCGACTGGTTCGGCGATCCTCCTATGGATTGGGATGATGAAGACGTTATCTCGCTGAAGCCACGTTTCCGCCCACCAGGGGCGGTATCTATATCAGAATCTGGGGATTCACCACGATGGGTCGTATTTGGCGCGCACTGAGCTCGAGACCGGGACCGAGTCAACATCCAACGCTCTTCTGTAGGTTCTCCTTCGGTAGGTTCTTCAAAAGAGGATGACGGGAGATACTCTGAAGCTCCATGCGCGGAACTTTCTGGAGAAGTATACTCTGAGTCTGGTGGGTTTTGCCGGAATTCTGATTCCGGGATCTGGGAGAGCGTGTGATCAAAATTTGTCTTCCACTCTGGTACTTGTTGTTTTGCGCTATGTCTCCATGCTTGGTCGCGGGCCATGGAGCGAAAACTCATTAAACAAAGACATAACACCCGCGCAATGGAGGTTAAGGGCTGCTGAGAAATATCATTATCAGAGCGGATATCCTTGTTTGGCTCACAGAGATAGTAGTATAAGATTTCTGGGTTATCGTAGGGAATGTGCAGTAGGACCAATGCAATCCCATTAGTCAAATAGGAGTACTCCAGCCCCTCTTGAATCATCACATGGTATTCTTGAACTAGAGCTGAACCTGTGAGCCAGGCCGCATTATACTTTAATTTCTCCTTCTCTTCTGTTGGGACAGAATTAGGCCTCACAATCTCTTCCCAGAACTGCATTGGTCGCAGCCCGGCACGGAGATTTTCAACTGATAGCTTGTGAGGCGGCTTATACTCAACTGTTGTCAAGAGAGTATTGGTTTCACCATCAACTCGGTGAATGCAAAACTGATCCGGCCTCGAGGGCCAAGTATCTTCCTTTGTTTGGATCTGACTGGCTTCCGAGTCAAGGTCGTTTGGATGATTGTCAAACCACACCCCATCGCCCAGACCAAATTGTTGTCGAGCAGCTGGTATCTTGCAGAGCTCTGAGATAATTATCTGAACATGGTTCTCCACCCCATATCGCTCGTAGCCCTCTAGATCCTTTTCACTGCTCAATGCCCTACGGCCGAATACTTGCCCAAGCTCCTCTAGGGCAAGACGCGGGGTGAACAGCCGTGACGTAGGTTGCTCTGGTGATTGAGGTTCTAGATAGGCGCAAACATAACGGTAAATCTGCTGTTGTCTGACAGCACAGTCTTCCCAGGGCAAAACTTGTAACGGACAACACTTCCCCACAGGTGCTGGAATTTTCCCCTTTGTAGAGCGAGACGGCAGCCCAACTCGTAAGGACATTGAGAAGAGGGTATGGCAGAGGTGAAGGAACTCCAGGAAGGCCGTTGGCCGCGTTCGTTCTCTTTCTTGGTCCCGCTCCTCTTCTGCTCTTCTTCTTTCTTCTTCTGCATATCTCCTTTCTTCTTCTGCATTTCTTCTCTCTTCCTCAGCCTTCAGATAGAGGGCCTTATAGTCTGGAGAACTAGCCATTATTCTATGTGCTACTCGAGCAAGCGGAGCGAAAAATTAGTAGAGTATGTGTATTAACAAGTCAACTAGTTAACCACCTTCTCAACCGCCAGCGGTTATTTCGAAGAGGTTCCAGAGTACGGAGCATCGTGGTTGGTATAAAACTATCATCAAAGTTGCTTTTTCTAGGCTGCCATCAAGACAAGGGGCTGTCACGTGATACCCCGAGCCTGGGTTTGTCTTAGCGTGGATTAGTCATTGTGACTGCAGTTTAGACTTGCATAAAATAATATCTTCAAGTCTCATAGATTGACGAGACAGACCTCCAGGTTCAAAAAACATCTTCCCTCTCCTCTGTCTCTCGACATAGTTAAAGATACTTCATAGTCAATCTCCTCTTCAGACCCACACAGTTATATCCTTTGTGATCATGCCAGAACAAACCACAGCAAACCCACACGGCACCCCTCAATCTAGAGACGCAGCTAGAGGCAGAGGAAATCGAGGAAGCAGAGACAGCAGACGAGGGGGAAGTGCATCTAGCGGAGTAGATGTATCCTCAGCAGACCCGAACCAACAGTCGCGCCGGCATAACCAAGGAGGTGGTGGCAGAGGTCGAGGGAGAGGAGGCGGCACACACACCGAGGGACGCGGAGGGAGAAATGCAAGACGTGCAGGTAATCGACTACTAGGGGGAGATAGCAAACATGATAGCGGTGGCGAACCACCTGGAACGGGTGCTGAGGTCGCTGGCACCTCCGGTGTTCGCCTGACCGGAGATGCCAAACATTCACAGGGCGACGAGGAGGGGCAATCAGCGAAAGCAGGGGCATCTGCTACTAAAGCAGAGGCCGATGAGAATGAGGTCTGCTTCATCTGCGCTTCAAAGATTGACCACATTTCTGTCGCGCCTTGTAACCATAGGACCTGCCATATCTGCTCCCTTAGATTGAGAGCATTGTATAAGACCAAAGCTTGTGCTCACTGTCGAGTAAGTCTGGATGTTCCCCATTTTTTGCGCTGGATGCGGTTCCCTGTTATTGATTTGCCGATATAGACAGAGTCCGATTTTGTTATATTTACCAATAATCCCGCAAAGAAATTCGAGGAATTTACAAGTTCTGACATTGATCGATCCGATGATAATCTGGGGATAAAGTATGAGAATTTTGAGATATTCGAAGATACAGTATTACTGCTTCGATATAATTGCCCAGATGTTGATTGCGACATTGCATGCCTCGGATGGCCAGACTTACATCGTCATGTCAAAAGTAAACATGCTAAGGTGATGTGGTATGTTTCTCTCTTAACAGATGGAATGTGTACAAAGAAGCCTACTAACAGAATTAATAGTGACCTTTGTACACGAAATAAAAAGGTATTTACACACGAACATGAATTATTCACTGCTGCTTTGCTGCGGAAGCATGAGAGATACGGTGATGATAACCCTGGAGCCATTGATCAAAGTGGTTTCAAAGGGCATCCAGAATGTGGATTCTGTCGCCAGCGTTTTTATGGAGATGATGAACTCTACGCACATTGTAGAGACAAGCATGAGAGATGCCATATCTGTGATCGCAGATCTGGCGGCAGCAGACCGCAATATTATATCAATTATGATGCTCTAGAGAACCACTTTAGCAAGGACCATTTCTTGTGCCTTGATAAGGAGTGTCTGGAAAAGAAATTTGTTGTTTTCGACTCGCAGATGGACCTAAAGGCACATCAACTTGAAGCCCACCCAGCTGGGTTATCAAAAGACGCAAGGAGGGACGCCAGGCTCGTGGATATGTCAACTTTCGACTTTAGGTCTCCTTATCAACCAACTCGCCAACGCCGAGATGGTCGTGATAGTCGAGGAGCTGGAAGAGGCCGTGACCCAAATTCAGATCCGATTCCACAATCAAGCGCTCAACCGTTGCGGAGGGACGAACTTGCATATCAGCGCCAGATGGCGATTCAGAGTGCACAGTCGGTCTCTACAAGAACTTTTGGCGGGCAGCTCACATCCGCACGACCGGCCGCAACTTCATCGGCGCCGGCCACCCAGAGGTCCACACCTACAGCTACGCCCGCAGCAAGAGCCACACCGAATACCGGGCTCCCATCTATAGAAGCCCTTGACCTTGGACAAGCGACAGCACCAACCACGCCACAGGACCATGCCAGGCAGGTGGCACACTCAGCAGTCATGGACCGTGCATGCACCCTCCTTCGAAACGACAGTAGAAAAATCAGTGACTTCCGAGGAAAGGTCTCTCAATATCGAAGCTCTGTTATCGGAGCAAATGAACTCATTGAGGCATTCTTCTCCCTCTTTGATACCTCTTCGGCAGAACTGGGGAAATTGATAAAAGAACTTGCCCATATCTATGAGGATGAAAACAAACGTACGGCGCTCCTGAAAGCATGGAACGACTGGCGTGCAATTAATGAAGACTACCCGGCGCTTCCAGGACCTAGTGGAACAACCCCATACACCGGAACCGTAAGCGGACTGGGCTCTGGTAAAAGAGTCCTGCGCTTAAAATCATCCACTACACAATCATCAAGATCGGCCACTGGCCAAAACGCCAGGCTTTCTGGGATCCTTCCATCTAACTATACCTCCAACCCATTCCCTCCACTTGCTAACAACACTACAACCCGCAAAGAGAACCAGGGAGTAAATGCATGGGGCGCCACCCCTGCTATATCATCTACGCCAAGCAGCTCTGGCTCTCGACCACCAGCACTTCCGTCCAGGCCGAAGGTTACCGGAGATTCTAATGCTTTTCCTGCTCTTCCAGCTGCTCCTAAGCCAAACACACTTATGGCTGGTCTTACTCGCGGAACTGTAAGATGGGGAGATCGAGGTGCAGCAAGTGCTAGGCCATCTGCCTGGGGCGTATCGAACGATCCAACTCCCGCTGAGTCTGATACATCCACTTCACAGGATAAAAAAGGCAAAGGAAGAAAGGGTAAACAAGTATTGTACCACTTTGGATAGGTAGTTCCATTAGATGGTGCAAGAACATAAAAATATATCCTTATTCCCGATGTTATTCTTTATTGAGCATAGCAAATAGGAATAAAGCAGGGGCATTTTGCGATTTGGCTTAGTATGTGATGTATTATTGAATATTGTCAAAGTATAGATTTACTCCTACAAGTGTCTGAAACATATGCATGTGGGCCTTTTTTATGCGAAATTGCAACCGTTAAATACAAGCTTGAATAACAATGCATAGCTATATATTCGATAATTGTTGACCATAGGATAGATGTCCAGCAACAGAACGTAACTAGTTTAAGATAGCTTAATCATGTGGACAGTATGAGGGTGCAACTACAGGAGTTTCAACTTCACTATTTAGAAGCAACTCACTATTATCAAAGGACTGGCTGGCAGAAGCCTCATCAGAGTACCTGCGGTTAATAGTAGGAGTTGCAGGAAAGAATGGGCAGATTTTATGAGATGTACTCTTCCTGGGTTCGAGCTCTTCGAGAGAATCTTCTGTTCCATTACGCTGCAACGAATCTCCTTTCTCTTCAGTTTCTGCTTCTATATCCGACATTCGCAAAGTAAACTCTTTTTGAAGCCTAAGAAGCCACTTTCTAAGAGCTTCATTCTCTATCACCCCATCACGAGCATGCAACAGCTGTTCTCCCAATGTTAGGAGAAGTCTGCGCCGTTTAGCTAGAGAAATAGCTGCAGACGATTTGATTCGGTCTTGCGCTGTAAGAGTAAGGTGATGCGAGACTCTTTCAGCAACCTCTAAAAGGTAAGGAGGTAAGCAAAATATTCTTGCGAGTGCGAGGCCATAATGTTGTTCTTGTACATAGCCATCAACTATCTTATAAAGCATGGTCATTTTGGACTGCGTATTTGACAAATCAACCGCGAGGTGCAAATTTATAACTCCGCTACGATGTTCCATGATCCGGGGTAAATCACGGAAATGAGTAGTAAACCAGACTAATGCGTGGGTTGCCACAAGGGCTTCAGCAATAGCGATTGAAATAGCTAGTCCATCGACAGAAGCGGTCCCACGGCCGAGTTCGTCTATTATAACCATGCTTTTAGCATCAATATTATGTAAAATAAATGCCATTTCTCTCATTTCGGTGGAAAAGGTCGACACGTTGGTAACTTGATTATCATCCGTTGATATGCGAGCGAATAGTTGATGCACAATAGGGAACGAGGCATACTGAGCAGGAACTGAGCTTCCAATTTGTGCCATAACTGTCATCAGGGCGACTGATCGGATATATGTGCTTTTTCCACTCATATTGCAGCCGGTTATTATTTGAAAGCGGGATTGTGGTGAAGCATAAACATCATTGGGGATATATTTGGTTGCGTGTATTTTTTCTCGAATAGGGTGTCTCCCAGATTTGATGGCTATAGTGTCGGTTATCTTAGGGCGTGCATAGTCTTGCATGTTCTGGAGGTAGGCAAACGCCGCCATCATATCAAGCATAGCGATTGCCTCACCTATGCGAAACAAGTTCGAAATTTGAGACCGAATATCATCTATCAGCTCCTGAATACTCCGGTCACTCATGCTGATAACTTCATTGTGAGAGTCGGTTATTTTTTGATTCATTTTGACAAGGTCCAGGGTTTGAAATTCCACATATGCTTTCTTTCGATAAACGTTGATGAATACGTCAGGCAGAGCCGCTTCCCGGAGATCGAAGGATCGTACACGGAAATAGTAGTGACGGCCAGATTCAAACCTCAAATCCAGTGGAATATCATATTCATCTGCGCATGTTAGTGTTCAAATAGCCTAAATGAAAGAAAGGCTTACCAGTAAGTCGAGCGGTTAACTGTGTTACATCGTCATTTGCTTCTTTATAGGTTTGTCTCGCGACGTCAAGAAGGTTGTTCACTCCGGCCTATACGGTCAGGACCCTAAATAGACATAGAAATATAAATACTTACTTTGACAGCATAGGTTCGGTGGTTGCGTAAATCCAGAGCACTGGACTGATATCTCACATCTTCATTAAGAGTTTCACTTAGGAGTGATAGAACGGGTTCATAGTTGCTGGGAGAGCATAGCTGTTTCTAGCTTGTTAACAGAAAAGAAGCCAACAGGTTAAGTTAAATATAGCTACTTCACTTGCATTTCGTATTGACTCCAGGAGTCCACTTCCCGCACCTGTCAATGCTTCATAAACTGGTTTTATCGAAGATACAAATGTTTTCAGCATTATGACATTGTTAATAGATTGCTCAGCGAATAAGAAGTTTGGTTTTGTTGGTACCACAGTTAACTAGATATCGTTAATTAGCAAGTTCGCATAGAGTTTCCAGCAGATAACTTACAGCCGTAAGTACCCTATCAGAATCAACGAATGATTTAAGAGCTGTAGTTTATCCCTTGGCCTTAGCATGTTGAAAATTAACTTCTCCGCTTGTTAACACACCTTGCCGAACAGCAAAAAACATCCCTTCGTTTGATGATAGTTCTTCAACAGCATCGTATCTAGTATTCAGTTTAGAGAGTTCTGTGGAAGGTTGCAAAATGCTACTTCTCAGTAACCTAGCACCCATAGTTGTGAGAGTTTCGTTGAGAAGCCCAAATAAACAATCCTTAGATTTCGAGTTTTGTAAGTTTTGGATAAGTTCCAACGAGACGATGGTAGCTAAATCTATCATCATAGACCCTTCAGATGGCTCATATCGTAATCTAAGTGAATGGGGGGCGAATGTCACCGAAAGTTCTAGCTCGATATAAGCGAGGGCCTTGGGGTTGGATTAGCTAAGTCTATTAGAAAATGGAACACTGGAGAGATATACAGCTGAAAAACAGCAGGCAGAAAAATAGCTGCCGTCTAAAGCCATTTTTATAGCTTCAATATCTTCTCTGAAGGCCAATCTCTCAACATAGTCGTGACAATTTTGTTCAGACCAGTATCTCCTATCGATGGTAATGATCCTGATGTGGGGAAGATTCTCCTCGACAATTGCATATAGTTTTGAGAGGGGTTCTTTGGAGGTACTCATAAACAGTACTTCGGTAGGTTCGAACACAGCTAGTTTGTGTACCGTCCTGGCATAGGTTTGACTGTCACAGATTTGAGAGAGGACAGCCTCCGACGTGGACAAGTTGACAAAGGCCAGCCCAACGGCAGGAGAAATACCTCTAGATTCACTTATAGCACAGACGATTTCCTGGGAGGGTACACTTGTTGCTGCTGTCGTAGGCCGAGTTGCCCGATGTCCTCCAGCAGCCGTCCTACTTGTGGCTGGACGCGTGGACCTAGTGTCCGAAGTATAGGGGTATATGGGGGTAGACAGGGCGCGGTAGGACATTTTCAACAAGCAAAAGTAATTCTACACCGTGAAATGCAACTTTTAAGGCGTAGTTATGTCACCTCATCTCCAGTTGATCATCTTGTGTAGATGTCGTCGCTTTTTCCATACTATGTAAGTCTGGCACTCTGGACAGATATTAGGTAAGCTATACACAGATCAACTACGATCCCGCACCTTATCTCCACGTGATCTAAGATAAGATAAGATCATGAATATTTTTCTTGGTGAGGTTGTTAATATGAGGTTCGTTTGTTGGTTGATCGAGATTGATACCAGAAAAAGCAGATACACGCATAAACACGATGGCAACAGTGTTGCCTCCTCCAAGTAAGCGCCAGCGTCGTGAGATTGACGAAAAGGCCAGACAACAGCAGGAGGTCGATTCAATTCCGGACAACTTGGGTAGCGTCCGAGTTCAGTTTTTCGACCAGTCCACAGGAGCCGCCTCTGGACCAGCTGTAGCCGTTCCTCTAGGTGATGCAACAGTGAGGAACTTGGAAATTCTATTGAATACTCTTCAGGGCCATGTATGTATATTCCACAGGGCCATGGCTAAGCCGTGTTTATTGCACGTCTGACACTTTCACAGGATGACCATGAAAGGATTCCATATAGATTTGCGTATAAGGAAGACGATAAGGATGGCAGCCTAGTCGATATTTCTTCCGACTTGTATCATTCTCTCCTTCAACCGGGTATAAAAACAACGGAGGATATTATCCACCTACAATACACGCCCCAGGCTGTATTTCGTGTCAAGGCTGCATCACGATGCTCAGCGTCAATAGCAGGGCATGGGGAAGCTATATTAGCTACATCTTTTGCTTCGTCTTCGTCTTCACGTATGGTATCTGGAAGTGGTGATTCAACGGCGCGTGTATGGGACTGCGATACTGGAACACCCTTACACACATTGAAGGGACACACTAGCTGGGTTTTGGCTGTGAGCTGGTCGCCGAATGACAAGATAATTGCCACTGGAAGCATGGATAACACGATCCGATTATGGGATCCCCGGACTGGCCAGGCCTTAGGCGCCCCGATGAAAGGACACACCAAATGGATCATGAGCCTTGCATGGGAGCCATATCATTTACAAAGCCCTGGAAAGCCCAGATTAGCCTCAGCATCCAAGGATTCAACCGTTCGAATATGGGATGCCGTGTCTAGACGCATTGAGACCGTATTGACCGGACATAAAGGGTCTGTATCATGCGTTAGATGGGGCGGCCTTGGTAAAATATACACCTCTTCTCACGATAAGACTATCAAAATATGGAATCCAGAAGATGGCAGTCTGGTTCAAACATTATCCTCCCATACCCACCGTGTCAACCACCTAGCACTATCCACCGATTTTATCCTTCGCACGTCTTACAATGAGCACAACAAAAAATCACCAGAGAAAGAAGAAGATAAGGTAAAGTTAGCAAAGGAGAGGTTTGAAAAAGCTGCCACCGTCAATAAAAAGATATCTGAAAGATTGGTCTCAGCTAGTGACGATTTCACTATGTTTTTATGGGACCCGGAGTCATCAAGTAAGCCGGTAGCTCGAATGCTTGGGCACCAAAAAGAGGTCAACCACGTCACATTCTCCCCAGACGGAGCATACATAGCTTCTGCTAGCTTTGATAACCATGTCAAATTGTGGAATGCTCAAGATGGAAAGTATGTATATCCCTCTATATCAACACATTCTTGTGATGAACATCACTGTCCTAACACCCAAGTTAAGATTTATATTTTCCCTCCGTGGTCATGTTGGGCCCGTATACCAGTGTTGCTTCTCTGCGGATTCCAGGCTTCTCGTTTCTTCTTCAAAAGACACAACTCTGAAGATCTGGGACGTGCGGACCGGGAAAATGACCATGGATCTACCAGGTCATCAAGACGAGGTATATGCAGTCGACTGGAGTCCGGATGGTGAAAAGGTTGGAAGCGGAGGAAGGGATAAGGCAGTTCGTATATGGAGGCATTAAGAAAACTACGATTATCTATGTTCAAGGTAAACAATCGTTGACTTTCATTCTATAGCCTATAGCCTATTATAGAGAGAACACCACTTTCGTATGTCATGGGTGGTATTGTCGGTTATAATCGTATATAGTTACAAGATTATCTTTGGTGGTTATTATAAGTTATAATAGTTAGGCCTTGAAACTTGAATCTCTTGCCATTACCAATACTATGAGCTTACTTCCACCGTTTCCACACGAGTTGGGGGCTGGGCAACATAACCAGTCTTACAAATTCCGGGATTGCTTGAAGGTATAAAACATGCATATAATCATATGCTAGGTTTTAAGGCCCATTCCTGTGCCGCGATGAACTTCGTAGATATGTAGCTGAATATAGGATAGTTATACGAAAAGAATGCTTCTCTTAGCGAGTGTTTGCTCGGTCTATTGCGGTTCGTGCGAGAATATTTTTCCTTAACAAGTTCGTAACATTAAGGCCTAGTTAACAGATGCTGATTAGAAGCCAGTATTAGAGGAAAGTAAAAGTGTCGAGAATACCACAGCTTGGCCACTAAGGACGCAACATTGATAGTTTTCTATGTGTTGATAGTTTATTTACATAACTATATAGGAAGATTTTCTTGACATGCAAGGCCAAAGTAAGCTGAGGGAGCTTGCTTTGTGTAGCAAGTAATGGCCTTTGATTGTTATATTTTACAAGCTTGATAAACAGCCATTCCATGGGTATTGGGAAAGAGGGATATATAAGCAATATGGTCTCCAGAAAAGCGATATAATATAATAACTGGGCGACAAGCCCAGTTTAGGGGTCAGTGTATTGTTATGTAAATATTTCCTAGGGTCGGAGACGTATAAACAAGGCGGGGAGACATGACAAGAAGAGGGAGGAAGTTCAGTAGAAAATGTGATTTCGCGACTGTTGTAGATCCAGATGAGAAGAAATTTAGTAGTTACCGAGTAGCAAGCGGTTCCAAGCATCTAAGGAACAACAAGAAGGCCCAGGTTACATCACAGAACATCCTACGCCATACATGGCTTTCTCGACGCTATTTTTGACTTGATACCAATCAGCTCGTCGTTCTGCAAATTCGTAGGCCTCTTCGGCACGAAAAATTCCATGGAAACGACTAGCATCAGAGATGATGGCGGCCATCTCCTTTGAGTCTGAAGTGTCGATTAGGTAAACCTGGGATAGCTCTCTGAGAGCCTTGAAATACAACAGAAGTTTCTCATTTCTCATGGACTGTATAAGCCCAAAGTAATGATTCATATCACTGTCAAGAAGTATTAGTACTCTTTGTTTGCTGCCAGACGGAATGTAGTGTCATGTCTAACCTTATGAGCTTTATCGCGCCTTCCATGCTTATTCTATGCCGCTTAATATGTTTACAAAGCGCAGTAAAAAGGCGGAGACCAATTTCCTGATTGAACACGTCCAATGTGCTTTTGTCTGTTCCGCCAACTAGCATTCTCGTATGGGAGGAAATGACCTGAACAACAGCTTTGGCTGCATCACTTGGGCCAATATCGGCCGTTCTCCGAGCTGGATCAACTGCTTCGGGATGAAAGTCCCCCACCGATTGTTTGGTAGCTAGCAGGTATTCCACCTCTTCCACTAGCACATCAATTCCCTTGTTAAGTCCTGCAGCAACTCGTTCGTCAAGCTTCTGCTCGAATTTTCTTTTCCCCTTAACCGCAGGGTCCAGGAAGTCGTTCCTATCGGTGAGGCCTGCCGCGATCAACTCTTGCTCATAAAACACATCCACCATTTGCAGGATTAAGTCTCCCACGTTGACTAGCTCGAGGAAAGTGACGAGAGGCTCCACACCAGATTTCTCCGTTTCATCTTGCCGGCGAGGACGATACTCAGACAGATGATTGACGGCTCGATCAAACCCGGCAATGATATGGCGATGGCCAAGGCTATCTAACAACGAGACAAAGATAGCTTCGCATTGCCCTTGGGCAGCCTTCCCTAGCTCCCCCTTCAGCCCCACAAACTGTGCAGTTCTCTCTAAACTTGACTTCGCAGCATGAACCAGGTTAAGTGCGACCTCAATGCTGAATAGGCTACGAATGCCTTCTAATTTAGAATTCATAATCGCTGCCTTAGCTGCAAATTCTGTAGTAGGAAGCTCCGCTGGTGTAGTGGGAATTGGAGGCGCAAGTATAGTAGATGAACGATTAGAAAGTTGCGTGCTCCTAGTTTTTAATTCCCCTAATCCATTCTTTTTCGTTTCTGTGGTTTTATAGAAACTTGGAATCATATTCACCGGGGCCATGATAACTTTAGTAAATGAGCTAAGAAAATCCCGTTTGTCTGCCTGCCGGTTATGTATGTTGGACATGTATAACGACTCCGTAGTGGCAGCTTGTTCAGATAGTTGTCTATCCCAATCCTTAACAATGAATTCGGAATGTGATCGAAACTGGTCCAATTCCTCTGCAAGGTATAAGTCCACATGGGGTTCGAAGGTTCGCTCGATAGCTTCCCTAGCTAGCTCCTTGAATTTATCACCGGGTACCTGGACGGGGTTCAACCCATGAATAAAGTTCAACGACTGGGCAAAAGTCCCAGGAAGTGTCTGAATGTAAGCTGCCTTATTTGTGGATTGAAGAAGGTCGAGCAGCGGAATAAAATATGGAGACAGTACGTCTTTACATATCTTTTCCAGAAATAAGGATGATACGTTTGGACCATTGGCAAAACATCGATTTATACACGAGGCTTCCTCATTAAATGCCACACTCAATCTGGTTAAGAATGCATGAGTGTGGTCAAGGGAAACTGTGCCTGTATCTGCATCAAAACCATCCATTGGGCTTCCAAAATCTGACTTCTGCTTGATTATGTGATTCTGATGAATCAATAATTCAACGGCAGCCCCACCACCGTTGAGGGTTGTTAAAACTTGAGCATAACGAGGCATCAAGTCACTAACATCTCTATTTTCATACCCAGTCTTGAACTCCCGTAAAGCTGCATTTTCAAATTCGGATATAGCATCAGTAAGTTTTTTCCGGCGTACACTAGATCCAAGGCCTATATCAGCATTTGAGAAATGATGTAGCTGTGATAGCAATAGAGCTTGTTGCTCGGGTTTATCATAGGATTTAAAAAGTAAGGACTCAGTTGGGCTGTCGGCTTTAAAAATATCCTGGTAGAAAGGGTTCAGTGACTCGTGAATTTTACCATATTCTTCCCTTGCTCTACCTCTAATAGAGCGGGCATCTCGAAGTGCTGCCAGGGGGCCCGTAATTTCAGCTTCCACCTCCGCATTAAATTCCACGATATCAAATCCGCCGGGATCTGTAACATTCCCATTAGACTTGTTCATTATTTCTTCAGCTGTCGAAGGCCTATGGTGTGTCCTTGCGCTGGGAGGGCAATCTGCGTGCTTCTCTGAACCCTCCGCCGAACTTCTTGCTTCCGCTTCATTCCAGCAACCTATTTGTCTCAGAAGCCTAACCCATCTCGTGTCATCATACACCATCTCGTGCATACGTTTCGATGTCTTTGCCACACTGATAAGGTCGGTGGGAGAGAGATAGTCAAGGATTGAAGCCATAATTTCTATACTACGTTAGTGTTATTGGCATGAGACAAAGAGTAATGGGTAATTATACTACTAACCAGCAGGAAGGACGGGTTTCACTAATTCAATCTGTGCCAGCTTTAATGGTGCAAGGACATCCCTTCGCGGAGTACGACGCGCCTTGGAAGCTGGTCTTTCCTTGATTGAACTTGCCATGGTGGTCTTGGGATAATGTGATCAAGGGGATTTTGGGACTATGCAGATAGTTATATCTCCGTCACATTGGTCTCATTTGTAAAGTAGCGAACATCGTAGGCAATCCAGGAGCCGTGAGTAGGGAATGACTACCGGATAGTTAATAATATATAAAGCTATTTAAGGCAAAAGGCGCAGCCAGCCATATTATCCTGATGACACAAGGGCACCCACAGCTTCTAACAAAATTTCCAACGTATCTGATCTTCTGAACGATGGATGGCATGTATCATCAATTATGTGTTCTGTTCTGATCCTCCAAGTCGTGAATCATTAGTTATCGCGGTCTTATCAAGTGCCTCACGTGATACGAACTCCTTGGTTTCAGTGTGGGTGAACAGTTGTATAGATGTAGTAGATTCAGCCACAAGATATTGAAGATGATTGTTGCAACTAACTACGGCAGAAGACTGTTGTCCTTTTTTATCGAATAACTATTTACCTACAGTAGAAATGCCAGAACTAGACTGAAGCGGTAAAGCGTCCGTGGCAGTATCACTATCCTTTTTAGGAATTCTCAGCGTTTTTTCTTGTAGCATAACCACCCATCCCCAATACTCTACCGTGTACTTATCTTCGACTGTATAAATTGTTCCGACCTCGTTAATTTTACGGTACAATGGGGCAATCAACAGTAAAGGCGGTAAATACGCCCATACTCCACGTTGAGGCGAGATTAAACAGCGTTGATGGTGGTATCGTCATGCGGACTGATATTGTAGGTAGTTCCTCAACTCTACATACTGCTTGGCGTGCTAACTCATGTATCTGACCAACTTAGGTACGAGATGAAATTGCGAAATGGCTTATTGACAACTTTGCCGTGCTTAGTCTAGGACAGGAAATAAAGACCTTTGGTGACGGGCCATTCATCCAAGTACCACTCAAGCGATTATATGGGGCGCTAATGCACAGATATATATAGATGGCTTCAAGGGACTTCATTCTATGTATCCGGATTCAATCAAGGTGATAGAGTGTTCTGGAAAACAGAATGAAAGCGAGGCTTTCCGCTTAGACAGCGTTAATCTTGACGTCCAGGCGTATCAGCTTCGCTCGAGTGAACCCGATACGAATCTGCCGCAGAACCATGGCAATGAAAAACAAGAGGATGAATGTTCCCCTCAAGCACGCGTAATGTCCTTGCCAAACAGGGAGTTAGATGGAATTTGGGAATCGTATGATAATCGATCATATCACAATGCGTGATTTATGGGTTAACTTTCTAGGCTTTTGTTCGACCAGCCGATACATTCAAACTTGCTACATGCAATTAGCCGGATGCGTTAGTATCCTGTCCTAATTTATCACTGGTTGAATAAAACTGATGGCCAAATATAAGTCGGATTTTCGTGGCGTAAACTTGATTCTCGGACAATCATCTGGAACCGCCTTATTCTCCTTTATGGCCCTCCTGGAACAGGGAAGACAAGTCTTTGGTATATCACAATCGCAGCTTATCCTAGGATATGAGATTAGTTCTGACAATTGGTAGCCGTTCACTAGCCCAAAAACTGGCAATCCGCCTTGGGAGGCAGTTTCCTCAGAGCAAATTGGTCGAAATCAATGCTTACTCCCTGGGCAGTAAATTCTTCAGCGAAAGTGGGAAACTCGTGGCCAAAATGTTTGACATTGTTGAAGGCATGCTTGAGGATGAACCGGATACACTCGTTTGTGTCTTCATCGACGAAGTAGAGACAATGACTGCCCAGAGAGAACAGACATTGAGTGGGAACGACCCCCTTGATGCAATGAGAGCTGTCAATTCACTTCTTATGGCATTGGACCGATTGAGGCACCATCCTAATGTAGTGGTACTTTGCACTAGCAACCTTCTTACTGCACTGGTGAGTAAACCTTACTGCATTAATATATAAGAATTCAACCTTTCTTCCGCAGCTAATCTCATCACAGGACTCCGCATTCCTTGACCGAGTTGATATCAAGCAATTTATCCCACCACCATCAGAAATTGGGGTATATGAAATCTTCAGAAGTTGTCTTGGAAGTTTGAGTAGGTGTGGATTAATCGAAGGGTCGAGATTTGATATTAGCCCGGTTGATCCAAACGACACAGAAACAGCGCTCAAGTACATTGCTGAGCCTGCCGATTCTCTTATACTGCCAAGCTACGGCGAGACGCAGTTATGGTATCGGCTCTTCCCGGAATCCATCCCAAAACAGCTCGCTGATATCTCACAAATGAGTGTTGTAAGTGCCATATATATATAAGACACATTTAGATTATTAAACCGCATCCTAACGTATATCATTAAGGGCCTTAGTGGGCGATCTCTTCGACGGATTCCAGCGCTGTCGCTTGTCCTTTACACTAGCTATGAGGTTTGTACTGTTGACCAGGCATTGGCAGCGTTGAGGCGCGGGGTAGAGGAGGAGCTAAAAGTAAAGCAAGAAGCAGGGAGAGGAAATGCTAGCCTGGGAAACGGGTAAAAACAAGTACCTATCTATGTAGCTTGCCTCAAAACCAATTCTTATATCTACTATGTATATCAACATCGGAAAAACAAGGGGAAAAAACGGTATGTCACATGACCGCAGCTGACCAATGAGGAAGCGGCTGATTCTACCCGATGTCGCGAGCCAATCACGGGACTGCTCACCAAAGTTGTTTCGAAAGACCAGGAAGAAAGTCTGACCTGCCTCTCAAAGAGCGAACCGCACTCCTGTATATCGGATTCATCGCAACCTCTCGCCCCCATCTACTCTCATCGTTTCGTCCATCGGGGTACATCTCCTCTCCTCAGGATGTTGGCCCGATCTGTCTTGCGGAGTGTGCCGTCGAAGGCCATCTCCCGACAATGCTTCCAACAGGTTGCAAAGGTATACCACCTCACCCTTACATTCCTTAGAGAACCATTGCGCAGGCCATTGAGAGCATACAACGCCCTTCGTGATGGCCTCTACATGTCAATGCACTGACTGCTACTAACGTTTCGTTCCAGAGATCGTCGTCCACAGCTTCTGGCTCGCAAACACAGTCTCCGTTCTACCTCACCTTAACCGCATCGGCAGCCACGGCTACAGCCATTGGCTCTATGGCCTGGTATTATCACCTCTATGGAGATGAAGCATTCGCTATGACTCCAGCTGAGGAGGGGTAAGTTCGATATCCGACCAATTGGTGTTGTAACGCTCTAAATATATATATTTAAGCGGCATTGCTAACGTATGTGATATTAAAAAAGTCTCCACGCTACCCAGTACCCTTGGGAACACTCCAAGTGGCTCAAGACCTTCGACCATGCCGCGTGAGTAGATTCAATTCTGATATCTATGGCTTATACCGACCAGTATCGCCTAATATGATTATTTTATAGTCTTCGTCGTGGTTTCCTTGTTTACCGTGAAGTTTGTGCCCAGTGCCATTCTCTCACCCGTGTCCCTTGGCGATCGTTCGTTGGTGTCATGCATACCGTCGATGAGATGAAGGCAATGGCGGAGGAACACGAATATGACACCGAGCCTAACGACCAAGGTGAAATTGAGAAGCGTCCTGGAAAACTGTCTGATTACATCCCAGCCCCATACAAGAATGATGAAGCTGCCAGAGCTGCCAACAACGGTGCCTTGCCCCCAGATCTCAGCTTGATCGTCAAAGCCAGACATGGAGGCTGTGACTACATTTTCAGCCTCTTGACCGGTTACCCTGACGAACCTCCAGCGGGTGCTAGCGTCCAGGAAGGATTGAACTTCAACCCTTATTTCCCCGGTACAGGTACGGACCCCACCCGAATCCCTAATATAATGTTTCCATACTCATATTGATATTATACAGGAATTGCTATGGCCCGTGTTCTGTTTGATGGTCTCGTCGAATATGACGACGGCACTCCCGCTACCACCTCCCAAATGGCCAAGGACGTCACTGAATTCCTCAACTGGACCGCCGAACCTGAGATGGATGAGCGAAAAAAGATGGGTATGAAGGCCATTGTGATTCTCAGCGCTCTGTTTGCGGTCAGTGTCTGGGTTAAACGATACAAGTGGGCCACCATAAAAACAAGAAAGATTGTTTACAACCCACCAATTGGCCCCAAGCGATGAGAAAAGAAACCACCTCAAGACAGGGCTATCTCCATCAATGAAGCCAACGCCAACCATCTCTGAATATTTTTGTGATTGTACCCTAACTCCCCATACCACACATGCTCCTTACCTTTTCAAAATTTTCTCTGCGTTATTTTAGAGAGTGGGAGGATCGAGGGAGTGACCATAAAAATCAGGGCTAAGTTTTGTGAAATTACCTATCTTATGTATTTATAAACTGTGCTCTTCCTTTTTCTTTTCCACGTCTAGAACCACAATTGTTCCCTTTGTCGTTTTTCAATGCTCCTCAGTCATTGGCATGCCTTGGCCCAACGTGGTATTAAGCATTCACTCGGTTCACTGTAACGTATCTGGTCATCGATTATACTTGTACTTCCGTGTTTAAATACCTACAACAGCCCATGCGATGATTGTTTAGGGAATCGAAATATAATTAACTAGTAATTAAAGCCATTATATTTCAGCAAGTGTAAATTATAATTATAAAGAATAAGCCAGCACACCTTAAAATGCCCATATCTAATGTACCAAACATGCTAGATCATAATTATTCTAACTTCACACCAGAAGCGTATTTTGGTATTGTGCGTTCACCATCTCCGAATATGTATTTGAAAATCAAATCATAGCTCATCCAAGATCCAGCAAAAGCAGCACGCTGAAACACAGCTAACCATCCTGGTGTTTTCCCATCCTTATTCGCAAACAATGCATTAAGCCTAAGGCTGATGAGTAGAGGGGGGAGCCAGACTAAACCAAATATGAATTGGCCTACACGTTGCATGACAGTTGTAGGTCGATAGGGTTCAATAGAGGCAAGATACTGGCGGTATTCCGATGGTAAATCATGTTCCTTCGCACCTGTGATGAGAAGGTTCATATATCGTGGTGAAGGTCGTGCATAGTTAGGCCAACTTCTATTGAATCTGGCGTTTAACAAAGATGATTTCTTTATGTTTCCAGTCCCACAACCAGAGCTCTTTCCAGCAGTGGCAGGAGAGAGAAGGGTATGGGCCTTAAACGGTTCGGTATCTGGTATGTCAGGCACTTGCTTTTCCGGATCATAATCTCCAGGAAACGGGTGACAATCCACGACAACATCAACATATGACGAGCCACCACCCTCTGTAGCTATTATCCGCGCATAATCCTTCAGAGTAACCTCATATACAGCCCCAACAAGTGGTTTATGCCACAAGCCATCCCCGTCGCTAGCTTGTTGGGGTCTGTCGGGGTAAATCGGCATGCCATTTTTTTGGTTGCGATACTGTGTTCCCGCAAAGCATGGCTCGAGGTATGCAACTCCAGGAAGATCAAACGTAAGAGAGAGATTTGGTACGTAGACGTTCACTTGTGAAAGAGGCGTGACTTTGCGAGTCTTCCGGAATGTTTGGGCGCACATGTTCGAGCCGTATGCAAGATATAGGATGGTCTGCTTCTCTTCTTTCTCTTCTAATAAAGCCTCTTTCTCAGGTTCTTCAGCAATGATCTTTCTCTCTGCCTCCAGGGCATCGATGCTGATGGCTTCATCATGAGCTGCTGCATGCTGTCTATCGGTTGATGTATGTGGTATTACCGGAGGCTCGGGTTCTGGTTGGCTGATGGACAGGCGCCGTTTGATAGCAGAAGAATCCCATGCCGCGTCAATTGAAGCTTGAGTTTCAAGCTCGGCTCTCATGCCATCTGGAGCTTCCTTCATTGTCATGGTGCTGGTAGGCTTTCGGTTGAGAGTACAGTGGCTTTATCCATACAGTGCTGGCCCAAGATGAATATTTATAGGTTTCTAATGTCATGACCTTACATATGTAGCAGGCTCATTATCGAAGGCGTCAGCTCGAAACAAACCTTAATTAATTTTCATCCTATCTTCGTCCGAAATATTTGCCCGGGATGAAGGTTAACCGTCGGGATCGGGTCAACAACAACCAGCTTATAACTAGCCAGGGCAATGGCCAATAACAAAGCATCCAGTCAGCCAATGTTATTGCCTGCACAAAGGAGACATCACGCACCATGAACAGATTATCCCGGAGCGTTTTTCATTTCTATTTCCTTTTTCCTTTTAGTAAGATCCATCGCCCCAGAGGCTAAGTTGAAGGAACGATATCCAAGGAATGAAAACTTTCCGCATGTACCGCCGTACTGCATGCGTGTCACAATGTATTAATGCTGGCAGCCTGAAGAGTTTCACTGATCAAAAGCTTAGTAGTAGCCACCAGCTCCTCAGAACAGTCAGCTGTTGCTTTTGAATATTTACTAAAGAGACTTGGAGTATGAAGTAAAGAAGGGTGTTATGACTTAACTTGCTCTCGATATTATCCCCTACAGCGAGTATAGCTATCTCTCTGCCGCCATACATATACCATCAACCGCGTCACCTACTGAATAGTAATGGGGTTACATTACCTTAAGATGTCCGAAGTCTCGCGTTTCTATCGAGATATTCGACGTGAAGTCGAGCTGACACCGCCTGACGCTTTGGGAAAGCCAAAATTATTCTGCCCAGTTGAATATTTTTTGGCGACGCAAACACTGCAAGCTGTGATTTTGTTTCTTTCCGGCCCACCAAGTAGATCATAAATCGATCTACACTGATATTTTTTTCCTGCTTCTCATCTCTCATGTATCGAAGGCTTCAAAGGCGGCAGCACAATGGCAGCAGAAAGAGCACACTTGCGTATGCCAAAGCAACGACAGCCAGTCATTAAAAACCTAATAACATACCTTCGACCTGCAATCCAACGGGCAACGAGAAGTGATATCTTGATGTCCGTTCATATGCGACTTTCATGGAAGATGCAATTCTCCCTAAACATGAGCTGATGCTTTTTTTTATAGAATTCCCCTTAGCATCGTCAACAATATCCTTCGGTCTACCCCATGTATATACGAGAATGACCTTTATTCTCTTATCCAGATACTTGGAGAACCTCCACAGAGAAGTCACTGCTCTAGGCTCGATGTTGTTTCTTTTCAGTGCATCCTCCTTCTTTTTCTACGTGCTCCAGCATGCCTTGAGCGTGAGAAAGGCCTTTATCTGCTCTTGGTGAATAGCTAAATCGCGTGAGCTAGCTATCTCAAAAGTCATACTAACCTCTAACTATCTTTACAGGATTCCATGAGGGAATTGTCTGATGTTTTACACCAAAATTTGAGCCAAGAGGTTATCTTAGCCGCGAGCCAGCGCAAAGCAATTCTGTGCCAAAAGATCTACGTTCAGCTTGTTCAATGTTTTACACAGGCAAATCCTGAGGCACCAAGGAGATGGGTATATATCCCTGGATTATGTTACTAGGAGTAAAATATTCTAATTCGATATAGAGCGGCCAATTTATCTTGGAACTAATCCGAGGATTTGACAAGAATAAGTGCTATTTTGTTTCCATGCGTGATGGAGTGCGGTGAGATACCTTTAATGTCTAGCTTTTCTACGGGGTTCGAGTATTAACACCTAGGCTAGGGGCATTCTAGACGTTATTTTTAATGATGGCCACCAATGTCTTAGAATTATAGCTGCTACCATAATAAAAGAACTAGCGACGGCCAAATCCAAGCTTCCAGAATTATCTGCGATTGACACCCGGATCGAGTTACTCAAAAAATGCTCAGGTTTCTTTCTGCCGGCATGGGGTGGCCAATGGGCCAAGGGGATTCTAGCCGTTATATCTGCCATAGGTCAACCGCTCCAAGGTGCATTTTATGCTCAAGCTGTTTCCATTGAGGGCTTGGTGGAATCTATCAATGCAGTGGACGGCCTTATCTTCACATACTCACACAACAACCTTACTATCTTGACTACTTGCGACTATCAGTTTAAATTCATTGATATTCCTTTGAGCTCGATAGGAAGCGCAAAAGCAGAAGGCAATAAAATGATGATCTGTCTTGGATACAACGGATACTATATCATAGGCGGGAGTAAACTGTACTCCAACAGTCTTCTGATCGGACCGGCAGAACTTGATCATGTGCATGCAGCGATAGAGTCTATCGAACAAATGAAAGGGGAGTCTGTCATTGCATTAGCACATATGGATATGATGCTAATCTCAGATATAGCTCGCGAGGATAGGAATAAGGCGGCTCTTTATAAAGAACCAAACGAGGGCGCTGTCGCGATTATTGCCTTCGAGGACTGCGGCGTTAATGAACATATGCCATGGGTACTCCATGGATCAAAGCATACCAGCAGCGATAATGACAGTACCACATCGTTATGGACAGGAAACCACAGGCCACCTTCGTCTGCCATAGTTGAGCTGCCAACGGGCGAGGAGGTACTATGCGCATCACAGCTATTCATAAGTTCGAATAATCTAGCAAAATCACAAGAACAGCATAAATGGCCATCTGAACAGCGAACCCCTTGTCGGGAGCCACATCTAAGGGATGAACCCGAAATTAGAGGTGTAAACGCTAGAAGCCATCGGCATGAAGCTTCACCAGAGCTCGATTCTTCGCTAAACCCCTTGGGTCAGCCTCTTCACCCTTTAGCATTGCAGGCAAATGATGAAGAAGTCATAGTCTCGCAAACCTCGCCAACTTCATCTTCATCAACTTTTCTGCATCCAAAATTCGAGGTGGCAAGGGTGGACCGTGCGGCGGGGAGTTTGAGTGACTTGCCTAATCTAGCAATGCAAGCAATTTTACTTCAACCTCAGCATTTGAACTCCAACTCGCACACATCAAGAATACCGACAGAGAATACACCGTGTGTCGAAGAATCACCATGTTGTAGAACCGTGCCAACTGCTGAGATCGCGACACTCGTACCTAATTCGCAACCTACCGGTAACCCAACGACTATTGGGAATCCAACGGCTATCATGACAAACTCGGGGACTAACAAGACACCCCAGGAGTCCGGCAAAACTGGGAGCGAGTCCAATTCAATCAGTAACTCTCGTTTAAAACGTCCTATACATAAACTATGCAGCCCGTCTACAAAGAAAGCAGACGTCGACTGGGATGAAGACCTTCGTGTCGACACTGAAACGCCCCCAGCCCCGATCCATGCGCCTTCAAATAATCCCAATTCCAAGGAGGCATCGGGAAGTGGTAAGCTAGTTAGTGCGTCCAAAGGGAAAAAGAAACCCAATTCAAAGGCAAAACAAAATATAAATACTCTGAAATTGGTTTCTCAAATTGGTGGTGCTTTAACAAAACAAAACAAAAGACCAAATCGGCAAGTCACCAAGACCCTGACTTCTGGTCGTCAACCTCGGAGTGCTGCTGAGGCAGCCAACAAAAAAATGGCCCTTGCAACCAAGCGGGAAAATGCAACGTATGATCTTGACGACCCTATTGAATCAAGTTATCCAGGGTCGACGAGTTTAGAGGATCTTGCGGACCATACTCAAATAGAGGATAACCTGGTGATAAACTCTGTTCAACCACTGAAAATATGTGCAACGATGACGGAAAAAATAGCATCAGACAAAGACTCAAGCGATCGATCGGGAGGGGTATCTATAGCCTGTGGCAAGAATATGGTATTCGGAAAAAGCAACCTGAGCACAGCTTCACAGACTGCTGCAGGGAAAAGCACACTATCTTACCGGCCAAATGGGGCTAAAGGCGAGGACGCGGAAGAGTCCGCCATAAATCTGTGCAGTGATAGTCTACCGGAAGAGGATGGCGACCAAATGGGGCAGAACGAGAATGATCAATCGTCGAAGGTAAAGACATTGAATCAAGCAGTGAGTTGCCCTCCAGAGGCAGCACCTGCTGGGCTAGAAATGAAGTTATCAGGGGTAGTAGGCAGTTTAAGTACTGCATTGAGCTCAGTAAGTGAGAAAAAGCGAACAGTTGAAAATACTTCTCAAGTTTCCAAAAACGTCTCTCAATTTATGTCTCGAAATCTGGCGTCGGCTCAATCGAATAATCGCAAACCGGGCCCAGGCCAACCGGGCTATCAAGACAACCCTAGGTCAGAAAAGGACAATTTTAATGTTATGTGGGTTAAATCTGCAAGGCCCGTGCCAAAAAAAATTGCCTCCAGAAGCGGTGGAGATGCACTCACAAAAGCCCATGCGTTCGGTAAAATTTGATTTAGCGGAAGATCATATCCAAGCCTCCATGCATGCAAGCACTATCAGCTCGGGCAACAGCACCTCTCCTTTTAGAGACACTAGCAGGGCAGAGTATAAAGCCACAACACTTTCCCCTACGAGGAATAAAGAGAGCTCTTCATTGTCAGGATTAGCTGATGATACTGCATCCACCGCCTCGGGAAGTTATGGGGACCTAGACGAAGAACTAGGATCTAGCTCCATTCATAAACCGAAGAAACATTCCCCAATGCGCGCAAGGCAGATTGGATGGCAGTCTCGAACAGTAGATGAAAATGGGAGCCCAATACCACGATTGCCGGCAGTCCATAATTTTCATAACAAGAGTAGCCCCGAATCCTCTGAGTCGAGGAAAGAAAAGGGGCGAGCTTATATTGATCTACCAAGTTCAGTTTCGTTCCCACAGCATCCTCAGAAAGAGCAAGGGGGTGTTGCACTCAATTATTCGGCCTGCAAACCTTTGATAAATAGCCCTAGGGATGGTTTAGCCCACAGACGTGACCATGAAATCCCGAGCAACTTGGGTACAAAGTTGAGACGTGGTCGTCAGTATAACAGCTCACTGAAGACATCCGACCTATTTTACCCCAAAGGAATGTGCCATGAAAAGCTCGAAGAGCCACAGAGCCCAGTAACGATGGCTCAAAAGAGGTCATTAAGGTTGTTACTGGAACGACTGAAAGCTAATAAAACCAAGTCAGCATCACAAAATGTAAAGAAACGTCCTTTGATCAGTGTCAGGAATTCGCAGCGGTTCAAAAGCATGGGCAATGATGGAGATGATGTGGACACCGAAGTGGATACTGATGATGAAGGCTCAACGCCACCTCGGCGGCAGGAATGCCCGGAGCATGTGGAATATCGCGAGCTAGAATGGGAGAAACGGCTCCGAGGAAACTATAGGGGCGGCAGGGATTTACTGCTTAATACTAGCAAAGTAGGTGTTATTTTACACTTAACAATCAGGTCGATGATAAACCTTATGCTAACTTACTCGCTCAAACAGCGCCTTTCACAGGAATTATGGGACAGTGAGAATAAGCTGTTCCATTCTGTAGACATCTATAGAATTGGTTGTAACAGTATGATTGATCAGCTGGAAGAAATACATTCTGAAAAGCTTGACCAATGCGAACATACCCTCAGACCGATCAAGAAAAGGTTCCTTGGGATGTTTGAGAATTTCTCTAAGAGGTTGGACAATGACCATAGGTCTATCCAGGAGACATCGGCAAATCTTCTTACCAGCAAGAATCAAAGAAAAATTGCTGGTAAGATCGATGCAGCAATTGAGGAGTATAGCTCCAAGCTAGCTAGGGTGGCAAACGCATAAGATCGTTATCAGTCAATTCCTGGCCAGGAAAGAGGAATAGAGTTGTTAGCTCCCTATTACACACTCGAGACTCCTGGCTTAGCGGGCCGATAATCGGGGCCAGGTTTCTCAACGGCAAGATCCCCGTTATAAACTTCGACCTGGAAGAGAAGCTGACCGTCGTGGGACACTCACACACAGCAGCAATTGAACGAGTTCAGGACAGAACGAGGACGCAGATACAGCTGTTATTTTGTATGAGTAGCTACTAGAGAATATTCTTACATTTGAAGGAGTCTGTGGTGGTGAGTGGCATTATGACGTCCAAATAGTATTTAAAGCTTCATTCAGCTCAAGAATCTTGACTTCCAATTTTTTTTTCTTTGAACATCCAAAATCCTTCGGGTAGAGCTGACAGCCTCATTCAATAACAGAAGGCTTTCGTCTCAGATACTTGACTATTTTGAATATCTGTACAGAGCATACTTCTTCTTCTTCTTCTTCCTCCTAGACTTCTGTTAACCCTGAAGCTTTTATTGATATATCTTGCGATGTCGGTGAGTCACCCCACTATGGCGGGCAGCTTTTCCCAAGCGATGTATATATATATATATGATGAACTAACAGTTCACAGTCCCAGTGGTACATAGAAAACCCAAACGTTGGGAAGAAGAACCAGGCTGAGGACTGGAGAGGTAAGGTGTAACAATTGTTTGTCCAACGTCTTGCCAGATATTGGAGTTAACTGTTATCCTGCCAGTTCTTGGATATAATCCACTCACGCCCCCGAATCTACTACAGCACGAGATCTCACAAACAAATGAGTCAAGGAGCACTGTTGTAACTTCTCGCGAAGAGGCAGCAGCCATTGTTAGGGGTGAGGATGCAAAGGGCCGGCTCCTCGTCATCATCGGGCCGTGCTCTATCCATGACCCCCAAGCTGCTCTCGATTACTGTGATCGCCTTGTCAAAATAAAAGAAAAGTACAATGATCAGCTCATGATTGTTATGCGCTCTTATCTCGAAAAACCACGGACTACTGTTGGCTGGAAGGGACTGATCAATGATCCTGATATCGATAATTCTTTCCAGATCAATAAAGGGTTGAGGACTGCTCGACGTTTATTTGTTGACTTGACTGAAAAGGGCATGCCCCTTGCCAGCGAGATGCTAGACACCATCTCACCTCAATTCCTGGCAGATTTACTTTCCGTGGGTGCAATTGGTGCTCGAACTACTGAATCCCAGCTCCATCGTGAGTTGGCCAGTGGCCTTTCGTTCCCCGTTGGATTCAAAAACGGTACCGATGGCTCTCTTGATGTTGCTGTTGATGCTATTGGTGCCGTACAGCACCCCCACCACTTCCTCTCTGTGACTAAGCCCGGCGTGGTCTCTATTGTCGGAACTGTGGGTAATGATGATTGCTTTGTTATTCTTCGTGGAGGCAAGAGAGGAACCAACTTCGACGCAAAGAGCATAGCAGAAGCCAAAGCAAAGCTGTCTGAAAAGGGACTTTCTCCGCGTTTAATGGTTGACTGTAGCCATGGAAACTCGCAGAAGAACCACAAGAACCAGCCAAAGGTTGCTGCTGTCCTTGCTGAACAGATAGCAGCTGGAGAGGAAGGAATTATGGGCGTTATGATTGAAAGTAATATCAATGAGGGTACGTCACAGGATATATATCTATTTCCAATACATCCGTCTGACATGATTTCGCTAATATTTGCTTCCCTTTTTAATAATATAGGAAACCAAAAGGTGCCTCCAGAAGGGAAGGCTGGGCTCAAATACGGAGTCAGCATTACTGATGCTTGTATTAACTGGGAGGATTCTGAATCTGTCCTTGAGATGCTTGCCAATGCTGTTAAACAGAGACAAGCGAAGCTTCAAGCTAACGGCACAGAATAGAGAAGAAGCGTCTCACCATTCAACACCTTTATGTTTCTTTTTACACTTAAGGTTTGGGCTTAAAATAAAGCTCGGGTTCTTTAATTTTGAGAGGGAAAAAATGAGAAACGAAAAAAAGTCATTCTATGGATAGTACAACGGTTCTAACACGGCAAGCCTATCAGCAGTCCAGGGATGCAATTAAACTACGGAGAGAGTGACGGCAATGCTCAAACTTAACAGATCCTGCAGCCTACAACAAAAGGAAGAAGATTAGATATTTTTTAACTATTTTATTCTCAGTTACCGTCTTAAAAATCGATATTGCTCCTAAAGTTATTTACCCACTCGTTAGTTAACAAACTTGCATGCTGGAAGCCTACGCTTGAATATATTTTGAACATTACAGATAAGACGATTTCTAATAACTACCCTAAATGCAGAAATAGGCATTAGAAGCATCGACATGCCTCACATTCAACTGGCTGAATCAGCCAATCGACTTGGGCGATTATGGATCCTTCTACAGGGGTTAAACTAGTTATTGGTTGCGGCTGTGAATCTGTTCAAGTCAGCAACATTACCAGGCCAGTGAGTAGTGATTAATAAAATGACATATTAAAAGACTTTTTCAGCTGGAGAACAGCCTTCAATCTTTATCAAGGTCAAACAAGAGTCGGTTTGAATGTTTCCATTCAAACCATTATATTATGCCCAGCATGGATGAACGTTCAAGGCTGCTTCAGCCTCCAGAAAACTCAAGACCGACATCCGTTAATTCCGACGCATGGTATTTTCGTTTTAAAGACAGTAATTGGATAGCGGCGGAAACGTACAATACATGGAAAGTCCCTGTCCTCTGCTATACCTTTGCCTTGCTCGTGGACATGGCTGATGTCATGCGGATGACACCCAAAATGCAGCTATTCGAGACAATAATATGCCACCAATACTACCCCAAGCATGGCCTGAATAGTACAATACCAGGCATCTTGAGTGACCCATGCAAGAGCAGCGAGGTACAGAGGGAGCTCACTGCTATAAAAGCGCGATTGAAGATTATTGAGAACATATTTGGTATGCGCATTCATTCCCTTCTCTTTGATTGTTCTCTGGTATAATGAGTGAAAAAACGATCTTCTAGCATTGATACTTGCGATACCGTTTGGGGACCTGGCGAATAAAAAAGGCCGAATTTTCGTTCTGGCTCTAGGACTCGTGGGCCAGATGCTTTCTGAGATATGGATTATGGTAATAAGCTCAGCTGGAGGCTCAATTCCTTACAGCTCGATATACATATCATCCATCCTTAAATCAGTCGGTGGCGGAGTGATGGTCGTCTATGCCATTGTACATACGAGTATTTCTGATGTCATTCCACCAGGCCGGCGAGCACAGGCGTTTTTCTATCTGTCAACCGCACTCCTTATCACTGAAATAGTTGCCCCTGCCTTCGGTTCCATGATGATGCAAAATTGGAATGTATATGTACCTCTGGCACTTGGATTGGTATTCGAGCTCCTAGGGGGGGGCGTTGCTTTCAATGATTCCTGAAACAGCGAAACTGGCACAGGCTGGAGAAGTCTCAGAGGATGATGAAACCGTTTGTGAGTCTGGTGCTGCCAGACCCAAAACCTCTAGTTTATGGTCTGGTATAAAAACTAGCACCAAACATATCCTTGCTCCCTTTGTTCTTATCTGGAGAATGGTTAGCGGGAACCGTGACGTTTTCTTTACTGCCATTTCGTTCCTGGTATTTGCCCTCCCGCGTGAAATTCTCGAATTCTTGGTCCAGTATACCTCCAAACGATTCAGTTGGAGTCTTGCAGAGGTAGGGGAAATTTCGTGAAATCCTTTAGGGTGGCTAAATGGCATCTGGCTAACCGACATGGGACAGGCAAACTATCTGATATCATTCAGAGCAGCCGTCAACATCGGTCTGTTTCTCGTTGTGCTTCCTTTCCTGACCAAGTTTCTCGCCCATCGGGGTATGGAATCTGCTCAAATAGACTTGTGGATTGCTCGAGGCAGTTCGATATTCAGCATTATAGGGCCTGTTATGATCGGTCTTTCTCCGTCGCCAGGATCACTGGTTTTGTGTCTGTCATCGCTTTTTTCGGCCTAAATAATGGGTTAATATCCCCATTGATGCTTTTTCGCTAATGCTGTGATTGGTTTAGCTCTCCTCCTATTCACCTTCTCATTTGGCTTCCATCCTGCCATCAAGTCATATGCGACCTCGCTGGTATTACCAGAGGACGTAGCAACCCTTTATGCGTCGTTCGCTGTCATTGGCATCATAGGAGCACTGGCAACCTTACCTCTAATTGCAGTGACTTTCAGCCTGGGACTGAGAATTGGGGGTGCTGGTCTGGGGCTTCCATTCTTTGTGTCAGCGGCGCTCTTTCTAGTCTGTGTAATAGGTTCTTTTTGTGCCTGGATGCCATACAGGCGTACAGAGCTTTAGGGGTTAGGGTTATAGGGTCAGGGTTAGCTATTAGGGGGGTTAATATCGACAGTTGCTTTGCGAGGAGAAACACAACTTACAGAATTTAGTACAAAACAAGGAGATGGTAAATAAAAAAGGGGCAAAGAAAGACAACATTTTAGATTATGGCCTCTATGAACAGGGTTATATCGTGTGGACAGTATTAAAGTATCGTAATGGGGTATCGATTAAATTCAATGGGTAATTTTATTACTTGAGAAAAGAAAAAAGAAGAGAAGCCTAGACTGCCTCCCGCTCAGGTGCTGAAGCTCCATTTTGTGAGAATGAAGCGATATCATTATCATAATTATCAGACTGGCCTGGGATCCACGCCGAGTCGAGAGGAATAACCAAGTTTGGGTTAATATATTTCCTCAGCCGAGGAGCAACGTCACGTCCCCGTAGTCGAAGAGGTATGGAATCCCTATCCCACTGGGAAGGAGGAGAAATGTTGGAACTGGGTGTTGGTGACTCGTCGCTATCAGCAGTGCGGCCACGGTCAATACTTCGGAGAGCAATGAATTTCATCAGCGGGTCATATGAGCGTGAGAAAAAATACGAGAACCAGACTGTAGCCCCGAGGAGAGGAATAATCAGAATGGACCGTGTGATGGCGGATCTGAGCGCAAGACTGCCAACCATTGTCAACTGAAACACCACCAAGCCAAGAATAATTCGGCTACAGATCATCGGCCATGCTCGGCCAGTGGAATGCTCTTGATGGTCCATGGCGTATAAAAGCTGGTATTTGTATATGAACTGGCCAATGCTGAAGTATATCAATCCAAAGAGGCAAACGAGCCACGAGCTTGGGAAAACACTGTACACAAGGCAAACAATGAAAATAAAAATGGTTGGAGGTAAGGCAAAGCCATAGCTGAAGGTCGGAGGTTTCCTCAAATCCGCATAGTCGCGAGGTGTAATTGCGGACATCCGTTGGAACGGATATAAGAATACGCTGCCAAACTCCAAAAGACGGAATGGAAACAGTCCAAGGCCCTGCAGCACTATTAGATTGGTATAGAAGGGCGCAAGTTTCTCAAGAGAGCGAGCTAGTGCGAAGGCTATAGTTGTTGTATCTTTGAAGACGTCACGGAGATTTTCCCAAAGGCCGTAAAAATTCGAAGCTGTTGCAAAGACGGTAAAGACAAGGAATAGATTAAAGAATGTAAAGAAGAAGTTCTTTGAAATGACAGAAAGCTCTACGTCTCCTTGGGAGGTCATGCCTTGCACGTTAGCCAACCCTAAAGTAATGCTACTGTCAGTTTTGCACAAGTATATTGATAATGGAAAGTGGTTAGCTTACAATCATATATGTACGGAACTGCCAGTGAGAGCAAAGATAAGGTCAAAGTAGGAAGACCAGTTTGCATCAAGGATCTAAGCAGTGGGTGTTCGGCTAACACCTCAGCAAGCCGAGGAATTACCTTCTCAAGGGTCTCGAGGTTAAGAAGATAGGCAAGGGGGACAAGTAAAAGGGACCAGAAAACAGTCAGCACACAAATAACAGTGGTAATAGTCCAGCCTCGTATCATCCTTTCGACCCGAGATAGATAAGTATGTTGCCAGACAACATCTGCTGGGGCAGGTGCTAAATTGGCAACAAGCTGCATTGGCCAAGGGTCGAGGATAGCTTGGACTGCCATTTGGCAAGCGGCAATAGATTCCATCGTAACGAATGCTAAGGCACCAGGGGTGCATTCCTGTTGACGAGCAATTTCGATTTTTTCGTCTAGCTGGCGTAGCTTCTCCTCATAGTAATCGATTGCGTCAATAGATTTGAATCGTAGCTTCAAAGGACCAAACCAAACTCTCGTTCTAGGGCGAGCCCCCGGGTGTTCCAAAATATGATTCTGTGCTGCGGAATGCTCACCAGAGAGCAACCGAGCATCCTCTGCAGTATTATCTGCATCAATCGATGGAACTAACTGAGCTGTCCGAGTGACCAACCCGTTCGGCTTGCTTTTTCGATACTTAAGGTATTTGGCCCATGATTCTTCAAGGAGTTGAAGAGTACGTTTCCTTTCTTCCATCAGCCTATCCAGGTTTCTCCAGTCACGGCAAAGCATAACACTCTCAACATTTCCGATTTCTAGCCCCTCGATGAAACCTTGGATTTTCTCCTCAGAACGCAAGTCAACAGGAATTCCAGACAGCCGAATCGTCCTATCGGCCATGGTAGTCTGTCCTCCTAAAAATTTCTGTCGTATCTGTATGACCCTATTCGTGTAGCTTATAAGGAGGTGGACGGCCACTCCAGTAAACACATAGGAAAACACAACATACAACCAGAGAAAGGTTGGATCGGTTTTCTGTTTCTTGTCCGAATTACCGCCAGGCTCTTCACCTCGGTCGCCATCCCACGGGTATCCTCTTTCTCCTGTGTATGAATACCTGACTGGAAGGATAACGACAACGGAGAAGAAGAAAACGATTGAAAGGAAATGGATTGAGTATCTGTAGAATAACAAAAACTATATTTCCATAGAATGATACACGAATGTCTCATATCAGCTCCAAATATCTAATATAGATGGGTGAAAAAGGGGCATACCACGAACGCATCTAGCCCCCCTGAAGCTAGAACTTCTTCGTCACTGATCTTGTATAGGACTGGAATCCACCCAAATAGCGAATCCGGAAGGTCAGGTAGTCTCGAGGCAGCACTCCTCATCTTCCGCCTCGCGGCATAGAGGGCGCTCCATTTCGGTCGTAGAAACTGCGTAAAATAAAGTGTGCGGTGAGCTATCCTGCCATCCAGTCATTCAGTATGAGCCCCGGGGGTGTGAACATACGCAAAACGTGATAAAAGCACTGCAACCAAAGCTGACGCTGATTACAATCTGGGTGAGCAGATCGCGCTGGCCTCGCGCCTGGTCCTGGTATCTTGGTCCATCAGGCTGGCCCGTTGTCCACGAGTACACCAGCGCACTTGTAGTGGTAGACAGAGGTTGGGATGTCATCGGGCAAATGGATATCTGTGACTGCCAAAACAAAGATGTTGTATAAATATGTCGACGCTATCCACCAAGTGAATGCGATCTTGTCTTCGTCTTCCACATTGATGCCGTCTGTCTACGTTTTTATATTGCAGCTCGAATTTATGTTTTCATGCCCAAAATATTTGTCAACCTTAACCATGAAATCGGGAAGGAGGCGGTCATGTGACCCGCCCCTTGATCTACAAGGCGATGACGTAGTTTTGAGGTTTTCTTGTTTATTTGACGGATAAGAAAAAGAGGAAGAAGAGATCATTCAAGTCGTCAGGTCTCGTTTGGCATAACTGTACGCTAAGTAACGCTGTGAGCATTCCCTTATCCCTCCAGCTTCTTCAGTTGCGATGCATCATAATAAAGATCAATCAAACAAGCCGCAGACCATGCTTGGGTTGGAGACTGTCTTGCCGTTAGCCTACCAGGGGGAAAAGGGGGAGGAAAGGGAGCGGTAACAACTCACCGAGTCTGCACAAAACTCCCCATTTTTATTCGTCAGTTCCGTTAGCCCTCTCCATAGGCTGGTACGGAGAGCCTTTTTGCATTGTTCAAGCCGGGTTGTGAGCTGCTGGAATATATCCATCCGGTCCTGAAGGCTGTCCCTTCGCATGAGGGTAAACTTCAGCAAACCTCTCAGGAAATACCCTGTGGGCCACAGCCACTCTGGTCCTTGGTGATAGTTCCTCCCCTTCGCTGTTGCGAAGTTGGTTGAGTCCTCGGAGTTGACATAGTAAGGATTATAGTTGAGGTCCTTGGGGTCCAGGGTTGCCATACCCATTGGGCCACGGAGGATATTATCGGCGAGTTCGAGGGTACGGAGCGCTTTATCCAGCGTAAATAATTCGGGTGCGACTGTCATGGCAACCGCAAAGTTTGGCCGGAACTGATAGTCTTCATACGGCTTGCCCGAGCGATATAAGTCTTTGTAAATGCCTCGTCGATGGACAATGTTGCTATCGACCTCATACTTACAGTCATCCGCTGGGTTTTCGGGGATGTAATAGCATCTCTCAAAGTTGGACTTAACTTTGGCAGTCCAATCCGCATAGGTAATTGACTTTCCGGAGCCAATGTCCACGTCCTTTGGTGGAAATTTCCCTTGATCCACCAAGGTTGAAATCCATGCAAGGGTGCTGTACAGTAGGCCGTTGATCTCAATAGCCGCTCCATCACGAGGCGTTCCTGGATAGCCCTTATTTCCGCTCTTAGTGCTCTCACCCATCTTATCCATCCACGTACCGCAGTTCCATTGGTTCCCTCCAAAAACTAGACCATTTTCCCAGTCGACATGAACATTCACCTGGAAGCCCTCCTCCTTCATTTGCATATCGAGGTTAGGCCCTGCGTTGTACTCACGGAATGAAATGCCTGATGCGTGACACTGGAATATCTCTTGGATAATTTCTGCCACTGTGGAAGTCTCGCGATATGCTCGTTCATCGTCGTGGGGGAACCATGTATCGTCATATGGTAGAAATCGACGGCGAACATTCTCATTTAAAATTTTGATTCCATCAGGTACGATCTTGGTATAATCCTGGATAGCCTGTAAGTAGAACCATACTGCATCACGAGCGTTATATCTCGGTGCCTTTCCATCTGACAGCAAGTTCGGTATGAGACCATGTTTGAGAACGCTTCCGAAAGCAAGGATATGGTCTTTGGCTTCATCAAACCTCCCAGTGCACAAGAGTAGGCCACGCAAAGAGATAAAAACGTCTCTTCCCCAGCACCTCGCCCAACCGGTTGAAAAATGCGGGAGGCCGGCCGCGAGACAAGGTATACGTTTAGTCGGATAAAGTGATGCTGAGTTGACAAAGCCCACTTGTTGTATACTGACCATCGCAAGTTCGTGGATAATGTCCTTTCCATGTTCAATAGTAACACCAAGAAGTCGAATACCTCGTGCCAACGCGGCTGCGTACGCTGTCTTTACAACAATGGCAAAATAGCGTGGTAGCAAGAAAGATGGGAGCTTTCTAATCGCATCAAAGCGCCCCTGAATCCATTCAGCTGGTTTGCTCAATCGTTTATACCCTTCATCAGAAGCCGCTTTCTTCATTCTTTGAACAATAAAATCAAGTGCCCACTGCCCTCTTCGAATGTTGTCACAAATAGGATGACCGACGTCATTTCTTCGAATAACGTCTTCGAGAACGCTCCACCAGCCCTGAAGCCCAGCATAAACTAATGGGCCAAAATTTGGAACATCATACACTCCGTCCGAGCCGTTACTGATATCCTTTTCTTCAGCATTACATTTGTATAAAACGAAATTGAGATCGACAGGATCTAGCGACTCGAATGCTGCTTCTGCATCCGAGGTAATGAATGTGCTCAAATCCTTGAGCAAATTCGTTTCTGGTAGCCAGGTATCCAAAAGAGCAATAGATCCAGGGGAGAGGTCATCCGGTACACGGATAATGGTATTGTTACCGTCTTCGCTGATACTGATTCCTTCAACGCCAGAAACATTACTGTGAAGCCCAGTAATGTATTCTCCATGGGGATTGGCATCGCCATTTGCAGCACCCGCCTCCAATTTCCAAGCACCTATCATTTTAGCCTTAGTCCCTGAAAGGACTATTGGATCTAGTTTGTGGGTATCCTTAGAACCAGAGAATGCAGTATGGGCTATTAGCAGCACGCCCTTTCTTGAGTTTGGCTGGACCCGATGAACAGTTATGAACTGGCCCTCGTGATGGATATGGGTTTCATCATAGCGGCCTACCGCCATGCAGGTGTGAAGCTCGTTCAGCAGCTTTTTTATTCCACCAATACCCCCTGCACCAGTCTTATACTTGACCCCATCTTCAGAGAATGAAGAGGAATATAAGCGTTTCTCGTTGACCAAATCTATGTGCTCGGGATAGATCTCATCATATCCCATAACACTACCAATGGCAGACGAGCACATGGCAACTAAAGCAGCATTTGGAAGCGTATCTCTTGCTTCGCGTTTTTGAGCGGGCATTTCGTTGTCATGCGTACAGTCCATGAAGAGTGCGTGGAGAGGTGTATACTGCAATTGCTTAACAATCTGATTGGACTCCCTATGGTCACCATGAGATAGAAGATCTGCCTCAAAACTACCAATGGGACGGCCTCCATGACGATGAACAAGTCGACTGAGTTCACCGGCACTCCATGCTTGCATAGCTTCGCGAATTAAACCGGTTAGGCCAAGTCTCTTAGCAAAAATATAATCAGTTTGCTCGGAGCCAGTAAATAGCTCTGCAAAGACAACCAAGTTGGGTCGGACCTTTCGGGCTTCATCAAGGAGGTGCTCGGCTACTAGGATCGGTGTTGAATGGCAATTGTCTATGCGAAAGCCCATGAAATGTTTGGCCATTAGCTTAGAATAATCCGCCATATAGTCCCATAGGAAAGGATTTTCGTCCCGAGATGCCCCATAATTTAACTTAACACAGTCTCCCCAGACGATGACTTCTCGTAGCAAATAGGCGCGAGAGTCTGGTCCAGCATTGTCCTTCATAGCATCTGCATTCCATACCCAACCATTGTTGGCCAATGCAAGCGACTTGGGGTCGTGTTTACCATTTGGGGGAAGCCTAGTAAAATATGTCTCAATCAAAGGGCTATCTTTTGTCACAGGTCCCAATTTGGGTCCGTGGTCATCAACCCGGAGATATTTTATCCGGCCAAAGAGCTGGTCAAGGATAGCTGCAACGTCTTTGTCAAACTCCTTGAATAGCGGCAGGTTGACGGCATCGAGAATTTTTTGAAATTCCACTTTAGCGTTCGAAACGTTGGTTTTAATTTCTTCATATTTCCCAAACATGGCCATGAGCAGAGCAGCAGCTATCTTTGGATCAATTTTTCGGCCATATCGTCCTAGAACCCGGCCAGCATTTGTTATTCCATGTTCTCGGAGGAACCTGACTTTCTTCTCCACGGACCATTCTCGAATCTCTGCCGGATTGCCAATCTCATCGTCTCCAAACTGTCCAGATTTCCAGGACACAAATGCAGCCGCAGCATCTCTTTCAACGTCAATGGTGTAAAACTCCCAGAGCTTTATCTTGTCGATGACGTTTGCCCTTGCTTTGTCCAGAACAACGGAAATATCGTCTTCGGTTTTGAATTCAGTAGGCAGTCCCAAATTTCTGAGATCATCGCCATATTTTAATAAAGCTGTGTCCAGCTCTAAGGCAGCTTCAAGCCATGGGGCATTCTTGACGTTGTAGCCTACCTCGGGGTGTTCTTCGAGAAGCTTGCTGTTATGTGCAACATGATTCCAGACGACGTCTGTCAGAGCCAGGAGTCCGTACTCCTTCTCCATGTTCGACGTCATCTCAGCCACATCTTTCTGTCCATTGGAGAAACATTCCTCAAACTCTAGTTGGTCGTAAATGCTATACGGTGAGTTTGAGGCTCCTCGCTTAACAAGAGGGGTGAAATGAACCACGTTGTACCCCCTCTCCCCGATTCCGCGTAGATGTCTGTTCCAGTCTTTGGGATACTCGCCCATAAACTTGGACACCAGAGAAAAAACGGATAAGGACTCTAGTGGTAGGGCTTTGCCCTTCAGCGTGATAGCAGGGCTGACGTTAACGTAGTATGTCTCAGATCGGCTCTCCTTTCCAGTCCCAGAGTCCGACTTTGATCCAAAGAGCTCTGGAACGTGACGGTATGTGAAGTAAAAGCTGAATGCACCCGATACGGCAACGGGAATATCGATACGGACGTCTTTGTTGAAATCCAGCTTCAGCCTAGTAAACCGTCCTGTCAGTAACTACTAACATGAGGTTACTTGAAGTTTCCTGGACCTACTTATATTCACGGTACTTGTCCCTTTGAAACTCCTCGTCCACTAAAGGGATATTTACCCAAAGACTGCCGTGTCGACATAAAGGGCTGCTTCCCTCGAACTGAAGCCGGAGACTGTACGGCGGGCTCGTCGGTGGGGGGAGGTTGACATATTCGTTGTAGGCATCTGGAGAACCATTATCGTTCAAGCGGACAACATACACCAACTCCTGGGAGTTTGAATCCATCATAGGCAGTATCTATATTCACGACTCTCTCTCTATGTGAGCTGCATGTTGGACTTCTAGGCCTGCCAGCCGTGTGTGTATACATATAAATAGTTGAACTATATGCGGCATTTCGGGTTGGACAAGAAGCTGGGAAGTTCGATGTTGGTTCCTGCCATGCACGCTGATGTCATTTTTTTTTTGGGCTGATGTTTCCAAGGCTAAGAAACGTATTGTTTATCCCGGGGGCGGCCGTGGGGGGCGATGAGTAGTTACTATGTAGTTAATATATCCAGGTATTCGAGGATTAGATATATTAATTGTTATTTACCGTGGTTATTTATCTCTTAACAAGGTCGTAACAAATTAATAACTACACGCCGGACCGCACAGCACTCCAAGCTCCTAACCACCAAGCATGCAAAACGAGATATGAGATGTAAGGGCTCGCTTCAACGCATTCCTTGCCTCCGATATGAAAGTAAACGAGAAGAATTATATCTTTGTTGTTTTGAATCAAGTTAAAATGTTAGATGCTAGGACAGAAACCGGGCTTCGGAGAGGACAGAGAAGTATCTATTTCGGCTCGATGAGACTGGGGATATCTTCCACTTTGGCCTCGCCCTTCAAGATACCTATAATAAGAGTTAGCAGCTAGTTCCCAGAAAGATAACAGGGACATAGGGAAAACATGACCGCACATACTATTCACAGCAGTGAAAAGAGGGTATTCATCCTCTAGCCCCTGTTTTTTAAGGAAGTTGTTGACTTCTACGGCCGTTAGAGTACCCTGTAGTTTCTGTCCATTCAGCTCCTGCTTCTCGACTTCTTCGATCGGCAGCTTGCGTTCAACACTGTACTTGGCGCATCTGAAGTTACGTCCTCCACTGCAAGAGGTAATCAAATCTGCAACGCCAGCCGATTCGACTGTGAAGGTCTCAGCGTTGACAGAGTGGCTGAAGAACGTCGTGCCGAATTTCACCATCTCCAGAAGGCCGACTCTCATGACCGCGGCTTTGGCATTGTCACCCCAGCCGAGACCATCGACATATCCGGCCGCGAGAGCGACGATGTTCTTCAATGCACCACCAAGGGAAACGCCGGCAACGTCGTCAACAACACGAACATGGAAGTATGGCCGGTGGAAAAGAGTTTTCAGAAGAGAGTGATCAACTGGTGGAAATTCAGAGGGCATTGGTCGTAGCTTGACTTTGGAAAGGTTGCCTGAGCTATCCTTGTGCTTAAACTCGGAGAGATTCACGGCAGAAGAGGATGGTGACCCCGTCTGTGGCGTGGGTGCCTTGGAATCCATATGTGGGGGATCGTATGCGACTGTGGTCTCAGAGTAGAGTTCCTTTGCGACCTCAGAGGCAATGTTGGCTCCGGACAAGGCACCACAGTAGATCCCCAGCTGCTTGCCAATGGTCTCAGAGAATAAACTGACCCCTTCCTCATCGACATGCACACCCTTTATGCAGGATATTCCACGGGCATAGGGGAGAATATGGCCCTTGAGGCTCTTGCAGACACCACTGATGAATTGATGGGGCAGATTGAAGACCAATATCGACGAGTCCTTGACTGAGTCGACGAGGGAAGGGTTGGCGCGCAGGTTATCTGGCAGAGTAATGTCTGGCAGGTACTTGATGTTCTCGTGAAGCTGGTTTATGATTTCCGTCAAGTTCTGTTCGCCTTTGCAGAGAGGTGAGGATTCCCTATAATGCTTCGAGGACTTTGGGATCTCGATCTTCTCCTCATACACCCACATGTTCACCTCCTTCTCGAACAGCTCCGGGTGAGCAGCCGTATTTTCGGCGACCATCTTAGAGATCGAGGAGCCCCTATAGCAAGCCAAACCCGTCAGTTAAGAATGCTTCAAACAGCAAAAGAATACAACGCACCAGTTCCCCGACCCTATCACCGTCACCTTGTGCTTCTTCGAGTAAGGAGACAGGCCTGCCATGGTGAATCTGCGTGTAGATGCTGGTATTATCCGCTTGAAGAGGAGTGTGTTTGCTGCTGAACAGAATACTCCAGGGCGGTGGTGGGGGCTTAAGAACCTCCTATTAGTGAGAACGCACCGCAAACTGCACGTCATCAAGGGCATGCAAGAGAAGAGGCAAATATTAGAGATTTTACTGTGTTTTTACCCCCCGCGACCTCGGCCTCCCCCTAGTTCATCCCTTAACTGGAGCCGTGGGGTTTGTTAGGGTGGCTTAGGGGCTTTAGAGGCCGCTAGTCAAGTTTATCTGCTTCCCCTTCGCTAAAGTTGGCAGATGGCAAGGGGTTCAAGCCAGGCCAGGCACAAGTGAAGGAACAAAGTTGAAGTGTCCCTGGGTCATCTGTGGCGTTGAAGGAGCCTCGCCAGGGATTCCGATGATATAAGAGTATGTGTCTACGATAGATGTATTACTATGCTCGCTGGATGTTCTATATATTAATTACATAGGGCCCATAGTGTTAAGATGATGCCGGTGAATCTTCTGGCAGCCAGTCTTGTTCACATCTGCCAGTGTGTTGGCATGAAAGCCTCGGGTATCGGCCATGCCGTTAAAACACCATCCTCCAAGACTCTTGTGGCGTCTGCGTTGCCTCTTGCGAGATAGCGTTTAGTTCCAGCACTTACAGCTGATATCTTTTCTGTCGGCTACATCCGTCAGCAGATAGCTATCTTATCTTTCTTTCGAGCCAGAGTCTTCATGATTTGACACCCTTAAATTCTGGATTCTGATCCATCGTCTGAGATATGAAGCTTCGTAAAGCCGCCCATCGAGTAGATGTAGAATTCCCACCGGTAGAAGCGTTAATGCCATCCCCAGACTGAGTACTCATCGGCGCATCTGTGTCCGCCTTGATTCCCACTGCCAACTGTCCCATGTTCTTCGCAAACCGATCTCGCTCCATCTGGTTGAGTTTCTCTTTTCTCTTCATGGCGCCAGGTCTATGCTTCAAACTCTTATGTCTAATCACATTTATCTGCGTGTTGCCGTCTATATTATATGTTGAGACGCCTTCACCACCATCCCCAGCGTTAGGGAGCGCATTGGCAAGGGAGTCAAGGTTCGCAATTAGTTTTTTTGAAGGTCGTCGTCGCTTCAGAGGCTTTTTGTGAGACTTTTCAATCTTCGAAATAAACGAGGAGTGTTTTATTAGGCGCTTATCCTTTTTAGAGCTGGGGAATTCGGATGCTAGAGAGTCGTTTGCGGAGTGTTTGGCTTTTGCGATGGCTGGATGAGAATTGGTCTTCACGGCCTTTCTGACTTTGGTGCTGGGGCGTACTGGAGCCTAGTAGGTATGGCAGATTAGTAGGAACATACCTTACAAGTTGCATTATTCAGAAACACCTACCATGGTGAGATGTAGTATTTATCAATATTATAATCGTGAATTTGTTGGTTTCTCTTTTTTTTTTCGCTCATCTCAAAAGATGAGAGAATATCTATTTGCACGGTTTGCACTGTTTGCATCTTAAGTGGGATGCTTTTTTGACGTTTTATATGGACGAAACATTATATACTTACGGGGTCCTAGATATTGAATATTACTTTGAGGAAGATGGAAGATAAAGAGCAGTTGCGTAGGCAGCTTGAGGAGCAAATAGCTGCTACAGAGCGCCAGCTCGGCCGGCTGAAGCAAGAACTCACAGATCTCGAGATACAACATGGTCCCGTTTCACAGGAGACGGAGACAATGAATAAATCAACAGAATGGCCACTGCGTCAAGATGAATACAGAAGATACGGAAGACAGATGATAGTAGAACAGGTTGGTCTGTCAGGTAAGTTATATCCAAAAAGGTCGGCACTAGCATGGTTGCGTGGAATACTTCTAACGGATGTCGCATATCTCATATATAGGCCAGCTTCGGCTGCGGAATTCAGCAGTGCTTATCGTTGGAGCCGGCGGCTTGGGCTGCCCAGCGGCTTTATATCTCGCTGGTGCGGGAATCGGAAAGCTAGGAATCATCGATGGCGACAAAGTCGAGTGCTCCAATCTACACCGCCAGGTACTACATCGTACAAAGTACACTGGGAAATATAAAGTCGACAGCGCCATCGAGTATCTAAAAGAGTAAGTCTCGATAAGCATGGTTATGTGAATTCTTTGCAAGATCATTGTCTGACATGACCTGCATTTTCGCACTAGACTGAACCATCACCCTATCTACATACCATTTCGATCACATCTCTCATCACAGAATGCGCCAGAAATATTCGCCGATTTCGATATAATACTAGACTGCACCGATAACCCTGCAACTCGATATCTTATTTCAGACACTGCAGTTGTGCTTGGAAAACCGGTCGTGTCCGCCTCCGCCCTGCGAACAGAAGGGCAGTTAATGATTCTCAACTATCCACCCCGTCCGCCTAGCGATAAGTCAGGGGGCCCATGTTACCGGTGCGTCTTTCCAACACCGCCTCCAGCAGATAGCGTTACGAGCTGTGCAGATGGTGGAATAATTGGGCCTGTGGTCGGTGTCATGGGTGTTATGCAGGCGTTGGAGACGATAAAGGTGATAACGAGTATGGAAGAAGGAGAGACATCAGGAACTAAACCGGATAACAGGAGCATTGTTCCATCTCTCCATCTGTTTTCGGCTTATTCCAACCCTCCATTCCGTGCTATTCGGTTGCGCCCTCGACGACAAAATTGCGCTGCATGTGGCGTAGATCCCTCAATATCTATTGACTCCCTCAAGAATGGGTCAATGGATTATGTGCAATTCTGTGGTTCACTCAACCCTGTTTCTAGCCTGATGCCTGATGAAAGACTCAGTGCAAAAGATTACAAAGCATGGCTTGATAACCGCGGCGATGACAACAAGGGTATCCTGCTTGATGTACGCGAGCGAGTTCAGTACGATATTTGCGCACTGCCCTGGAGCCACAGCATTCCCATATCAGAGGCTCTCCGATCATCTTCTGGATCATCTGGGGCGACTAATGGGGGGTTTCCAGCATGGTTCCCAACAAGTATCGTTGACCTTAATACGACAACCCCAATCCACGTTGTTTGCCGCCAGGGTAACGATTCTCAGGTTATGGTGAAGACTCTGAAGCAGCTCGGTCTTGATCAGGAAGGCAGACGCTTTATTGGTGATATCGTAGGCGGTCTGGATGCATGGAGAAGAGATGTTGACCCTCAGTTTCCGGATTACTGACAGGGATGAGCCACACCCGGTTCGGAATCAATGGTTCAGTAGTTGATGCTTGTCGAGATATCATGGGTTACCTGGTGGTTTATCCAGCCAGGCCCATTGAACATCAACTCTTCCCTGGTTGACATGCGCGAGTTGTTGGAATACTGTAATAGTAGCGTCGATGTCTGTCGATTTACATCCGACGCCTGCCAGTATAACCGGTTAGCAATTGCACATTCTCCAGGGATTCCAAGGCAAGCTTTGGCAAACTCACATCTGTCAACCACAGTCACATCTACAGACTTGCCATTTCGCCTGAGGCGAATCTTCCTACCACAGAGGGGATTGGTATTTGGGTTAGGACCAGTACTAGCTGCATCGAATACTACTTTCGACACGGCGCAAACAGCCTCAGAACTAGAACTTGTTATACCACAAGCACCTAATGCTGGGTCGTAGTATGTAAGTTCGCCGACATAAGGCCCGCCATTGTTCGTCGGCAATGGGAGGTTCGCAGCCCCGGCCCTTGAGGGGATCATTAGACCTTGGAAACTATATTACCAAAACAGGAAGGCTGGCATCCAACAAACCTTTGCCTGGTCAGCCCAACAGCCAACCCGATAATCAGTCCCAGCAGCAGAACAGCCATCACGGTAGCAATGATGATTACTCTCTTTCTTCTATGCGCCCAGTTAGATCTCAATGTCACTATCAACCTGCCACTATGAGCCGGTGGAGCTTGGACATGCGGCTCTGGCTGATCGACAAATGCAGGTTTTGACGGCGGAACGGGTTTGCGTCTTGGCACTTCCATGATAGAGAGGCGTGGAGCGACGGCTTTAGGGAGAGGAGCCGCCTCAATGGCCTTGTCAGACAAGCCTAGCTCGTAGCGCTTGAGGCTGGAGGGAAATGAAGGAGAGGAGGCCTGGGAGATGGGCGAAATGGGCGACACGGGATGTGAGGGCGTGTAATTCTCCATGATTGTGCGGTCGTCTTACTAGACGCCTTTCTTTTGACGTTCTTCCTCTTTTATTGTTATTTTGATACTAACGAGCGAATTGAAGTTGGTGGTAAAAGAGTGACTGAATGAACGACTGGCATTGCAAGTAATATTAAAAGAAGACGTTGAGGGTTGAAACAAAACATCGCGGCTCATCCTGGCTCTCTTTGGCCCCTTTTTTATCTGCCAAGGCGGGACAAAACAAAAGCCTGGGGAAGCTCTTCTCCGTCAACAGTTATGAATCTTGACCCTAACTACGGAAGATGGGAGGAGGAGCCGATAAGAGGCCATCATGACACTCTCTTTATTATATACTTAGGCTTCCTCTGCTGCAACCCCAGGCTTCCGAGCATCCCGCAAACCCCCACATCAAGTATTCGAACGAAGCACAATCCACCAACAAACAATATTATCCAAAGCACGAATACCATCTATCAAAGTGTCATCAAAATGAGGAAAAACGAGAGAGCGTGAGTCGGCTGTGCCCAGTGTGTGGGTATCTGCGGATCTGTACATAAGCACTATTGCTGGTCTAATTGTATATCGGTGGGTTCGGTGGTTTGGATTGAAACCTGGCTCTAGACGGTAGCGGCGGCAGCTCTACGGCGTTGCACTTTGCGGTAGATGAGCGTGGACACCACACCGACTGCAATGAGGAAGACAATGCAGAATACTAAAACAACACCGGGTTCTCTGGCCGCCCAGTTCTTCCGCTTGGCCAGCTGGTGGGATGTAGCATGTACGTCTCTTAGGGATATGATAGCAGCCATTGTGGAGGTGTGGTGTTGTTATCCAACGCTTCGAAGCTAACAGATTGCTATATTAGTGAACATGAACTAACCATAGCAGTTGAAAATGCACATACGGAATGAGATCTTGTACTATCAAGAAGATTGCCCGAATTTATGCTGGGTATCAGGCTTGCCTGAAAAATATCAGTATATTCTGTGTCTAAGTCAGTGAAATAAGCAAACGATGTTCAATTGCAGTACAAAGCATGATGATTGCTCCCCCCCGGAACCCGACGGATACACCGGTAGAACTATATCTAGAGAGCAAGAATTTTACTCACCGTTGTCGAGGACGAAGAGCAAAACAAAGAGGGATAGGGTAGAAGCTGAAGGAGAAAGAGAAGAAAGAGAAGAAGATAGAGAAGAAGAAGAGAGAAGAAGTGGAAGATAAGAAGCGGAAGAGGCGGGAAAGAGAGAGAAAGTGGCCGCCAGTCTTTTTGCTCTCATGCAAGATATCATGGATTCCCGCCGGAGTTTCCCTTTTGGGACAAGGCGTTAGGCCCAACTATGCTCACGTGAACAGCCCAGGAAGAGAAGAAGTAAGCAGATTGTACTATCTAGATGGATGCAGAAGATAGAGACATAAGCGCAGTGGGAAGTAGTAGATTATATATCTTCCACAGAGAAGTATGTACCCTTTGCATCAGAGTCCTTCACCTACCTTGTACTTTCTCCGGCCCGAGGGAGCAAGATACCTCCTCGTACTATAATACCGTACTTCCCACGACAAGGAGGGCATAAAAGCAAGACAGAAGCAAGATATTGATGTAAAGTGCTGAAAAGCTTAGCTAGCTAGCAATCTAGTATCTAGTTGCGCCACCAGCTTTCCTCCTGTCCATTGGCATTGCAACTAGACAATATCCTATGCAGCGGTATAGATGAGGGGCTAGGGATCTGCTCCTGCAGCGGCCGATCATAGCATCCTCGTAGTTAGAGGCATTCGTCATAACTGCGCCAGTTCATGCCAATAGTAGATATGGCAGACGTAGTTATGTAGCAGAGCAAGCCTTCTTTCTGCTACTTTGATTTCTTCTTTTCTATAAATAAAGTTCCCGATAGATCGACTTACTAAGCATAATCTTATGTAAGGTAGATCATCACGTGACCGTACTGCCGAGGTGCCGAGGTTCACTTCCTAAGTACGAAATAGTTGAAGCAACCTCGAGCTGTCTTACGCCCTTCAAGGTGTCGGGGCTACAACTATTTATGATAACGGCTGTGGACGTAGAAGGCTTGGTAATATTAGAGGATTTTTCCTAAGGTATCACACGAGCTAACTGCGGACTACTACCGGCTTTTCCTCCACCAGCAACTCCCATCGGCGGTTGTGCCGGTCGTTTTGTATCCACATCTATTCCGATGGAAGCCAACAACGGGCTCCCAACGATAAAACATTGCGGGCAAAAGGCCGATTGAACAGGACCCTGCTTTTGATACTTCAATCAGCGATGATTGAGTATTCCTTTATATACGCTGGTTTTCTTTCACCGGATCCTCCTAGGAGTGTTACCATATTATATACCCACCGCAACGTAAATAAATGCGATTTCTTCTGAAATAGATACTTTCAATATCTTCGATATATATACCTATAATGGCGATCACTCCAAAGCCTACCATTGGTTTTGTTGGCCTGGGTGCCATGGGTTTCGGCATGGCGACCCATCTCATCAAGCAAGGCTACACTGTCAAGGGATTCGACTCATGGGCTCCCACGTTGGCTCGGTTTAAAGAAGCAGGTGGATATGCTGCAACGTCGTTAGATGATTCTGCCAGAGGGTGCATGTATTATGTATCCATGGTAGCCTCAGCACCCCAGGTTCAATCTGCTCTGTTCGATGACGCTGAACCCATCGTCAACGGTATGCCCATGAAATAATATATACCCCGCCTTCGTTAATTAATGACGCCATGTAGCACTTCCACAGGGTGCAACCCTTATTCTCTGCTCAACCGTGCCAGCCGCATATGCCCAGTCCGTCCGTGATCAGTTAGCGGCCCGTGGCAGAGATGATATCTCCTTCATCGATGCACCCGTCTCTGGTGGCGCTATACGTGCGGCCAACGGGACTCTATCGATTATGGCAGGAGGCTCAGATGCGGCACTAGAACGAGGAGAATTTTTGCTCTCTGAAATGTCAGATGCTGCCAAGTTGTATTTACTCCCTGGCGGTGTTGGAGCTGGGAGTAACATGAAAATGGCCCATCAGGTGTTGGCGGGCATACATATCCTTGCCGCCAGCGAAGCTATGGGCTTCGCTGCTCGGTTAGGCCTTGATGCAGAGGAAGTTTGTAATGCAATCATTGCCTCTGATGCATGGAGCTGGATGCATGAGAATCGTTCACCAAGGATGCTGAAGGAAGACTATTTCCCCGGTGTTAGCGCGTTGACTATCATTCTCAAAGATGTTGTAAGTTACCCCCTCTTTAGTTTACTCCCTTTTATAAAACCGGATCTAATATCACCTAAGAGCATCATCACGAACTCCGCACGCCTCAGTCAATTCCCAGTACCGCTCTCCTCTATTGCTGAGCAAGTCTACGTCTCCGGCCTATCTCACGGTTACGGGCCAGATGATGATGCTGGCATGGTCCGCATGTACTACCCTAACCCTATCAGCAAAGCCACTTCGCCCACCACTATGGCCCCAGAATTCAAGTCCAAGGCTACGAATCTCGTCATCTCCCTCCTTCGAAACATTCATCTCTGTGCAGCCGCTGAAGCAGTTGCCTTTGCCCGTCGTCTAAACGTTGACATGGCTCAGTTCTATGAATTAGTTAACGCAGCTGCAGGTGGTAGTTCAATGTTCAAGATCAAGGGTGTGGAGATGATTGAGGGGATTAAGAAGGCTGGTCTACCTGTAGACAGAACGTTGAATGACGCTACTAATGAGCTCTCCGCTGTTGTGCAGGAGGCCAGAAACTTGGACTGTCCCTTGTACCTGGGGGCTGCGGCTTTGGGGATATTGCATCAGGCAAATCATAGCGGATGGGGCAAGGATTCAGACTCCAGCGTCATCGAGGTATGGGAGAAGTAGAACATAGCACAGATTTTATATAGATCCTCTTGCATACGATGAATGAATAACGAGTATCTTTCCTACTCTTATATAACATACCAAAGCTATAAAGAAGAGAGACAACTAATCGGGCTTTCCCCTATGATGGTTTAGTTATCCCCTTGCTGTTCGAAAAGCGCCGGAGCTATCCCGATGCTTCTCCGGACCAAATCCCACGCTTCATATAGAACCGGAACCATACATTAACCACCATCTGTTCCCATAAAAACTACATGGTTCTTACAATAAGCCCTGTAATTCAATACCCTACTGCTTCTCAAGCCTTATTTTACTGACAACATCCTACGATATGCCTCACGCCTCTCTAAAACATAACCGAGCACTGCCCCTCCTCGATGCAGCTGTGGCCGGCAAATACGCCGTCCCTGGGATGTGCTGCTATAACCTCGAGGGCGTGCTAGCAACTGTCCGCGCTGCAGAAGCCAAAAGGTCTCCAGCTATGGTCCTTCTTTTCCCTTGGGCCATCGAATACGCCGATGGTCTTCTTGTACAAGCCGCCGCGACAGCATGCCGCAATGCCTCTGTGCCGGTGACGCTACACATGGACCACGCTCAGAGTCCCGAAATCATCAAGCGAGCCGCAGACATGTCCCCCACCTTCGATAGCATCATGGTTGATATGTCTCACTTTGAGAAAGCGGAGAACCTAGCTCTCACGCGCGAGTTGGTAGCGTACTGCAATGCCCGCGGCATCGCTACAGAAGCAGAACCAGGGCGTATCGAAGGCGGAGAGGACGGTGTGGCTGACACCGCTGATCTAGAGGGGCTTTTAACTACGCCAGAAGAGAGCCAGGAGTTTGTTGACACGGGGATTGATTGGTTAGCTCCTGCGTTTGGCAATGTGCATGGGGAGTATGGCCCAAGAGGTATTCAGCTGGAATATGATAGGCTGCGAAGTATTAACGAGGCGGTGGGGAAGAAGACGAAGTTGGTCCTTCACGGTGCAGACCCGATGACGAAGGAGATCTTCGATAAGTGCATTGAGTGTGGTGTGTCGAAAGTGAATATCAACAAGGTCATGAATAACGAATATATGAAAGTGCAGAGGGAGTACGCGGGCCGAGTCCCTATTACGAAGTTGCATGAGTTGGCAACTGATGCGATGCAAAAAGCCGTGGAGAGTTCAATGGACATGCTGGGCTCAACTGGGAAGGCTGCTTGAAGGGAGAATCAGCACGGCTGCATATAGCGAAAATTATAGACTGATATCCGGCCCTTGTTTCAAAATTTTGTGTATATATACAGGGAATAGGCCAACCGTTACTCCTTACGTTCGCAACGACGGAGACAGAGAAGGTGAACTTCTCTCAGGACGAGTAAAGGAAATAAAAATTGAACACAGAGGAAATATATTTGTAATGCTAGATGAAAGACAAGTGGAAAGCTATGAGATACAGGGATAGGTAAAAATAATATAGGGGGCAGACAAATAAGCAGAATAACCAGGTGTTAGCAGGATATTTGCAATCTAGTTGAAGGACATCATCTTCTTGATTTCAGCAATGGCCTTTCCGGGGTTAAGGCCCTTGGGGCAGGTTCTTGAGCAGTTAAGGATGGTGTGGCACCTGTACACACTCATACTGTTGTCGAGAGCGGCCTTGCGCTGTTCAGTTCGCTCGTCTCGCGAGTCGATCAGCCATCTGTAGGATTGGAGCAAAAGGGCGGGGCCAAGGTATTCTTCACTGTTCCACCAGTAGGAGGGGCAAGATGTCGAGCAGCAGGCGCAGAGAATACACTCATACAGACCATCGAGCTTCTTTCTGTCAGCAGGGGATTGGCGGTTTTCACGGCCCTATGGAAAGAATATTAGTTGTTATCCTAGGTTAGGAGCTACTCGACGAGTGACTTACATCAGGCGATGGAGTGTCACGTTGCAGATAGGGCTGGATAGATTTGTACTGTTTGTAGAATTGTGTCATGTCAGGAACGAGATCCTTCACGACATAGGTATGAGGCAAAGGATAGATGCGAGTCTCTTTAGAAGTATCGGTAGGAGTGCGGCCTGAAATTAAAGATGTAAGTTTCACTATGCATCACGCCACAGCTAATTCCACTTAAGTAGACATATTTCGACTTACAGAGACATGCAAGAGTGTTCACTCCGTCGATGTTCATCGCACAGCTGCCGCAGATACCTTCTCTGCAGCTCCTCCTGAACGTCAAAGTCGGGTCATTTTCGTTCTTGATTCTGATCAAAGCATCCAAAACCATGGGACCAGTCTTGTTCAGGTCAATGGTATATGTCTGCATGCGAGGCTTAGCAGTCGGCTCGTCTGGGTTCCATCGATATATCTTGAAGGTCTTCATCTTTGGTGCTGGTGCGCTGGTGGCTGCGGACGAGGCCTCTGTGGACTTTGCGTTCGTCTCAACGGTCGCATACGATCGAGAGGCCATGGCAGGGCGCATGAGAGCGCAGGAGCTGCGGAAGAGACGAGAGGTTGAGCGGAGAGATGCCATGGTGGACGAAATGAAGGTTTGTTCGTTTCAACAACAAATGTGTGTTTGCCGGCAAACCGGAGCCCGAAAACAGGACAGCCAACCTCTAGTTATACCAGGGACCAGCAATTGACGCAGGAAAGGCGGTTAGTCTCTCGCGTTATGCGTGTTATCTCGTCCTCGCCGCCGTCGATGATCGATGGTTGATGTCGAGTGTTTCTTGCAAACCTCGGGATGGAGTTCTTCGGGGGAAGTCGGTTATGTCAGCGCCCACCAGCCAATCAGCGCCCACCCATTACCAGCATCACGAAAATTGGTCGACGTTTGGCCTCTGCGGTTCATTTTACCATCCAAGGACTTTCGTCTTTTGCCGAAGGGCCATTCATGTTGACTCAATGTTGGAGCTGCAAGCTGCAAAAACAAACAAGAGGCGAGCAGAAGGATATAAAAGACTTGCATACAGCATGAGACTAACAAAATAAAAAAGAAGTAGGAAACGGCTACGGCTATCAAGATGACTCGACTGACAGTGCTAGGATTGATAGGACTCCTAGTCTAGAACTCATCCGCTCTCTCGATCCGATATCTGGTTGCTATATTATGCTATTGTCCGAGTTCTTCTCCATAATTCAACGGGGCCTTATTTCTAGTCGAGTACAATCGCCCGGACTTACTAATGTCGAAGCTCACATTATATAAAGGACCAAGCCTGCCCTTCACACAGCCGCTCTCCGCCTCCTCTCACTTGGCGTGTTTGCGGAAGAAGTCGAAAACTGAAAGTTGCTCATGCTGACGCAAGAAGCGGGATCTAGATGAGATGCCATGTCAACTCGTTTGAGAAGCCTCATCCTTCCTTCAAGCTTCCTCTGTAGCCAACGACACAACTAGACATCTCATGGCCAAGATAAAGCGAAGGATTCTATCCTAGAGGAGCCGCGTAACTCGCAATTTTCGTGGGCTCAAAGAGAGAGCCTGAAACGGGCTACAGAGCATTGTTCGGCTGAATTGGGTAGAAGTCTATTCCATACACCACAACTTATCTCCGTCTCGCTAAGTTTCAGCTCTGGCTAAAATCCGTCAAAGAGTGCAGGAGAAATGCTGCGCCGTGAGATGGAGAGAAAGCCACTTGTGGTTTAGTTTACGCACTTAAGGAGACGCATTTACGAGACTTGGCATAGGTTAAACCCAGACGAACGACCAGGCAGCTCGGAGCTTGAAGCGTCATGACTCCTACTCATGCCACGAGAGCCCCTCATACAGATGATCGCCAAGTTTAAAAAATGATAGCGAGACGGCGCTTTATAGACAACGAGGAGTTTGATCCAACCGTGTATCAGACATTCTCCGTCGTCGGCGGGTCTTCCATCAATTGCAGTCAGATCTTCAGGCATTACGAGATACGTCATTCAGAACAATCACAATCCTCTTTGCATTATGGACCCGGTCCTGGGGCCGAAAAGAGGGTATGGGGTTTTGTGCTCTTTGTTGCACTACATGAAGCTCGAGGCGAGCCCTGACAGGAAAAAAGATCTTGAGCCACGCGAAGAGTTTAAATGCTAACCGCTGACAAGCCATCCAACCAGCCATTCTTACTGGCTCTTGGCTTGGTTTGGGTAGGTGAAGAATAGATCCTTCGTTCCAGATGTTTCGGGCGTAAGATAAACAATTTCCTTGCCCTCCCACCAAAAGACGATCCTCCTCGTGGCTTACTCCTAGTTGGCTTCACGGATGCGCGGTACATCCTGGACATATCCATTCTGGGCCTCTAAAGTTTAGCTGCACATGGAGTTAAGGATAGCATGGATGTGGGCACAGTACATTAGGCCTCCGTTTGTATTTGGAGGTTCTATTTTCATGCCGTGCCCTTAATCTCCAAGGCTGAGCGGAATTGTCTGATATATAAGAGTGATAATTCCTTCATCGATTGCTCCTGTAACTGGATCAATAATCAGGGTTACCACCAATCCAGCTATATTAATTGTCTCCCGCTCCTCTTGAAGAAATACAATTTAATCAGACTCTTCACACTCACTCAGGAGCCCCTTTGAAGACTATCTTTCTTCCAACCACATCTTTACGCACGTCGCAATGGATACTTGCACATTAGAAACCTGCCCCATAACGGAGAGTATCTACCAGTATCAGCCATCTCTTGCTGGCAATGCTGCGCTTCTCGCCATCTTTGCCGCTTCCGGCATAGTCCACTGCCTACAGTACTTCTTCTTCCGAAATAGCTCTTACTCCATCCCTATGATCCTGGGATGCCTGACAGAAGTTATCGGTTATGTCGGCCGTGTCCTCCTCGCCGATGACCCATTCAGCCAAAATGGTTTCCTCATCCAGATCTGCTGCCTCACGCTCGCCCCTGCTTTCTTCTCCGCCTCGATTTATTTCTGTCTCGCAGATATTGTTCGTCTCTTTGGCGAAGAAGCCTCATGGATTAAGGCAAACCAATACGCCTGGATCTTCATCCCGTGTGATATCGTCAGCTTGATTCTTCAGGGTACTGGTGGTGGTTTGGCCTCCGTTGCTGCTGATAAGAACACCGACCAAGCCCCAGGAACAAACACTATGATTGCCGGGCTGGCCTTCCAGGTCATCACCCTCGTTGTCTTCATGTTCCTTACTGTTGGCTTCATTGTCCGCACCATGAAGGCCCGATCTTTGCAGGAGAAGGAAATGGGTGCCCGGCCAAAACTTCCAATCAGCCGCGATCGATTGGTCACTTTCGCCGTTCCATTCACTGTCGCCATCATCACCATCTTCACTCGATGTGTCTACCGTGTTGCTGAGCTGAGTGAAGGCTGGGAGGGAGATCTGATCCACGATGAGGTTACCTTTGTTATCCTTGAGGGAGTGTAAGTTCTCTACATACTTTTGTCTAGCATCGCGACCTGTTAACTAACGACATATCGCATAGGATGATCGCTATTGCTGTTATCTGCCTGAACATCTCCCACCCAAAGCTCCTCAACCAGAAATAAACTCTCTACACTATCAACTGTTCCTTTCCTAGCATTAATACCCCATTTATAGACTCTTTACTCGCGCGTGATTCTTCATGTTTACTCCTTTATGCATATATCCCCGAATATATCTAACTCTTCCCTGGCGGTTTTCCCTTCCTTTGTGTCCACTTGATGATTTGCTGTACCTGGAGTGATACAACTTCTATGCTTTTTCTTAAAAAAAAAGGAATGATTTTTTTTCGGTTTTGGAGACGTCTACACCAGGAACGAAATTATAAATAAAATATCCTCTGCAATATCACAATTAATTCATTCGTTTATTACGTAATCAATGAGTAATATGAAAATCTCGGCCATCATTTTATTGAAAACGTCTCAAGTCCATCAAAGTAATAGTGATTGGAGCGCACTATTCCCACCAGCCCGACCTTTGATGGACTTTACATGCAATCTAACTAAAGTGGCCCATCAAAACTGGGAATTCAAGCACGTATATACATACTCATTCAAATACATTGCCCCTCTGTCCACTATCCACCTCCACACTTTATCCCCTTTCCGCCTATCCTTCGGGACGATTCCCCCCCAGCCGCGCTACCACCGCTTGCTTCCATTGCCTTAGTTTTGGGGCAATATGTTGTGATTTGGTTGGGTAACGCGGCCGGAACCACTTTAACTTCCGAAGCCGCCGTGATATCTGTTTTCGTGTCGATGCTTCGAGTGGCTTGTTGGTAAGGAAGTCTCGGTCTTCCTCGTTGATCGAGAAAGCGTCGTCGGATAGGTCGAGTTTATGGAACCATGACGCTTGGTACAGGTTCATATCGAATGGGGCGTGCTGGTAGAGTAATATATTATTATTCTGTTCGCCTCACTAGAAATCTAGTGGATATATGAATGGACACTTACTCGTGCCTGTGGTGTTTCCCGAGGTATTTCCTTCCCCTCCTTTTCCTCCTCTGGTTCCCCCGAGAGATCCTCTTCCATCGATCGCCCTGCACCGTTGCTGCCCTTTCCGCTGCGGCGGGATCGGGCAGTCCAAAAGGTGTTTTCCGTGGCGGTGCTTCCACTTGGTTCGCTCCAGTGTACCGGGTAGAGTTGGTCTAGGGGCAGCCCTTGGTAGTGGAAGTGGTTGTGGACCGATATCAGCCTAACCTGAAAGGCACAATCTGGGTGGTGACACCGATCCATAAGGTCCGCTCTGGCAAAATCCGGGGAGGTGGCTGCTCCGTTCCTCGAGGCAAAGGGGATGGCCGGCAGGGTCTCCATCCACTCCCTAACTCTCTTGGAGTTTTCGATGTTGAGGATTATGGCAAGCCTTTGGTCCATGATGAATGTTCTTATTTCTTTTTTTTTGGTTTAAGCCGCTGCTGTCTTGTCTTGGCTTGTTTAGGTCAACCTTGACAATCGGTTTGTTGTCGAGCTATTGACTTGTTTCCGTTAGTCAAAGTTCGGTGTGGGTGTTTTGGTTATTGTCTCGGGACTTGTTTAGGTCAGTCGCGAGCTCGAAAGGCGGGTTTGTCGAAAAACGAATAACAGTGTGCCGAAACAGATTCGTATTCAGATGCGGTTGAAATTCGCGTTTACGTTAACAAGTCGGGTTAGAGATTTGAGACTCAGGTTTGGTGTATGAGCCTTGAAGTTTGAGGTTTGGAGATGTTTTTGGTGATGAAGAGAGAAAGTGAAGGAGAGAAGGAGAGAAGGGAAAGAGCTTGGGAATTAGGACATCTTTATACCCAGTGTGTATGACTCGAATGACGGTAATGGCTTGACAGGATACAGCTACCAAGGTTCGGTGTTCCAGCAACCGTATAATATGAAGATATTGTAGACATCTATGATGCTATCATATCATTATTATACTGGTGGAACTGGGATGAACTTTAAATCAACATTACGCCCAAGTTTAGCGCGCTTGGCGGTTAATTGCTTGAACATGCAATATGAAACTTGCTGGTCATTAGCTGCGTTTAACGGCACGCCGAAAACTGCGACAGTAACTCTAATACTCCCATAATGTGGTGATCTTGATTTATTATGTAAGTAATATTGCATGGCCACTGTGTCGCCCATATAATCTCTAAATATGTCCCAGAGTCCCACCGAGACACTGTATATTATTACCCGTAAGCCATATGAGCCATAGGGCCTACATGGTTCATGACGGCCGGCGGTAATCCTCTTGTGTATACATAGTAGTGGCTCCTCAGGCGCCGGCTTACGGCTATAGATACCTCGAAATAAAACGGTTCATTCGATATACTCCACGGAACCCCCCGGACCGTTCCAATGGCCCCCACGAGCAGTAGATATGACACCTTCCGGCTCTGCGTGGAGCTTCTGTTCAGCCATTTTTCCACTCGCAAAATTCTATCATCGAAATCTCCAACTTAGTTATTAGCCGCGAGTTTGACTTTATCGTCATCACGTGATAGTAATTCGAGCACGGACAGTGGAGACAGTCAGATGACCCCACTTACCCTATACAGTGGGTCACTTGATGACATCAGAAAAGCTTGGCTCCAACTCTTATCACCACGAATAAACCGTCTGGGCGAGTTCTTTTCTTTTCGCTCTCTTCCCTTTTTTTCTTCCCTCTCGCCAGACCTCGCGCGCCAGGCCATTCTCCCGTATATCCAATACATGTGCTTGACACTCTGTCTGTGTATACTTTTCCTTTCCTCCTTTGACACTGGGGTGAACTAGGCCTGCTGTACCAGTTTTCAGACGAAGAACCCCTCAATTTTCTTTGCTCTCTGTCGTGCGTGCTGTGGCGATGGACAACATTCTGAGCCAGCCGTATATGTCTGGTCCTGGAGCTGCAGCTTCAACCCCGGGACAGGCTCATCCCCTTCCCCACCCGCAACATCAGCATCACCAGCAGCAACAGCAGCAACAGCAGCAACAGCAACAATCACAGCAACAGCAACAGCACCAGCACCAGCACCAGCACCAGCACCAGCACCAGCACCAGCACCAGCATCCACAGTCTCATTCCCATTCCCACTCTCAGGTGCAGCCACAATTACAGCCTCCGGCTCAGACCCAGCAGCCAATAACCCTGCCACCCGTACGGCAGCACCAGCAGAACCTTGACTTTACCTCTATTGTGTACGATGGCTACGAGTATATTCTTGAAGTCGTCCAGCAGCCTATCCGCGCGCGTATGTGTGGGTTTGGGGATAAGGTATGCTGTGTTTCATTGGCGTGTTAGACACCCAGCAGAACTGCTAACAGCTCCTAGGACCGCCGACCTATTACCCCTCCACCGTGTGTTCGTCTCATTGTTAGACACGCCGCCACGAAGCAGGAAGTAGAAGCGGAGTATGTACCTACCCAGTAAACTTACCTAGCTTGCCACCCGCAGCCAATTAACCAATTAATTTTTAGGGAAATTGACACCACATTTTTTGTTCTCACTGTTGACCTCTGGAATGCGGAGGGTGATCGTGAAGTCAATCTTGTTAGACACTCGGCGACTTCACCTTCTATTTCAACTGCAACATCTTCTTCTTTTCCACCCCCATCCCAAAATGTTGCCCCGGCAGCCCCGGCAGCCCCAAATTATCAATCTTACCAACAGCAAGGCATGTATAACCACACACCCAGTCCTTACCCGTACTACTCCGCCCATACCTATGCTGGCCAACCTGGGATGTCATACACTCCTCACCCTACTGGGCCATCGCAGACTTACTATCCCAACGCGAGCCAAGGATACTACCCGCCTCAAGCGCAGCAACCAGTTGTGCACCATATGCCTCCCACTCCTGTCGGCATGTTCACGCGCAATTTAATTGGAAGCCTGAGCGCAAGCGCGTTCAAACTATCCGACCCTGCTGGTAAACTTGGCATCTGGTTTATCCTTCAGGACCTGAGTGTTCGTACCGAGGGCATGTTCAGGTAATTACATTGTATATCAGTCTCAATTCTTCCAATACCCACTAACTCTCTTTATTAGGCTGAAAATGAACTTTGTCAACGTGGGAACCCCTCAGGCATCTCTGAGCCAGAACCCCAACAGTTCATCATCTACACCAATTCTTAATCACGGGTCAGCTCCCGTGCTCGCGTCTGTCTACTCAGATGTTTTCCAAGTCTTCTCCGCCAAGAAGTTTCCCGGTGTCATTGAGAGCACACCTTTGAGCAAGTGTTTTGCTATTCAGGGGATAAAGATTCCTATCCGCAAAGACGGAGTTAAAGGCGGCAGAGGTGGTGGGGCTCCTATGATGTTAAAAGACGATGCTGATGGCGACGAACAATACGACGAGTAGATGTTCATTGTCCCCACATCGGTTACATCGGGTTACATCTATTCAAAAGGAAACAGTTTCGCTCTTCTCTATCCCCTTCGTTATCTTTATGTTGTATTCTCAGTGGCCTGTTACAGGGTTTCGTTCAGTCGGTCGTTGTTAATAATTTGGCGTTGCTGGGCTAGCTATCTCAGGTACTACAATGGCATGTTCAACGTGTACTTCTGTATTATAATGCATATTACCCTTAGACGTGAGTCGTCGTTGGCTATATCAAATGACACAGCTAGTATTACGCGAATTCATGAGAAGTAATATCCACTTTTGCATATTTCTGGCAGATTCGTTACAAACGCATCTTGGAAGGCATCGGTGAACAGCGTCATGCAGGCGCATGCCGCATAACATTCGCGGAGCGGTGAGAGAGAGAGAGAGAGAGTAGAGCGAGGATGCGACACGATGGAATTGGAAAAGGAGGTTGTACTCTGGATCATCCCATTGTAGGATTGTCGATATTGGTACATCATCTGTAAAAAGACAAAGGTAGGAAACATTGAATAGTGAGTATTAGGCTGCTTGCTAAAATATCACCGCCGTCTGAAATGTGGGTATCTTGCCTTACATAAAAAGGGGTAACAGGACATGAAACATAAACCAATACTGAATAGAAGCGAATGTTTCAAGAAAAGAAGAAGGAAAGGGAAACGAGTTAGTGAACGTCCCGGCCAAACAGTAAAACAGAGTAGAAATGAGGCGAATTAAAGAATTAAAACCCGAAAAATGCATGTAACAGAGGAAAGGAAAGGAAAAAAGGAGGCAAAGGTGACCAAATTATCCTCTTACTCAGAACGCCTGCCCGGAAAAAACCCATAACTCTATAAGCACAAAGTGACTGATATCGCGATACGATGACTATGAAAATCATTTCCATCGACTTGTCCATGGTTGGCGTGGCTGTTGGGGAGGCGCGTTTACAACCTGCTCGATCGAATCAACAGACGAAGGCGAACCTAGGTCTGACATGGCGGGCTCATGAGTGATCTCGATGGTGGTCTCTTGGTACACCCGACAGAAACCACCCTTCTCGATTTCATCAATTATGTCGTCAGTGGATCGATCAGAGAAGGTGTTATCGTTCGTAGTGAACTTCGGCATCTTCCTTAGCTCGTAGCCCTTGGCTCTTCGGCGGTCTGTGGTAGCAGAGACGTTATGACTCCGCCGGCCATGGGAGCCAGATCCGCCCTTTTCTGATGATCGACTGAGTTCGGAGTCAAGGAGAAGTGCTTTGCGTGTCAGTGTATACATGATCACATCGACTGTTCCAGAGCTTGCGATGATGGCAGCTGCAGCACATAGATAGGTGAGGGATGGAGGACGGCCGCTAGCGCTTGCCATACGCCCGGCAGCGATAGGAAGAGACAATAGCAGGTATGCCAAGGGGTAAAGCACCATGTAACCTGTGACTCTGCGGAGCCTCCCAAGGTACTCCCTCTGTCCGCGTGCCAGAGCAGCGGACGCTTGCATCTTGCGTCGAAGATAAAAGAAAAGGAATGCATAGAGTATGAGAGAGCCGAATTCGGAGATAAAGATCCAAAAGTAATGGGCCCAGAATCTCTCTGCTTCAAACTCTTGATCGATCCAGCACTATAATGACATTGTCAGCACTACTGTAATGACAGTGTAGGTGTTCAACGTGAGATAGAAGAAAGTTATGCCGTACCCAGGCGCCAGATGGAACGAAAGTACGTTTTCCATGTCTGATAGTTGGGATCAGGACAAGGAGTAAACAGAAGCCCCAAAGTGCAATAATGCAGCTCACGGTCAGCCTGTAAGATAGTTTCCTTCCGATAACGACTGTTGCAAAGGTGTGAATCGCAATGGCGAGGACGAACAGTCCACTTGACGGATCGCCTATCTGTAATAGCCATCCTTGTATAGCACAAACGGGGGAGTTGGCGTGTAGGCTGTCATACACCATCCAGTGAATTGACATGATGAAGCCCAACGCAACATGGAGATCCGCCAATAACAGATTGTAGATGAGAACCACAAACTGGTTATGCCCGAGATAGGCTCCGTCATGCTTGCGCCAGAATAACAGCCGGTATGTGAGGAAGCCTAGCAATCCCAGAACTGCTGCAGCAGCCACTGCCGACGCTACCACCACCATAATCGTTCCATGTCGTAAATCTGCAGGCAAAGGGGATATGTCTAGAGTGGTTTGTGCTTGTGGTTCGAGGGAGGACGCTTGCCGTGCAGCATGTTGATACTGCTGCTTGAGGGTGTGCCGAAGAAGTGAAACACCCAACGCCATGATAATAACCCGTCAATCTGCCGTCGAATGTTGCTCCGTAAATGGCTATGAAGACAACAGACACACCGGTATGTCGTCGTAGCGTAGATCTGGTGTATAAGCTATATCAACGAGTGACTTGATCGCTCATCGAGCAAGTGCCAGCTGGCTCAACAATCTGTAATTAACAAACAACGCCTCCCGAAAAGATGGATGTCTGGGGAGTGTTGTTGGTATGACTTGGGAAGCTTGAGCTATAGCCAAGCGGATATAATAAGATAAAAAAAAAAGAGCCTGCAAGCATTGCGTATTTCTTTCATCCGAGAGTGGCCTTGTGAGCCCGGCCCAGGGGATATACAATGGATGGTTGCATGGATGGGACTCTCTCCCTCCCTCTCTCTCTCCTTATCCACCCCGACCTTCGTATTGGGTGCTTAAACTTGAATGACCATCACGTCCAGGGCAATGGTAAGGGATTTGCCTTAGCAGGGTATGGTGACGCCGATCTAGCTGGAGTCATACAAGGGCAATTCCCTTTTCCGAGCAGAGGAGAAAAACCCCATACATAGTGTATCGTTATGCGTCTTGACCCATGAGAAGAAAAAGCAAAGAAGATACCCCGGGCCCTTCCAGAAGCCAGAAGCCCCCTAAAAACTAAACACTAACCTAACGAGCTGTCAGGATCGATCAAGGCTTTGTTTTTGTCTTTCCTCCAGGCCGTTGGAGGCTTGTCAACAGGGCAGCCTTTTGGTATACCGCCACATTGCTGTGACCTGGGCATGGCACCGGACAAAAGAGACACACACACACACACACACAGAGAGAGAGAGAGAGACGGGGACAAGGTGCGACTGGACCTGCATATTCTCCATCTCCAGGCAAAAATGGCGGTGGAGGATACGTCGCAGCTGTTGAGGAGCAAGTGTCCAGCGCATATACCCTGCAGATATTGGTAGACAGCAGTCGAAGCTGTTCAACCATCGACTTCATGCCTGCGGTCCCTCTCCTGCTTTGTTTTTCTCTTCTCCTAACGGACAGGAGGAGAACACCCAAAACGTCTCCACAGGCGCGGCAGAGGGCTTGGACTATTCTCTGTCGATCCAGCGTTTTCACACAGGAATCTTGAATTGTCACTGGATGGCTGGACTTGAAAAACCTGCGACGGCGTCGATGCTGGTGGTGAATAACGCTAACACCTCCCGTATAGCTAGCCCTGGCCGGGGATTCTTCCCCATCGTTAACTCGGAAAACGGCTACTGGTGCGGGATAGAGAGCTGGGGACATCCATGTCCAATCCAGCAGAGGCAGAGGGAGCGAGATTACCGTCTGTTGGTGCTGGGAGGGCGACAGATAGTTGTCCCCAGGCCATGGTCGACCAAAAGCCAAGGCGAGAGAGAGAAACTTGGACTCCCCGAAGAGACGGTAATAAACTAGCTAGTTGAAGCTCATATCAGGTTACCACTCCTTATGTGCGAGTTGGGTGTATCCCTTTTTTAGATCTGATGCCCGAAGAGCAGGCCATTACCCTTGCTGCCAATGTTACTCGATGGTTCCCAGTTCTGTGCTCTGCGCATTTAGATCTCATCTTGTATCATCAGTACAGAGTGCAAATGCTCGAATAGTAAATTGCTGTCGGCCATAACCTGATACACACCCGGTAACGACTGTGGCAAGGATTGGGCTGCCTAGCATGCCAGAGCTACCAACAATTGTCATCAGGGGAGGCGAGAAAAGTTGCTTCGTCGATAGCCACCCCCTGATTCTCCTGCTTCGAGCCCAGGTCTCCGACAAGCTTAACCTAAAGGTCGGGGAATATTCTGCAGTTGCAGGCCTTGTTGTGCATAAGATACGGGCGTGGAAGGGTGTGCATGAAGCTATTTGTGATTTGAAGCCATCGCTCGATGCACCTTCACACCGACCAGAAGCCACAATCAACAAGATGGCCTGCAAGTATTACTATTATTATCGCTGTTATTATTACAGTAATACAAGCAGATCTGTGCAAGGGATACGGATCTAAGGTTAAATTTGACCAGGCTAATCTCCAGATTGCACTATTAAGCTGACTTGAAAAAAAAAAAAAAAGAAAAAAAGCCGGCTATAAGGGGGATATCAAGAAGACTATGCTATGCAATTGAGAAGAAACAAAGGGTAAAACGTCATGGTGTGAAAAGCAAATCTAACTGGGGTAAAAAAGCATGGAGTACAATGTATAGTTTTTTAATCAAGACCAAAAAATGCATAAACCAAACCGAAGCTAATGGGTAATAGGAAACGAAATGGGGAATAAGGTCGTGTGGAAATGTGATAGCCAGCCAGAAACAAAAATAAAACGAAAAAGAGGGAAAGCAAAGAAATCAACGAAAAGCACAAAGAGAAGCTGATTACCTGTGTAAGGGTATTGTCACATTAAAAATGTAAAATAGGGAAGTCGTAAAATGGTACTTCGTTCCGGTGCTGGACGAAGGTTGGCAGCTTTTGCGCCGTCGATTAGAATGCGAAGATCGCGCGGGGCTGGACAAAGGTCGCTATGGCCGCGGAGTGAGGCTGCTCCTACAGGCGGACGGGAGGGAATCGATGGCGGGATGTGGGTATCACTTCCCTTGCCGTATAGGAACAACATACTCGTTGTATTCCTCGGACTCTTCCTCGACAGGTGCAGGCGTTCTCCGTTCGGTACGGCGTTTAGGCCTTCGCCTTCTGTTCGAACTAATGTTGCTCGCAGACTCTGAGGGAGCAATCGACGCGCCGTCGTCGACATCTTCGTCCGTGCCGCTCTCAAACTCGGCCGGTGTCCCGCTCCCTCCCATCGGCACAGGCGTGCCCGCTAGTATCTGGATATTGGACCTGCTGCCTCTTCTTGCCTGGCTTGCGGCCGTAAGCCCAGCACCTCGTTCGCGTAAAGCGCGCCGGACCATTTCCGCCTTCCCATGGAGTATCTCAAAGGCATCTTCAAGAGCCTCCATGCCAAGGAAGATGTCCCTCTCCACTTCCGCCAACGCGGCAATTTCCGTTTCTTCGTCAATAGAAATAGGAGCACCATACGATCCGGTCGCGGTGCTGATGGGAGCACCTGCACGAGGCTGGCTGGCGGAGCGCATAGTCTGGTTGCCATCTCTTGGGAGGCTTGTGTGGGGGTCAAAGGGAGGCTCTGTGGCAGATGTTGGGACAGAGCTGTCCTCTGCTCCACTCCTCAGAAACCCATCAAAACGGCCAGATATGAGTATGTCCCACTCGTCGTCGCTGATAGCTGCTAACGTTGCTAGGACATTGTGCATTTCGGGGTGCTTCACCATGTATAAGGCCGTCTCTGGGTCACGGGGTGGGGTCTGCAGTCTGTATAGGCGGTAGATTGCAACAGCCCCTAAAACCAGACAAGGAGGTCTATCTGGGGGCTTTGGCGTCTCTTTCTTAGGAACGGCTGGGCCTAGTGGGAACTCTAGTAGTGCTGCAAAGGGGGCTCTTTGTTCTGGATCCAGGTAAGTTAGAATAGCGAATGTAAGAGTCTCATCATCAACGTCTCCAGGAGGTTCAGCTGGTTGGTCAGGCTGGCGAGAAAGCCATTTATCCACAGCCTGTTTTGTTTTACGCGACTGTCTGATATAATGGTCTCGATATTCCTCAGGGACGTCAATGTCAAGCTTTTGCATAGGTATGTGTTCCTGTGAGCTTTCAAAAGCAGTTTGGTCAAGCTCTGGTTGCATACGGAATGGTGGCCACGTTGGTAAGTCGCTTCGACCCGAAACGAGTTCCAAGACCTCACCCCAGCTAACTCCAGCTTGTCCATCTTGCTCCTCCTTGCCGCAGCACATAGGGCACTCGCAGGACTCTGACGAAATATCTCGAGCAAACACAGATTCCAGTCTGTCCAATAACCGCCTTGCCACGGATCTGTATCCCGTAGCCACTGCTATCGAACCATTCTTTTCTATCACTCGACTATAATCACCTAATAACTTGGAAAATGGTTCAAATAGCTTCATTCCTGTATTGGCAGGCTCAAAAAGGTGTTGTGGCATGTTAGCTGATTCTCCCGCTCCAAGGAAGTTCCGGGGTACGTGATAACCCAGGCCGCCATTTTGGAGCAGATAGTCAACTCTGGGTCTCGACAGCGGTATTTCTGGAGGGGGTGGGGGTGGGGGAGGTGGTGGAGGCGGAGAGGCAGCGGATGGGTCTCTTAACGCCTCCTGTACCAATAGCTCCGGGCGTGGCGATGGGGATGCGTGTGAGGGAGGTCTAGATGCACGAGGGCGGTTTCGTAGTTTGGGTAGTTGTTCAGTGGTCTTCACTTGTACAGGAGCGATCGATGTAGCATCCGAGTCTACTGTTTCTGCAATTGTCTCGTTATCGGATAGAACATCGATAGGTGATGCTGACTTTCGGTTCTGGGACGATTTCCCGGATTTTCGGTGCGCTGAAGTGGTAGAGGATCTGTGAGAAAACTGAAGGGCCTCAAAAATTTTCAATTTGGTTGGGGTACTGGATCGGGCCTTCGTACTGGTTCTCAGCGTTTGGTCACTTAGCTTCTTATACATTCCGGTGTTGGAGGACCTGGCAGAATGGTTCCTTGACGACTTATGCTTCTTTGGTTCTCCTGAAGCCTTGCTCTGGGTTTCCTTCTCCTCTGACCGGCGGCCATCATTGGACGGCGTGCTTTTTTGCCGGGGGAGCTCTGTATCATCATTTGTGAGAGGAGGGCTTGGTGGTCGAGTAGCCTGACTGTGTCTCTTGCTCTGCGTCTTGTCCTCGTCCGTGGAACTCGGCTTTTGCTCATCCTTCTTGGCTTCTGTAGATGTCAAGTCTGTAGGTTCGGGGGTCAATATATTTAGTCGTACCCCTAGGTTATCCCGACTCCCAACGGCCTCCTTGCTATGTGCCTTTGAGAAGCTCGGGTAGGGCGTAGACACCTTCGATTCGTTGGTTTCAGACATAAGGGCGACAGACGGGTGTTTCTTAATCCTTAAGCTCGATGTGGATGAGTTTGGTGAGCGGCCAGCTCCGTCCTTCAGCCTATCTTTATCAGATCTGGGCCTAGTCTTCTTGCTTGTACTGTGTGAAGAACCATGAGTTGTTCGACTGTGACGTTCTTTCTCTCGAGCCCGCGATGAAGAGGAGCGTGACGGTTTGGCGGTTCCTTCAGTTCCCTCACTGCTCTGGTCGTCAGAAGCCCGGTCTCGATCTCGCGGTCGATGATGTTCTCGCGACTTGGAGGGCATGGCGGCTAGTGAGAAAGAGGTAATCCTGCCGGCAGCAGCAAGATAGAGGTGGTACCAGGGAGCGAAATGTTGCCCAGCAGGCTGGTGAATAATGCGCCACTACTAAAGGGTCGAAAATGCGTGGATCTTAGTCACAGACGACCGATCGGAAGCGATCCCGTAAGGCATCAGGGGGCTCTATTGAGGTGCTTTTTGGTGATAGCGCAACTTCATGGATCGCAACATGAAAAGCAAGGGACTGGCCAGAGCGTTATCATGCGTAGTCGACAAGTAAATCGGCCTCCGGTTCCGTCAGCCAGTTGGGCACCAACAAGCTAGCACAACGTGAGAACAGGCAGGGAGAGGACAATATTAAGTCAAGTCCACGGTCCTTCGGAAAGCTGGGCAACTGTGTGTTGCAGGTACAAGGCAAGTAAATTTCTCTGGGGGGCCGTTGAACTTTGTACTTTAAGGCAACTCTGCAAAAAAGATCCTCCGTTGACGGGATCGTGTGGCTTTAGTGTAACAGCACTAGTGAGAAGGGAGTGAAGCCTTAACCCTGTTCTTCTCTCAACTTCTGTCCCTTTTTTCTCTCTGCTCAGCGCTGTCTGTTCGCCTTCATCGGCGTGTTTTTACTCTGGTTGATCTCGATGTATCGAAACATTCGATGAAGTCAAGAACTTCCCGATTCAGCGGATCAGACAAAAACCTTAAGCGCCGTGGCCACGTGATCACCAGTTTCACTTTTAGGTATAAAAGTCACATGGCCAGTTCTTGTCAGCAAGTCGAGGTCGTGTAGTGTAGCGGTCATCACATCGGATTCTGATTAGTCATTGGAAGTTCCGATAACCCTGGTTCGAATCCTGGCATGACCTTGTTTTTTTTTTTTTTTATCCTTACGCGCTCTAATTCTCCTTGCTTACTTCGAGTGATATTTTGTTTTTGGCTCTGCCCTTTTTACTTCATATCCAATCAACAGTGGAGTTAATTGGTAGATTCCTTCAGTATAACGTCTTTTGGTATTCTTCGTTCCAGGTCGAAAACGTCATAAAGGTCATATGATAAAAGAGCACATATAAAACACTATGTACAGCTTCGTGTATATGTACGGGGTAGGCAGAAAGAGCCACCGCTAGTCCAGAATAAATACACTGCTTTGTGGAGACGCCATGGGTTCCGGGTAAGGGGAAATATACGGACTCGGGAGGCGTGGCAATGCAGTTATTCCCGCAGGCCGCGGTTCTGAAGACTCAACTACTACCGATTGCATCGCAGTCACTTTTGGCTCTGTTCGCCTCGGGATTTCGTTTGCAACAATTGGCCGTCTGAATACGTCACCATTCAGATGGTACCAGCGACCTTTAGGGCTGAAATCTTTTGTCGGAGACATGGTCTTGTACTCCTTTCGTGCGATGAAGAATGAGCGGAAAGCTGTTGCTGCAGCGAGGCAAACGCCAATCTCCGCACATATTATCACCCAATAAGTTTCCCAGTTTGTGTCGACCAGTCCCTTGTAGTAAACGCCCGCTCCCCGAATGATCGTTACAATGCTCATAAGAATGGTGAGGCAGAGTGACAGAGTGAGGGCTATCTTTTGAGTCCATCTCACCTGCACAGTCCAGATCATCCGGACTGGTATATATAAAACTAAATAATGCCGTCAGCCTACTATCACATATTTACATTAAAGAGGGGGGCTTACCCAATGCATCACCCAAAAGATCTAATGCCAGGTGTATGAATAGAAAGGTCGACACTCGTCGCTGGCCAGATGGTGTCAAACATATAGCTTGATTCAGGGTTAGCCCGGATACCTAAGATGATTTTGGCGGCATGGATTCACTCACCATTTTCGAGAGTGTAGTAATAAGGGCAGGAAATATGAGTAACCACAGACCCATAGCCCATAATACCGATGTTAAGAATAGTTGCTACCCACCAATACCTGTCCAATGATGGAATCCCGTTGACCAGATTTTTAAAGAGAGCCAGGAAGCTAAACTTCACGGACATTATGGCCAGCCAGAGCAGTATTGTTGTCACCTGCACCCATTTTTGATAGTCAAAAGTTATCTGTATAATATCAGGAGGGAAGGTTACTCCAGCGGTCTCGCCGAACTGGAGTGCCAGTGTGAGGTACATCTTGTCGATTGTGATGGTATAAAAGATGATCAGCGCTATTGACAAACAAGAAAGGCCGGCGGCTAGAAATATGTCGTCCCATGAAACCTGTTTCTGGATCCGAATTCGGATATATGCACGCGCAATAGCGGCTATCCAGCAAACAACGAAAAGGACAGCGGTCGAAATCTTTGTTTGACATGAGCGTCCATATCGGAATATATTAAAAGGGAAGCCTTACAATGACATCTCCTCTGTGTAGTCGACCCGTATTTCCAGCCCCCATCATGCTATATGTTATCGAAGCAATTGAATCTGACCATTGTCCTTTCCAATTTTTCGTGAATATCAATGTCTACCGAGACACAATCAATCTAGCATAGGCTCATCCATTCAGATAATATGAGAAATATGAGAGCCTCGTCCAGTTTATGAGATCACGCAGGGCTACTTAAGGATGCCGACTGGGGGCGCAGACATTGCATGTACGGGCACGGCCATGTGGCTATAACCCCGATCATGCATGCAGACATAGGCTATTCGATTAGTCAATATGTACAAGAACCAGGACGGCATGCGGCCCGAAGTGTTATGCTTTTGCATGGGTATATATATGGCCTTGATCCTTCAAGATTGACAAATACTATTATACATAGTAAGGCTCGACATCACTTGCAGTAGGCACGCATATGCAAGCAATATCTGCGCCAGGTATATGTATAAGCGTGTATACATTAAAACATATTGTATGGGCGCGACATAAAGATGATACCTTGCCTTGCAACGTACTTGGGCAGGCTGCTCATTGACCTCCCTTCAAAAAACCGGATTAAAAGACTGAAAAGCTAGCAAGAGCGACTTGAAGCACAGCGATGCACTCCTAGCAGATAGCCATGGCACTCTATGGACCGGCGTGGAGTGCATAGTGACGACTTATTAAACCGCCAGCCTTCTTCTAGCAAAGTATGAAGCCTTGGACGAAACAGTTCATATCCAGCGCTATTTGCTTTGTTAGCAGGGATAAATATATTCACCGAAAGGTATAGTTATGCACGTGGCGACAACAGGCCCATTCGCCTGGACCTCAACCTTCCATCTATAAAACAACATCGTAGCACAATTCTCATGCTCGTTGCCGCATCACACCCATCGAACGTCGTCATCCTTGATGTCGAGCTCAGCAATGCCCATCTAGATAAGATGTGTTTATCACACGTCGTACCCCCACACTTTGATCTCCAACAACGTATCTCTCGGATATATCCGCACCACACAGTAGGTGCATACATCATAAGATAGAACCCTATGGTTTATCATGATTGAATCCAATCTCCATTCCTTGCGAAGCAAACAACCCAACTTCTTTTCAATCTGGGATATGCTGCCTACTTGTTTGTTTTATTTCCAGAATCAAGTTTTGGAGCAATACAAACGTCCATCTCATTTGCTATATCAAAGACTTGGCTTCCACTCAGGTCCGAAAACACCAATACCCCTCACGATATGCATAACTTTTATGCTGTCTAGTGGCCGGTTTATTAGAGCTGTAGATCGCTACACCCGCTTATGTTGTGTCTATGGTCTAGTAGAATGCAGCTCACGGGGTTGACGCTTGAGCAACACATGAGAGCCGATGGGTGAAGAGAGAAGCCAATGTGTCGTAAGCTGTTTAACTTATGACATACATTATTCTCTTATTATTGAATATGGTGATTCTACCACGTATCGCAGAGGAAGTCCCTGCAAAAATATTGCATACAGCCATCCAATCTCACTTCTCAACAACCCAGATGGCTTTCATTGCCTCAGGGGTAGGTCCAAACGGTCAAAATTCTCTATTTAGCTTATATCATATGTGCCCTCTTAAGCCGTTGGTGCTCCCAGTCCCTGTTCAATAGAAGGAACCGCTTAAAAACATTCGTTTTAACATAAAAGGCTCGTTGCATCGCCTCACTCCTTGTTCATTCTCGTCTCCTCTAGCAGCTCCAAGTATTTCGACTATTGATCCAAAATTACCCATCTATCAAGGAATTTCTAATATTACTCAACTCACAATGCATTTGTTGAACGCTGGAACTCTGGCGGTAGCATTACTGGTTGCTTCCGTTGCTGCTGTCCCTGTTGACCAGTACGTATCCTAAATATACCATCTTATGATATTTGACCTTGCGAACTATACTTACCATGGCAGGTTTTCTGCGGACAAGCGTTCCCCGAAAACGGAGGTTGAAAAGGCGACTTATTGGGATCTGCTGGGCAAGCGGATCATTGCAGAACTCGACCTCATGGTCCCCCGTGGGGTGCCAGCTATGGCTGGCCATGGCGATGATGATAACGACGACCATCACCGTGGTGATGATCATGATGATGATGATCATCGCTGGAATAGCGTCAAGGCTAGAGGCCACGGAGATCGTGACCATGATGACGATCATGACCACAACGGCGGCCGCGATGGTCATGATGATGATGATGACGACCATCACTGGAAGACCATCCAAGCCAGGGGCCACAGAGACCATGACCACGAAGAGGATGATGACCACGACCACGACCACGACCACGACCACGACCATGACGGCCATGATGATGACCATCATCACTGGAAGAGCATCCAAGCTAGGGGTCACCGAGACCACGACCATGACCACGACCATGATGACCACGATGATGACCATGATGATGACCACGACCATGACGGCCATGACCACGACGGCCATGATGATGACCATCATCACTGGAAGAGCATCCAAGCTAGGGGTCACAGAGACCACGACCATGATGACCACGACCATGATGACCACGACCATGATGACCACGACCATGACGGCCATGATGATGACCATCATCACTGGAAGAGTATCCAAACTAGGGGCCATAGAGGCTATGATGATAACGATGACGATCACCACGGCCACGATGACCATGACCATGACGATGATGATAACGACGATCACCACCATGGAAAATAAGGGATCAAATATAGTCTATGCCTCACCATAAGAGGTATTTAACACAACCAGTTCCCTCTAAACCTCTCAAGTTCTCATTCTGTCGATATTAGCAAATCTCCGAAAATTAGAGGAGATACCACGAAATGCCAGGCTACAACCCAGTATTGAGGTGCTAGTATCGGGATTTTTCGTGTGTAGTGGCAATTTAAACTGTTCACAATTATTTTTATTTCTGGTAACGCTTAATGAAGGAGCGAATCCTCGGATATAACAGGCATTATTCGTTCATTAGCCTATAATTGATAACTTAAATTCATTGTATCCTGCTATATTGGTTCTTACTACACCGCCAATATCATTCGTTCAATTCGGGATTGGGTGCAAAGCTAGATATCTCAATCCAGAAGTATTTCATTATATTATTAATAGCCCAATGCCTTTCTGGCGTCGATATTAATCTGTCAAATAGAATTGACGAACTTTGCAGTCTCAATGTCAATAGAGAGCGACGTCTCTCCAATCGCAGTGAGGTCTAAAACCCACTTTCCGCTCGATTTTTGTAGAACCAAGCCACCATCCTGAACCACCCGAAGGACCCGTCGGCTGGCTGCAACTTTAGTACCTGTTTGAGGGTCCCAAATCCATCCGTCCTTGAGCCACATCCACACCAGAAAAGCACACAGTTCTTTGTCCTTTGGACGGACTGACTTCCACTCTGGCAAGAACCCTTCTGGTGCACCTTTTCCATTCCAGTCTGCTGCCAGGCCACGTAATGCATCCCGACAGAATATCCTCCAGCTGTCTATAGCATAAGGTCCGATCCCAGGTAAATGACAAATCTCCCACGCAACTCGTGCATCGTTGTCTGCCAGAACTTCTTTACACCCAACGTCCAAGCCATCAGATTTATTAGGATAATGTAACTTTCGATACCGTTTCCCGCATTCAGGAATATTTTCCACCCATGACTTAGCCAGGGTGATGCACTTTTTAGCTCGCGAATTTTGAAACCCCAGTCGTTGAATTAAGGAGGCGAGCTCCTCAACATTAGCGTTGGCAAGAGATTCGGCTGTCGGGTACTGTTCAAAAACATTGTAGAGTATAGGTATTGCAGCCTCGCCCCTGGTTCGATTCAAAAATATAGTAGCAACAAGAAGACGAAATGGCTCATTGGCCAACTTCTCTTGAATTAATCCAAATGAAACAGCTGAAATGGAAGGAAACGGGAGACAAGATGTGACATCAGGACGTTTCCTCTTGAAATATGGCGATGTGTTTTGACCCTTTGCCATAGGAATGCCTGCTTGGGAGAATAAAAGAAAGAGAAAGGAAGTGGATCGCCCATTTCAAGCACAGCTGAAGTTGATGATCACGTGATATTTCCTACCTTGGGGTTGGCGTTGAATTCCTTCATCCCTAGATGTTCCTTTTTTGTATCATATATATATATATATAGAGTTGAGAAGGATAAAATTAGGCACTATAGTAGCTTGGTAAGCATCATATAAGATAAATAATAATGGCAATGTCTGAATGTTCATTAGATTGTTAGAGTTTACAAGGGATATCACTTTTAAGCAGCAAAAATCATTCGACTGGAGGGTATTAGTTTTTATTACAGATGTTAATGTGAAAAGAAAAATCACTGAGCACCTGCCACAACTTTTCAAGTAGTAGTTTCTTTTTGTGGACAGATACATCAATATTAGATAGTACCCATTTTCATACTCAACAGAAGCCGCAGCTGATCATCGTCAAGATTTAAGCGTTGATCAATATAACACCCAAACCTACTGCAGCAGCTAATCCAGCCTTCGCTGGCTCAGTTGCGGCGGCACCTGGCTGGGGTGAGCTCGTTGCAGTCGCTCCTCCTCCTCCTCCTCCTCCTCCGCCGCCGCCACCACCGCCTCCTCCTTCGGTTTCGGTTACTGTAGCCGTTGGACTAGGGGAACTGCTTGATTCTCCGCCTCCACCACCACCGTCTCCTCCCCCTCCACCTCCTCCACCAACATTCGTTGCAGCTGGCAAGGGAACCACAGAAGTAGGAGAAGGAATTCCATCTGTCAACGGGTCGGTGCTAGCAGCTGTATCATTCGCAAAGGCCGGTGGTGGTGGATCGGCATCTGGAACAGGTTTAACTGTATCGTTATTGGGGTTAAGAACACTAAATTTTAGTATTAATATCCTGCATTTCGCATTTCTTCCATAGGTTGTAAGAGGTTCTGGTAAAATGAGGCGGACATGCTTACTCTGATATGACGTGCAAAACTCCGTTGTTGACAAGGAGGTCGGTGGATTCAACCCTAGCAGAGTTTACATAGGCTCGCCCATCAACAATAGAGATGTGTAAATCTTTATCTGCGTAGGTTGAATGGCTCTCATCTTTCAGGTCTTGAGAGTATAGTACTTTACCCTTGACGATATGATAATTTGCAATTCTGCCAAGGTCTTCAGTAGAGATATTCTCAAAAGTGGACCCTATACGTTGAAATCCTAAATTTCTTGGGGCGAAGACAGTAATATCAGTTGGATCGTTGGCATTAGAGACAGCATTACCTCGCTGCAAGGCACCCTGGAAACTGGTGAGGTTTGCACCCTGGAGGGTCGCAGCGACGCTTTGGGGGAGAGTCAAAGGGTGGTCAATGACATGGATTACCCCATTATCAACATCTTGACCCTATATCCAGCATGTTAGACAGGATTCTGAGAATAGTATATCTATATAAAAATGTGGAACTGGTGTGGCTGCTTTACAGGCTTGATAATGGTCGAGTTGGCGTTTAAGCCGGAGATAGCGTAGTCTTTTCCGTCCTTTTCGACGAGCTGGACAACTTGGCCGGAGCTAACATTGGTAAAGCCATGGTCATCCAATTCCGTGGCTGGGAACTGTGGTGTAGTGGTGATTTGCTCCGAATTATGCAAGCCCTTCACAATCTGGTAGCTGAAGATCCCTTTCATGAGAGCTGAATTTGACGATGACCCGTTGTCATTTCCCTGACCTTGTCCCAAAAATTCACGGAAAGCACTGTTCTCGAGCGCCAGTATGGTAACGTTTTTGTGCTCGTCTAGCTCACCCTTAGCCTCAGGCGATTGGTTTAGGTATGCCGCCATATCTGATAGCTCCGGAATGCCTGAGATGTCTTCAGAAAAAGTTCTGGCCCAAGCCATAGTAGCCCACAGGGCTGTAAGAATGTAGCACAGCAGCATATTTTTTTTTTTTTTAATTTTCCTTGTAAGAAAGCCGAATATACGAAGGGGTATCAATTCAGCGATTATGCTGCAAAGTTGAGAAAAGAACTGGCCTTTACGCCTGGGCATATCAAGTAATGACTAGGGGTAGTCGGACACTTATGATATCAGTATACCGCCTTCTACACCCGTAGAGGCGGAGGATATGACGACATTGCATGTTGATGGGAAGGATGGTGAGTTAGAGACGGAGGCAAATGCAAGCACTAAACGTTCCAAGGCAACATAATATCACTATGGCAAATTGGTGTTGCAGAAACCGTTATCAAAAGTACCCCACCCAGAAAGATTATTTTGAACCCTATTATTTTAAGTAACGTGGTTGAATTAGTATCAGGACCTGTCATATGTATCAAGCATCTTGTATGGAAATAGTCGGAGTGAACATATTTTCGGGGCTCACACGGCAATGATTATATAATGAAACTAAAAATCACATGATCTAACGGCTGTTCATGCTGACTAATACAAAATAGTGCAGCAGATACGGATGTTGCGCAGTTTGGCCAAAGAGACCGTCAAATAAAATTACATCCAGGTAATAGATTAGAGAAGAGATAAATAGGAAAACAGACAATATTTGGATGGTATATACATACTATAATATGGGGTCCACAAAAGGCGGGTGATAGTCGCCTCGTGGTGGCGCATAACTATGGGGCTGGCGCCAAATTTAAGAGCTTACTGTAACGTTGGTACAACACTCTCGTCAATATCCAAGACGAGATGAAGTCATAATAGAACTGTTCCGTATACAACTTCATGTATGTTCGAAGTTCTGTTAGAAGCGTTAAGACCCAGAGCAAGAAGGTTCAGGTAAAATCAATAATATTTAATAGTTATAGCTAAGATCTAACTTTCTAGTTGCAAGTCCTTCCTAGCCAGCCAGATTACCAGAGCCGTGGAATCGTAAACATCTCTCATTGCCCTTATAAATTCCTTACTCTAACAGCCGGACCATTTCTATATCAGGTAACTAAACGACAAATCCTCCAGAGTTAGCTAGTCGTGGTTCTCCAGAGGCTTCGAAAACGCCATTCCTCAATCTCATGATAGACTCGACTGTGCTCCCCGACTTCTCTCTGGTGACATTGTGTTTTCGTGAAATCATAAACTGCACGGTCCTCTTATCAAATTCATCCTCCATCAGAACAACGTTAGGAACGAGTTGATCGTGTAGTCGCGGAGCTCTAAGGGCTTGTCGAACATTCATTTTTCTATCCATGACGTTCACCACGCTTTGGAGGGTACCAGTGATGATCTGCGAGCCGCCTGCAGCACCGCTGATGAAGAACAGCGAACCGTCTGGGCGTGTGATGATAGTAGGGCAGATGGAGGAGAGGGGTCGTTTGCCTGGGCGGATGAAGTTGGAAGGTGAGGGCTTGTAACCAAAGGAGTTGCTGCGATCGGGGATGGAGAAATCATCCATCTCGTTGTTCATGATGATTCCGGTCTCGGGGACAATAACACGGCTACCAAAGTAGAGGTTGATTGTTGTTGTCAAACTGACGGCCATACCAGTGCGGTCGGCAGTAGAAATGTGGGAGGTTCCGGGGCTAGAGTGGACTATTCAGTATTCTGAACGACAGGTAAGATTGAATAGTTTGACATACGTGTTCAAGCTCTCGAGGCCCTTGGGGTCATATACCCCTATATCCTGCGTATATTTGTCGGAGATGTTCATACGGTTGTGGTTGGCAACCTCGTCAGAAATCATTTTCTTCTGGTAATCGGTGAGATTAGGGAAGAAAAGCGGATCGCCCAACTCGGTTCTCTGATGATCATGTTAGCTCGGAACGAGTAAAAGACATCTTCGCATAGAGGTATCATACCTGTCCGTATCCAAATCGGATGGCCTCATCCATTCTATGAATACTCAGTGGCACAGGGTCGGAACGGAATAATTTCGTGTATCCGTTGAGTAGTTTCAGGATACTCAGGAGCACGACTCCACTAGAGGGAGCAGTTGTGCTGGTGACTGTCATACCACGGTACTCAATTTGGGCAGTCGGCCTAGAAGCAACGGTGTAGTTCTTCAAGTCTTCGAGGGTCATGGTGCCGTTTGCTGCACGGACGGCATTGACCATAGCCTCCGCCATAGGTCCAGTGTAGAACGCATCGGCACCATATCTGGCAATTTTATCCAGGGTGTCACTATAGCGTCTACGGGTGATGATGTCACCGACCTTGAGAAGGGATCCTTGTGGTGCAAAATCGACAGCCCAAGTAGGGTTGTCAGAAAGGAAGTTCCCACTCTTTGTGGCAGATGCCATGATGCGCGCGAGGTCTTCGGTGACACGGAACCCGTCTCGAGCAGTGCGGATGGCGGGTTCCATAACGGTTCTCCAGGGCAGCTTTCCATAGTTCTTGTGGAGGTATTCTAAGCCGCGAACTTCACCAGGTACACCACTGCAAGGGAAACAAGTCAAACAAAGCTCAGCAGGGCAGATTCACCAAAAGTGCTCATACCTTGCGAGGCCGCCAGAAGTAGAACCATCAGTGTTGTTCTTGAACATGTCCTGGAATGCCGCAGCGGGGGCAGTCTCTCTAAAGTCGATAAACTCATAGGTACCATTTGGCGCGCGGATGAGCATAAAGCCACCACCGCCGATGCCGCTGTGATACATAGCTGCATAGACGCAATACACATCAGCCAATGAATCTATTATTCGCAATCCAACTGGCTACTTACAAGTAACACCGACACAGAAGACGGTAGCGACCATCTATTTGGGAAAGAAACCGTTTAACTGCAGGTACTTGAATAGACCTCGACACATGGCAAATGTAAAAAGAAAAGAAAAATAATATGTATCAACTTACAGCATCTGCAGCATTGCCGCCTAGTTTCAACATGTCGGCACCGTGTTCACTGCACATGGAATTCTCACTGGCGACGGCTCCTAAGCGGCCATTATGATGAGTCGATGACCGGGGGACGCTCCGGGAAAACAGCCATGGAGCTGCATCTGTCACCTGGGCAAGGGAAGAGAGCAGGTAGAGTCCCGTGCAGAGCAGATTCATTGCTGCAGGCGCCATGATGAAAGAATTTACAGTGAAGAATCCCCTATCTCGCGAAAGAGAGCAAGAATCACCTCCGCAACCAAGGGGAGAGGGGGATCCTCGGCACATATATATATATATGTCTATCCATGTATGAAGAAAATTTAAGCGGGAAAAACCTTGTCAGGGCTCCCCGTATTTTACTGTGTATACAACCATCGTCATCCCTCCCTTCTTCCTCCCTAGCATCTTCCCTTCCCTTGCTCCGCTATTATTGGAGCCCATTGGCCGATGCAACAGCGGTAAAGCCTGAGGGAGGAGTGTTTCCACCCTTTACCTCTTGTTCGCTCAAAGGACGAGTTGGCCGTGTGATCACGCATGAAGCTAGTGTGATGCCGAACAGGGTACTCCACATAGATATAAACCCAACGGCCAGACAACCAACGGGACCGTTGTAACCCGCACTAAAGCCCACCATAATATATGCAGGCATTAAGGCTCTCTTTCCGAGGCAGGTGGAGGAATGGAGAGTCTCTTTGTTCTCCATGTTCACGGAAGGGCGTCCAGGGGTTCAAAGTAAACTAGAACGAAAAAAACTCTACCTCCACAGCGCCGAAATGCCGGAAACTTCGGCAATTCAGGCTGGGGGCAACTCATAAGGTGGTATTTCTCTCAGAGATATCTCCATGATAGCGAGTTTTTAGGAGAGGCAGTTTAATCTTTCTTCTTTTTTTTTTTTCGGTTTAAGGCTTTCCACAAGCCATTATCAACGGTGGGTGGCCAGAGGCTCAGGCGGGCGACTTTTGGGAACGAACCAGAGCTTGATATGGACAAGCAACTAGCTTCCGATATCGATCATGCGGCCTTGGGAGGATCTGAGAGATGGTGCACTTGACGTGCGAAGTTCTCGTGGACGACACAGAGTGGTTCAGAGGGAAGAGGTGTATAATATGACCCATATGCCGATAATGTCTGAGGCTGAATATTCTGTCCTTCTGATTTTCGTCTTTCCTCCATCGGCGGCTCTCCTGGCCTGGCTATTCCTCCATCATCTATCATCGGCTGCCCGGTATTTTTTGGAACTTCTTCGTTGCCTTTTTGATGTGGTTTGATTAGTCAGCACAAAAAAAAAGTTATCTCACGCATATCTTCCCAATGCGGTAAGTCGGTCGCTTTAAGTCTATGATCGAGGTTGATATCTTCTGTATGATACAAAGGTGTGTAGACATTATTATACGCCATATATGCAGTTGAGTCCACACTTCTTCCCGCTGCAGTCTATAACTAGCGGTTAAAGTCAGTTTGCATACTTAGAGGAAAGTCGATAGATGGTTTTCTACCGAGTTTCCAACCAACGAAATGACTATTGTCCAATGCAGTAGAGAATCATAAATGTGTAACTTCATGCTCGATCTATCAAGTTTGCGCCACTAGCTTCCACGTTGTACATAGTAGTTAACCCAAGAGGGAAAATTAATCCTTGATTCGAAAGTTCAAGACGGCTAGGTTTTCACTGCTTGTTCAAGTTCTAGAACTCACGACAGCAATACTTCTTTGCGCTTCAGATGTCTAAATTTAGTTTTAAGCGCACATGGATATCCCAAAATTCTATTTCGCCAATCTTGTCTTCCAAAGTTCCCTACTATTCCTCTGGGCTCAAGAGTACTCTTTGGCTTATAGTAATATGTTATTCGGTATGCCAACAAAAGCATTATATTATAGCTGTGGTGCTAACTGTCAGATAATCCTGATCGATAGGCCTTTCGTTCAGCTGGAACTGCACCCAACCCGTCTTGCCACTCTGAATGCATTGAATTTCAATGCTTATAAGGCTGATCATCCAGAAGATGTAATGGGTTTTCAATCGGCTTCGCATAATGGACTTCGTAGTAATTAGACCAAGAGATAATGTAGGTAAACTTTCCAGGTTAGGACGGTGGACGACTATTATACAAAAATTAGCAACGCATTCCGCATCAAGCTTGATAGAGAACGATTTGTGTATTGAGTAGCCTGGTGTCATTTTAAATGGTGCCGATTGAGGGTATTAAAGCACCCCAGACTTATCATCAGGGAGCTGGGCAGAGAAGTAGGCAAGAAAATTTATATCAAGCACCTCAGGCATGGTAAGCTTTTCAAAAGCCACAGGTAGCTAGTGAACTATTCATCATATGCGAACATAAAACGGGTATAAGTGCGAGAAGAGGGTGACTTTGTATAGGAATGGCCAAACATATAGAGAATTCTTTGTTCAGACGGCGGAGATTGGCGGACTGGAGGACGCTGGGAGTCAATGTCATCCCTTCGACTTAATTGAGGGTCAATTTAAGATATTTAGAGTTAGATCTTTCTAGGCAGTCATACGGTAGAGGCCTGGATAATGCTAGTATGTAGGTTCTGCCGTAGTACCAATAAAGAGATTGGTCAAGCGGATAGTTCTGAGGTGTGCTGGTTGCCTTACTCCTTAAAGTAAGGCCTGTACGGACAAGGGGAAAGAGTATGTACGTGCTCCGCTGCGAGCAGCAAGTCTCCATCGTATCCCTACATATATGCCTATCACTGATGCAGACGTTATCGCCATGATAGCCTCTACCATGTGCGGTGAGTAAGTAAGATGCTAAACCGAACTCCAGGGCCTGAGTTTTATATCACGTGACACTTGGCGCTTGTAGAGCTTTGAAGGTGCGCCAACAAGACAAGAAGAAGCAGAAAAGAGAAGAAAAGAACAGCAACTCACACCTGGGCAGCATTTCTCTGGACGTCGGAGCTCGAAGCCACCGCCTATTTAGATATACCTTACATCTCTTTTGGACAGATTATCATGGCAGGCGTCCTCGTCGATACGCCACTGAGCGCTCCATCACTACCAAAGGCTGCTCTCAACGATGCGATACCAGACATCGACCCGCTCGAGGGCTCGACGAATGATGAAGATGGATACTCTATCTTAAAACGATACCAGAGACATCTAGAGTATGTCCTGGGCGGGATTGCCACGACCATGTTTGGGAAGTTGCTAACTCTTTGTCGAATAGGTATATACAGCTACAAGAAGAATATATCAAGGATGAACAAAGGTGAGCAGCATATGGAAGAGACAGAGTGAAGGGCTGCTCTAGATACTGACTATATGACCAGGAGTCTTAAGCGAGAGCTTGTCCGGGCACAGGAGGAGATCAAGCGTATTCAGAGTGTACCTTTGGTCATTGGGCAGTTTATGGAGGCAATCGATCAAAAGTACGTAATTTATCTCCCACCCGAGGAGAAAACCAGTGCTAATCTACCTCTTCGCAGTACCGGTATCGTCCAGTCGTCGACAGGCTCTAATTACGTCGTCCGTATCCTATCTACCCTTGATCGGGAGAAGCTGAAGCCCTCGTCCTCCGTCGCTCTCCACCGCCACTCCAACTCCCTCGTTGATATTCTTCCCCCAGAGGCAGACTCGTCCATTGCCATGCTTGGAACGAATGAGAAGCCGGACGTTACGTATGCGGATGTCGGTGGACTAGATATGCAGAAGCAAGAGATCAGAGAAGCTGTCGAGCTACCACTCACCCATTTCGACCTCTACAAGCAAATTGGTATACTGCACACTATTATTCTTACATACCAAAACTCTAGGATTCACGCTAATATGTTTACATTCTAGGTATCGATCCACCTCGCGGTGTACTGCTATACGGCCCTCCAGGTACCGGCAAGACGATGTTGGTCAAGGCTGTCGCCAACAGCACAACCGCCAACTTCATCCGAGTAGTAGGATCCGAGTTTGTGCAGAAATACCTGGGTGAAGGTCCTCGAATGGTCCGTGATGTATTCCGGATGGCCCGCGAGAACTCACCAGCCATCATCTTCATCGACGAGATTGACGCTATTGCCACGAAGCGTTTCGACGCCCAGACCGGTGCAGACAGAGAAGTGCAGCGTATCCTTCTCGAGCTGCTCAACCAGATGGACGGTTTCGACCAGACTAGCAATGTCAAGGTTATCATGGCCACTAACCGAGCAGACACCCTTGACCCAGCCCTGCTCCGTCCTGGTCGACTTGACCGTAAGATTGAGTTCCCATCGCTGCGAGATCGACGAGAACGACGTCTGATCTTCACCACTATTGCGGGCAAGATGTCCCTCTCGCCAGAAGTCGACCTGGATTCGCTCATCGTTCGTAACGACCCCCTGTCCGGAGCTGTTATCGCAGCCATCATGCAGGAGGCTGGGCTACGTGCTGTGCGGAAGAACAGATACAACATCATCCAGTCCGACCTTGAGGATGCTTACTCGAGCCAGGTCAAGGGAGGACAAGATGCTGACAAGTATGTTACCCCCCTCATACTCCTTATTTCAAATCCAACCGAGCTAACCCTTCTCCTTTTACAGGTTCGACTTTTATCGCTAAACATGTCCAGGGTAACTGGGTGGTCATTTATACCGTGTCTTTGCGTGATCCTGTCTGTACCATTAGAGAGTTAACCCAAGCGTTCATGCCTATCCTGTAGCTCTTTCTAGCTGTGCTAGTGTATCACCTGTAGTTGACTATATATAAGTTGTTGGTGGTTGCCTTGTGCCTGGGCCGAGACACGTCATAATGGAGGCAGCCTGGGGGCGGTCACGTGGTAGTCGTCATCGGCCCGCCCAGAGTTTCTTCCTTCTCCGGGGCAACCTCCAACCTCTTCTCTCCAACCTCTTCCCTTCTCTTCTGCTACATCTTTATCACATCCTCATCTCTATCACACCCGACAGCTTCATTTTCATCGAAAGAACCATCGTCTAGCACAGTCCTATCCCCCGAGCCATCATGAAGGGCTCACTCTTGCTTGCCGGTGCGACCCTGCTCGGCTGTACCTCTGCGAAGCTCCACAGCCTGAAGCTCAAGAAGGTCTCCCTCAAGGAACAGCTTGTATGTTATTCACTGTTTACTGTTATGAAAGTAACTACGTTTTCTGGTACCATGGTGCTGACCCAATATTATGTAGGAGCATGCCGACATTGACGTCCAGATCAAGTCTCTTGGTCAGAAGTACATGGGAATCCGCCCAGGACAGCATGAGCAGCAGATGTTCAAGGAACAGACTCCCATCGAAGCTGAATCTGGACACAATGTTCTCATCGACAACTTCCTCAACGCACAGTGTATGCTCTCGTTTCTTTGACCTTAAAACATGTGGATGGCTGCTAACCGCCGCGCAGACTTCTCGGAAATCTCCATCGGAACTCCTCCACAGACCTTCAAGGTCGTTCTTGATACCGGAAGCTCCAACCTTTGGGTCCCAGGCAAGGACTGCTCGTCCATAGCTTGCTTCCTTCACAGCACCTATGACTCCTCTGCCTCGTCCACCTTCACCAGGAACGGCACGAGTTTCGCCATCCGCTACGGCTCTGGCAGCCTAGAGGGTTTCGTTTCTCAGGACAACGTCCAAATCGGCGATATGAAGATCAAAAACCAGCTCTTTGCTGAGGCTACCAGCGAGCCAGGCCTTGCTTTCGCATTTGGCCGCTTCGACGGTATCCTTGGCATGGGCTATGACACCATCTCAGTCAACAAGATCACTCCTCCATTCTACAAGATGGTTGAGCAGGGTCTAGTTGACGAGCCTGTGTTTAGCTTCTACTTGGGCGACACCAACAAGGATGGTGACCAGTCCGTCGTTACCTTTGGAGGTGCCGATAAGAGCCACTACACCGGTGACATCACCACTATCCCACTCCGTCGCAAGGCCTACTGGGAGGTTGAGTTTAACGCCATCACCCTCGGCAAGGACACAGCTACTCTTGACAACACTGGAATTATCCTTGACACCGGCACTTCCCTCATTGCCCTGCCAACTACTTATGCTGAGATGATGTAAGTCTCTTTCCCGTCATACGTATTGTCCTAGACTCTCTGCGCTACTCTCTCCCCCTTGACACAGTATTTCAAAATCCTGGAACGGTCAGTACACCATCGACTGTGCCAAGCGGGATTCTCTACCCGACCTCACCTTCACCCTAAGTGGCCACAACTTCACCATCGGACCTTACGACTACACTTTGGAAGTGTCTGGCACCTGCATCAGTAGTTTCATGGGAATGGACTTCCCTGAGCCTGTCGGACCCCTTGCTATCCTCGGTGACTCGTTCTTGAGACGCTGGTACTCTGTCTACGACCTGGGCAAGGGCACCGTTGGCCTAGCCAAGGCCAAGTAAATGCCAGATAAGATCTTATCTGTTCCTTTTGCCAGCCTCATGTGTAGAACAAGGGATATACACACCTCTAGTTGAATGCTGTTCAATATCATATATGTGTGTGATATGGGTGTCTTTTCCCGTCTAGAACATCTCTGCAGATTCCAAAATGGACGCTACCTTTGCATAATCGGTGTGTCGCAGAGGTAGCTATCGTTGAGATATTATGTTCGGTTTACGTTGATGGTCGCCGTCATGGATATGTTTATTTTTACTTATCCAAAGCTGCTCCTAAAGCTTCTCGTTGTTGTTCATCTACTGTTATTCTTATCATCTCCTGTATCTATGTAACTAAGCTATGACCCGGATCCTGGTTTAAGCAGAAGCATTCATCTAAACGCATAGAATGACCGCCGTAAGATCAAACCATCTGCAACTAGAGAACTTTGCACCTCGCAAGGGCTGGCATGTAAGAATGTGTTAGCCTGACCGACCATCTTTCCGTTCTTCTTGTCGCGGCAAACAACCTTAAAATAGCGCCGCTGGTTCGCCTTCGACTCGCCCGCAAACTTGCTTCTTACAACAGAAAATACAAAAAGAAGAAGAAGAAACGAGAAAAAAAAAAACTTCCTTCAGCTAACACGCCAGACAGGCATTATTTAGTCTTCGATCTTTTACGTAGCAGACAGCAGCTATCTCTCCCTCTCCGTTCTATACTGCGACTCCTATTGCCACCCATAAACACTTCGATGCTACAGCCCAACAGCAAACCTCCAAGGCTCGCCGCTCTCCATTCACCACGCTTCTAAACTCACAATTCAAGCTATAGTCACTCTATTCAAAGTGTCTACAAGGACTGCAGCATTGAATACCCTTTCCATTCACTCTGACGCAATAGCCGTCTTGGATTATGGCAGCTTAAAATACCGTGGAAATCAAGGACCATCGCCATCCATCCTCGCTACATAACGCAGCCCGAAGCGCATTGTCACATTACCTTCTTATCAGACATCAAATATTCTCGTCTCCATATATTCCCGATCTACTCGCTTCCCGCAAAGCCAAGGCATGCAACTGAAACTGTCTACCAGCCTCTACTACCCGATAACCGTCACGGAACTGTTGAAAAATACCGGCGATGAAGTGAACCAAGGAGATGGACTGTTCGCGTACTTTTATCGCACGACTGTGACGGAGGGTGATGGGCTAGGTAACAAGGTGGATGTGGTGAGGATGTTTCCCACCAGGTTTGAAAGCACAGTAGACGGCACCTTGGTGGACTGGAAGATTCGGAAGGGACAGGTTATTGAGGCGCCGTAAGTGGTCCATCTGTTCTGCAAGACAGAGAACCGAGGCAAGGATAGAAGTGGTGTGGTTGCTAATGATGGTCTGCGTGATATAGGATTACGATCGCCGAGATAGACGAGCCATGCGCCCATGAAGTACAGTTTGGCGGAATGTGTGCTAACTGTGGCAAAGATATGACTCAGTAAGTTGCTTGCATTCCTTCAATACAGCGATATAAATATGCTCAGTGATTCTAATTTCGATTCTACGCTTTAGTGCAAGCTATAACACGGATGTCCTTGACTCGCAGCGAGCGCCGATACGCATGGTGCACGACAACTCTGCGCTGACCGTTAGCGAAAGCGAAGCCACCCGAGTAGAAGAGGATGCCAAACGGAGACTGCTATCTTCAAGAAGGCTGTCGCTGGTTGTTGACCTGGATCAAACTATCATCCACGCCACTGTGGATCCGACGGTAGCTGAATGGCAGCAGGACAAGGACAACCCCAACCACGACGCCGTCAAGGACGTGCGCTGTTTCCAGCTGGTTGATGACGGGCCTGGCATGAGAGGTTGCTGGTATTATATCAAACTACGACCGGGACTGGAGGAATTTCTCAAAGTGGTGTCCAGCCTCTACGAGCTTCATATCTACACCATGGGAACGCGGGCGTACGCCCAGAACGTAGCCAACATTGTCGACCCAGACAGGAAGATCTTTGGAGACAGAATCCTCAGCAGGGATGAGAGTGGCAGCCTCACAGCAAAGAACCTCCATCGATTATTCCCTGTAGACACCAAGATGGTGGTTATCATCGATGATAGAGGAGACGTGTGGAAGTGGAGCGAGAACTTGATAAAGGTTACGCCCTATGACTTCTTCGTTGGCATCGGCGACATCAACTCCAGCTTTTTGCCAAAGAAGCAAGAGCTGAAAGCAAAGCCAAAGCCGGGAGCAAAGGCGAAAAAACAGATACCCGTCGCTGATGCTGATGCTGCAGAAGGAGATACAAAGCTAGAAGCCAATGGTTCAAAATCCGAGACGGCCGAGGCCAACGAATCCTCTTCCACAGGTTCCGAGCAGTCAACGCTTGAGCAACTGGTAACGATGGGAGGGGGGGACAACCCGGGATTGCTGCAGGAGCAGGCAAGCCAACAGGAAGAAGTCATTGCTCACCAGGTGGAAGAGCGCCCTCTGCTTCAGAAGCAAAAGCTCCTGGATGCAGAAGATGAGGCGGCAGAGACCCAACAAAGTACGGAAAATGGCGATTTATCCAGTGATGAGTCCCAGGATTCGATAAAACACCATCGCCACCATCTACTTGAAGACAACGACGGTGAGCTTCCGCAGCTGCAAGAGCGTTTGCGGTTAATACACCAACGTTTCTTCGACGAGTACGATCACAGGCGCACGCAGGCGCTTGGTGGTAGAGTATCGGCTTTGAAAGGCCAGCGTGCCCCTGCAAAGGACAAGGCGATCGATCTACAGATAGTCCCGGACGTCAAGGTCCTAATGCCAGAAATCAAGCGGGCAGCTCTCGAGTCTGTCGTCCTGGTGTTTTCGGGTGTGCTTCCTCTTGGAACGGACACTCAGAATGCTGATATTTCGCTATGGGCCAAAAGCTTTGGCGCAACGATAACCTCAAAGATTAACTCGCGTACAACACACCTTGTTGCTGGAAGGAACCGGACGGCCAAGGTGCGGGAAGCCACTAGGTACCCGAAGGTAAAGATAGTCACCGTTCAATGGCTCGTTGACTGCATGACACAGTGGAAGCGGCTGGACGAAGAGCCATATCTTGTTCCCGTGCATCCAGACGACAGAGGCGAGCCCATCGGCTCGTCTGAGAACTCGCCAGATGGTAAAGAAAACGCAGACGACTCCTTCACCTCATCATCAGAAGAGGACTCGGACCCCACCAGCGACGACGACAGCGATAGCGTGAGGTCCTCGAAGCTGGCTAGAAGGCGAAGAAACTCCGACGAGGAAATCCGGCTATCCGCCGGCCTGACCGATCACTCTCAGCTTGGCTACGACGAGCAGGAGCAGGCCACCGTCCACGACGAGCTCAAGGAGTTCCTCGGCAGCGACAACGAAGATAGTGAGAGTGACACCGACTTTTCCATGCTGTTCGCGGACAAGAAACGCAAGCGTGAGGCCACAGAGGAGGCAGAGGGCGGGAATGAAGAAGACACAAGCGCTGAAGGTAGCGGCTCCCGTCTATCCCAAAAGATCAAGCGATCTCATGAACGAACCACAGGTCTAAAAGAAGTTTCTACAGCTCAGCCGGGCGTCTCTGCAACGGAAGCACCCGCTGAACCGACTACCGATACGGAAATGGAGGTAGGCAAAGAGGTTCTGATGGGGGACAAACCTGAGGTCGAGCCCAAGTACAAGGATTTAGATCCCGTCGTGGATGACCCAGAAGACGACGACGATGCTCTCGAGCGGGAGATGATGGCTGCCTTTGATGACGACCAGGGCTGGGACGACGTGTTGGCCGAGGATGAGGAAGATGCCAACTAGCAGCAAATCCCCTCGGTTGTCCCAGCATATATCCCATCTCCCTTAGCATTTTTTTCTATTTTATTTTATTTTTTAAAACGAAAAATCTCCATCTCCAGCTGATCTTCCAAGCATAGCGAGGCGTTGTTGAAGTGTTTTCTAGCCTGTTGAAGCCACACCCCCTGAGCTCGAGCTCTCCCTGATTATTGTTTCTTCATTTCCCTTTGCCTTTCTTTTGCCATACCTTTCGTGATATCCTCTGGCTCTTTTTCCTACGTTTTTCTGGATAACAAGTTCGAGGCCTGCCGGGTACCGCTACTTGGACGAAAAGATTCCGTATGTGCCTGCGCCCAAAGGCCTGGCCTGACGCTTGTACTATACAAACAATATACGAGAGATCAAACATCTTCGTCCACCTTTTAAGCCTTTCATGACGTCAGGAATAGCTCAAGCTCGAGCTCAGGCGATTCGTAGAAGCTGTGGCGATTCGTAGAAGACTTATATAGTACGGCCCTTGGTCTTCCCAGCCATCAAGGACAGCCGAGCAAGGATGGTCGAAGCCGTATTCTATCGTACAGAAGACACTTGACTATAATACACGCTATTCAAGAAACAATATCATGAACAACCCGGTGCCTGGCGGAGGCCCAGGGGGAGGAGGCGGCGGCGGAGGACAAGACTACCTCGATAAATGTACGAGGAGCACCGGAAAGCTAGGAAGAGATGGTTAACTTACGTTGAACTGCTGCAGCTCTTGATACGGCGGAGAGGAAGTTTGGCAAAGGCAAGATTGATCCCAACAAGGCCAGGGGAGTGAACGAGAAGATCACAGACTTTGCCAGGAACACTTTTGAGAAAGTGACCGGGTAAGCCGGCGGATGGCAGTCGATGAGGAGCACCAGGCTGACTGGGTGTACAGGAAGAAAGTGCCCAAGAATATCTCCAACTAGGCCAATCTCAGCTATTCATTCGTTGCTTTGATGTACAAGTATTTGATATATGGGTTTGAGTACAAGTTAATGACGTGGTTGGAATTGAGTACAATTGGTTTGTTCGCTGGTTAAATCTATCGTGCAGGTATTATATACAGTTGAAAGATCAGGTCATTACCCATCAAGAAATCAGTAACACCGTCCCTAAATCAGAGAGGAAGAAGAAGAGAAAAGAAACATCATCGAGGTTTGAAGCACCCCGTTTTATCAACGCATTACGCTCGTAAGAATCAGATGCTGGCGCCGGTGAAACATGCAACCCTGTCTGAAATGGGTATCTAAACGGAAACACACGAAGGGGGAAAAAGGGTGTCATTTCAAGAAGAAGCCTCTGCGGACCTGGAAGGAGATGATCAACATCCAGATGTAAAAGACGGTGCTGACCAGCTCGAATGCAAACGCCGTCTTCCAGCAGTTACCTATAGCCAACGTCAGCACGGGTAGGTGAGATAGAAGAGGACGGACACACGTACAGATGGTTATCTGCGTCAGCCAGGCGAGGGTGTTTATACTGGCGCCCTTGGAAGGCATGTTGACGACGTAGTTCTGGCAGTTCGAGTTGACGTTTGCTTCTGTCCCGTAGAGCTCGATGGCGGTCCCGATCAGGCCGGTCAGCCAGAGGACGAAGAGGACGAAGCAGCCCAGGATGATGATGTCGGGCAGCAGCATGCCTCGCTGGATGAGGAAGAGCATGAAGAAGACGAACAGCAGGCCGAGCCCGGCGGTTGCAACCATGAACGGGAACACCCTGACACAGACGGTTAGCTATCTATATGTATAGAGGGTGTATATGTCGGCTCACCATGGCGTGGAGACGGATAGCTGTGTCTGGACGAAGAGGAACCAGCTGAAGATGCCCAGGCAGGTCGTGGACGAGGCGAGGTTGACGAGCAGCCAGACGTGCAGACGGATCTCTGGCCATCTGAAGCGCTGGATGATGGTATATCCTGACGAGGAGGTCATCTTGCCGTGTCTGCTCTCGTCTCTCTTGGTCGTAGGGTGTAGATGTCGACCCGTTCACGGTGTATAGACCGGCGTACGACTACAGGAAGAAGCCTCTCTTCCTCCCATCCGCGAGCCAGTCGGGCGTCGACGACGGATAGATGCAGCGCTGGTTCCAATCTGCGTCGGCCACCTAGCCGTTCTCTTCTTGTTCTTGTTCTCGTTCTTGGTTCTTCGTTGCCGGGATGTTTTGTTTACTCCGCGATACGTTGGTCTGCAGCTAGTGGCAGAGTGGCAGAGCGACAGACAGACCCTCGACGGATACAGAGATGGAGAAGATGTCAAGTCTTGTGGCTTGCAAGCAGATTCCATGAAGACGCTCTTCTAGACGCTCTTCTGGCGTGGCTGGCAGAGCGTCTGCACGTCTCGGGGTGGCTGGGCGAGTAGAAGAAGCGTCTCCACGCCAACCGTTTCACCTCCTACGCAAGCACCGTCTACGGGGTACGGACAGAAGAGAAGACGCTTAAATATATTAAAAGAGATGATCTACATTTATCTATATCGTCTCATCGTGGCATTCAATCATACAGGGTCTAGAGAAGGGTGTCGCCCAGGGCGCAGCGGACGAGCGAGCAGCCGGCGCGGACGGTCTCGCTGGCGCCCATGGAAGCCAGGCTGGGGTTGACCTCGACCAGGTCCATGGCGATGAGGTTGCCGGTGGCGTGGATGCACTCGGCGATGAAGTCGCCCTCGCGCAGGGTGAGGCCGCCGCGGACGGGCGTGCCGGTGCTGGGAGCCCACTGGGGGTCGAGGGCGTCGACGTCGAAGGACAGATGGATGGGAGTGTCGTTGCCGATGTGTGCCAGCGCCATCTCGACCACACGGCCGATTCCGTGTCTATCATTAGTTAGTGTACTGTGGGGAGGACTAGAGGACTGGAGAGAACAGTAGAGAGGACTGTGGAGAGGCATACCGGTCGACGTCGTGCATGCTAAAGGCCTTGATGCCGTGCTCGCGCAGGGTCTTCTTCTCAGCGCGGTCGACGTCTCTGAGGGCGATGTAGACGAGCTTGCTGGTGCTGATCAGGTGTTCCTCCTTGAGCCAGCCAAAGACGTCCTCCCGGTCGTCCTTTGCGAGGCCGGTGAGGAAGGAGACGGGCATGCCGTGGACGTTGCCGCTCTCGCTCTCCTCCGGGCGGTTGAGGTCAGCGTGGGCGTCGACCCAGATGACGGCCATCTCACGCCCGAGACGCTCGCGGATGGCCTTGGCCGTGCCGGAGACGGTGCCGATGGCGATCGAGTGGTCGCCGCCGAGGGTGAGCACCATCTTGCCTTCGCGGGCGTGCCCGTAGACCTGGCTGCTGATCCGCTGCGTGACGGCGCTGACGGTGCGCGGCTTGATCATGTTGCGGTACCGCGGGTCGTCCGCCTCTGCGGGCTTCACGTCGGCGTAGTCGTGCACTTTGCTGTCGAAGTCGACCCTGTACCCGAGCTCGTCGCGGACCTGGTCCAGCAGGCCGGCCTCCAGCAGCGCCGTCGGGCCAGCGTCGACGCCGGCTTTGGGCTGTTCCAGTCAGCACCTCTCCCACGCACTGTATTCTGGGTTCATCTCGACCTACCTGTCCATCGGAGAAGCCCACGGCGATGACGCCCAGCTCAGATGGCCGGGAAAGGAACTTTTGGGTGATCGTAGTCGTAGGAGAAGCCATCTTTTACTCTCTTTTCTCTCTCTGTGTATTCAGAGACGGTCTGGAAGTCGAGCAGGTCGAAGAAGACCGGCTTTTATATAGACGAAGAAAAAGACCCGGATAGTCTCGGCGGCCCACCGAGGAGGAGACGAGAAAGAGATCAAAAGAAGGGCGTGAAAAGGTTCTTCTTGTCCTCGTCTTTCGTCTCTCAAGGATCAAGGGAAGGGAAAATGTTGTCTGTGTCTTTCTCGCCTGGAAATGCTCTTAGGGGCGACCAACTTCCCCTAAGTACATGTTTTGGAGAGAAAGAGGAGTCTGTCGGTGACGCTAGACAAGTCGAACATGGGCCGCTTCTTTTCTCTCTTTGCTTTTTTCTTCTTATTCGGATTTTTCTTCGGGTGTTTGATTATTCTTCCGGTGGCGGTTGAAGTCTGATACGTTGGTGGATGTTGGTTGGTAGATGTCAACATTTGATAGATGTTGACAATTGATAGACGTGATAGACAGCGATAGGTGATAGATGTGATAGACGGTGATAGGTGATATAGGTGATAGACGGCGATAGGTGATAGGTGATAGATGTCACAGCAGAGACCTGACGGCCTCCTCAGCCCGCTGGGCTTCGACCCGTCCTCGCTCGCCCATCCGTTTGATCTGGCCAACGAAGAAGCCAATCTTGCCCTGCTGGCCCTGCCGGATCTGCTCGACCAGCTGCGGGTGCTGGGCCATCACCGTCCGCGCCATCGAGACGTACTCCTCCTGCGCCAGCGGACGCAGCAGCAGCCCGTCCTGCTCGACCATCTCCTGCACCGTCCGGCCGCCGTGCTCGCCTGCAAAGACCGTCGACAGCAGCGACTTGGCCGTGCTGCCGGTGATCTGCTTCGTCCCGACCAGGTGAACGATCGCGGCCAGGCTCGAGGCCGGCACTCGCTCGCCGTCCCAGGCAGCGTCAGCCCGGCTGAACAGCCCTCCCAGCTCGTGCAGGACCCAGTTGCCCACCGTCTTGCCTGTTGCTGATACTGTTGATGCTGCTGATGCTGCTGCTGCTGCTGCTGCATCCCTTTGTAAAACGACCAGAGAGTCGACGGCGTCGAGATAGTACTCCAGCCGGGCACAGTCGTCGAGCTCGATCAGCGGCTTCGCGTCTTCTACGGTCAGCATGTACATCGGGTCCTGCGTCAGCATCCGCAGCAGCTCGTCCGGCGACGGCGGCATGCTTGTCCGCAGCCTCTCGACCAGCTCTGCCCCCACGACGACGGGCCCGATGTCAGGATCGGGCATGTATCGATAGTCCACCGACCCTTCTTTCTCCCGCAGCCTCTTCGTCTCCGTGCTCCCTATCGTCCAGCCGCGGGTCTCGCCCTCGACCTTCCCTCCGCCCTCCAGCACCGCGATCTGCCTGTCCCGCTCGGCGATGATCGCATCCTCGACCGCCTTGAAGCTGCTCAGGTTCTTGATCTCCGTCCGCTGGCCCAGCCCCGATACGCCTTCGTAGCCGTGCTGCTCTACCTGGCCCGTCCGTCGAACAGACACGTTCACGTCTGCACGCAGACCACCCATCTCCATGCCCGTGTTGACCGCGCCGCAGGACTGCAGCAGGGCCTGGATCTTCCGCACGCACGCCGCCGCCGTCGCAGGCGAGTGTATCTCCGGCAGGGTGATGATCTCGATCAGCGGACGGGACACCCGGTTGAAGTCGAGCAGCACCGTGTGCGACGGGAGCTCCTGCGACTTGGCCGTGTCCTGCTCCATCTGTATCTGCTTGATCCCGACTCGCACCGCGTCGCCGTCTTCGGGCGCTATCCCGTCGTGAGGGTACAGCCAGAGGGCACCCGATCTCGCGTAGGGCTCTATAAACGGTAAAAAAAGGACGTTAAAACAAGCCATCCACGTAGTTCAGCCGGAGTCCTCGAGCCTACCATAGTACTGTGTAATCTGATACCCGGCCGGCTGGTCCTGGTAGAAGTAGTGTTTCCTGTCAAAGTGGCTCACGCTCTGTATCTCGCAGCCGAACGCAATTGCAGCTCTCAGCGCCGGTATCAACGTCGCCGGTTGGAACCACTATAACCATCGTAAGCAGCAGTCCATAGAGGCGCAGATGTAGATGTAGACTGACCGGCTGGCTTCCGGGAAACGCGAGATCGAACAGCGCAACGTTGGCGTTTGGCGCATCATCATGGGCAGCAGAAGCTCCTACAGCGGTCAGCGTCTTCTTCATCCACGCCTTCATCCGCGTCTATAACTCACTGGAAAACAGCTTCGAGTCCGTATCCAGCTGGGCATGCACCTCAATGCCAACCGTCAGCTCCCATCCTTCGACCTGCGAGCTCGCGCTCTTCGACCTCTTCCCTCTTCCTGTCAGCCGTTTCGCCTTGGACTCGTCTTTGAGCTGTTTCCGCAGCGGCACGAACGCTCGACCGTCGCCGTCGAGGTTGTTGCTGGAGCTGCTGGCCGATGACTGTGTCTGCTGCGTGCTGAGCGAGCGTCTGGGGGCCGTCTTGCTCCGGGTCCGCCGTCCGGTCGCAGTAACGGGGGCCGCAGAGAGAGCAAGACGAAGACGATGTCTGATCATTAGGATGTCCTGCTGCTGCAATGCGATTGATGGTGGAAAGTTGGGCGCGACCACCGCAAGAAACTATTCTTCTATTGATCGATGAGAGTCGAGAGTAGATGGTAAAAGTAGATAGTAAGCTTCAATTCTTGTCTTGTGGCTGAATGTTTTTTTCTAACTAGCAAATTCATCCCTGACGGCCAACGATCAAATGTCTACAGCTTGGTTACTACAGAGTATGGAGCACCCGGAATATTCTGGCCGCGGATGACGGCCATGCTACTAGTATGTATATAGAAAGAAGAAAAGAAAGCCTTTTCCAGCGCCTCTTTCTGCGAGAGGCCATGTCATTCGCCGGCCAGGATCCCAGATGGACGAGACGGCAGGCTTGGTAGATCGTCTCTGGTTGCATCTTCTAGTTGATAGTAAGAGTATACTAATGTATTCGCTCCGTCCGTGTGTTGCGCAACCGCTCGATATCCTGTCTGGTCGTGTGTATGGAGTCCATATATGGATATACTCCGTCTTGTACCGGAGTCCATCCCTTTGACACACGCCAGGCTTAGTGAGAAGCTCCCTGGCAGTGCCCAGAACCCTTTTTCTTGTCATCGGCACGGCGTATATGTGTATATGTTGATGCCGCCATCGAGACTCCGCAGATGATACGACGGAGCACTATGTAGGTAATTAGTAACAGCGCATAAGCCACCGAGCATGGGCATGTCCAAGGGTCATAAACTTGCCTCTGGGCGAATCACATCCACGCTGCGTCTTCAAGGGCGATTCCCCATATGTATGTGTACTTGATACCTGCAAGCATCAACCGTCCTTGATCCTGGGGAAGTATACGGCCGTCTGTCTGAACTAGCGACTCGAAAGTCGATAGATGAAACCTTTTCATATGACCAGTCGACACACTCTGTCGTCCTGCTCAATCTATACGAAGGGCCAAACGATCCAGCCGTAGGCCGTAGGCCGTAAGATGTAGCCGTAAGATGTAGCCGTAAGATGTAGCCGTAAGATGTAGCCGTAGGATGTAGTATCCTCTCGCGTTTCATGTTGTCTTCTCTGCTTGGGCTGCCGTTTGGTTCCACGGCATCGAGGCTGTCGTTAAACATCCCCAGATCATTGGCGGCGCTTCGTGTTTTTTTTGTCTTTCCTCTTTTCTTCTTCCTGTTCTTCTTCTTCGTCCTCTTCTTCTCAAGGGCCCCCGGCTCGCTTTAGTCTCTTTCGTTTCTTTTCTCTTTCATCGTCATCATCGCACACAGAGGGCTTCATGAGACACCCTCATGCCCTCCATCCAAACCGTGTCGATCGGGGCCAGGGGCGTTTCATCGCAGTCTAACCTGGCAGCGTTTGAATATATTAATCTCTTCTATCGACTATCGATCTCTCCGTCTTGTATATGTATCGAGTGCTGGCCGCTTCCAAAGTAGAATCCCAACCGTCTCTCGCCTGTCATCCTCGTTAGTTAGCAGGAAGAAGAGGAAAAGACCGTCTCTTGACTTGCCTGTCTATATCGCCGTCGAAGAGTCTCTCGACTATCAGTCTCTTGCTCTATCAGTCTCTTGATCTCGTCTGGTCGACCTTTTCCAACCCGTGACGGTGCAAGTGACCGTCTCGTATACCAGGATATATCCATACATCTCATACATCTGTAGACACAGATAGATATACCAAGATGGCGCCGACAAAGACCAAAAAGTCGAAGAAGTCTGCTGCTCCTCCTCCTCCTCCCCCTCCCCCTCCTGTATCCATCCCGGTTACAGGCTCGTCGCTGGACTACTCGCTGCCGCCGCTCGATGTGCCTTATGCCATCCCGGAAGCTGAGCTGCCGCCAGATCACGGCTTCAACGAGCCGCTGGAAGTGCCCTATGAGAACGAGAAAGAGATATCTTCTGCTGCCCGACGAAGAGCAGCCAGCAGAGCCAGCGAGCCGCTTATCGTCCCTACCTCTGCTGCTGCCGCTGCCGCCACTGCTTCTATGTCTACTGGCGCTGTCGACCCAACCGCCGCCGTCTTCTCGTATCTCGACCAGCAGCAGGAAGACCAGATGCGGCCCTCTCACTCCAGAAAGGCCTCTGAGCCCGCCGTCTCAAAGGCCTCCAGGCCAAAGGACCATGCCCGCAAGGCCAGCCTGTCTCAGCTGCTCAGAACCGTGTCCGGCGGATCCTCGTCGACCGCCAAAGAGAGGGATCGAGACAGAGATCTCAGCCCGAGCCGCTCGTCTTCGGTATCAAAGGAGTCAGAGTACCAGCCCGCAACGCCGCCAGACATGCTGTTCGACCCTATCAACTTCCATATCCCGGGCAGCAAGGGGGTGCCCAAGTCCCATATGGCCGGCTCTTACATGACGGACTCGGAGAGCATCCTCGAGGGTCCTCCGTCCGCTGCCCCGGCCTTCATGAACTTCTCCCACCCAGAGGCCTTTTACATGCCCAAGAGCACGCTGTCATACTCCATGGGGCCTCTCCCATCCAAGCAGCCTGAGCGAGCACCCGTCGAAGGCTCACGGCGACGTTCGCAGACATCGGCATCGGCACCAGCATCAGCATTTGCATCAGCATTTGCATCAGCAGCACCAGCACCAGCACCAGCACCAGCACCAACGGCAACGGCAACGGCAACGACACCAGACCAGTTTGAATGGACAGCTCCTCCCGAGACACCTTATCACGTATATCGAAAGTTTGAAAAGCTGAACCATCGTGTTCTACGCCATCTACAGGAAGAGATTGCCCAGCTGGAAGACGACCTCCTTACCATCGATGACATCGACGCCGCGCGCGCCGGTGCCTCGAGCAACCGCACCTCTCCAAGACAGAAACAGCTCGCTGCAAAGTACAGAGACCAGATACAGGACCACTCCGTGCTGCAGAATAAACGAGCAGACCTCCTCGAGAAAGTCATACTAAAGACAGACCAATACAGTCAGCCTCCTCTCTCTCTCTCTCTCTCTCTCTCTCTCCCTCCTTACTAACGAAACAAACAGACCGGGCCCTGAGCTCCTTTTCTAAAGTTATAAAGAACCTCCCCGCCGCATCTGAAGACGATATCGATGCGTACCGCAGCTTCTTGCGGTCCCCCGCTGGCGCTTCCTCCAAGAGTGAGCGAAGACTGCTGGACCACAGAACCGACCTTGTCACCATGGCCCCTCGCCCAGCAAGCGCACTGCACTCTAACCCCCTCTACTCCACCGTGGCCGCAGTCTTTGCCGCCATCCTCTTCCCTCTCCTGGCATTTGGAGCCATCTCGGAATTCTTCGGACGCATCGTCGTCGTCTCTTTTGTCGCCGGTACGTTTGCCTGGTGGGCGTCCAACGGACCCCCTGGACACGACTACCTCGTCGAGCCGCAGGATGGCTGGAAGTGCGCCGTCATGTAAGTGCTCTCTCGTCTCTTCCTATTCTCTTGCCGTATGCTAACGTCGCTCGCAAACAGCTACTTCGGCTTCATGACTCTAGCAGCACTCTTGCTCTAGCCATTTTTCGTCCTAAAAAACATCTTCTGCATCATCTATACCCTTCTTCAGCTCTAGTCTTCGCAGGTCGACTTCTAAGATGCATTGGAGTATTTCATCTTTCTTTTCATCTAAAAAAAAAAAGGATTCTTACTTTTCGGTTCTATCTCATGTGTTTATCCTATGTTTTACGATTTTATGATTTCAGGAACAAAAGGAAAAAAGGGGCCTTTTCTTTTCCATCTTGTGCCATAATCGATAATGATCTATTCTTACATCATATTCCTGAATGGAAGGCTGGCGGGTTTCATTCCTCTGTTTCTGCGTAGGTGAGGCTTATCACCTTGTATTACCAGCTTGTTTCCTACCATAACTAAACACCTACTCTTCCTGTTTCTCGCTTCTGTTTGCTGCACAGGAGTAAGGCATGAAAGGGGTGGAAATGCAAGTGCTTACCACTTATATAAATGTCATCTCTTCATCAAAGATATAACTACCCAGTGCAGGGAGCAATATCAAACAAGAATATACTTTCTCAAGGCTGAAATGAAGCTCTTATAGACATTCATTAATAGCTAGAACTAGTTATTATTACCTTCTTTAGAGAGTAAAAGTGGTTAAACATTCTTCAATTCAAGGGCTGGTATAAAAGTGAAAGAAACACATCAAAGGGATAACCAGATGAAAACCTGTCTTCAGGGTACTCCTACAGTCCCTTTTTCAAGCCCTTGAATCATTCTTCTTTTTCTTCATCTTCTTTTATGTTAGAAAGTGCCTCTGTGGGCTGGGCCAACCATCCCTTTACCTCCATGCACCAGTGCAAATAATAAAAACAAAGAGAGAATAGTAGAAAAGGTTGGACAAAGTACAAAAGGGCAGGCGGTCTACTTGGTATGCCTAAAGAAGCAAAACAGTAGAGAGAGAGAGACAGAAAGCGGCGACAGGAATGGTGAGCGGGCGGTGAGCGGCGTTCTGTTGATACATAGAATGTTGGGAGGTAAAGGTGTAGTAGATTTATTCTGCTCTTTGAGCAGGGGATCATAGATTAGCATGCGCATAAAGAGTAAGGAGATATCTTCGTCCCGGAGTTGGCGGTGTGGTGCTGGCCAATAAATAAAATAATGATTGCTCTAATCCCTATGCTGGATTGTGTAAGTTTGTATTCACTTCTACAATGTTGAAGATTCTATTTTGAGGCCCCTGGACCAGCCATAGGTAGCCCGTTCGACTGGCCACTGTGCATTTCAACATCCCTAGGTTGGCCCTGTCCATTAGGGTGCATTGGCTGAGGCGACGCGACGGCTTGAGCGCGATTATCCAACAGTTGCAGCTTGTTTCGATCCATGATCGCGGCTTGTTCGGCGGCCGATCGGGCATAGGCCATAGCCGGCGAAGGTTTAGAATATGGTGTATGCATCTGGCTCGCTTGACCAGGAGGGTAGTTTGCGTAGGGAAGAGGCTGTGGTGTCTGTTGCTGGAAGTATCGTGGCTGAGCAGGGTTGGCTGATGGCGAGTTTAGATAGGGAGTTCGTTGTGGAGATTGATTATAGTTATGTGGCGGCCTCTGGGGAGAAGCAGCATGGTTTAACTGCTGCGGATGGCTACCATGAATAGGCTGGTATGCAGCTTGGGGGGTACGATGAGGGTATGGTTGGCTTGGTGTTTGTGCAGGGGAAGGGCGTCTTTGGGGGTAGTGGGATACACCGTTGGAAGAAGATCTCTGGAACTGTTGCAGCATTCCACTCCTGGTATAAGGGGAAGAGGCACCGGCGGGTTGTTGGTATTGGGGTTGCATGTACCCTTGCCGCTGGCCGGGTTGTGGGTGCTGTGCATATGCCTGAGGGTTAACCGGTTGGTAGTGTCCTGTTGGGGGTCTTCCTGCGTATCCCTGGGGGGATTGATAGTTCATTGGAATTTGTTTCTGGCGAGTGCTGTGTTGACGTTGGTAAGGGGCCACTGCCGGGGTCTGGTAAGGGGGTCGGCCCTGGGCTGTCTGTGCATGGCCACGAGAGTTCACCAGGTTTTGTTGGATTTGCGCAGCTTGTTTCTGTTGCTTGGTAAAATCATCATCTTCTAGAGTGCCAGGATAATCGACGCTATCTAGAAGAATCTTCTTACTCAAGTTCAATTCCGCAAGCTGCTCCCCAGTCAGTTTCGAGACCGCGTATGGTGGCAAAGAGGCCACTAGGGTCGATAGGCTGGACTTTAATGTTTGGTATATACTGTACTCTGCATCAGACGGAGTAGTCGTAGGCTCGCGGTTAGCTGACATCCCATTGCTTTGGTCACTTGCTTTATCTGGCGAGCTCTGCGAGAGGTTTCGTAGCTGACGGTAAGAATTCAATGTTTGAAGCAGGTCCGATATATCGTCAAGTATCTCTCCTATATCGCCCTCGGGGGTTTTCATTTCGTTCTCAGTTGATTCCTTGGACTCCGTTGCCTTATCCACATATGTTGTATCTGGCTTGAAGGACTCCACTGCTTCTGGTAGAGTTTCTTCGTCCAACAGTTGGGGGTCCAACACTTGATCCAAAACTGGATGCAATTTATGGGGCCCTTGGGCTTCTTCGGGGCCAAACAAAACATTAACGCGATTTGCCCCTGATTTCTCCCACCAAGCTTGGTATTTGGCAGCCCGAGGTGCGACCGCACCAGAGCTGTCAAACGAAGGAGCAAACGATGAATAAAGTGTCTGAAAAAGAGTCATATCTTCTTTTGATGGTTTCTCCTTCTCACCGGTGTCTTGTTTTGATGCTCGGCGGTGGTTATCCGGCACATTTGGATTCTCATAGCCATAATTCAACCATGATCCGGATGGAAGGGATATCGAGCTATAAGTTTTTCTTCCGGGAAGGTTACTGGATAAAGAGCAAGCAATGTCGAGAGGGTCTAGCCACTTAACCACGGAAGGTCCACTTTCTGCAGGGCGCTTTTGAGGATGCTCTAGAACAGACGTGTTAGGTCGCGGTGAAAAGACCTCCCCGATAGTTCTTGTTCGACTCCGCGATTCGTCCAGGTGTAAAGGGTTGAAGGGAACAATCTTAGTAACCACTATGCCCTTGGGAAGTGCGGTTTCGTTGATAGGCAAATCGGACAGCTGTACACTTGAAAATATCTGTCTGCCATGAGGAGTGTTGTCCACTAGAGCCAGAGCCAACCGGTCATTCCGGGAGCTGCTTGTCAAATTTTCAGACGTGTCCTCGGCCTTTGTTTGTTTAGACGAAAGAGTAGAAGACGGTGCCTGGGGAGGAATTTTCATAACCAGTCGGTTCAATTCTTTTCTAAAAGCGTTCGCACGGCTGGAGGATTCGTTAGAAGAAGCTGGTCCTATCGACCGACGAGATTTGCTATCGTGTCGCTGAGACTCTGCGACGAACGAGTTGATAGCTTGTTCGACATCGTGTAGGAAGGGCTCAAGGGACTGGTAATGGGCCTTATCGACTCGAGACTGTACAGTCTGTGATTCGACGGTCGTCTTGGATCGCTTTACACGCTTATTGTCAGGTTCTCCAGCGGATAGGTGGGTAAGTGGGCGTCTTAGAATCCCAAGATCGGAGTCATGCCTAGATAAGGGCCGTTAGAATGCGACTCGAACAGCGGAAAAGACAAGATGAAGACTCTTACTTTGACAAGACCAAAATAAGGTCCTTGAGAGTATCGGGAAAGGTATCATCGTAGCTCCGTGCCGTTGAGGTTGTCTCATCTCCTTCACCTTCAGCAGTAGTTTCGCGTTTTCGCTTTGCGGATGCCGGTGTGACTGGCGGCTCAGCACTCTGAACTGCGTTCCCGTTCATATTGACCGTTCCTTCACAAGCCTTCCTTTTCATTCCACCCAAGCTTATCTTCCACTTTTTTCAAACCGAGAGCGAGACGACAGCTAGATCGCGCGCAGTCAACGGGTTATCCAATTGGAAAGAAGCGCTTCCTGCATGAATCAAGAAGGCTCTCCGAACGGTGTGTTCAAAATGAAGACCCTCTGGGCCACACGCGGGAGAAGCTTTGCGCCGTCAAAGGCCTGCTGAACAGGCGACAGGACAGTGAATATAGCTCTCAAGTCCTAACGCGCAGTTAGCTCTGATAAAACCTAGTCAGGAGCAAGGGAATAGTTATTGAAGAACGGCCTACCCGTAAGAAAGCACGCTGTCCGCCACCAAAGAGAAAAAAAGAAGCGCGTCCTGGGAGTCGTTCAAGCAAGAAGAGAAGCCATACAACCTCTTCCGTCTTCTTATCCTATCTGCAAACACTTGAAAGCCACAGAGCAAGATGAAAGATCGTTGCAACAAGACGAAGACTTCTTCTTCTGCTTCTTCTCGCTCTTTTTTTTTTCTTGATCTTTCGCGATGAACTTCTTTTTTTCCTTCTTTGGGGTGTTAGTCACGTGGTATAATGACTAAGCAGTCACGTTTTTGAAGTCGTTTTTTGGATCTTTTTTTTTTTTTTTTTTGATATCTTCAGGTTGTTTTCTTACTTGCGACTTGCTATTCTCTACAGCTTCTTCTTGTTGTTGTTCTCTGCTCTTCTGCTGCTGCTGCTGCCTCCGATGTAACATGTTATTGCTCGGGATAGCCTGTTGACCCTCTATATAAACCTGCAACTGATCCATAGAGAGCTGTTTTATGTCATCTCTGCGCCGGTATGCCTGCCAAAGACTTGCGGTATCTTTGATATCCCCGTGTCTTTCTCGGACATCTTTGCAGCATGCCAGGGTGAGTCCCCCAAATCCCTTTCATGGATGGTCTGAGCAATTGTTCTCACAAGGCTCGCTGTAGGCAACTAGATTAGTCCGCACTACCTGTACCGCTTCTAAGGCTCGCATATCTCACACTGCACATACAGTCTGCCCTTCTCCTGAGCTTCCCACACCTTCTGCAGAGACTAAACCTGAGGTTTACCCACCGTCTTCAAAAGCACTCCTTCTGGCCTTGCACAGGATCCAGGCAGGAATATATACATCAACCACTCATGCGGGCCTTTCGTGGAGTCTGGCTGGAAGGTCTGGCGAGGAAGATAAAGTATTTCTGGCGCTGGAAGCTAGCTTAAATGCGACCCGTCCTGTACGAGTTGAATACTCTCTCCTAGTTGCTCGGTATTTGCATCAAATTTACCCGTTGCTACGGTCAGATACCACAAAAGAGAGTGATTTCAACCATGCTCTCCTCCGGGTGTTTGACGACAATGCCTTGGCATACTTGTCCAAGAGGGGACATTATGTGGGTGATGTGATGGCATGGTCGTGGATATTGGCTACACCCGACGCCTTCACGGCGATTATGCGATACAAGCGGTTGGCGCAAGAAACCCGAGTTCCAATGTTCGTTCTTATGTTCCTCTTGCGACGAATTGATATCGACGAGCTTAGTTTCGACTTACTCTTGAAGCAATGCCAGGTTGTGTTGAAGTCCATGGTTCAAACTAAACCGCATTCTTCAGATATGGAACCTAGCTCCTCTTCAATGCCAGAACAGCTGCTAAAGAATGGGGATCGTGCAGTCGTTATAGCCATCCTTACTCGCTTGGCCAACTTAGCTCGCAAGGTGGCTCCTAGGACCCTGGTCAACGTAGCAAAAATGTTCACATCCACATTTGCTAGTCTTACAGCGACCAAGGATCTGGGTCAACTTGGCCCGAAAAAAGCACGCCGAATAACTGTGCTTTACAATAAGTTCATCCAACGTCTCGCGGGATGGTGCAGAGTAGAGCCTTATCATTCTGCCAAAGTACAGCAAAAGGCAGTATTCCATATACTACGAGAAATGGAAACTTTCAACCCTCCTCTACCAGTCAACAAAGCAACCTACCAGGCCATAACTCAGATCTTACTTGCCTGTACAATGACAAAAGCAGAAAAACAGTGGGATAGCTTTAAAGCCGTCTCTTGGCCCCCGTGGAAAGAAGACAAGCTGGGAATTGATGCAGAGAAGACAGAGGGAAGCAAAAGCAAAGCCATGGAATCCATCACTCAAATGCAGCAGGCAGGCTACCATTTCACCGAATGGGATAGGGCGGCGTCTGTTGTAGCAGGCTGGGATACTGATGGAACACCAACCATCCAGAAAAGGACAAGGCTTCCAAGCCCGAACTCGGATTTGGAGGGGCAATACCTTCATCCAGATCCTGAACCGCTGGTATGGGCTGCTCGGATTCGGGCAACTAGAACGGTTCGGGAGGCCTGGGCATGCTATGTGTCCTCTCAACAACAGAACGTTCCTCTTACAGAGCAAATTATTCATGAAATAGTTGAAAAATTCATCTCATATGAGAGAATACAAGACCAATTCGATCAATTGGAGGAATTCGGATCCCAGGCTCCGATCTCTGTACCTTCTGATGGTGGTAAGGAGGTACATCCTGAACCTACCTCACCGCGCGATGTTATATACGTTCCGTCTGAGCCGCCAACGCTACCCCAGTTTTTACAACAAACGTTTTCACGAGATTTCCCGCTACCGGATAAAGTACTGGTCTTGGTACTTAGACATACTTCATCTCTTAAGCAAGGGCTAGATTATATCGATCATAGCACTCTTACAGATGACCAGATACATGCTCTGTTCGCTCCCTCCTCCAAGAACAGCCAAGAGAGAATGAAGGCTCTCGGCTCCATCCATGACGTGATGTTTTCCGCTGTCATACGGTTCCTATGCAGATGCGCCTCGCACAGTACTGTGAACCGTATTCCAAACCGAACCGAAGCTCTGAATGCCATGTTCCCTATTCTCGTACCAGGGTGTTCAGACCTAGAGCTAACTCAGGGTCGTGCTTTGACCCATGCCGTTTTTCTTATGGAACAACGCGTCCCACGGTACATGCCTGCCTGGCATAACGTTTTCAAAGCCATAGCCATTGGTAGTCGGCCATACTACGATTTTAGAAGGCTTGAGCTGGCGCCAGGTGTGAATCGAGTCTTTGCTTGGGAAGAGACGCTAAGGCTAGTTGAGTATATGAAGGCAAACTCTATAGTGCTAGATCTGAGGTGTATTCAACTCCTTTGCAATGGGTTGGTAGGGCTGTTGCAGGCTCTCCGCCTCAACCCAAGCGCTGTTAAGGCGGGGAGAAGGGCAATATCCCGTCTTCAGCTCCCAGACTCCTATATTACGCTGGGAAGACCGTTGGCGACACGAACCTCTAATGAAATGGTTGAACATGCCCTCACGCAGCTGAGACTCCACGTCAACCAATTTCTGCCTCTCAAGAGAGGGCAGCACAGCCGCCCTTTGTCGGTTGATGGACTCTCGATCGCGCCGGTGATACCGACTCCTTCCATCCTCCATTCACTAATCCGAGCGTTCGGGCGTGGGAAAGATCGAAAATCCATCGTGGCCATTCTCCATGTGCTGCAAGCAGAAGCCCACGAGCTCAAACGGGTGACCAACGAACGGCGTGGGGGTCGCAGAATGCTCCGTCGAGCAGTTATTGCCTCCAGGGCCTTTCTTGAAAACGACCTGACAGGCTTGAGAGAGGATGAGGAGTGCAGAGGGCGAACTCATCAACACACCCACCCCCTGGTACAAGAGGCACGTATCCTCGTGGATGAAACCGACATGCTGGCTCCCTGGCCATCAGATGAAGAGGTGGATGCATATATCCAGCATGAGATACTCGATAACTTCACAGGCCATGATGAAGCGATGTAGCCATATGTAATATACCGATTAACATAAATATAGAGACTTGTATAGCAATATTAAACTTGTATAGCTCGCGGCCGTTGGATTTTTTTTTCGGCGTCGGCTCAGACGGCCGAAGATTGATAAGAAAAATATTAAATAGCAAAACAGCCGAAGAAACCAACAACATCCAGACAAGACCGTATATATAGCTTCAGTTCAGCCATCACCGCACAAGGATATATATCTAGAGATATATATCATACCATGGCTGCTGCTCGAGTATTCCGTTCAACAGCCCTTCGCCAATTCCCCGTCATCCAGATTCGCCGCAATGCCACGCTCGGCACCAGCGCCCATGGGGATGTGATCAATGTTCAGCAGATTCCCGCACCAGGCGCAGGGCACATCAGAGTACTGCTGCTCAATCGACCGCAGGCTCGCAATGCGATCTCGCGACAGCTGCTGAACAGCCTGGGAAAGCATATCGATGACATTAAGGCTGAACAGGGCAAAGGTCCAACTAGGGCGCTGGTGCTCGCCAGCAACGTCGACGCTTCATTCTGTGCGGGAGCAGACTTGAAAGAGCGAGCTACTTTTACAAAACAGGAGTGAGCGACGGCACCTCTTTCTGTCTTGGAGAATGCGTTTATACTGATTGCGGTGGTGGCATATAGTACGGAAGCGTTCCTGGCTCAACTCCGCCAGACATTCGCCAACCTGGACGAGCTACAGATTCCAACCATCTCTGCTATTTCGTCCATGGCACTAGGCGGCGGACTGGAGCTAGCACTATGCACAAAGCTACGTGTCTTTGGAAGCACGAGTATAGTCGGACTGCCCGAGACTCGACTTGCCATCATCCCAGGCGCAGGAGGCACTTACCGCCTGCCACGTCTCATTGGCAAGAACCGCGCTCTGGACATGATCCTCACTGGACGACGGGTCAGCGGTGCCGAGGCCTACTTTCTCGGACTCTGCAACAGGTTAGTCGAGGTGACGCCCGAAGAGCAAGGGAAGCCGGGAGAAGCGAGGGAGAAGGTTCTACGGGAAAGTATCAAGCTTGCGCAAGACATCTGTGAAGGAGGGCCTATTGCGCTAGGTCAGGCTCTAAAGGCTGTTGATGGATTCGAGAGGGGCGCAGAGGCAGAGAACGAGGCGTATCTTGGAGTCGTGGAGACCGAGGATCGGTTTGAGGCTCTGAAGGCGTTTGCAGAGAAGAGGAAGCCTTCCTTCAAGGGACGATGATGACGACAACGATTATGAGTCTGGTATTGAATGAGGGTGTCTACTTTGTTTTTTTTTTTTTTTCATCACGGATTGTCTGGTTCGGTCTCGTTTCCATCCAGGTGTTCATGTGATGTGTTAAAAGGGACATCAGGCACACGCTGAAAGGAGGGAGAATGTGCTGACTACGAGTGATTCCCAGAGGGTTTTGGATGATTAAAAGGCAGTTGAATTCGGCAGAGAGCAAGTCTGTATATATTGTTACTGCGTTAAGAGTGAAGACGTGGCTATATCAGATAGACAGGTTGTATCCGGAGAAACACATTAACTTGTAGGCACCATCATTCCTGAGCCTCCTTTTAGCGACTCTCTCGTGTTTTCTGAGTAGAAAGGCGTACTATGTATGTTTGCTCTGTCTTGCCTTCTATCGAGCTGCCTAGGTAGGCGAAATGTCGCGTGCTTGGTCTATATCTGTCTGTAGCCCAAGGTGTATCCCTGGCTCAGCCTCCCAGTCTCGCATAGTTATTTAGGAGATATCAAGTTTTCTCGACCAGGCGGTTTCGTATGATATGGGCGTCAACCATGACGTCCTATCGAATGTTTGCTGCCTGCTCGAGCTCGACGGCGCCAAAGCATACACCATGGATGGTTATGCAGGTAAGTTGGGGATGGGCTGTTTAATACGTTACATGACCTGAGATGTTGATTCTCCTCTTCCCATCACGAGCGGAATCAGGACTGCATGATATGGCTGTCCCATGTTTCACAAGGTAGGCTTGCCGTCTCTGCTGAATGGTCCATAAACTACTGTGTGATGCAGGCGTTTTGTTCATCGAAACTGCATACATAGTATGCTGCACTCCGTATGCACTTCATCTCAGCGGGTTTGTATCCAACACGAACGTATTACCCTCGTTGTCTGTCCTTCTTGGGGGCTGAAAATAGAAGCTCATTCTGGTTCCTTGGATCGGTTCGGGGAAAAGGGCCGGGTCGATCCAGGATTTCCCATCCCATCCATGGATGTTCTCCTTCTCTCTTTTTGCCTTCCTTTGTCCTCCGAAGGCTCGTAACTGTTGTAGATACCAACCGATATATGGGCCATGCCCTCCATCAAGCCAGCCGCACGGAAGCCAAACACTTGACTGGCCACCAGGAAGCCTTCCCCTGGCCGCGCGCCGGGATATAGGGCTGCATTCCAACCTGTAGCAACCTTGAACCGCCCCCAGCTTCTGCTCCAATCGCGCCCGTAAGAACTATTTTGGGTCGACCCCCAATCGCGTAACAAGGATGCCGCTCAGTGCAGAATTCGGAGAAACGAGGCTGGATCCCCTGCATGCGCCTAACAGGAGAAGAGAAAAGAGCTTTGAGAGATGAGATCTATCGAAATCTAGTCAGTAAACTACTCAAGCATTGCCCTATCGTTTCCCGGCAGACTGGGCGGACCCTTACTGTCAAAGCAGCGAAACATCCAGGGGGCAGCAGAGGATGGACGGTTGTATCTCGCAGGTGACCCTCGTTCTCGCATAACCGTCATCTTCTCTCCACCTGGCTGAGCCATCCTGCGCCTGGAGAGACCAGAGAGTGTGTATGTATCTTTTTCTACCAACTTGTTCACAAGACTCGGGGCGCATCAGCGATCATCGAAAGTGTGTGTCAGGCTGCTGCAAGGGCGGGCGACTTTCAGCGGCAGCCGGTTAAGGATCAAGATATAAGCCCGCCTCCTCTCTCTCTCTCCGTGAGTCTGCATCGTGAACTTCATCTCTTCCTCTTCCTCTCTCTCTTCTCATGGGCTTTATATATATATATCTCCTCTGGCCCCCTCTCTCTGATATCGAAACCTCTTAGATATCACTCTTCCTCACAGAGATGGGCACCATAGTAACCAAGCGCGGTGTTGTGGTCAAGCAGTTTGGCCTTACAGAGCTCTATCAAACAGCTAACCCGGCCGTCGAGTAAGTCGTCTCTTCATCTACTTCCTTTTATCTTCATCAAGCTAACTGTGTTAAGTATCGTCTTTGTCCACGGCCTGAACGGAACCTCATATCATACCTGGGCGACGAAGAAGCCGCAGGAGGTCTTCTGGCCGTCCGATCTTCTACCAGACGCCCTGCGCGGCCTCGAGGTCAGAATCCTCACTTATGGCTACGACGCGAACGTCACGGCGTTTACTGGAGGGACGTCAAAGGATAAGCTACATAACCATGCTGAGCATCTCATCTCCAAGCTGTTTGCCCTTCGAAACGTGAGTGCATGACCCTAGGAGTCGATGATAGACCATACTAACAAAGACATAGAGCACCCAGTCGACTGAGAGGCCCATCGTCTTCATCTGTCACTCCCTCGGCGGCCTGGTGGTGAAGAAGGCTCTCTGCTGCTACACCAGGATCAGCCATCAGCACACACAGCATCTCCGATCCATCTATATATCGACATACGGCATCCTCTTCCTAGGGACACCGCATAATGGATCTAACATCGCAAAGATGGCCAGCACGGCGCAGTCCTTTATCAGCACCGTCATCCCAAAGAAGCTCCTCTCCACCTCCCCACAGCTCATCCAGGTCCTGCAGAGCAATAACGAGCATCTCCAGGTTATCAACCGTGAGTTCGTCCAGATCATGGATCGGTTCCACATCTACTTCTTCCACGAGTCGAAACCCATGGATTTAGGCGGGACCCGAGCCTTTATCGTTGAGGAGTCTTCCGCTGCCCCGGTCATGGACGGGGTGGAGCGTATGGGCATCGAGGCAGATCATGGAGCAATGTGTCGCTACCTCAACGAAAACTCCCCTGGCTACGATACCGTCACAGAGGCAATACGGCGTTACTCCTCTGCCGCCGGTCCTACCATCGTCGCCCGCTGGCAGCAGGCTAAGCGGGAGTACTACCTTGCAGTGCAAGCCGGTTTGCAGGTCCAGCAACTTACTGTGGGCAGCACTCTTGATCTCACATCCGATGCGCACGACCCACTTGGTGAGTTTTGATTATCCTTTCTATTATCTTCAAACATCTATAGCTAATACAATGTATAATAGAACGCTCGGTGTCCTCCCTTCCTGGGCCACACGACGCAGCTTACACCAACCCAGAAGCTCTCAGTAACGTCGGCCAGTCTCTACTATTGGGTCAGAAAGATGAACCAGTCGTCACCGTTAGCCCTCCCGGCTTCCATCCTAATGCCGTGTTTTTCGGTATGGAAGATGAGATGGATCAGCTGCAACGGGTACTATCCGATGAACGGAAACGGTCTCTAGGCCCAGTAGCTGTTTTAATCCACGCTGGCCCAGGCGCCGGGAAATCTCATCTGGCTAGGCAATACATGTACGATAACGAAGCTTCCTACCCTGGCGGCATCTTCTGGATCGATGGCAAATCAAAGGAGTCTCGTCTCAACGGAATCTGGGAGATTGCCGTTGCTGCATCAATAATGTCAGAGGGTCAGGAAGATCGAGATCCAAGATGGCTCATGGCCGACAAATACACAGCAAATGTCAAGCGGTGGCTGGAAACTAGAGATAACTGGCTTCTCGTCTTCGATGGCCTTGCCTTTGAGCATGAGGAGGACCTAGATGAGTTTAGAAACTTCCTGCCCTTCAAGCCGAATACCAGCATTATCTACACGTCTGTTGATCGCACCCTGCGCCAGAAACAGCGGCTTTACGAGCCATATGGTCTTGCAGTCAAACCGTTGGCTGTTGATGCTGCATGCAAGCTTCTATTCAGGGACCTAGGGATCATAAACGCAAATTCGAAGCAAAAGAAGAAAGCTCGTGAACTGGTTAGGCACTATGAATGCTTGCCGCTTGCCATTCACGCCTTGGGCCACCGTCTTAGTGCTAGCGGGAAGCCACTCGAAACATACCATTTTGGCTCACATCTGACAGATATTCGTCTGGCTGAGCCATACAGAGGGATAATGTCCGACCTTAACACCAACGAGTACACCGAGGCGCTACAGCTGATCTATATCCTATCATTCTTTGGCCACGACGTACCAGTTGGGATGATTCATCTAGGCCGCAAGGCTTTGGCGGAATATAAAGTCGAAATCCGAACTCTAGAAAGATACGGAAGTTCCGAGAGGCATATCGACAATACTTTTGCTATCCTCATCAAGTACGGACTAATCGAGCGCTCATTTGACCCGTATACATGGAACGAGGTCACTGCTACCCCAACCAGCGAAATTGACAGGATGGGCATCGAGCGTCGTTCTACGGACCCAGCGAATTCGCAAAGCGCATCTAGTCAAGATACCTTCTCTGCCCGGCCACGAACGGCCATCGACGTGCTAAAGATCCATTCCGTTGTCCAAGGTTTCTGCCGTGACGAACTCATCGCCGAAGGCCCAAAGCACTTCTGGTACTGGCTGGGTATTGCAACAAGTTTGTTCTGTCTGTCGTATAAGAATGCCACTACCCAGATCAAAGCAATCAGGGGCGCAGGTCTCGTTAGAGACTACCGTGAGTATCAAACCCATGCAAAGCGTTTGATGCATCATTACAGGGCCAAGCTAGACAAGTCAGAGGTCAATTTAGAGCTTCACCATGAGTGTTTGAAAACGATGCTGCTTGATATTGAAGAAGAGATCAGACATCGATCTCCTGGCTCATCCCAGGAATCATTCCGTCACCAGAAATCAATTTTCGACCATACAAGCAGCATGTCGTCCTTTTCCGACTCTATAGTTAGCGGATCTACAAAGTCCTGGGAGCAGGAAATGGGTACTGAATGCACCGACTCGCCCCTGGAAATATCATCACCGCGGAGCCCCATTCAATCTCATTCTGTTTTCTACGGTAATCAGAATATTGGAATCGAGAATCTCAATCAAGGCCAGGGCGACGGGAACCAGACTGCCGCTGATATGTCTCCATCTTTATCCAACAACACGGAAGTTCCGACGCCAACGATATCCCAGGAAGAGCAGCCTAGCCCTCCTACAAAGAAGCGAAGTAGTTTCCTCTCTGCCTTTAAAGAGCCTCTTAGGCGATTTAGGGAGCGGAAGAATCTTGGGGAGTTTAGGCCAACAACGCCTACTGTGTCCGTTTCCGATAGTTCCCGACGGAACAGCTCCATAATAGTCCAAGGAAGCTCTGGCCAGAGGAAACCGTCTGATTCTGAATCTGTTGGCAAAGCAGCTATGGCCGTAATGCAGCAACAGATGTCTTCAAAAAGCAGTGGTACCAACTCAGCTAGGCCGGGATCTAGTAACAAGAGCAACCAGCAACTTTCTTATGCCGCAGTCGTGTCTGGAGAGCCTTTAACCGGAACGAAGCCCCCTCGGCAACAGCCGAGCCTTCCACAGCGTCCAGTACACACGGATAGCCCTCCGTTGCCCGGCGTGGAAGAGATAAAACGCCTATCCGCTTCTATGATGGAAGGTGCCAAAATGAACCTGTCGTTGTCAACTCACAGTGACCCTGGATTACCATACCCTCCACATCGGGCTTCTGCATCTGATCGAAGCTCACCGACAAGCCCAAACTCTCCCTTCATGCCAGGACAGAATTATCCAAAGCCTCCGATAGTACATCAGCAACATTTCAGCGATTCCAACGTCGGTGCCCCGTACGCTGGGCCGAACCCCTTACCATTACCATATGATCCAGACATTCAAATCACTCAACTCCCACGACGGACCTCAGCATTCACTCGCGAAAACACAAACGTACCACCTCTGCGCAATATGGGTTCTAGAAGTAGCCTCCCCCACGGTTACTCATCCCAGCCGATGTCTCGGGAACATTCCCAGCTATCCCACCAGTCACTCCAAGCGGAACCTGGTAGATTCGCATCTTATTCATCGGGGCCCCGGGCTGCCTCATTCTCCCATTCCAACCGGGCAATTATCCCTAGATTGGACACGCGAATAAGGTACCCAGCCAGCGAATGTGCCATCGACTCAGCTACAACGACACCCACTTCAACCGAAAGCCAGCCACTGTCAAAGACCCAATCAGGCCCCGGCTTCATGGTCGATTCGGGTGATGGTGTTAGCAGAAGTCTCATAGAATTCAACGCTGTGCGCTATACCCCACAAATCCGATTTGGCGAACTCGAGCCCGTCAGCGTTGATGCTGCTAGACAGCGAACCGAGCTAGCGCTCAGACAAGAGCAGATGAGGCGCCAAATGCGCGCCGCACCTTATCCAGACCGCAACCTTATGCCAACCGCTAGCGATCCACAGCAGCTAGCGGCCTTGGTAACACCCGGATTCCCTTCTCCACCACAGCCACGAGTGGAACAAGTTCGTCGCCAAGAGGGAGGTGTTCGGCCAAGGCTAAGGAGCGGCAGCACTCCCCAGACTCCCGACTGGACGGGCTTGGGCATCCACCATCGATTACCATGAATTTCTTGAATACCATATCCCCGTCCCCTTTTTTTCCCAGGGGACGCACTCCATAAACACTTCTCATAATGACAAACGCTATACCTCGGGTTTTTTTTTTCTCCCTCAAGTTGTTTTTCTATTATTTTGTTTATTCTTTGTTTTCTCTCTTTCTGCATATCTATCCAGGGTCACATACATATTTTATATTTCCATATAAGTTAGTTCCTATCCATTGGGAACAAAAACAAGCTCCAACCAGCGGAAAAGAAACAAAAAAAAGGTGTCTTGGACACTACACCGAGAAGGCGTTAAGGGGCATCGCTGCCGTGTTATTTGCAATCAGCTTGCAATCCGGGGTTTCTTCTTCTTCCTTTTTCTTGTCTTATCCTTTGAAGCATTGTATGATCATCTGTTGCCTGTTCGATTAAACATTGCATCTATTTGGCGTACTATTAACAGTGGACTCGGGATGGTATTTATGGTGCATAGAGGGTGTCAACAAGTCGTAGGCGAGGAGTTCTGTGCTTCTGTCATTATTTTTATTGAGTATCATATTTTATAATAAGAAGTAAATATTTCAACAATGATTCTTCTTGATACAACTAGTTGATGTCCCTGTCATCCATGTAAAGGCAAGCAACTCGCCAGCGACAAAAAAAGACACCAAAAAAACATACGAAAGTCGGGATTCGCTGGTGGTCACCCACCCAACTACTAACCGACCGGCAAGTGGCTTAAGTACAGCTGAGCGGACGGGAAGCTCTGTTTTCCACTTCCTATGTTCGTATGTACCAGACACAAGGACGAGGGGGTTGATATAGGGGAGAAGATAGATAGTACCAGGCGTGGAGTATAATATACTCGGTTAAATAAGTATCAAACATGGATGTACACAGGAGACATATTTCCCTTGACAAGCCAAACGCCTGCAAGAGTCAGCCAGCCGTAGCTGAAGCCATGGCTTGATCCAACGGCGACGGTGATACCTTGGTCAGGACGTTGACGATGGCTTCAAGAGCATCAACGAGAAAGCCGGAACGGTCCTACTGTAGCCCCGAAGGACTCGCCCAGACTACCTACCAAGGCAAATCCGGTATGGAAACTGGAGATTATGACGTTGACAGGACAAGGAGCTCAAAGCAAGGAAACAAAACCTAGCGAGAGATGGCGAAGAGGAAGTATATAAAGGCGGCTAGACAGCTCTCTAGGAATAAGTTTATCATCACATTTGCATGAATACATGTTGAGTCTGAATATCAGGTAAGTTGAATGTCCTGCTCTGGTTCTTATAGTTACAGAACCAGAGTTGAAGCTGAAACCACCTTTTTTAACCACTATGGCTAATACCATCCTGCTCCCATAGAAGTCAAAAGAGCAGATAATACCGAGTGTACAGGCACACGAGAATCAATCCAAACCAGCCATGCCTTTCGTCACTAGAGCTGTTGCTGCCTATTCAAGGAGTATCACGACTCCCGTCCTCTTCACCGGCAGGACACAGTTGACCCGGGCCTTCTTCTCGACGTCACCTTGCCACCAAAAGGGCCCTATCCAGGCAACCAAAGACACCCTAAAGGCAGCGGATAGGCTAGTCTCAGATGCTGCGGTCAAGGGAATTGAGAAAGGAGGTATGGTTTTCTCAGTATTATCGAACATAAGCCAGTGGCTAACCTGTTATATAGAGGCTGCAACAAACAGGATAAAGCACACCATAGGGTCTGCGAGCAAGCAAGCAGAGCGCGGAGCAGAAGATGCTGCGAAGAAGACTACCAGAAAGGCATCAGACGTAGCCGATGAAGCGGCCGAGAAGGAGCAAGAATTCACAGGGAAGGCGTAGTTTTCCATCTTATCCGGTTAGAGTCGATATTTCTTGGATGACTTGACCGCAAACTGTTGAACAAGGTTTGCCGACTAAATGGATTCCTGTATCTATTCTATATCTTAACCGTTGGGTGGTGTATGTTTAGTTCCGCGCAGTCTCAGCTGGGCGGTGGGAGAAGAAGCACGTATTCTCTTGTACTTAATCCAAATTTCAAAACATCCTTATCCATGAGTTCCATGTACCGTCTGGCCGGAGCTGGGTCTCCATTGACAGTCGTCCCGTTCGCGCTCTCCAGGTCAATCAGATAAGGCCTAACTCTACCATCTCGGTCTCCAAAGTCGTTTCGTTTCTCAACGTATCTGAACTGAATAGCAGCATGCTGCTTGGAACAACTGGGGTGGTCGACAGGCAAATCTGCAACGAGCTTCTCTTTGCCAACAAGCCAGCAGCTCCGGTCTCCTAGCTCCACCGTTTCCAGCAGATTATCGTCCTTGAATATGTACAGCCGCCACGCATCTTTGGCCGGTGGCTTTCTGGCCTCTGGAGGTTCGTTGTATTTCAAAACGATGGACGTGCTCCCATCACTGGACCTTACAGTGTTTGTATCTGCAGCTAGACGTCCTGTATTCCCGTAATTTGCTTTCTCCTTTTCCTTCTCAGGCACCGGGGTAGATCCGTCTCGAGGTGTCTTTGAAAATGCATCTTGCTGGGATGGGAGTGGCTTGTCCGATCTCCTGCCTACCTGAAGTGAAGGACTGCGTCGATGTGATCTTCGGGCCGGTGAAGTCGAGTGCCCTCTCTCCTCACGCCGTCTATGTGATCTGTGGCCATCCCTCTCTCTTCGTCCACGGTCGTGGCTCCGTCGACGCGGTTCTCTGGAACGGCGTCTGCGATTATGCGATGCTTCACTGGAACTCGCCGATAGACTTCTGTGACGATGTGATCTCCGTCTCTGGGGACTTCTGGAATGCTTTCGATTGTCGGGGCTTAAAGACCTGTGCCTGTCTGTCTTGGAGCTGCGAGCCTTGTGGCGCCCTCGATCCTCGCGTGAGTGTGAAGACGTAGACCGGGATCTGCGTCGACGAGACCGATGGCCGTCCTCATATCTAGGCATCGCTTATGAACTTGTACCAAAAGACTCGGTCGAGGCTGGTGAATTTCCTTCTCCTGTCAAAACGTTGGCGACGATAGAAATAGCCGGAGTTACTTCGGCCCGGCGTCACCTCGTCTTGCCGCATCCGGGCATGGATTTGTTCGTAGGAAGATGTAGTAGATATGAAATAATATCAACCACCATTCCAAAGCAACTTGTCCGACACATTCTCTGGCCGTGGTCGATGTGCCTCTGCCCAGAAGACATGTAACCATGCTCAAGAAATCGACGCTTCTCTGCTCATGCGGCGGTCTTCAGGCTCTGAGCCCGCACTCCCCGCTTGCCCGCCACGAACAGCCGGTCTACAGACAGCCCAAGCGCTTTGCTCATGTACACGGATCTGACAGTGTGAGGCCCGAGGAGGATCTGTCATGGCCGACATCTCCATCCTTTACTCCTTATGACTTATTCCGGCTGGAACGGAATGCGCCCTACTCGAAGAAGCGGTTCTATCAACTCGTCAAGATCTATCACCCGGATGGACGCTGCAACGGCCATCCACAGTGCAAAGACCTACCGGAATCCGTCAGGCTACAGCGTTATCGACTGCTGGTAGCCGCCCATGAACTGCTCTCCAACCCTACGAAGAGGAGCGAATACGATAGGTTTGGCCGGGGCTGGTTCCAGAGAGAAGAGCTCTTTGGCGCCAGAGGACCAGCCGCGAAGAATGCAATGGACGCATATTACTCCAGACGGAGACAGGCGGACCCTACCATCTTCAGGAATGCAAGCTGGGAGGATTGGGAGCAGTACTATAGCCGACGCAGCGGGAAACATCAGCAGCAGACCCAGTCTACCGGCGCCTCTCACGAGACGTTTGCATCCCTGTTCGTCCTGCTGGCCATCTTCGGCGGAGTAGCTCAGGCCGTGAGCATAGGGAAATACTCCAGCTTCGTCGAGGATCGTGTCAAGAAAGTCAACCAGGAGTGCGGACGGTTCCTGGAGGGACGACGGCACCAGACCGTCTCTGAGATGGACTCCGTCGACGAAAGGGTGCAGCATTTCCTGAAGAGACGAGATCCATCTGGCTACGGACTGAAAGAGGAGGAGGAAGAGACCTATCGAAAGCTCTTGGGGGGCACTGGGCATCATATCGAGTACCGCCATGACGAGGGTCGATAGGACTACCAACCCTCTTTTCCTTTTTACATTTGTTGTACAGAACACTCTCCATGATTTTACTCATACCCTGGCATTTATAGCGGCTGCGTTTCAAATGGCAAAAGACATGGACCTTCTCTACTCTACAAAAGGCTGAGCCTGTATATGGAATTAAGTACCAACAGTCGAAATCCTTATTATCCGCTAGTTAACTACAACCCAACTGTTGATATGTAGATAGCATGCTTATATAATTCATAATTGTAAGGATAAAAAGGCCTGCCAGCTCTCTTGCTTCTCCCAGCTTTCTCACTTTTACATCTGTGGCCTTTGGCATTTTATCAGCTGTCTTGAGAGTACACCAAGTATGGCGATGTCGCCGACATTACCCCAATACCCTGCCGACGGCAATCCCGCCGACTACGGTGACTTCGCAGACTCCGACGGCGACGTTGATATTGATGTGTACGCTGAACGCCAATGGGACTACAAGTTCTATCCTATCCGCATTGGTGAAGTGCTCAACCAAGCATACCGGATAGACCACAAGCTCGGGCATGGCGGCTTCTCTACCGTCTGGATGGCCCATGACCTCAAAAATAAGAAGGATGTCGCTCTCAAGATCGTGGCTACCGAAGCTTGGGGAGAACACGATTACAGCATACAGGAAGAGATCAAACGAGCTGTGAAGGACACCTCTCACCTTGTTATACATACGGCAACCTTTTTCCTTCGCGGCAAAGACTGCAATCATCGCGTCCTCGTGTTTCCTTTGCGCGGTCCAACTCTCGGCTCCCCTGTCGGTAGAAGGACACCTATGCGCTCTCGGATGTCCGCTGCAAAACAGTTACTGGAAGCTCTGGCAAACCTGCATGAAGGCGGAATTGTACACCGTGGTAAGTAATCTCACAAACGTTGCTTGATTTAGGGTACTGATGGTTCGTGCAGACATAAATAACCATAATGTCATGTGGGGTATATCTCCTACGGAAAATCTCGATAGAGAGGCCAAATACAAAACCCTGGGTCGTCCTCTGAAGGTAGCCATACCCGATGAACCGTGGAAGCCAGGGGAGGTCGTTAAGCCCATGGTTATCCCAGCCAGTATGCGAACAGAGACTTTCTATCTTGGTGATTTTAGCCTAGCCATGAGAGTTGGCACTCCTGTCACTCAAACGGGTAGCCCACCTATCCATTATTGCTCGCCTGAGCGACTTCATGGCCACGAACCCAGCCTTGCTTGTGACATGTGGAGCTACATGGTCATATTTACAGAGTTATATAGTGGATTTAAGCCTTTCTATGACGTGGCGAAAGGGGGGTTGGTGACCGATATAGTTCAACGCATAGGTCCTCTTCCTGCGGAGTGGAAGGGTCATTACTGTGATCCTACGGAAGCCCTCGATTCGTGGTACAACCAAGACTGCACTCCTGACCCCAAAGATAGCCTTAAAGATGTGATTATACGCAAACGTTCCGACGCTGCTCCCGAGGAGCGTCGGCATGCATTATCTATCTTGTCGAGAGGATTCTGTGTAATCCCGGAGAAACGCCTGACAGCAAGACAACTTCTGCAGGACCCTTCATTTCAAGCAATTATCGACCTACATTGCAACTAAACCCTTTTTTAATACCTTGCCGTATCTTTCATTTCTTTGACTTTATTTCTTTCATGTTCATTTTCTTATTTTCTGTGAGAGCTGGGTAACATTCCCGCAAAGTGCCTAGTGGTTCATCCAAGTTCACCCGGAAAGAAAATAACTGCCTATCTACCCCATACATAACCAGCCGTTTTGTTGCATAGGTTTTTCGGGGATAGGCTGTGATGGCCGTCACAATGACACTAACCTTGGAAGTTTGATATCATTTGGATGATCCCCCAGCTTAGCGCCGTGACGGGATCCACAGGCTGTGTGCTTAAGCGGCGGCTATGATGAACTCTCTCACTGGCTTCTTTTCCCTTGTAGGACCCACCGCGGCTCCCAGAAGTTGTCGTCTCGTCACTACATCGAAGCCCGTCTGCATTCAAGTGACGCCCTCTAGCTGTATGCATTGTGGTCTCGCATGATGCAGCAAGGGTCACCGTTCGAGGGTGTGCTACAAGTACTTATGTACTCCCTTAACAAGTATAGTTAAGGGGGGTATTTGCGTTAACTGATCCACAGTGAGCATCAGGTACGAATCGTTTGTTGGAAAATTTTTTTGACTTGCAATATGGATTCTGTTTGTGACACTCCTTCTCATGGTGAGAACGATGAGCCTTCTGCTGTGTTTAATACAGTACTTGCCACTGTAAAGTTGCACTATCTACCACAGCTTGCAATCCGTATACGCAATGAGAGGGAGCTCACCCGAGTTGATGCACTCACTTCTATTTACAATTGTCGCATTCTCCCTCAACCACTCTTTGGGTCTCATCACATACTGTTTCAGCTCGAATTCAACGATGGAGTTGGCTGGCTTCTCAAAGTCCCGGCCAATGGCTACCCCAATGTGTTCGACGAAATGTCTGCCCTTTCACTAAGATCGGAAGCGTTAACGATGCGTTTACTCAAGCGAGAGACTGCGGTTCACATTCCAGAAGTTTATCACTTTGAGGACTCATGTGATAACGAGCTTTCTTGTCCATTTATCCTTATGGAATATATCGTCGGGCTCCCTTTATACGAAGTTTGGTTCAACCAACGTGTTTCCCCGGGTGTTCTCGAGCGACACCGGCTCCAAACCCTCCGCGATATTGCGCAGGCCATGGTAGAACTAAACAAATTTGTATTCCCTCAGGGTGGTGCGATACATTTTGACCAGAATGGCAAGCTGTCAGATATCGGGTCGTTTAGAAAAGTACATACAGAAGCCATGCTTGACGCTCTTCACACAAATGACGAATACGATGGTGCCAATATCTTTTACACCGCTGGTCCTTTTACTAGCCCAAAATCATATTTCACATACATGCTTGAGAAACGAAAACCCCCCACGAATGAAGACGAATATGGCCTAGGACTCTACAAATTACTACGGTTATTCATTGACCTGGCCTTTGCCGACGTTCAACAACAAGAGAAAGGGTTTGTCCTGACTCATCCTGATTTTGATATACAAAATATTATAGTGTCTGAGGATGGGAAGCTACATGGGTTGATTGACTGGGATGGTGTGGTTACCGTGCCTAGATGCTTGGGAAATGAACGATACCCAAGCTGGTTAACCCGGGACTGGGACCCGATGAAGTACGCATACAAGGATAACGCAACACCGGGGCCAGATAACCCTAATAATCATGAAAACTCGCCTAACGAACTGCACCATTACCGAGAGGTATACCAAGGGATTATGGAGGATGTTTTGCAAGATAAATCAGCTAAGCAAAAAACGTCTAGATCACTGCTCTTGGAAAATTTAGCTATCGCTGCTGACGACCCTGTTTCCTTTCACTCTATCGTTGAGAAAGTTTTTGAAGAAGCTAAAGCGAAGACAGCTAAAGACGACGATGACGATGACCATACCTTCTATATCTATGAAGTGGCTACCGCATACGCAACCGGAGAACTAAGTGAATCTCATCAGAAGCGAGTCGTTCGCGGATTTCAAGCTCTCTTATCCTGAAATTCCTTCTCTCTCACTTATTTACTAGAATTTTTCTGTCAAATATAACCAGTCTCTCTGCCACCAATTGGCGCGGGCTTATCTTTTTGGCCGAAATTCTGACACTTTCTTATGTTACAATAGAGGCCGCATGGCATAAGGCACATCGGCGTGTTACTTATGTATCTATCTAGATGGCTCGAGGTGTTCTTATCTTGAATATTATCACCAGGCTTCCTCTACCTATAGCAGTCACTTAGTAGGTAGCTAGGCTCTCTCGTCCATCTCGTTTCTTCTTCCTTTGTTTCTTTACGAATAACTGGTTGCTCTGTTACATAGAGTTTGGGGGAGACACTGTTGACTACATAATTTCATCACAACTACAATATCTTCAAAGCCAAGCGTCTGGTACTTGTTTGAATGACAGTTATCAGCCACACTTACTGGATCCCCAGCTTGGGCGGCTATTAAGCTTAACTATCACTGCCTTCTCCCCACTTGGACCCGCTGGGTTTCGCCCTTTTTTCCTGTAGCATCTTGATACCCATTGCACTCAAACATCTGTTATACATTGCGACCTTGCATGATGCATCACTGATGGAGGGTCTACCGCCCTATAGATCTCAGAATACAGCCACCGACACAAACGCCGTAATAGAGGCCGTTTGTATTAATATCACTCTCTCTGACGTGCTGGCTGAGAAGGGCGCTTCATGACATGTCGGCCAATTGACACTACAGGACAATGATATACCAATACACCAACGGAGCACTGCCTTCTATCCCTTCTTTTCCCGGCTCGTTTCACACATACTTCTACTTGAGGTGCAGAGCTCACGGCTCTTAAAAGTCCTGCCCCTGGCATACACAAACGCCTCTCAGCTTAGCTGTTTCTTGACACTTTATCTTCCCTTATTTCACTCTGGAGACCTTTTCCTATTCACAGATCACTCCCTTGAACCTACCGTCATTGAAATGCCGCCTAAATTTTCAACATGTCATACACCAATTGTCTCCCTGTTGATAGCTACGAGGGCACTATCAACGGTATTCAGCTAAGATGGCACTACAGTGCAAGGGAAAGACTTAATACAAATGCAGGCCGTATGGGTGCGGATCCGCAGAAGCTGAAAGCTGTCACAGAACGTCTTGCCTATGCCTGTGCCCTAAGGCTTGAACGGACTGGAATCTCTATCTTGTATGATAGGTACGTAGTACATTATATCTCGGTATTCCACCTTTGTGAACTAACCCTACATTTGTTTACCTCAACTACCATTTACAACGGCGAGACAATTAAGGACGAACCTCATATAACACTGATCTTGAGACCAGGCCAGTGGAAGGCTTATATCTACGTCAACGTGCTGACGGGGGAGTTGGACAATGTGACTATGAAAGGAGAAAGTGTTTTGAGAAACGGTGTACTCGATGCCACACTCTCTACAGGTACATATCCATCGTTGTCCTAGACGTTGGCATACCTTCATTACTATCGAGAGACTAGAAGACCTTGGCTTTCTTCTGTTATCACAGTATCTATCTAGATGGCTCGAGGTGCTCTCATCTTGAATATCATCACTAGGCTTCCTCTGATCACAGCTGCTTCCGATGGAATTACCACTAGCAGGCTCTCTTCGCGTAACCAGGCTGACTAGTAAATAGACGGAATCTCTTAGCGAGGTAATCTTTCATGACAGGCACCTAGAATATCCACAACGCTGGATACCGTGCTGAGGGAGAGTAGTTATGCCGGTGGCCCAAGAGTTAGTGGAAACTCCCGCCGCCCATGAATGGCTTGTGAAGCGAACCTTCAACCGGCCCCCGACAAACTGATACATAAGAGTGAGGGTTGGTGGGTTGAAGAGCGATTAATAGCGAATAGTTATTATCATATCATAAGTGCAGAGTTTTATAAAGTCTCTTTCTCCCCCCTTACTCTGCGTCTGCTCCTTGATCCTCCCTCTATATCGAGCTATCGTGCACACGACCTGAACAGTTCAATTAGTATATACAGACCAACCGCCGTCATGGCGAACGTGAACCTGAAGCTGATCCAGCAGTATCTGGTGCGGATTCCGCTCGTGCTGGTTACTGCGATCCGAAGGCTGCTGCAGCTCTCGCCGGTGCAGGACAGAGTGAGCGTCACGATGGAGCTGCTGGTCACCTTCGTGCGCTCGTTTCTCACGCTCGAGGACTCCGTCTCGAAGATGGCCGAAGTCAGGCTGACGGACTCGAGGGCAAAGGGCTATATGTGGATATCGAACGTGACGGTGCCCAAGCCGGAGGACGACGTGCTGGAGGCGTTGATAAAGGCGATAAAACACCACAACGAAGGACCGGAAACGTTTGATGTGCCTGATGTGCGAGCTGTAGAGGCCGAATGGACGGGATACAGGAAGGGCGCCAGTGAAGATACGCCGATTCCAGATATCTCAGAGGCAGACAAGTACGAGCGACTGATGGAAGACGTGGACGAAGACATGACCATCTTCTACGCCCACGGTGGCGCATACCAGTACGTTTTTGTTTTTTTAATCCTGTGGCTATTCATATATATATATATGCGTTTAATGCTAACATGCCTCAGTATGATGGACCCTTGCACTCATCGCCCTACGACGACTGCTCTGGCGCGGTTCAGCCGTTCTCGTTGTTTCTCGATACGCTATAGATTGTGCCCTGAGCATCCCTTCCCAGCCGGTCTTCTGGATGCGCTGGTTGCATACCTGTCTCTTCTCTCCCCCGCCGAGGGTTCCCTCTACGAAGCTGTGCCGGCCAAAAAGATAGTCTTCGCCGGAGATTCTGCTGGCGGTGGTCTCTGCCTAGGCCTACTCCAGATCCTCCTGACGCTACGAGAGATAATTCCGTCCAAGACAATTCGTTTCCATGGAAAAGACGTCCCTCTAGATCTCCCCGCCGGTATCTCCATGACCAGTCCATGGTGCGACGTCACCCGCTCGCTGCCGTCTACCTTTGAGAACGCAAAGTACGACTATGTCCCGCCTCCACCACAGAAGCCAGGAACCATCTATACCCCTCTACCGTTTCCTCCAGACCATCTGTGGCCTACTGTACCGCCGCGGGTGGACTTGTACTCGAATGCGAACATGATGGCGCATCCGTTAACCTCTCCGGCCGCCAGTCCAAAGGGGATATGGAAGGGTGCCCCGCCAATGTTTATCGCGGTGGGTGAGGAGCTCTTGCAAGATGACAGCATTTACATGGCAAGAAAGGCTCATCGAGATGGCGTGAATGTCGTCCTACAACGGTACGAAGGGATGCCGCATTGTTTTGCCCTTCTAGCCCCCACTATTCACCAATCTCAGCGCTGCCTCAAAGACTGGGCTACCTTCTGTGTCGATGTGGTACATGGCCGTGTCAAGGGATACGGGGAAGCTCAGTTCATCAGCCACGAAATGACAAAGACTGAGATCCGCCGCATTGACGATATCGGTACTCTAACCGACAGCGAAGTCGAAAGGCTGATCAAGGTCGGTAGAGACTGGCGCGTTGATGGAGAGATGGTTCTGCAGAGGGCGTGGAAGGAGAAGGAACTGGATTCCTGAGTATTCTGTTTCATACTCCAAACTGTGCAGGCGCTGGGTTCTACGTCTGAATATATTTTCTAATCTTTGGTTATCAATCATCTTATACCAGGAAGACACGAGATACAATAATCTACAACCTACGAACAATCACGAATCATATATATCTAAATATCGTTGAGCCCCTAATAATCATACCACCACAGACAATTAGAACGAATACTTATATATATGCCTTCCAAAACTCCAAGCACCCCAGAATAACCCTGCCTGGAATAATACAATTAAAAAAAAGGATACATATTCATGACAAACGCTTATAAATATTCATCATCCTGCATGCTGTCACCTTGGGCGTATACGGCAGCGTTCTGTGGGTAGATAGTGGATATGGGCGGCTGGTAATAGCCCGGCGGCCGGTATAACAAAGTAGAGCTTTCAACGAAACCATCCCAAAAACCAAACAATTGCGCCGTAAAGCGAAATAATGCAACGAGGATGGTCCACAGAGGTGACAGGACTATAGATAGATGTGACCAACGCCATAACATGGTAGGAATAACAAATGGGTATCGAGGCGCATTAGGATTCAGGCAGTTGCGCTCACACTTCGACGCGTATAAGGGGTGACAGTAGTGGTCACACATGAGCAATTCAGCAATCCACCAAGTAAAGAATATCAAGAGAGCACAGCCTGCCCGTTTCCAAAAACGGCGGCTGGGAAGAGCAAGGTATAGGCGGCCATCTCCATAGAGGCCGCATGCTTCACAGGGAGTTGTAGAGTGTTGATGATTTTTTGTCCTCGACTTTTTACCATTTGACCCGTCTGAGTTGGGTCGGGAAATGGTTTCTTCTGCTTGGTGCTCAAGGCTCGACAGGCCGGCTCTGGCTTCGTTTATGTTACGAAGAAGTGACTTTAGTTTCGAGTTAACCCGATCAATGGTCTCTTCGTCTGTATCAACGTGAAAAGAGCCCAGTGCTCGTTCTGGCTTGGGCTGTTCGTCTCCAGACTCCGCACTTATTGGCTTGTCCTCCAAGATGTCCTTGAGGGAATCAAGGGTGTTTTCTCCGAGGACAAGACTATAGTCTCCAGTCTTTTCTTTTTCAAGGATCGATTCCAATGCGCTCTTGGGAAGTTTCGGTTCCTTCAGCTGTACTGATCGGGCAGTAGATTTCCGCTGAGATGGACGGTGTCGGTTCAATGAATCACGAGTAGCGGGTTCACTGGCCTTGCTAGTCTTCGAGGTGTTCTCTACTTGTTTCGGCTCGGCCTCTGGTGACTGTTCCTCTTTCTTGATAGTTTCTATATGAGGCGTCTTTGTCCGGTCTGGAACTGGGGTGTCTATCCATGCTCCTGTAACTACTGGTGTTTTGGCCGTGAGGGGTGTCTTCATTGCAATTCTTTGTTGCTCCGGGGTATTGACGGGGCTAGAGCTCCTCCTCGTTAATTTCCGGAGAAGCTGGGTGGAATTCCCACGGCTGCTCGCAAGTCTAGGTTTTTCACTGGTGCTATAAGAGAAGGTAGATGAACCGGTACCTGGCCTGAGGTCAGACCTCACCATGTCAGGTTCTGGAACGCTCTCCTTATGATTGTCCCGGGCAGCAGACATTGAGAATTGTGCTCTAAATTCATTGTCAGGCTTCCCTTCAGGGGCCTTTACTGGAGGACTATCGGACACCTGCAGTGATTTGGCGGTAAAATCAAAATCATTTTCCCATTCATTGATGGGCAATCGTATCTGGTCCTCATTCTGCTTGTTATCGTCTTCGTTCGTATTGGAGACTACTCCGTCCAGCCATTCCCTCGACCGTCTTCCGCGGGTGCCCCATGATCTTGGGACATTCAATGCTGGCTCGACATGATTATCGGGCTCTGTTTCAGCCTCTATCTCTTCCTTTTCTACCTCGTGACGCTGGAGGTTTTCCATAGACAAAGCAGTCCTAAGGTCCGTATCCTTTGCCCTGCTGAATATCGGCCCGTTGGTACTCTTGGTAGCTCGCTTTAACCTGCGCTCATCGAGCGCGTGCTGTGCCAACTTCATCCTAAGATCGTCATCACTCACATCGTCTAGAAAATCCAGGTCCATATCGTAAATATTTTCAGCTTTGCGATCGAATGCTCGACGATTTCTCGCCGCTGGACTTGGTGATCCCTGGGCTCTTCGAACTTGATCATCTTGCACCTCCAGCTCCGTAAGATTATCCACGCCACTAATCATTCTATATGGCTCCAGCAGCTCTCGTGATGGCGGGCTCGACTGGTCAAACTTGGGCGACACAGTGACCCCATTTCTCTCTCTTCCGGCTCTGTATCTCTGTGCTTCTTCGTCCTCTTTTCCGCTATTAGCTCTTGTTGTGCTGCGGGGAGGTTCAGTGGCTTCGAATGCGCCTGTCAAGGTTCTGGTCTTACTAAAGGTGATTCTGGACTCTCTTCTGTTCCGTATGTCCCCAGCAGCTCTTCGTGACGAGGCAGTAGTTTCGAATGGTCTGTTATTTCGATTTCTATACCACGATGGTAGGGGTTCGTAGCCATCGACGCGATGGTTCTGAGAAGTAGACATCGCTTCTCGTTGCAACTAGACAAGATATATCGTCCACATCGTAGCAACCCGGCGCCTTATCACTGTCCCATTAACTCCGTCAAAAAAGAGCCAATAATCAATATAATCATCTAAGAGTCCCAAGAAAGGCGGATTTTATTCATTTAGTTGTTGTTTTCACGCTTTTTCTCTCTTTGAACATGAAATTCGCGTCGACACGCCAACTTCCTAAAGCGGACTAGCGCGTTTCTTGCATAAAAAGTTCGAGATCGAAAAAGAAAAAGCGACAAAAAACAGCTTTTGACGGTGATTTTGTGATATAACGATAGGTTGGGGCCGGACCTCTGTGGAGAGCCCTTGTCTACGGAACGATTGAGCCCGTTTGAGTACACCGGAATTGAAGCTTTATCAGGGTTCAGACAGCTAATTGGACGGTGAAGGAGAGGAATTCGAGAATCTCGGTATAGCCTACGATGGCGAAGAATTCGAAACGGACAGCCAAAGCAAAGGCCTTTACAACTCCAGAACCCACGGCAAAGACACCCTCCAAATCGGATTCCTTTGACATACCGGCAGCGTTCACACAAGCGCCATCTTCCTTGAAAAGCTTCCTCGAACCGCTTTCTCCCAAACGCATTTACCTTGTCCATATCGATACCCACCCTCCCAACTTTAAACGACAGATATTCCTCGTTCCGCTTGCAATAAACGTTGTCATAGTCGCTTTCATCCTATACAGGATATATGTTGGCTTATACACGTACCCAGATATATTCACTGCATTAATGGGCGGAGCCAGTCCGGCAAAGATAGACACATCAGCAGCTAGCTGGGGATTTCTATCCGGCACCCTGGCTTGGAGAACTCTCAATTTCTTACTAGATTACATTTTAGCGACGCTTTTCTTGCCCTGGCCGGTGAGGTACTTTCTTGGCCCCATTCGTTGGAGGCAAGCGGTTGGGTTCCAGCGTACCGAGATAATAGTGCGTCAGAGCCGAGAATGGAGTGAATCCCTACAGCCTGGAACGTGGATTAGAGATGACGAGGTTGCAATGAAAGAACGCGTTATTCCTGCCATCCTTCCACTCCGCCTGCAAAAGACCGGATATCTACTTATTGATGCTGATTGGGACATTGACTGTGATGCGATGATCAACGCCCATCGAGTCGTTGAATCTAAAAAGGCGAAAATTGAAGACTTCCAGACCAGTGTTCTTGTGCATGGTGGCCCATCGAAGGGCTGGCTCATATGGAAAGTCGAAGATGAAGCAGCTGCCTCTTCCGAAGAGGGATTACCGCCTGCCGCACGGGACAGAATTGTTGCATTCAAAGATAAGCTTACAGATATGGGCAAGGAAGACCTGTTCTACCGCTGGGTAGAAATCATTCAGTATGAAAGTACCCAGCCTGGAGGGTTTACTCCGAAGAGACAAAAGAACGCTATGATGGAGGTGAAAGGATTATTTGAAAAGGAGGGCGTAGATTTTGATCAGTTCTGGAAAGATATCGGGGGCATGGAAGGGGTGTCATTGTAAAATAAAAGGTAAAAGGCATCATATAGACTAACGGGACACGAAATCTAGCGTTGATATTTATCTCCATGTAAGACGGACCCTATAGATCATCTTTCGTATATTTCTAAACGGAATATTAGGGTTTGCTCTTCGTCTGGTGCAATACATAGTATATCAACGTTCACAGCCTGCCAATTAATGCTTCGGAGCATTTCGAAGAGGCTAGGGATGAAGATGGCCCAATGTGCTTTGAACAGAGACCTGTTGTAAATGATAGGGAGAATATCTTGAATCATGTTGGAAGTTACGGAGGAAGTACAGCGTGATAGCCCCCGATGGCACAGGCTATAAATATGAAGGCAGTGAGTATTTGGATACTCGCAAGGGACTCAAGTATAAGAGGTTTGTACATTACAGACTAGGATGCTCTGCAAAGGCATACTGTTACCGACATAAATATGCCTTTGTATGGAACATTAAATACGTAAGTAGATATTCAAAAGCACTAGGTGCCGAGTATGAGGAATTTATTTTATATAATTCGGGCATGGGATATCCAACGATGTAATACTTGAATAGTTGGCCCTGTTATAAATGAGAAAATAAAAATAAATTCCCTTAACTTGTCCTCAGAGGATATTTTCATAGGAGAGTGGCAGGGGTATTCGGATATAATATAATAACTCAAACGGCTAATCCATGAAGCAAGAAACCAATATATAAAGTAGAAGCAATAAGGTGGATGAAGAATTACACAGTAAGGTAAAATCATCCAGGAATCAACAATTAGATGATAAATATGAAGATGTAAAGGAATAAACAATCAACTCCTAGACGAGACACCTTGGTTCTCGCTCAAACATGCTAGATTGGCTATGTGGGGAAAAAAAAAGGACAAGGATGTTTGCAAAAAGGGTGACCATTACTTTCTGCGTATGTAGGATGAAATTCAATTGGGGTCGAAAGTATGTCATGAAGTTCGTATGATAATTTGTTAGGGATAATGGGTCAAATGGTTGATGGTATAAATAGACATGGCAAAAGTTGAGAGGGGAGGGCCTTAATCGTTCGTAGCTCGTGTCGTCATTTCGTTTCCGCTTGCTTATAAGAGCAATGCGGTCGTCTCACGCTATGTCGTAATATATTTTTTTCATTTTTTCTTCCGAAGGACGTGCGAAATTTCGTTAATTGATTCCATAAACATTACTGCATCTATGGGAACAGTTAGGCATGGCAGGCAAGTAGACCATCTTTAAGAGAGAAGTGAGGTCTTACCTTCTGAGGAAGTGAATGTGATAATGTGCTCCCCTCGCGAAGTAACAGAGGGCTTGTACTCTTCCGAATTGATAAATACCGTAGGTTGCAGTTCGGTGAGATAAATAACTTCTTGCTCGACGTGTCGCATCCAGGCACGAGGTTTCTTTAAGAATGGATGGATAAATGCCGTCCAGACTGGAACACTGGTTATATAGTTAGTATGTGCAATAGATGCGGTAGGTAGGCTATATTTACTGTTTCAATTCGCCGTGGAGGACGGTGGCATGGAGCCGGACTGCTCTGGTATCATGATCAACATAGATGTGTAGAGCGTGAATGTAGTGGTTATCTATTGTCTCGCTATCAAAGTTATACAGTGTTAGTGCAAAGGAACAAGGACTGAAACTATTGTATTTCACATACCCCGAGAAAACAAGCTCTTCGCCGTCGAGTTCGAAATCCTTGATACGGGAGACAGGATTCGAGGAGTCTTGTCCGCGTAAAGCGATAAAGGTACAAAAGAAGAAAACCATGTCTAAGATGCCTGTAGATTAGTATCATGTTTTTGGGTGGTTGTGAGGAAGGTAATGCCATACACTCAAAAGTGCTGAACTGTAGATTAGCCCATGCGACACGGTCTTCTTGCCCACTAGTAGACGGGTGGCAGAGCATGAGACATGATCCTTCTCTATGGATGAGCAGCGAGGTAAGAATGGTACTGCTGTACATGGTACGCTTGTCTGTCTTGACTTTACACAGAACCCTCACTCGATGGTCTTTGTCTCGCAGAAAGAAGGAAAACGTGAGCTGTGGTCTTCCGGGGAATTTTCTGTCATTATGTTCCGTTAGTAATTGTTCTCTCAGGAATAGCTCTGAAATGATGTCGTACAGCTGTAGTAGTTCGATATATCCTTTGTCCAGGTGTGCCCTTACATCGGGCATATTATCGCCATAACACTTTGTCCTAGCCAAGAACGCATTAGTTAGAAGTCTGTTTTAATATATACGCCTTTCCGATGAAAACATCAACTTACATATCCCCCGTAGACGTCAAAGGGGTCGAAGTGATGATGGAACTGTAAACTTTTGAGGCCCAATGCCTGACGGTATTCGAACTTAGCGACATGGTATCACTGCTAGAATCAACAGGAGATCTAGGACTAGTCGGGTTCGACCAGTGTATTGAATCATGGTATTCCTGCTTCCTGCTCGGTCTCTGCCGCTCAAACGAACCACGCTTTTTCACGGAGGGCTTCTTTTTTGGCGGCTCAGGGGCCTTGGGAACTTCGAGGATGTGCTCCAATGTGGTTTCGGGGGTTACGACGTGGGGTACATTAATCGGAGTGACGCCAGGTACTCCAGGGGCGGGAGGTGGTGGTGGCGGCGGAGGGGGTGCGGGAGGGACCTGGTGATGGAATTGTGGCTGCTGTGGGAATTGCCCTGGCATTTGATGTTGTTGCTGGTGGTGGTGGAGTTGCTGATGCTGCCGCTGAACTTGCTGCTGAGCCTGATGCGCAACCTGTCTGTCTTGAATAACACGTAGTGCAGTGATTGTTGCTCGACAACTAGCAAGCATAACCTCGTCTGCAACCTCACTATACAAATTGTCAGATATATATGTATTAAGAATAAAAGGGGAGATAGAATGAAAGCCGACTCACCCCTGTACAATGGCCGACATCTCCTCCAGCATCTGCTTATAATATCTCAGCCTTAGATGCAAGGTATACCCAGCCTGCTGGTAGAAATAATGCCATAATCCATCCCATGTCCTCTTATGGATCGCGGCAGTCGTATCAGCCACCGGTGTCCCGGCCGCAGTAGCAGCCGCATTATGCAGATTAGTGATGTGTATAGCCTGATTCATACGATTGAGCATATCATATATATCACGGAGCGTCTGACGCAAGCTAGCGCGCACAATGAGCTCAAGATCGGTCGTTATATGTGCGAATATCTGTCGACGGGCGGGATTCTTGCTTGAGTCGTCTAGGGCTCGTAGGCATGCACCGACGGCGTATAGCTCCGCAACGACGGCGGAGATGTCGACTGAAGAGGTGGGGACATGGGTAAGGAAGTTGAAGACTCCTCGAGCGATGTCCTCGCATGACTTGGCTATGTCTAGGAGGTTCATGGTGTTGGGTATCGATGTTGGTGTTTGTGAGAAGCGGGCTCAAGACATGCTAGTTATAGATTTGTAGACTCCGGGTCTCGGGTATGAGAGTGAGCTTGGAAGATTATAACTTCGAGGCCTCTCGTGCTTGGTCTCGTTTATACTGGGGGTACGGCTCTTTTTCTTGAAGAGAAAGAGGGTGAGTCGCTGGTCGGAATGGTTGAATAAGAAGTACACCGCATATACGGCATCGGGAATATACATGGGGCAGATAACTTCATGGGCAGCCACGGTATTCTGTCAAGCTGCATCACCACCGTAGCCGGCTCATCATCGCCATCGTCATCGTAACGCTCTCGTCATCGTCAGGGTATACATATATATGTATGTATGTATATATTAAAAAAAACCCTCTTGAGCCGCAGAAAGGATGAAGTCGCCTTGACTGCCCAAAACGGCGATCATCTGCAAACCTGCAAGTGTGAGTTGTCAGCTTAGTCATGCGGGATAGTCACGTGGAAGTCGACGTGTTAAAACTCTTGGTTTTCGCCCTTTTTTTCCATTTTTTCCTTGACACTTGGAGAGACGAAGGTGGGAAAGATGGATGAGTCCGTTCTTCTTTTGGGAGACGGAGAACCTCATTCCGAGTTTCGATAGGGTTGAACCTCTCTGTTTTGTACTTCCTATTTTCCTCCCCGATATAAATACGATAACGACGAGAGGAATAAAAACGAGAGAGAAAACCCTGGAGAATACGTGATACAATTCATGATGAGTTACAGAAACAAAAAAACAAACCCCCACTAATCGTCCCCTCCTACCCCTTGAACTAGAAATATGAAAAGATGGAAGTCGAGGTATCGACGGCGAGGCGATACCTGGTAAGGGGGGAAGGGGGGGAAAAAAAAAAAGAGATGTTGGTGATAAGTATGGTAGGGCAGAACGGGGAACACTCAAGGTGGATGAAAATACATAATAGCTTGGAACCATGAAACCCCCATCGATACCGTCCGTCCCAGAAGCAAAGCCGTTGGAAGTGAGAGAGAAATAAGAAAGATATAAGAAAAAAGACAAAGAAACCTCAGGAGAGACAGGAGACAGAGAGGGCGATTAAACGGTATAACAGATACAGCGGACATAACCAGCAAGCACCAGCAGTACAGGAAAAAAAAGACATGTCTTAACGCCGTGAAGGCCTGAAGACCATAAAGAGGTCATCAGCACCTATTCCAGTCGTTTTTTTTTTCTTCTTCTTGTCTGCACTCTTTTAAGAAGATTCTTCTTCTTCCTGGCGGGACTGCAGGTACCATGTTAGTCTTCATCCGTTGACTAGAAAAGGCAGGGAGGGAGGCTTACGTTGTATGCAGCCTTCTCATCTTCATATCTCTGCTTGTCGGTAGCAGCCTTCTCCTCATAGGGGACACGCTGCTTGTCACTGAGGGCCTTCCATCGCTCTCCGAGGACCTTGCCAACTTGGCCTATAGTGGACAAGTCAGTACTCTTTTTCTTCTCACTGCTTTTGACTTCCTGTGAGGGTGGTGCATACCAAAAGTGATGTTTGGGTTCTCTTCACGGACAGCTGCACGCTGCTCATTGGCAAAGATCATGTAGGCAGAGAGACCACGCTTTGGCGCATTGGGGTCTATGTTCGTCTCCTGTTAGTCGTTGACTAAGAAAAAGGCAGGGCGATGTCTTTTAACTCACCCTTCTTCTTCTTCTCAACACCACGGCCTTTGGCCTTGCGGGCAGTAGACTTCTCCTTTGGCATTTTGACTGTTTTTGTCTTTATTTTGATTGACTTGGAAGTCTGAATTGGAGGATGTTAGTCTGGCTCTATCGCTCTGTAGTGTTGTGGTGGTCTGTTGTAGTCGCCGTCACAGCGCGAAGGGGAGAGAAAAGGTCGCGTCAAAGCACGTCCAGAAACGGGGTCAAAGTGAGGTAAACAAGAGGATATCGAGGACGAGGAAGAAGATGCGACGTGTTTTACACCATCAGACGCGCCGGTTGACCGTGTAGTCAAGGCAGCTGGTGGTCGAGCAGAGCATGCGGGAGAAAAAGAGAGAAAACACCGACCAGCGCAGAAAGCAAAAAAAAAAAAAACCAGAGAACGAGACAGCACCGATCAAGAGAGAAAACAAGAGAATTCGATGTTGCGACAAGGGAATTGGGAGTGAGAAGCAGGTTTGTGCATGGTATAGATCTATAGATCACAGCAAACACGCTGGACTGAAAAGGCGCAATGAAAATAAAAAATAAAATAAAAATCGAAATGAACTGCAATGGAAGGAGAGGACGGCGAGAAGGAGTGTGTAAGATCACCAGTGAGAGATGTCGAGGTTGAGAGATGCTTACCTTGGGTTGCGAGGTTGGTGTATGTAGAGTGTATATATGGGGGGGCGAGTTAGTTAGTATGAGCTTTTTGGTGCAGAGAGGGAAATTTGTATGGGAAGAGGAATTTGGGTGGTGGAGGGCTTTTTGGGTGAGGAAGAGAGAGAGAGAGAGTAAGAGAGGGAGAGGGTGAGGGTGAGGGCGAAGGGGGCGAAAGAGAGAGAGAGAGGGAAAAAAGTGCGGGTGGGCGGCCCTTGCTCTGCCTGCCTTCTTCCCTCACTTCTCACACACGCAAGCCCAGACGGAAAAGGGAGGGAAAAAAAAGAGGGGATATGGTACTATACGGTAAGATACGTGTACTTCTCATGCATCTTGGCGGGCAGTGACGGTGTATGGGCCTGTAACTTACGGTCTCGTTACAAGGGTTACAGGGTCTGCGCCGCTTGGGGCGAAGGAGGCAAGGCTTGTAATCTATCTGCTGTTATGGCCCTGTACCGAGTGTACGTTTCTGCTCCCCTAAGGTGGTACGGCATGTTACTCCGTTACATACAGAGACGGCGTGCCTAGGTATATCTCCCTCGGAATATACTACTATGTAAGTAATAATAATAAATACGTGATGGGTTGATGTGATGGATCAGGATCAACCACCCAACCACCCATCGATCACACAGCAATCTCGTCCTGGGTTGGCCTGCCTCGTTTCGAAACGCCGGCCAGCCCGATCGCCCGCAGTAGGCCCTCCGATCGCTTGGGCTGTAACTCACCGCAGGGTCTGGCACACCACACAACTTCTCGCACCATCACACACACGCTTACACATATATAGTACGGGATATGATACGCATATGGAGGATGCCACGCTACCTAGGTCTACCTAGTTAAATACTGGGTACTACTAATGTACTTATGACCGTATCAGACAGCTACCCCATTATTACCTGTAAAAACACAGCTCCCTGTATCCAAGTGCCATCCATTGTAATTTACTCGCCATATGCCTCGGTACAATGATTCTCCGTGTTAGTAATATATTATGTCACCAGGAGAACTTCGACGGCCTTACCTCGGTGGCTCCATATAGGCCTTGGTCGATCATAACAAAGCAGGATGCGGGACGCAAGCCATCGGGACAGGCATTGCTACTATGTATGTACTGATACGGATCTGCGGACTAGATAGTTGTCGCTTTCAAGGCCGATGGACGTTGGTGTTTTGGCCTTGAGGTGACGTGACGGGAAGCTACCTCTGGATTACGGCTATTTATATAGCTACCTGTCACTTCAACGGGGAGTATAAGCGTACACAAGGCTTGCTCTACCTATATCCGGTGCTTTCTATTGGGCCATGTCTAACTGAAGTAGTAAGAATGAGTAATCTTTGATCTGTCCTTGCAGCTGTTCTACCAACACACGTAAGACGTTAAGTTACTTGTCTCATCGCTATTTTTATATCTAACGCTCTGACAAAGTTGGCGGTGTTGCCACTATGTTGATTCTTAAAGAGTCTCGCCGACGGATGACGCTTGATACAACGAAGGTAAATATAGCACGTTGATACCTGGATACCAACCCACGGAGACGTCCACTTCATCATGCCACCAGGAGAAGATGACAGTCATGCCGTAACCTCCCTCACTATCATCATAGCACTCGTCATCATACTGCTTAGTTGGCTCTGGAACAAGTCAGACGATGGGATACCAACTATCAACTCATACCCTTGGTATTTGGGGCAGAAAAGGGCACACCAGGAATACCTCTCGAATTCTAGAAACTTGATCAAGGAGGGTATTAAGAAGGTGTGTTCATATTATAAGTAACCGTTGACCAAGCAGGCTAAAATTAAAGTATCTAGTTCGACGGGCCGTTTCGAATAATAACTGCCTTGGGGTCTCGTGTGATAGTTCCTGCGTCTTATACAGAATGGCTGAAGAACTGTCTGGATTTAGACCATCAGGCCCTTGTTCATCATGTACGTCTCCTCTTCTCCCTGCAAAAGTATCATGAGAACAAACGGGAGTTATCAAATAGGAATATTTTGGGGGATACCCGGGGATGGAAGGGATTGGGATGGTTGCTGATCCCCGGAACATCGTCGTTGACGTTACCAGGAAGAAGCTGAATCAAAGTAGCCGTAAGTAAAGGTCTGTCTCCTCTTCGGGGATCCGTTCACGCTAATACTCATAGCAGAATGTAAGCTAATGCAAGAGCATATCATGGAGTCTTTGGAAGATATTTGGGGTCACGATAATGGTATGTGCTCCTTTTACTTCCAAACTACTCCTTGAAAACAGAACTTTTACTTATTCCAGTTTTAAGTCTGGGACACTGTTGACTGGCCGCAGAATGCAGTCAGCTTCATTGCACGAATGTCATCAGCAGTGTTTTCTGGTCCTGAGTTGTCTCGAGACCCGGAGTGGCAGAATCTCATAATAACTTATACCTTCAATACCTTCATGGGAGTGAGAGCGCTCCGTTCATACCCATCATTCCTCCACCCATTTGCCCGTTGGTTACTCCCTGAATGCAGAAAATGTCAAGCACAAGTCCGTCAAGCACGCCAAATTCTGGACCCGATAATTCAATCCAGGAATAAGACTGAGGGGTCGTCGGCAAAGGAAGAAAAGGCTGGAGTTTATAACGACACGTTCCAATGGCTTACAGATGTAGCTGCCGGTCGACCGTTTGACCACGCTGCGGCCCAGCTGGCCTTCGCGGTAAGTGCACTGCATACAACCACTGAACTACTCAAACAGACATTATTGGACGTTTGTACCCATCCAGAACTCATCCAGCCAATACGGGATGAAGTGACAGAAGCAGTTAGTCAAGACGGGTGGACAACTGCCGGCCTTTTCAAAATGCAGCTTCTCGACAGTGTGATCAAGGAGAGCCAACGGCTCAAGCCTGGATTGTTAGGTAAGCCACTCTTCGTCTCCGGATGCTATGGTAATACTTATTCTGACACCCTATGCTGAAGTGAACCTCGAACGAAAAGCTCTCTGTGATGTTACCCTTCCTAATGGGAAGAAGTTGCCCAAGGGAACCAACATTGCTGTTGATTCTTCCATGATGTGGGACCCGGAAATATATCCAGATCCGACTGTTTACGATGGATATCGGTTTCTCCGTCTACGGCAATCTGGAAATGGCGCTGCGGCGTTAGTGTCCACGAGTCGAGGACATATTGCTTTCGGAGCTGGAAAGTCCATCTGTCCTGGCAGGTTTTTTGCCGCAAACGAGATTAAGGTTGCATTGGCGAACATTTTAATGAACTATGAAGTGAAAATCGCGGGTGATCATGACCCAAAAGTTGTCGAAATGGGGTTTGAAATGCTTAGTGATCCAGAGGCGAAGCTGATGGTTAGGAGACATATGTAAGGGGGGGGGGTGTGTATAACCATTGAGTCAATATCGTTACAGTAAGTTGATCACATTGCCGGATACTTGATTGGGGCACATACGGTTATCTCAGTCTATATAGAAAACGCTGTATGTTTAAACTGAAAATGAAATTGAATTTTATATACAAAGCCAACGGAAGACCTGCTTGTAGAGATCCGTGTATTGGTGAATAGCCTATGTGCTTTAAGGATTGGCTCTGAATGGTGCCTCATTGCCCAATTAAAAACATAAGGGTAGAGTTCATGTTATTCTCAGGGAACTCTAGGTTTGTTTGTATGTCTCAGGGTGTTAAATAAGGATGCCGTTTCTGTAGACTCCAGGTTGCGGATCTATGACAGCCTCTCCAACACTTTTATCAAATCGGACATGACTCCCATGGCAGTTACTGCGCCACCAGCGCCACCGCCTTGGACAATGAGCGGAAGTTCTCCATATCGTTCGGTGTAGAAGCTGATAATGTTATCGCTGCCCTTCAGTCCAGCCATGGCGCTATCCTTGTCAAAGTTTTGCAAACCGACTTTGACCTTCTTCCCGGGAACATCAATACTACCAACATACCTCACTACCTGGCCTGCTGATTCTGCGTCTTTCTGAAGTTCTTCCATCTTTCCATCAAAGTCGGGTAAGCGGCGCATAAACTCTTCAGTTCCTTTACTGCCAGCTTCCAAGTTCGCTAGCTCGGCAGGTATCAAACTTTCAATAGGGAATGAATCTGGGCTCTCGACCTCTAAACCTGCAATTCGAGCGAGAATGGTCAATTTACGAGCAACGTCCATACCATTTAAATCGTCTCGGGGGTCGGGTTCGGTGTATCCTAATTCCTTTGCCTGGCTGACGACCTCACTCCATTTCTTCTTCTCGCCAGAAGTTGAAGGCGAAGGTGGTGAAAACTGGTTGAAGAGGAATGACAAAGTTCCTGAGAAGACACCCTCAATTCGGGTCACTGTGTCCCCAGTGTTGACTAGATCACGAAGGGTTGAAAGGACGGGCAAACCGGCACCCACGGTGCTTTCATGGTAAACCAAAGCGTTGTTGCTAGCAGCGGTAGAGAATATGTCTTCCCATAGCTTCAAGGAAGATGAGAACGCCTTCTTGTTGGGCGTGACAATGCTGATGCCCTTGCTGGTGAAGATTGGGTAAGCACTAGCGATGGTGGGGTCCGAGGTATTGTCCACCAAGATCGCTCGTCCTGGTACCTGGGAAAGATAGGAAGCTATCTGTTCCGGAGACCAAGCATCAGATTTGGTGAATGAACTCGTGGAAGATGAGAACGCCGACTGCCAGTCAGCAGGAGGGATGGCGGGGTATGAGGGAGCCGGGGAGGTGAGAGTCTGTGAAGATCGAGCAACAAGCACTAGGGATGGAGCATTTGGTAGCTTGGACAGCTGCGAGAGAAAGTGGCTTCCAACACCGCCAACTCCTATATACATATGTAGAAATACATTGGTCAGTTACTACTGATAGATGAACCACGCCGGGTAGCTGAGGGGTCAATTTGGAGAGCTTTCCAGCACAACTCACCAACGACGCCAACGTAGATTGCCTTGCTAGACATAATTGACCGGGTAAATAGTGTCCTATAGTCTCTTGTTGTGGTATATACGGATGACGGACTTGCTCGAGAGAAGAATGGCTCATCGTGTTCAAGTTTTCCCTCCTGGGAGGGGCTCGTGCTCCGATCTTCATCAAGATAAGATAAGAAGGCTTGGCAGTTAACTAGCTTACTTAATCAAACCTTTCATGAAGCTTCGGCTTTTTTCGACGTCTTCACCTTTTATAATATTGCAAGATAGAATCCACGCGGGGACCCTATTTGGCTATAATGTCGTCCTCACAATCATTATATGGCATCCGTAGACCAAAATCTGAAGCATCCAAGAAAGACCTTGCATCGTCCTCCACGCTTGCCTTCACCAACCATCTCTCCTCATTGATAGCAAATGAGTCCTCTTCTTCTAACGTCGACATCCATAGTGCGTCAGGGCGAACGGTATCCCGCGGCCGAGTGAGGAAATCTCAGAAAACGGACATATTCTCCGTACATAATAAAGGCGTGCAGAAACGAGCAGCAGCCGATATATCCAGTGATAATGCAGCACTCCAGATACACAGACGGGGCACAGATATAGGAGAGGTTGATGATGCTGTTCTCAGCCGGTCTAAAAGAAAAATGCTAGAAAAAACAAAGCTATACGAGGAGTTACAGAAAGGAGAATACTTGGTCACAGGAGATAGTGATAGCGATGAGAGTGAACAACCCGACGATGGCTTCTCAGCTATACGACGGGCGGATAAAAATAGCTTGGTTAACTTCGATAGGAAATGGGCGGAGAGTAGGGAATCTGGAGAGGATTCTAAGGAGGCAGAGGACGAAGATAACACGTTGGTTGAATACGAGGATGAATTTGGCCGGACAAGATTAGGTACCAAGGCAGAAGCAGCAGAAGCTCTACAAAACCGACAACACAAACACCCTGCTGCCGATGGAGAAGAGTCCACACGGGACACAAAGCCAAGTCGTGTCCCATCTGTTGCTCGTCCATCTCGCCCCTCAAACATCATCTATGGTTCAACTATACAAGCCGCAGCATTCAACCCAGATGAAAGTATAACAGCTCAGATGTCTAAGCTTGCTAAGAAACGGGACAAAAGCCCTACACCGCCACCAGAGACGCACTATAATGCTGAAGGCGAAGTCAGAACCCGTGGAACGGGATTCTATGCATTTTCTAATGACGAAGAAATACGAAAGAAGGAAATGGAGGAGCTCATGGCCGCAAGAAGTGAGACAACGCTCGAACGGGATCAAGCTGCTACGAAAAAGGAAGCTCGAGAGAAAGCAAAACAAGAAAGAAGAAGAAAGATCGAGGAGCTTAGGAGTAAAAAGAGGGCAGATCAGTTTTTGGGTAGCCTGGAAACACTTCTGCCTTCAGGGACAAATTCTGAAGAGGCCGAAGGAAGAGGGGCGGATTAGAAGAAACGAGATTTGGACGTATATTTTGTGATTTATGATACCCCGGAAGCCTAGTTCGTTTTATTTATTTTACCCCTTACCTTCAGCCTTTGAAATCGTTAATTATATATTTGATACTCCATTGACACACGTTGGTCAATTAGAACGACATAGTTTTAATCACTTATTAATTTAACCTACGATTTAATAGTCAGGCGGACTTTATACCCACCAGAGATTAGCTTCTTCACTATTGGGAAACAGTATATGCGTCAACATTTTGTCTCAATACCTTCACTAGGTACGGGTCTTCGCACAATCTAGCATTAGGAGAAGCACTTCTAGCAACAAAACAGTTAACAAAAACAAGGACCGGATCTTTGGGGACTCCCAAAACCGGGTACAGAGTCCGCGACCGCACTTTTGTGTTACTGAAGGGGGAATATTAAACTGCTCTAGCTGCAAGAGTAAACTGAAGCCACTATCTGGCCTCCCGGATCTCCAATCAGCCCATTGGCAAAAAATATCCGGCTGGAATATGATGTTAGATGGGATATATGCTCTATAGGGTAGAGATTAGTTAAGCCTATATGTATTCTAGATATTAAGGTCATTGCTGTAGAAATCTTCTAGATTACACTAAATGCACAGGGAATAATCAAGGTTAAGAGAAGGCGGACAGTAGATATTCGGAAATGAAATGTATTTATCTAAACAAACGCAACAACATATGGCAGGATAGATGCATGATTAAATATCGAGTGAAATGGGTATCATCAGGGTGAGAGTTAAACACCGCGCAACTGTGAGCAAATGCGTTGGTGAAATATCTATTGGTACAGGCATGATGTGCAGTTCGTTGCCTCGACGAACTGGATTGAAAGGCGATTGATGATTTATAGATTTCAGCACTAGAGTAAGTGTTAGCTGGTGTTTTTCCTACATGAGGGGGGCGTACGAACACCAGGGGCATGAGTGTTAGTCAAAGTATGTATTAGAGGTTTCCGGACTTTGTATTCCTAGGAGAAGGCGTCTGATCGGTAATCGAGAGAAAAAAGCCTCTCCCATGGTCGTGGTTTCGCAGGCGAAGATCTAGATGGTGATGAGCTAGCACCGGAAAGGAAGCTAGCCTTGGTTCTGACTGTGGCTAAAGGGGAAGAAACTGCTGGGCTTTGACCAATATTGTCCTATGTTCCAGAAAGAAAGAATAACAATCAGTTTCCAAACCGAAACGAACTGCCTTTCCCATTACCGAGAAAGAGACTATTCTCATTTATTTGATTCATTTGAGGGACCCGATAACAGATCTCTGCGAACCTCGTCAAATATTTGTGCCTCCTCTCTGCGGCTCTCCGCACACTGGTCACCATCTGATGGCAGTACGGTCTCGCTTGTTGATGCTGGCTGTAGTGTAGGTATGGGTGCGCCGTTTCTTGATGCCGAACTGTTTCGTCTGCTATCCAAGCTCTTCGATAGAGTTTTGGTGGCTCCTCCACCGTATGCTGCCCGTTTCAGCCGGATGCTTCCCTTTGCATCAACGTGCGCAGAAGCAACCGTACTCTTTCCGAGCCCTGGAGTGCTGGGGGCTCGTGGTTTTTCTTCTGATGCATCCAAAAGATACCATCTCAGGCCATCTGATAGCTCAAAGGGGTTATCATCGTCGATTGAAGCACCGTCATTCCCTCCTGTCGAAAGGCGATCGTGGTTTGCCCCATTCATGGATTTGGAAAGGTCAACTACTCTCTCCTCCGCCTTTGTGATTCGGGCAAGGAGCCAGTCACGCGTATGGAGCTTATGCACCTCCTGTTCTCGTAGGAAGTAATGTGGTGCTCCGACATTAAATGCTGCCCATGATCGAATTTCTTGGTTGCGAGTAGGTAAGAAGAGTGCGAGATCCCCAGCTTTGAATGATCGATAGGCAATTTTGTCGTGGGCTTCACTTTGAGCACGGTGGTATTTATCTCGGTATCCTCGAGCTTCTTTTTGCCATTTCCGGGCCAAAGTTTCGATATCTTTAACTCTTTTAATCACTGCGTCTGCACAGGCGGCTATATCCATCCGATCAATAGCGGCCATGAATGAAGAAAATTGAGACGATTCGTCATCCTCGTTTCCTGTTTTAGCCCAATGCACATGTTCGGGTGTTGGGATTGTGCGTATAAGTGTCGAAGATGACATGCTATCCCCGACCGAAAGACCATTCATTACTCTAGATGTTCGTTGAATTGTCATTGAATTGTCCTGTGTGACAATTGTAAATCCAAGTTCCTCAAGGATCCGTGATAGCTGTTCGACAAGCGTATGGACCTTTACTGACATATCACCAGCACGACTGCCTCTGGCATCAAACCAAGAATTGGACGCCATGCTATCTGCGTGAACGGTTTCGGCCTTTTGCTTCCATTCTAAGAGTTCTGCTGTGATTGAACTGTTGTCTTTTTCCATACGCTGTACTCGTTCGTTTAGTTCGGCAATCTTTCGTTCTCCTTCCGTAACGAGTTGGCTCGATGTTTGTGTTTTGTCCTTCTCGGACCCAAGAGCAGATTTCAAAGATGCTGTCTCCTTTTGCTCTTTTTCTAGCTTTGCGTTTGCTTCTTCCATCTCAGCCTTGACGTCATTGAATTGTTTCTGAAGGCTGGAATTTTTCTCTCTCTCCAACTCCAGCTTCTCTCCAAAGGTCTTTGCATCTTCTTCCATTTGAGCTATCTTTTGGTTTAGGTTATCGTTTTCCTTGCTCAGCTCCGCTAGGGCTTCATCTGAACCCTTAGAATGGATAGCTAAGCCTTCCACAACGACACAAAGGGCATCTACCAATTCTTTAATCTCATTTGGGGGCGTAGAGTTAGAGGCATTATGGTATGCAGATTGCAAGCCTTGTACCAAGTCCTTTTGTACTCGGTGAATAGACTGAATCTGGTCTTCTAGCTCATTATTTCGATCAGTTAACTTGGAAAGACGGGCTTGCGTCGTGGCATCCTCCTGGCCCCTGCCTCGAGCCGTTTCAAGTTCTTTGTAAAGTAACTCAAACTTCTCATCAAGTTCATGTCTTTCATGGTCGTGGGAATCCATAGCCCTGTCCAATTCATCTTCAAGCTCTTCAATTCTAGCCTTGAACTTGGCCCCTTCTGATTCCAAGAATCTCCGTTCTTCGTCGAATTCACGTTGTTTTGCTTCGAGATTTTTCATCAAGTCCTTTTTGGTAAGCTCGGCTTCCTCGATTTTATCGACATTGGATTGACGCTCAAGGCTTGTTTCTCGTTGCATTTTAGTTAATGCATCGCGCTCAACAGCGAGTTCGGCCTCTAGTGCAACAATACGCTGTATCAATGCCCTGTCATCCTGAGGTTGGTTTGATGACATGCGCCTAGAGGACATAGACGACCTTCTAGATGCGTTTTCAAGGCGTGCATTTTCCAATCGTGGAGAAGCTGGGGAGGTAGGTATCTCTGGCCCAAACTGTCCACTGACTGGGCGTGAAATGTGACTTTGGCGATGGAGAAGATCTTCTAATCTCCTAACACGGCTTTCTGAGCCTTTCAGTCTCTCTTCAACCTTGGACTTTTCCTCCTGGAGGCTGCGAACAACATCGTTGTCACGCAGAAGAAACGAGCTACGACCCATTTCAAATAGGCTGCCCTGTTTGAATGCTTTAGTTCTCCGACGTTGTTGTCTGGTAGGGGTATCTAGTTCTTTAAAGAGCTGTTTAAGCTCCTGAACGGCATCTTCCATCCCGTCCTTTTTCTCGATTAGTTCGATGTATTCTTCAATTTCGGCTCGAGAGACCTCTGGCCACCCCGCATCTTTTGCTGCCTGCAAGTTAACTTCTACAGACGGGGCACTATCGTCTGCTGGATTAAGGAAGTCGCCCATTCGCTTGGCCCATTTCTTCCTCCTGCGTTGCTCCTCGTCTCGAAATATAGCTAATTCCTCAGCAATATCCCTTGAGTCGGTTTTCATCTTGTCAGTCCATTCATAGCGGCGGGCGGATTCGATCAGAATCGAGCCGTAGATAGAGGGTAGATGGTAAACAAGACACAGTACGTCGAACGCATCGGTTTCAACGTTCAGTTCTGCTATATCAGCCTGGGTCTTTGCCAACCGTAGTTCTATTGACGAGATCTTTTGCATCTGTCCAGCAGCATCCTTCATAGCGGTATTTAGATCTTTTATAGCAGAGCTCAGTGTATCCCGTAAGCTGCGGCTAGTATCCGCCATCTTGGGAAGGACCTTTTTCGTATGTACTAGCGCTATTTTAGAAACACTTGATATCGAACCGGAGTCGTTTGGTAGAGCTAAAACCGAGGTATAATCACTGGTGATCTTTCTAGCGTGTCTTTCAATTTCTTCTAGAAGAGACTGTTCGACTTCTTTGGCAGAAATATTTGATGTGGCATTGTCTAACAATTCCGCCTGGGAAGAGATGTCACGGACTTCCTTCTCAAGATCATCAACACGTCGGGAGAAACGTTGTGATTGTGATGAAACCTGTGATACTGCATTCTGCAATTCTTCTGCATCGATATAATCTTGTAATGTCCCCGTACGATGAGCCTTTGGCTTCTTCGGTGTCGGCCGCCGTAGGAAGGTAAAATCGCTCTTCGCAGGAATTGCACTGAGGTCTTGGTAAGCGCGCTGCCAGTCTTTGAGTGCAGACCGCTGGTCTTTCACAAGCTCGTTGGCCCAGTTGTGGGTATCCTGGAACTTATGCTCCAGGTTTCCAACATGAGATTTCAAATTCTCCCGGGCCACAGCCACGCCACGCCGGATAACATCTATTCGTGTATGGTGGTCGTCTACCGATTTAGCCATGGAGTTGCAGTGCGCGGCAAGATTGAGTGCCCACGACCGACGGGCCATGAAGAGATCCTTCCATGACTGTAGGTTATTCCGGTCCGCAAGTACGTCAGGGGGGTCTTGGAGCGTCAATAGAGGTGGCGAGTGTCCCTCGGGGGCGCTGTTGCTCGTTTGCTCGCTCACATTCTGTCTGTCGTATACATAAATCTCATCCTACTGCACTTAGCATCGGGGCCTGAAAAAGAAAAAAAAGAAAAAGAAAAAGGGAACAAGAGAGTCACCTCTGTCGCTAAGCTCTGGGTTTTGACACTCTTCCCTTTGGCGGTCATTAATATCTGCCTCTGGACGGGAATCTGGGTATGTCGAGATATCCATGTGCGCAACGCATCTGGCCTAAGTCACCGCACGGTTAGTTACCCATTTGCCAAAGAGTGAGATGTAACTACACCTACGAAGCAAAAGAAACCGGGTCTGCCAGCATCTGCTCACCGGTGTGAGCTATGTATATGTGTAACGACATGGCCAGGTACTTCACTCCTCTGCGCAAGGCTTTGGCGGAGCTTCCTCTTTGCAGCGAGAGCGTTCCTAGTGTCGATTAATAGAAGCTCGCATCGTCTAAGACACGGGGCATGGACAACCCCTTTCGATGCCGTGTGATTATCCTTATGCGCAGCCGGTAGTATGTATGTGCCTGCAGGCTTGCTCCGTATGGGCTTGCTAGATAAATAAACTGGCGTTGTGTTGACTGAGCCGTCGCATGCAACTGCTTCAGGTGCCTGACTATGGGGCGCTTTAGCGCATGTCAGTTGACCCACACAAGGCACAAACCACAAGCCCTGTCTTCGTCAGGTTCTTCGGTGTAAATCCTCTTCACGCGATCTCTCAACGGCCGGCGCAAAAGCGAAGAAGAAGAAGAAATACGGAAGAAGGGAGAAAAGGGTCCCAAGAAGGAGGTCAAAATTGGGCGCCGAAGCTCCCGTCGCCTTCTTACACGTGACGAGACATGCCTGAAGCGGTAAACAAAAACAAACAACCTTGGGCGCTTTAACCAGCTGGGTTTGATTAATTTTATCTGTTTGTTCGGATGAAAGCCCATGGCTCAGAGCGGCAGAGACGCGATGGCGAGCCTGGAGGCGCCGGCAAGGGCTCTTCTAGACGTCGCGACCCAAGATGAAACGGCAGACAAGTTCTCGTTCTCGCAGAAGGAAGCAGAGATACTAGAGCTGTACGATCATGTCTTTGAACAGCAGCTGGAAGAAGCATTATTGAGTCATCGTACGGCCGTCTGTGAATGAAGACTACGGATCCCAGTTGCAATGCTGACTAGACGGTCACTGCAGAACTCCCCGAAACCACGGATGCGGACGATGTTGACGCGAAGCTAGTAGAGGCAGAACGTGAACTGCTCGAGGTCAGGGCAAGGCTCTCAGTCCGGAGAAAGGTGATTGAGAGCGTACTCATGACCGAACCGAGCATACAAGCTGTTCACTCGTTACCTTCGTCGCCGCTTGAGAAGTATGCTTATTCCCTCGCCATCCTGCATTCCTGCCCCCTGGTTAACAAGTTTATCTAGGGCGCTTCTACCACTAATCAACCGAAGAGATGTCCTATCACTCGCGTATGAAAATATCATGACTTCACATACGGCGTGTATTCGTGAGCTATCCAGTGCTGAGGTGGCAAATATCCAAAGTATCCAAAAGAATCAGGAGCTAGTTCAAACGCTGCTCGAGCTGACAAGGAATGAGAAATCGCTAGATGACAATATATCGGACCCCCAGCTCAAAGAGGAACTAGACAGCCTAAGGACAGAAAATAAACAGAAGAAGGCACACTGGACGCGAATAAAGCGTATAGTTAGCGCTTCTATCGCTGCTAGTGGAGTTGACTGGGCGAGCGACGAGAAGCTCGAGAATTTAGTCCTCGACGATGATGCCTTGGATGATGTCTGATCCCACCAATGATTCTACGGCTGCCCAAAACTGATGATACGCGTGTCTATCTCAATATGTTGCTCCGGCTGATTGCTGGATGCAAGAGAAGATGCAATAGTTCCGAGCCCGGTTACAAAGGAGACCCGACGGAAGGAGCATTCTCTCCTTCCGCCTCTTTTCATCCTCCCTAAATGCTATCCTTGTGTGAGAGACTACGATAATCGTCGAAGGTTGATGAAGAGGGACTGGATACATGATACTGAATAACTCGTAGTTGAGTATTCCGTTACTGCAGGCTTTAGAAGGACCCTATGTATGCTTGCTAGAGCCTACCAAATCGTTGATGAATGTTTCTAGACCTATACTACATAGTATGTATGATAGCCGTCGTCGTTCCTCTGAGATTAAAACATAATGTCGTCATATTATATAACCAAACCTTACTGAGTATAATCACGTGATAATATCTTATCGGCGACGACGATAAGAACGCGAAAAAGCAGAAGAAAAAGCGCGTCGAGAAAAGACACGAAATGACATTTAACGAGCTTTGGATACAAACGTTTAAACAACGCTCAACTTCTACTCAGCATCATCGGATATACGAATATACGGAATATACTCCCTTATCAGATAATCAGTTACCTGCGGTTATGAGAGAGTGATCTTTGTTCGAGCTGCAACATGTTCATCTTACAGCAACCAGCAATTCCCCAGCCACTCCTATCTAGTCGTCAGCTCGATGTCACATCCATATGCTCCATGATGGAACGCAATACCCATACATCCTCTGAATGTAGAGATGACTCAAATACAAATCAACTCAATATGACGCCCTTCACGTTCTCCCCGTCCCCTCCGGCAGATCCGGCCGCCACAGCGCCAACATTCAATTCACATTTTGCCCAGCGGTATGCAGCAACTATAGCCCGACCTGCCGCCCGCGTCACAGAACGACGGTCTAGAGAATCCCGTCGAGATGCCTTTCTGAATAAGGTCAAACGCAGTCGTCAGTCAGACCAGTTTGAGGCGCGAAGCGACCAGATTCAACGAAGTGATTTCCTAGAGCAGCAGAAGCAATTTAATGAAGAGATGGCTAGGTCGGCTCCTCCACTTGAGGGTGTCGAAGACGACGAGGGTGAAGAGGGTGAAGACTTGTATTGTCATGCACAAGGTGAAGGTGAGGTCGAAATCTTTTCTAGTCTATGACTGATAGCATAACTAACGAATATAGAAATCGACGAAGCACTTTTAGAAGACTTCATTGCCCAGGAAGAGAATGAGTATATGGGCTTGGTTGAGGATGCACCGGATAACTACGCCGCTGAAGAGCCGCTGAACAGTGATATGCTCTACGGCGATGTCGATGATGATGGAATCTTAGTTGACCTTCTTGATCAAATTGAGTCTCAGTCCCATCAGGAGATGGATATGTCGGGTTCTTGAGGCGTTTTCGGGAGGCGTCTTTACAATTCACGGGGTATTTTTTTTTTTTTTTTGCATCTCGGATTGGCGGCGCAGTGGCTATAATTAACGGGATTGTCCGTTGTCAAATATGTTTGCCAGATATAGTTAACTATATCCCAAAGCAATATTTGTGGCCAATCTTCTATTTTACCGTCAGAGATAGCTCCCGTCATGGCCCCCACATGCATTGGAAACCAGGTTTTAGACAGGCAAATTATGCCTGGCTGCGTTTCCTACTCTCGGGAAGTAAATAATGAGAACCAGGCCATCTTATTTTTATGTACAATACACTAACAGGCTTGGATATATGGGGAATAAGAAAGGTGGCACGAATGAACAAGCATCATCTCGTTATTGCTGTGCGCAACCTTCTTGACCTAGCGCCTGAAGTTTGGATTCGTCCATAAAAGGGGCTGATATGAGATCGTCTGGAGGACTTCCAGCGGCTTGCATCTAATAATACAAGTTAGAACAGACAGAATTACACCGTGGTGATCATTCCTCACATACCTTTTGCATTTTCTCCCATATATAAGCTCTGTCCTCAGGCTTATCATCTGAAAAACTTTTCTCCTCGAACTTCCTAACGATATCATTTACCAAGGAAGCCTGCAACTCATATCTCTCCAGGTCCTCTTTTCCTATCTTATCCTTATTCTCTTTCAACCAAGGGCCGAATTTGTCATCAAGTTCTTTCAAAGGCTCATACAACATCTCCTTATTCGATAACTGTTCCATGATCCCCATGAAAAGCTTGTCGAGGTTCCCATCATCTCCTTCTCCCGCACCGGCTAGGCCACTGCTTTCCATCGCCTTGAGAATCTGCATTAATACATCGTCGTTTCCACTCTCGTTGACCTCAGCTGTAGCTTTGTCGCCCGATTCTTGCATTCGTTCCATGGTCCTCTGGATAGTTTCCTGGAAGTTTTCTTCTCCTTTCTTTGTTGTGGATGATGGCTGTTTTGCCGTAGCTTTAGCTGTAGCTGTCGAGCCATCCACTCCGGGAATGCCCTCTCCACCTGTCATCAATTCGTCGCCCATCATAAGCTTCATCACATCTGCCATAGTAAATCCTTTCTTCTCTAGCTCTTCGGTCAGCGCATTCCAATCCTCGTTCCCGGGGAATTGAGGCATCCCTGGTATATCGGTAGCTTTCCCTTGTGAAGCATTTCCCCTGCTCGCGTCTCCGGGGATAGAGGCGCCCATCAACTCAGCCATTCCGGCCTCTAATTGTTTTAATAATGCCTCCTGGTCGGCGGCTGGTAGGTCTGTGTTAGGCTCTGCTTGTTTTTCTGAAGGTTCTGGCTTTACTCCATCTGATTGCGCAGGTTGAGAGGTGTTCTTTGATGCAGAGAAGTCATCAAGCACATCTATCAAAGTCAGTGTCAAGGAGCATGTTGGATAGATAAAGTAGTCTTTCCTAGCATAGAGGTGAACGCGCTTACCGTCAAGTTCCTCCCAGTCTGAGTCTTCTTCCTCCGCCTGTATAGGAAGCTCATTCTTCGCTTCCGTAGGATTTGGAGGCTGGCTTTCGGCCAGCGGTTTGCTCTCTTCTTTATCTGCTGGTGCGGATGTGTTTGTATCGGCCATGTTGTGTTTGACTTCTTCAGGGTAAAAGTAAGGTGGAACTAATCAATAAGAGTACCCCCTGGGTTCTGACTAGCTACTGTACGGTTCCTGAAATGATTTATGCAGGTCAACAGTTGTATGTTAGCTTACCAGGATGTGTTCTGGTGGTTTGACTTCTTTTGAAGTGGCGGCCCCTCCTTGGAGCCTCGGCTGCAAGCCTCAATTAAAAAACCCCTGGATTTTGGCCTACGGTTATATATATATGCAGCACAAGGAGACCAAAAGAAGAGGTTGTACGTTCAAGTTTCCAGCATTGGATTAAAGTAGAGCTCTAACGCTGCATAAATATAGAAAAATAGTACCTTTATAAGGAAGTAATCAGGATATAATGGGATATAATAGCATATCTCGCAAAAAACGAAAAGGAAAGACGCCTGTTAAAATCGTAAGGTGTTGCATGCATTCGTAACCAATGAGATGGTTCACCACATCATAGTATCGCCGCCGGATAGGTAAATTTCTATTCATTTTAATGGACCATGACTTCGGACTGCTGTTGCTGTCCAGCAGCCTTGGAGTCAGATTGGTTGCTGTCGGCTGGATCTCCATCGCCCATTTCCACATCTTCGTCACCGTCGTCTTCGCTTTCACTGCTCTCTTCCTCCAGATCTTCACTACCAGCCTCATCGTCGTCATCATCGGCATTACCGTCGTCGGCGGCGGGGCCCTCAATATCCATGCCGTCGTTGTTTGCGTCCTCTCTGTCGAGCTCCTCAAGTTCTTTCTCAAGCGCGGCCTGGAGCTCTACCTCCTCAGCGCCATAAGTTGCGCCGTCATCGTCCAAGGCGTCTACATCGGGTTGGTCTGGAGGGTATTCTGCTGGCGCAGAATCTTCAGAATCCCTATTTTCGAGCATCTAGTATAAGTAACCAGCAATTAAATGTAAAAGGTCCCGCATAAACTAACCATTTGATTGCGAATCGCGTCACTCGAGGTTTCTTTGCCAGTACATTACGGACAACTCTCTCAATAATTGGTTTGGCTGGTGGTTCTGCGTTCAGCTCTTCCGTGTCATATTCATTGTTCACGTAGTAGCCAACACGGACAAATTCTCTCCCGTCGTAGCTACACGTAAGAAGAATGACCGTGACTCCCAAAATCTCAGAAGTGGGAATTCTCTTCAGATCTGGAGGATCGGCCTCGAATATAAACTTATTCACACCGACTGGAATTGGCCCAACTAATAGCGAATCCAGCTCCTGATCATACTCAGACCTAATCAGTCAGACTTGCGTTCTCACTTTCTCCTCCTCCTTTTGTATGGTTCCCACGAGGAGACTTACGAGGTCGCGGAACCGACGTAGGTCAGTTTCCATTCCAGATCTACAGATATGCCGGTCAGTCAAAACACAGTTCCACATCTTCTCACCGGGGGGCCAAACGTACCTTTCTGTAACTGCTCAAGACACTCAAATGTGATCTCGAACTCGTAGGGGGCGGTGAAGGGAGCAGGATTGTTCACCACCCTTACACCAAGCAAAGAAACCACTGACATGACGAAAAAGATAAGCTAACCAAGGCAAGCCAAAGTAGTCCACCGTCCTATCACTCTGCTTAAAAAAAGAAGAAATCAACCGCTGCCTCTTAACCGTGTGCTGTTGCTGTGTCGTCGTTTGTCGTGGCGGGGGAATCGCAAATGGCGTTTTTTGAGAAGAAAAGAAAGCGAGTTTTCGACGTGACGCGGAAAATCAATTTGACAAGAAAAAAGTTCGCGTTTTTGGAGATGTCACGTGACCGAATCACCCAAAAAGCTGTTTTGGTGTTTTCAAGGAAATCTGAAAAAGGTGATACGACAGTTGCATGAGTTGTTGCATTGTTTTATATCTTTCATATAGTGACTTGGCAGCGAGTCGAGCTGCCATTGTTGTCTTTTTTGCTATTTCTTTGCCTTCTTCACCCTTTTTCTTTGGCTCCTTTGTCCTCCTTGTCACGTGATGCTAGCAAGGACTTCCGACGACGGTGCAAGCTTGCAAGAAGTTTTTCACCAAAACAACCAAACCAGGCTCAGACGAACGGCGGGCAGATCCTCCTACTCTACTCGTTTTGTGTTGTTAGTCGGAAGAGGGAGTCCTTTCTGTTTCTTCTCTAAGGTCAGTGAAGGGCGTCCGCGGCTATTCTTTTTCCCGTCACTTCCTTCGAGCTCAAGCTGACTGAACCGCATTCCCATCCTCCAGATATTAGCAGCCACAAAAGGAACTCGGATACCCATTTACCGTTCTAATAATAAAGGACAACATGGCGGAGGAGGGAGCTGAACAAGGATATTTGCAGCCTCAAGCTTTGAATGCAGATGCTGAAGCCGCAGGTGGCTCGGACTCGGACGATTATGATCCCTCTGAGACTATTCAAGAGCAGTTTCCCGCAAATATAGCAGCTTCAAATTACAATATGATTCCTCATATGTCTCCTTTTGTCAACTCTTCCACCCCAACTCCTGCTCCGGGCTCTAGTCTGCCAGAGAAACAACTAGGGGAGATCTATAACAATGATTCTGCACTTTCGCTTCCCCCGTCCGGAGCAGAGTCCAAAGGCTCTGCTGCAATATCCCAAATTGGTGTCTTTGAGGAGGGATCAACTGGTGATGAAGATGCGGGGGACGCTGAGTACGAACCACCAGCTGCGGCCTTATCAGCCCAAGTTCAGAATTCAATATCTACTTCTGCAGACATGTCTCAGCGCTCTCTTTCTGAAAATATAAATGAACCTGTTTCACATTTCCATGTACAACAGCAAAATATTGCCTCAGATCAAAACACTCCACATGTTTCCATTAATTTTCCTGCTTCTGATTCTCATGTTGCTCATTCAGCACACGACGATAACACTCTTAAACCCATGCAAGGAGAATCAAAATTACCAGGTCGATCTGCCGTTCAGTCGGCCAACAGCTCCCTGCCTTCGACGCCGCCAGTCGCAGCCGCCTCAAGAAGTCGTCTTCCCCATGATCGCGTGGGCATCCTGGAAGACAGAATACAGGCCGATCCGCGTGGCGATACGGACGCATGGCTAGAACTAATTAATGAGCATCGCAGCAGAAACAAGCTTGATAGTGCTAGACAGGTTTACGAGAGATTTTTCAAAGTCTTCCCATCGGCTGTACGTCATTCTTCCAATTCTCACTAAAGATGCAATACATCATGGACTGACCAGTCTCTAGGCCGAACAATGGGTTGAATACGCCACCATGGAGTCCGAAAACAACGAACTGTACAAGTTGGAACAGATATTTACAAAATGCCTATTGTCAATCCCTAATGTTCAGCTGTGGTCGCTGTATTTGGATTACGTGCGTCGGCGTAATAATTTAACCACCGATTCAAGCGGGGACGCAAGGCGTACTATTACTTCGGCATATGACCTTGCTCTTCAGCATATTGGAATCGACAAGGACTCCGGCAATATCTGGGTCGACTACATCCAATTCCTTCGGTCAGGGCCGGGGAATATTGGAGGTTCCGGATGGCAGGATCAACAGAAAATGGACCTGCTGAGGAAGGCGTATCAGCGGGCAATTTGTATTCCCACACAGGCAGTTAACACTCTTTGGAAAGAGTATGATCAATTTGAGATGGGTTTAAACAAGCTGACGGTAAATCGGACATCCCCAGTACTACAATTGGCTAGCATATTTCTGACTACAATGGTTTAGGGACGTAAATTTATACAAGATAAATCTCCGTCATACATGACGGCGAGAAGCTCTTATACTGAGCTCCAAAACATCACCAAAGACCTTGTCAGACTATCACTCCCACAGTTCCCCCCAGCCCCCGGGTATGAAGGTGATTATTCTTTCTCGAAGCAAGTTGAAATATGGAAACGTTGGATACAGTGGGAAAAGGATGACCCTTTGGTTCTCAAGGAAGAAGACTTGGCTAGTTACAAACAACGGGTCATATATGTCTATAAGCAGGCCTTAATGGCACTAAGATTTGTGCCTGAAATGTTTTTCGATACTGCAGATTTCTGCTTCCAGAACGGCATGGAGACCGAAGGAAACGATTTTCTGAAGCAGGGGATAGAAGCGAACCCTGAGAGCTGCCTTCTTACCTTCAAGCGTGCTGATCGGCTTGAATTATCCAGCGTCTCGGAACAGGATCCCGTGAAACGCGGCGCCAGAGTCAGAGAGCCTTATGACAAACTACTTGATGCACTTTACGACTTGATAACACAAACACGAGCCCAGGAGGCTACGGATATTGCTAGGCTGGAAGAACAAGCTGACCCGGAGCAGCCTGTACAGCTCGAGAACGACGACGACGAAGACGAGACAGACAACCCCCGGACCCAAGAAAGTGCCAAAGCAAAGGAAATCGAGTCAGTGAAGAAAGAGTATGCGGGGAAAATTGGTCTTCTGTCCAAGGCTGTCTCGTTCGTCTGGATAGCGTTGATGCGAGCAATGCGTCGTATCCAAGGCAAAGGCAAGCCGGGAGAGATTGCTGGGTCACGTCAGATATTTGCCGATGCACGTAAGCGTGGGCGTATCACCAGTGACGTTTATATTGCCAGTGCCTTGCTGGAGTATCATTGCTATAAAGACCCTGCGGCAACCAAAATTTTCGAAAGGGGGGCAAAGCTTTTCCCGGAGGACGAAGTTTTTGCTCTGGAGTACCTAAAGCACCTTATCGACATCAACGACATTACTAGTATGTTATAACCTTTCCTCCAAGTTTAGGTATCGTTCTTACTAACTAGTTTTTAGATGCACGAGCTGTTTTCGAAACTACCGTTAGGAAACTTGCTTCGAATCCAAAGAACGTTGGAAAAGCAAAGCCAATTTTCGCCTTTCTACACGAGTATGAATCTCGGTATGGGGATCTGACACAGATAAACAACTTGGAGTCCCGAATGAGAGAGTTGTTTCCTGAGGATCCTACTCTGAAACAGTTTGCCCATCGATTCTCAGCTCCTTCTTTCGACCCTACTACCTTCCAGCCGATCCTATCACCAAGCCAGCTGAAGCCTAGAACCATTGCGTCTCCTGAAGAACCGAGTTCTCGGCATAGCTCACCTTCACGCCATCCAACCACTAATACCTATTCCCCTAAACGATCCTACCCACTTGACGAATATGGAGACGAATCGAACCGACCACGAAAGTTCATCCGCGCTGAATCCCCACTAAAAGGTGCAGCCGGAAGACGCGAGCAGCAGAAACGGCTACAGTCTAACGGCTCTGGCGGTGGGCCGACTGCCGCTAGGGCTAAGCAGCCACAACAGCCACCCCCTTCTGCGGGACCTCTACCAAGAGATGTTGTGTATCTTTTGAGCATTATCCCCCCTGCGTCCACATACGATGCAACCAGATTCTCGCCTGAGATGATGGTAAATCTTCTCCGCCAAGTTGAGCTGCCTTCTAGTGTATCGCAGCTCCGGCTCCCACAGCAAACCGGTGCCAGCTCACACCAGTACCACCAGTACGGTACGTACACCATCACACCACATATATCACCCTACAAAGACACAGCTCACTAACTAAATATCTCAGGCGGCTATCGTCCCGCATAGAATTCAGGAAACAATTTTGTAATGCACCGGAGGCTCCCGTGTGGCAACAGAATGAACCCTTCCTCACACCTAAAAGCATGATGGCACCACTTGTAACATAGCCTTTCTTAACCTTTGGGGAATCTTTGCATGATAGGATCTGCGCATTCATTAGAGCTTGACTTTCTGGGGCAACCTAGGCAGCTATTTATTTTCAATTATTATTCCGCCTAATTACGAAGATGCTCTCTTACGAAACTATTGCTCAGATGCCTTTGTTTTAATTTGTAATTATGAGCTTAGACGCTGCAAAACCAAGCCACAAATAACGGAAGAAATTGCTACTGTTTCCATCGAAAACGCCCAAGTACCTGTTAAATGCCTACCTTGCGTAATTTAACTCGGTAAATACCTTTTTATATTCGGATGTCTCTGTGGCTTGGACGCTTACATCATCAGGGACCCGACCGCGTCACTAGTCTAGAATAGGTCTAGGTGCCAAGTAAAGTGACGTCGTGGCTTTTATCTTTGCTTCCTCTTTGGTTCTCCACAAGTTTAAGTAAGCATAATATAAAAAGTTCCAGGACGAAGTCGCATCTTGAGCGCTGCCATCACCTTCCACTCTACCTTACCCCAAGTTCTATTCAGCATACAAAATAAATTAGCAGTTCGTCAAGCAGCCTGGGAATCATGTCATCTTCAAAGGAGATAGGTTCTGGAGTTCCTGCGTCTAGCAAAGGGTCCTGGGCTACTTTTCTCAAGGTAAGAATCCCCTTCTCCTTATAAGAAAACAGGGGACAATTTTGTCTGATATAAACGCTCTAGTCCATTGCCTCGTTTAACGGCGACTTATCCTCCCTCACAGCTCCTCCGTTTATTATCTCGTCCACCTCTCTGGTTGAGTTCTCAGCGTACTGGGCTGAGCACCCGTCCCTGTTAATCGCCCCGTCACGCGAGCAGGACCCGCAGAAGCGTGCTTTGTTGGTTTTGAAGTGGTTCCTTAGTACTCTGCACCAACAGTACTGCAGCAGAAGTGAGAAGCTAGGGAGTGAGAAGAAGCCATTAAATCCGTTCCTTGGCGAGTTATATCTGGGGAAGTGGGCAGATGACGGAGACGTTGGCGATACTCTATTGTTTAGTGAACAAGTGAAGTATGCATATATACCTGTGATAACACCTGAATCTCTGCCGTCTGACTTTCTTTGCTAACTTAATATGTTATAGTCACCACCCTCCTGTTACTGCTTATGCCATAGAGAATCATAAGCACGGTGTCCAGGTTAGCCTCTTGCCCATAGACGTTGGTATCACTCTGCTAACATAGAATCACAAAATAGCTACAAGGATATAATGCACAGAAAGCGTCATTCTCAAACACGATTAATGTAAAGCAAATTGGCCACGCTCTCCTCTCGTTCCCGACGCCTGGATCTTCTGAAAAGGAGACATACCTTATTTCACTCCCATCTCTACACATCGAGTCCTTGATTTATGGAACTCCGTTTGTCGAGCTCAACAAGTACACTTATATCGCCAGTTCTACAGGATATATGGCAAAGATCGACTACTCCGGGCGTGGCTGGCTTAGCGGTAAAAAGAACAGCTTTTCTGCCATTCTCTACAAACACAGTGAAGGGGAAAAACGCCCGCTATACACCGCCGATGGCCAGTGGTCGGATTCATTCGTTATCAAGGATGCTTCAACCAAGAAAGAGATCGATAAATTTGAGGTGAAGAAGTCCAAGACTACTCCCTTAACAACCGCCCCTATTGAAGAGCAGGATATATACGAATCCAGACGGGCATGGAAGGATGTTGCGGCCGCTGTTGAAAAGGGAGATATGGACGCCCTATCAATGGCTAAATCGAAGATTGAGAACGCACAAAGAGAGCTTCGAAAAATCGAAGCCGAAGAAAAGCGGGAATGGGACCGACGATTTTTCAAACGCATCGACCTAGATGGTAGCGATGACGAAGAGAGCAATACTTTCAAAAAGCTATTGAAAATGGCTGGCCTCGGAGCTGACAGTAGCTCCTCGTCGCCGTCTAGCTTCATTGATTCGGATAAGACCGGTGGTATCTGGAGGTTTGACCCTTCTCGAGCCAAAGATGCAAAGTCGCCGTATCACGCTGATTCTGCAAAGGGCGTTGGCCTCGCTGTCAACGTAGGAACAGCCAAATAGTCTCCTCTTATGACACTCTTTTCTACCGTGAAGCATTGCTGGTTGCCTTCTTTCTCTGTATTGCATATTAGAGCTTTATTCCGAGTTTAATATGTCCATTTTGTTTTACTCTTGCTCTCATTGCATCCCAATTACTGCTAGAGCGACGGTAGGGTTATTATACTTATGGGTTCATTCGGTTTATTGCTTCTATATTAACATTAGATAGAGAAGAGAGAACACAGTAGAATAGCAGGTTTCTCTGCCTTCCTCCATGCATTCACTATATACTTCAAGGTCATGGAACATGCAAAGTACACTAACCCAGTCATTAAATCTTTTCAACATGGGAGATAATAAAATCGGCCTCACCTATCTCTCTGGGGGCTCAAACGAATGATAATGTTGGTCATACTCATGGCCCCTTTCGTCCAAAGGCAATTCCTCAAAATGGCCCTGGCCGTTATCATCCAAAGTCCACTTGCCACCAGCCAACTTATTCTTGTTTTTCCTCTTCTTATCCTTCTTGGGCTTTTTCTCAAACTCACTTCCTGGTCCAACGAGGAATCTTCCTGGATGAAAGATGTTTAATGCCAAAAGAGCTAGGAACATCGGACTTGCATCGAGGATGTAAAATGCATTTTCATTAGTGGCAATAGCTGAGTGAAGGCCGCCCGAGTATTCGACAAGTCGATAGATGATCCGGACGGTGATTAAGGCGAGAGTGGCATAAACTGTATAGAGAAGGGGTCTCCATGAGCTCCTGGGACACTCTCTTTGCTCGACGATGGCCATTTTGCTTTGAAATCGAACCGCAAGGCCAGCGAATATTAGGATGAATAGTTCCTGGAGGCCGATGCCGCCCATATCTATAGACGTTAGGAGCGAACGGGACATGGTTTGGGGGGTAAGGTAAACGTACAAAGGTCAATTCCGATCTTAATGCTACTTGGGGTATCAGAATTTAGAAGACTAGTCGAAGCTCCCTGCGTGAGGAAGGCGATGATATCCAGACAGACGAAGATGACTGTCAGCCTCCGTGCTGAGATACCGAAACATCTCTGGTCGGGGAGGAAGAAGTGTACCATGCGCCCGAGGACCATGTAGACATATGCGTTTATCCAGAGAGGAGCGAGAGCGATCAGGATATGATGTGGAAGACCGAATCCCTTTTGATATATGTCCTTTGCACCGGCTGCTCGTAGAGCATAGGCGATAGTTTCCCATGCACTACCTACAATGATAACCCAGGAGAATGGCTATAGAGGAGCCCGAGTCAGCCAATGTCACCTTATATGATTGGGATGAAGTGGTTTTCTTGCATGCCTTCTTGAATATAAAGGCCTGTATAACATGGGCTGCCGTGGTCAGGAAGAACAACACGGCAAAGAGAACCGCAGGCGCAAACGTCGGGCAATATTGCCATACCAAGTCATCATTGTTAACAAAATCAATTCCATCACATGAAGCCATTGTTAAAAGTTCTCTGAGATGAGTCACCGAACGATTCCATTGCCTTGAGATAGAAAGGGACGAAGATGAATATATACATCTTCATCACTGCAATGACAGCATAGAACAATGTCTACGTATTTGAAATCTCATATAGAGTCTTGAACAGGTTCTATTTCTAGAATTAAGCCTTTGGAGATTGGATTCTCGAAGTTATGCGAAGAATGCGAACCAATGCGATGTGCCCGTCAATCTGCGCCAGGGGGGGTAAATCCTTTGCTCTGATAGAACAAGACCGTACCAAGGTTACCCTTGCGTCTCTACCAAGAGATTCTTCCTGTGGGATCGAGAGAGAGAGCGAGAAGCCCACGCATGTTGCTGTCGTCACCATCCAGGTAGTCTATGCGGCTGAGGATGTGCGCGTTTCTCGTATAACTATTTAACTAGTTATTTAGTCAACTAGGTAGCTCCATATAGGCCAGAGTACTGGACACTCGCCATAAGACGCAGCCTGCAGTTCAACTGAAACAATGCCTGGTTTGTTGAAGGAGGTCGTAAGCTGGTTCATGGGAGAATCTGGCTGCCAATGTTAGTCCACTACGTGCAGGAACCGGAGAAGAGAGCCAACTTTGATATCAATTTCTCTCCTAAGATGCAGCTGAATATCGAATGCAACGTCATGCATTTTCAGAATACAAAGATAGAAAGCGAAACGAAAGACAACAACAGCCTGGAGCAAAGAACTGATGGTACAAATCAGTTTTTGGTCACTGATGGGAAGAACGAGAAGAGACAAGGTACAACAACTCGATAGGTTGATGTAAGGGATAAAAAAACGAGATAACTAACAAATGACAGCAATTTCTTTTCTTTTCGTAAAGCCTTCTTGGTTTCCTTTCGTTTCCATTGTTTTCTTTCTGCAAGGGGGTGGTTCCTTTCCGTCCTCCGTTGATTAGATTAAAAAAAACCATTTATCCTAGGCGAGCGCAGGAAAAAGGTAAAAAGGGGGCTGGAGAAGATAGAGAGATATTAAGGCACGTAATAATTCCGGTGTATCGGAACGCATGAAGAAGCCAATTTGAATGGATGTGTTTGCCAGTATGCGAATGCATAGTTTGGCAACCAGCTTAGAAATGCGAATATTGATTTGGATAAAAGGCCCGTATGCAGGCAAAAAAAAAAAAAAAAAACAGAGACATGAGAGAGGAAAAGAAGTTCACAGCCAAGGCACCCCAGGAAATGGCAAAGAGAAAATAAAAAGAAAAGAGTAAAAAAGTTATTGGCATCGATCGCATAAGAGGGGAGAAGAGAGAAAGAAATTAATAAAAACAAAAAAGGTACAGCAACAATCCCATTTCCCCATTCCCCAATCGCAAAAAGAGATAAGTGAAGGTTCAGGTCAAGTCAGCGCAAGAGTAGAGTAAGTGTGTGTGGGTGAGAGAGAGGAGAAAAAGCAAGAGAAATAATAGTAAAAAAAGGTCCACCAATTCCCATATTCTTTTCCATTTAATTATTCGTTTTCGTTCTTTTCGTTTCTCTTTCATTTTTTCGTTGTCGTTTTTCCTTTTTGATGATTCCTCAAAAACGTTTCCCCGGGTGGACATGGCATGGCATAGATAGTGTTATGCAGTGCTTTTGAAGCGTTATATTTAGTGGCCGTAGTTTCCGCCCCAGCCACCACCGCGGCCGTTGTTACCATAGTAGTTGCTGCCAAATCCAGCGCCGTAGTTGTTGTATGCCGTTGCCTGATGGTGGGATTGCGTAGTGCCGGCCTGATGAGCGCCCAGGCCTCCTAAACCGCTATATTGCTGGTTAAGGTGAGGGTAGCCACCAAAAGCTTGCTGGTTGGCTTGCTGAGCAGCGGGGACAGGTGGAAGACCACTTTGTCCCGTAGTAGCAGGCTGGTGTGGTGCATTATTAGCTGCGGAGCCAGGACGGTTGACATGCGATACAGATGGAGAGGGACCGCCGGCTTTTGAGGAATCATACGCTTTAGCGCTGCCTGTCTCGTCGGCATTGGTGGGCTGTTGCGACGGGATAGGTTGGTTCTGGCCAAATCCCGACTGGGTTCGACCAAAAACATCGGGAATGCCGCCGAAAGCATTGGCGCCGGTAGACTGCTGTTGCTGTCCATCGGCGGGTTGAGCGGAACCGGCTCGCCCATAGGTAGCAGAGTCACGTTGGGGAGCGGACTGGTTGAAGGCTGCAGTGTTGGCAGGGGAAGACTCATAGCCAAATCCGTGTTGTTGAGGCTGTTGGTTATACATCCCACCCTTGCCATAAGGGGCGTATTGGTTACCGTAAGCAAACTGAGATTGATGAGGGAGGTAGTGCTGTTGTTGCTGCTGCTGCTGCTGCTGCTGTTCCTCATATCGGCGAGCATCATCATACATAGGGCGGTTACGGCCATACTGATGCTGCTGATGCTGGGTCATCTGGTTCATATATGCGTTCGGGTAGTGAGGGTTAGAGTAGTAGGGGTATCCGTAGTTGAATCCAGCGTGTGCTCCCTGTGTCTGAGGCATGTGGTGTGAAGGCTGCTGGGCAGACTGCACTTGGCCCGGGACGACAGGTTGAGGGGTGTTTTGGCCGCTGTTTGGAGCTTCAGCATGGGCGTACCGGCCTGGAGGCTGAGAGGCAGGCACTTGAGGTTGTGATTCCGCTCCGCTTGCTGCAAACCCAGCTGCAGCACGCTGGTTGGCGGCGGGGTCCTGAGGCTGGCCATATGAGCTGTAGTAGTATGGGTTGCGAGATTGGTCAGCACCGTAGAAGGTAGAGTAATCGGCAGCGGTTGTGACAGCAGCAGGCTGAGAAGGCATGCCCTGGTTGGAGAAGGGTTCTTGGCTCTGTGGCTGGGCTTGTTGATCGGCTTGGTTGAATATATCGTATTGCTTCTGGGTCTCGCCGTACCGAGAGAAGTCGTTGAATGGGGTGTCAGCAGAGGCTACAGGGGCTGGAGGAAGGCCGGGGGCAGGTCGAGGGGCAGTGGCGGTGGGTTCAGGTACGGCCATGGGTCTGGTAGAAGGCGGAAGAGAGGCACGGGGGGCGACGGGGGAATGTTGGGGAGGCTGAGGGCGGGTTTCTGGTTCTTCTCTTTCTTCATCAATGTTAACATCATCAACGGATCCGTTCAGTCCCATGCTGCCGAATTGGACAGCAGCACGGTCGACTGCAAGGTTTCCAGGCATGACAACAGCTTCTTGCTGATCCATAACCCGGCGCTGAAAGTTTGGTCCCCGTGCGGAGCCGGTAGCGGGGCCCTTGGGATAGGCATAAGAGGTAGCGGGAGTGCGAGCTTGAGGTTGTTGCTTCTGTTGTGGGACAGATTCCTTTTCGATGTCAGTAAGAGCTTCAGTGTCAGGTTGAGCGGGGGTTTCAGGTTCGACAGGGACAGATACAGATGGAGGTGGTGGTTGCTGTGGTATGACGGGTTTAGGCTGTTCGACGGGTTTGGAAACTGGCTGTGGTGGTGGAGGCGGCTGTTGTTCGGGCTGCTGTTCTTCTTGTTCTTCAGTAGGGAGAGGTTCTGGTTCAGGGACGGCGGCGGGAGTTTCAGGAATACTGAGCTCGACAGGAGCTTCGGCTGGCTTTTCCGGGGCACTTGGGGCAGTAGGCAATGGGGGTTCCTTGACGGGCTCGGGAGCTGGCTTTGCGAACAGACTGGCCCATCCTCTCTTGGAACCTTCAGGGATCAAACTAGTCTTCTGAGATTGGTCTACCGCGGTCTTAGGAATCTCCTGGGAAGTATTCCATTCCGGCTGAGGTTTTGTCTCGATAGTAGGGGCATCTACAGGCGCTGAGGGCTCTACGGCACTAGAATCCCAAGCATCCGTGGTCGGGGTAGAGTGCTGATGCGTACCATTAGTCTGGGAAGGCTGAACGGCGTGAGAACCAGCTCGTCCACCACGGCCAGCACGTCCACGGTCACCACGGCCACGGCCACGCTGGTCGAACCCTCCGCGTCCGCGTCCTGCTCTAGGTGGAGGGATATTCTGCTCCCCTGAGACAGGTTGGGTGGCATCCTTGGAGCTGGTCTTTTGCCGAGTGCGGTCAGTGCTTTTCTTCTTTACCTCGCCCCACTGAGAGACGGTTCCTATCAATAAATTTTGTTTCAGTAAAAAAAGTACACCAGAGGGGAAATAGAATAGATAAACGGACCTTCTGTGATGCGCTCAATGGCAACCTCTAGGTCTCCGTTGGCGTCCTCCAGAGCGAAAACCAAGTCTTCATCCGTCCAGTCAGCGAAGAGTTCCTTTATCGTCGACAGGCTGCCGGCATGCTTCTTCTTCAGTTGGCCGATCTCTCCTTCGTCTTCATACGAGGCTGTCTGGTCAGCGGTCTCCTGGCTGGCAGGTTTTGCTGTCGACCTGGCGCCGCCCCGTCCTCTGGAGATGTGGCCACCCCGTCCACCACGCGCTGAGCCGCGCCCACGCGAGGCAGACGGCCTTGATTGCACCTCAGACATGGCTAAGGAATGATGTAAGAAGAAGCAAACGCTACCGGAAAGCGTGAATGTTGAGCGGGCTGCAGAGATGCAGCAGGTCGTGTGAGGGCAAGAGTGTTTCCCAGAATGAGGTTTTTTTTTTTTCTTTTCGACGGCCAAAATCAGCCTTGGACGAAGCACAGCCTCTCGCACCAGCAGGCGGGCAGAGGAGCGAGATAATTCAGGACGGTGTAAAGAGAAGAACAGCGATGTAAAAGAAGAAGAGGAGGAGGAGGATGAAGTTTTGAAGCTGGAAAGATCGAAAGATTCAAGAAAGATTCAAGATGTTCGTTTTTTGCTTTTTGGGGCAAGTTTTCGCGATGGCGGAGAAACCTTTATCCGTTACGCGAGTTGACGTCGAAGGTTGAAGATACAGAGAGAGATGAAGGATGTGAAGAAGATACAGAGAGGAGGACAAGAGAAGATACAGAATACAGAGAGATAGAGGGAGCTGATGAGGGACGGGAGACGCTGGACGACGCCGGATGACGCCGGTCCTGATATGAGACAGTGATTATTAAGACCACCACCAAGAGACCAGAGACATAACGGACGACGGACAAGATGAAGATACGATATTTCACCTCGCTGGCCAGGAAGATACATCCACCACTTCCCAAGACCTCACGCGAGTCCCAGCAGCTGCTTAACCTGCTCACTTCATCGTTTCGTCGCCACCTTGACAGCGAGCACCCTCCAGTCAATACCTTGACCAGCAGCGGAAACGACGCCAGCCAGGACTGCAGCATTGCCAATACACAGCCTACAGCCACTGAAAAACATTTAAACTCGATCCTGGAGCATCCCTTGTTCAATACGGTCCCGTCGACGCTGGCACAGCCGGATACTCACGCACGAAAGCGTACTCTGGTTGGGAATATACAGAATGACCCCTTCGGTGCACTGGACGATGCCATGGCCTCTGGCAGAGCGGACTGCCAGGTACTACACAACTGTCTCAAGGCGCATAGGTCGTCTCTGCGCAGCTTACATGCCACGGATGTCCTTCAAGCCATGAAGAAGTCTGGAGGTGGCCCACGCATCGTCTCCTGGTTCCTCGGTGCCGATGCAGAGTCTAAGAAACGTTTCTTTGGAAATCGACACACCATGGCCCTAGCAATGCCATATCTTGCAGCAGACGGCCTGCAGCGTACTGTGCTAGAATGGTTACAGCTTGCCAGAGCATATCGGCCCACTCACCGGCAACCTAAACACGCTAATGACGGCAGTTTCCTCGAGTTCAACATCATGTACGAGTACGTTGCTGCAGAAGTCAAGTACGGCAAAGGGATCAATGATGCGCTATCCTTTTTCATACGGGCCTCAGACGCTTCGTGGAGGTCAGAGATAGTCGAACCTGGCGCTCAGGCGGTTCCCACATACCCTTTCCGCCCAACCGCATACTACCTTGCCCAGTGGATTTTAGCCCCAGAACATGCGTCAGCGGTTGAACGGATCAGGCCACAGCTATTCAACGCCTTTCACTCCATCTGCCTCTTACTACCTAATCAGCTTTGGGCGGCCTTCTTACCCGTCTATCATCCCACCGACCCAACTGTTAAATCTTCACTTGAATATATCCGCCAATACAAAAAGTCAGATTGCGATAATCTTGACCGTCTGCTACATCTTTCATTCCGGCTTGCATCGTTGTGCCTTGAACAGAAACGTTACGCTGCCGCTTCGGAGGTCATTAGCTTTACGAAGGGCCTCTTGCCAGATGATACGACGATCCACCCTACTGCAGACAAGCAGCATAACGATCAGGTGTTTTCTGCTAGTGATGTTGTCGCCAGGCTATCTCTCACATGAATAGGTCGGAATTTTGTTCCTTTCATTATCATAACTTCCACGGAGATGCAGCCTCTTTACAGCCAGCGTATCCCATCATGGCAGATCGCTGATATCACACGGCATCACATCTCTTACTTTCCCAGGTATGCCTTCTCCCCGGCATCCGCATAGGCTCGAACTAGATGCCTCCAGCCTCAGTGGCAAGCCGTTGATAGGCTGTTACTAAGACCACTGCCCACTCATTCTCCATGGGGAATTTTTTTACATGTACAGAACATGTTTCAGGACATTGTATATAGTCTCTGCTATCCATACAGTCTCCGTCAGGTATCCGGCAACTTGACTCTTATTGAAAATGTCATCTTATCTTCTCACGCAGGCTTCTCTCATCCGCTTATCCCAGCTGAAAGAGTCTGGCCAAGCATCGACCAAGGTACTAGACCTTGGTATAACCACAGAAGAAGACAGGGAAAAGAAAATCAAGTCTTGTCCCTGGTTCTTGGACAAATTCATTATGTCATAGGCGCAAAAGAAACGTCAGCTTCAACCGGCTATTTTACACTTTTCCTTCGCCCGAACCAGACTTATATCTCCATATATCGCCTTCGCTCTCTTCATCTTTCTTCCCTCTCTTTCGTTCTTTTTCTTCTCTCTTTTTTTCCCCTCTACCATCATATCATGGTCATCTTATCTTGTCCCTATGCAGCCTCTTCCTGATGTGTTTCACCGATAAGACGACCTCTCTCCATCTACCGATCGAATAACACCACATTCTAAGTCATGGCCAAATCATCTGGACTTCCCAAGTTTCCTGCTCCCTCAGCTTCCCAGGCCGAAGTAGACACCTTTCTACATGAATGGGTAGCAGCAAAATGGCAGGTTCCGGTTTCGAGTCCACAGGTTCAGGGCATGTCGTTTCCCTTTAAAGGAACAGGAGCGACGCTATACTCTCTCACCCAGGAGGAAGTGCAGGCCGTGGTGGGAAATAAAGCACTGGGAGACGCTCTATATTATTCCTTGTGTTATGATTCTCCCTACGGGAGTGTAAGCCGACTTTTGCTAGGGAGCACAGTATATATTTTTGCCAGCCACACTCGACAACTGACTTTGAACGATTCTGTATGTATAGGTGGTGAGAGGCAAATACGCCTCTGTTGTCTCTGGACTTTCGAACGCTGCTAGATCCTTTGGACCGTGGATTCATGGCTCTCCAACGACGCCGACGTCCTCATCCATACATCCGCCGCATGCCCTGGAGTCAGCTAAAATGCCGGTAGAGGAGCCTTATACTAGATCAAACACGTCTTCTATAAGTCGGGGCGAGAAAATAGGAACTCGCTGCCTCTCGCAGAAGCCCAGTGCTCAATATCTCAATAAGTTCTATGTGAAGTAGCTTCTTCCACTCTACGATAGCAGCTCGACCATCTATATGATCCAATTTTACTTCATCAGCAACAGTTGCCAGAGCTTTCGCTCTCCAACTTTCTTTCAACATTACACAAAGCCACAAGTCTAGATTTTTTTTTTTTTTTTGCTTTGGAGTAGCTATGTAACTCACAGTCCAGATATCAACACTTGTCAGGCAAAGCCTTTCTCGCTTACCTGTGACCGTGGGTTTAACTATAATGAGGGAGCAGTTCATGGATATGCAGGCAAGCCGGCGCCTCGTATTCATCGCTTGCTCGTTGGCCAGCCCTCTGCATGATATATATCTGCTTGGGTAAACCTGGCAGCCAGCCTGGGGAAAAGAAAAAAAGGACGCGACGGCGACAAGAGAGGGCGAGCTTTGCAAGGGCGAAAGCATGGATCCAGGATGAACGGCCAACTTCAAGTCTGCCACACAACATCAACTTCTTCTTCTTCTCTCTCCCATCCTCTCCTCTGTTTCATATCTTTCTTCCTGTTTGCTTCCTCGAGTCTCTGTCTAGCTCGTGGTGTCCACGGAGTATACATCTCCAATTGCTGTCGGTGCATCTAACTATACAAGCCCATACATCGCCACGGCAGCGGCGCGCCATCTTGATCATGTCGAGTGAAGGAGCCGATGCGACTGCAAACATCCAGACGAACCAAGATGGCATTGGTGCGTGTTTCCCGCTTGATGTACCCTTCTCTTTGTTCCTGTCGGTTGGTTTTGATCTACCGTTGTGGTCTACTGTTGTGGTCTATATGTGTTTGGCCATGCGTATCTGCAGCTATTGAACTAACGAAGCTCATCTTGTAACTCCAGCCCCAGCCGCCGCCACGCAGACATCTGCTACCAGCACAGATGTGGAAAAGCTAGAGAATACCGCAAATGGTGATGATACGCCGGCACTTGCTGATAGTACCGAGAAGCCGGCAGTAGAGACAAAATCGGACTTGCCGGCCGACGACCAGACAGAAGAATCCAAAGAAGACCCCAAGGATGAGTCCAAGGATGTGACCAAAGAAGAAAAGGAAGCTGGCGACAAGCGTGACCACGCTACCATGTCTGCCGCTGAGCCGGCTGCAGCTACCGATGAAAAGGACGAAAAGGAAGAGTCCAAGGCCGAGTCCAGCGAGCCGGCGGAAAAAAAGCAAAAGGTCAAACAGGCAGACGAACCGGCTGCAACTGAAAACGGCAACGCCAATGGTAATGATAATAACAATAACCATGAGGCCGTGAAGAGAGGACCAGGCAGGCCCAAGAAGTCCGGAGGAGCTTCAGCACCACAGAAGAAGAAGACGCCAACAGCACGCAGCTCCGACGGAGTTGGAAGCAGAACCAGAAGCCGTCGATCCCAGCCTGATGCCTGAAGTTGATCTCAAGGGGATTTAAAGGAAAAAAAAACAAGCCAACTGTTGCAGCAAGCCGTCTGCAAGACATCTGCATTCAACGACATGTGCTTTACCTCTGACCTCCGTTAGACTGCTACAAGTCCGTGTTTATCTTACTATGTTTTATTTCTACCCTTATGATGTTAACTGTCTCGGCGCAGGATGGAGGTAGGAGGTCTGGTTAACGGAAGGCAAAAGGGACCATGGACAGGATTCTTTGATCATGAATCCTACACGTCGAGTGTACAATAAACGAGTTTAGTTAAATGATCATTTACTCGTCCAAAAAAAAAGAAAAGGGAAGAGAGAGAAGGAAATGTACGAAGCCTCGTCAAGGAGGCCTACAACAAGACTATAACAACACCTCAGCCGGCGCAAAAAGACCAACGCTCACTGTCCATATATACACGTAGATGAACCTTGACGCAGACGTCCACAAGGACGCGCTTCGTCTTCTCTTCCTGCTCATATTAACACCCGCCTGAAAATACTCGGAATGATAAATTATACTACGATGTTGACGGCGAGATGGTCCTACTCTATACTATCGACTCCGTTGGACTCCAGACAAGAAAAACAACCTGCGACCGCGACTTCTACTAGTCTCGAGCGGTTGGTAAACCACTGACTAGATTGATAACCGAGTAATCAGTTAACTGTTTGTTTGTTTAGTTAAGGCAGAGTCGACAACAGAAGTGACGGAGCCCTCCAGTTTGCCTACCAAAGCTCGAATCTACCGGGGCGATCATGGGCTTCTTCCTTCTCCCCAACTTCACCTGCGACACACCCGTTGATCTTGATCTTGATCTCTCCTCTCTAGCGTCTATCGTATGGAACCCCTGGTCTCCGCCAGAATCCGAGCAACCGAGCAACAAGCCGTAAAAACTAAATAAACCGACCGAAAAAAAACTCCAAGTCGGCCAGGCACCGGGGAAAGGAAGACAAGAGAAAATCGAACAAACGAAGACGAAAAGCAAAGCTCGAGGGTTCAAACGGTGGATTCTTCCGTCTCGATCGATCGAATAATGGATTAAAGGCGGCCGTCTCTCTCCGTCGCTCTCACTCTCTTCCTGTCCGAGTATCCAACAAGCACTTTATGCCCGAGAAACCAACCACGATAGCAGCCTACGCTGCAGGTGCTTCCTTAGCTGCCATCACCCTCTTCTACGTTTTCGGGCCTAATTTCACCATTGACGGCGAAGATTCCAACATTAGTGGGCGCAAGAAGGGCATCGTTGGCCTGTCCAACCCGGCCAATGACTGCTTTATCAATTCTGTTCTACAGGCCCTAGCTGGCCTAGGCGAGCTGCGAGTATACCTTATCCGCGAACTACACAAGCGAGACCTAGAAGGCGCTGAAATATATGATGCATTGCCACCGGTGGAGGAGCTGAGATCCGGCGAGGTTGCGGAGAAGGTGAAGAAGTTGCAGCTTGCGCCGGTGACGAGGGCGTTGAAGGACATGCTCGATGGACTGAATGAGCGGCCGATATACAAGAAAACAATATCTGCTAGGGGATTCGTGCACGCTCTAGAACTTGCGTTTCATACAAGGATAAGCAGGAACCAGCAGGATGCGCAGGAGTTTTTACAGGTCGTTGTTGAGCGTCTGTGTGATGAGTATCATGCCGGAGTGAGGGCGAGGAAGCGAGCGATGAAGCACATTGCCGCTCCTGTGCCCATGGCCGATGAAGATGCAGAATTGCCTCGAGAGGCCGTAGACGGTGAAGATGCGAACACTACCCCGATGATAGAGCTGAGCATGCAGGATGGCAGTTCCAAGCCGGTGGTTGAAGCCGAATCAGAGGCTGGCTTCCCGCTCGAAGGAATGCTCGAATCCCAGATCGAGTGCGAGCACTGCAAGTACAAATATAAACCAAAGCAGACATCCTTTGTCAACCTCACCTTACAGGTGCCCCAGAAGAGCTCGGCAACCTTGAGCTCCTGTTTCGACGGGCTGTTGAAAACAGAATATATCGATGACTTCCGCTGTGAAAGATGCCAGCTCGTCTATACCCTTGAGCAGAAATGCAAGGCACGGTCTCGCGCCTCGTCAGAGAACACGGGAGAGTCTCTGGATAACGAAATAGCACTTCTCAAGCAAGCTATCGAGAATGACCCCGAAATAATCCCTGAAGGCGTCACTATGCCCAACCCGTCAGAGGTCCCTCGTCGCAGGATAGCAAAATATATGCGAATCACGGTGTTCCCAAAGGTGATTGCTATTCACCTCTCCAGGTCAATATTCGATCATGCTTTCTCTACCAAGAACGCAGCAAAGGTCTCGTTCCCAGAACGCCTGGCGCTGGGGGGCTTCCTGGAGAAGAAATGGTACAAGCTTCTTGCTATCGTCTGCCATAAGGGGAGCCATAACAGCGGCCACTACGAGTCCTTCAGACGGAATCACGTCTACGCACCCTTTTCAACACCGGATGTTTTCCGTTCATACGCCCAGAGCCGCGCCCAGAGCCAGAATCCCTCTACCTTCCCTAGCCCACGGATAAATTCCTCCCCGTCAAAGCAAAACACAGGCGACATGACTCCTCTAAACATATCACCCGTATCCCAATCTCCGTCCACCACCGCATCAACAGTCTCCTTCCCGGTCGCCGGAGGCACCGCAACAGACACAACCCCTTCGATCCCCTCCCGGCCTGCCTCAGGTCAAGCATCTCAGCTATCGTCCAAACCATCACATTTACAGTCCACATCTGGGGCTCAACCCAACACCCCAGACAGAGCTCCTTCTACTTCCTCATCCTCCATAAGACGACATATTGACGCAGCTTTACCCGGCGACCTTCTCTCTCCACGCCGCGATCCAACTGTCAAGCGAAGCAAACCAGCAACTCCCACACCAGACGCGCCACCGTCATCGTCTTCCAGATTCCGGTGGAAGAAAAAACCCAGTGAACGCTGGTGGCGTATTAGCGACGAGAGAATCAGAGAGTGTAAGACCAGCGACGTCCTGAACATGCAGAAAGAGGTCTACTTGCTATTTTACGAATTAGAGCGCCCTAGCGACGATTCATGATACCTTATTGTTTGGCTCCTCATTTTTATATGGCGTTTCGCCCCACTGTTTACGGTCTCTTCATGTTGAGCGCCTGTTAGCATTTGATATAAGCATCAAACATCGGAAGAAACCTATATATACCGCGTGAATGGAGTGTCGACTTGTATATAACTAGATAGGTGAACACCGATTAGATACAAGACAATCATAGACAGAATCGCATTGTACTCTTCTGCATTACGGTGCTATAATATTGAGGCTGGTGTTAAACGATATCTTGGTTCCAACAAGCAATTGAAAGAGCTCATCTTAGCTTCGCCTACTAGCCATCAGCCCTGCGTAGAAGTGCGAAGGAAAAGAGAGGAGGTTGTTTATATCGGACTCGCTCCGTCTCTTCCAAAAAGGAAAAAGGCTAGCCGGCGGAACAGCAAAGCCAACACTGCAGCGTGATATTCCTCCATGCAGCAATGAGACGAATATATACGGATATCAAGCCTACATAGTAGGCAGGATAGGCTCCTTTATACTGTGGAATTGGAGTAAGATATGTTGGATCCTATTAAGTACCTAAAGAGAGATGTAACTATAGGCCATCGGGGCAATAATAATGGCACTAACCCACAATCGCCATATGTACGAGGCCCAGATGATTAGATCAACTGTTTTAATAACCAAAGGATATGGATAAAGACGCTTCCCACCTTGCAGAATCCAAAAATCTCGATACCACCTGTCCATCGATTCCTTATAACGGTCATTCAGCAAATGTGACTCGTTCTCTTGGGTAATAGAATCTAGCGACGGACCTTCAGCGCGCTCAAACAAGAATGCAGTCTTTCCAGATGCTTTTACAGCATGCACATCTCTGGAAACCTGCACTGTGCCTTTTCCACCGGATATCCTCAGGGTCAAGGCCATTCCCAAGATTAAGCCACTTCGTTATGACCAGAGCAAGCCTGTTTTTTTCAGAAACCCTTATCTCCACCCGGTAGTCAGTATGACAAGCCCGGCAGGTGAAAATATCCGGCTCATCGGGAACCCCATGCAGTCTAGATGTGTTAAAAGGCTGACCTTACCAACGTTGGTGGAATTGCTTTCCCGCCATCCATGTTAACGTGATCACAGACAGATATAAATCTGGTCTTCAAAATGAGTCTGTCTATACTTCGAGCTCCTACCAGCGCCCAGTTTTGGATCTGCAGACACAGACACGGGCCATCGCAAGTTCGAGCCTCCATAGACACTGGAGTGGTAGTAGATGTTTCCTGATCAAAATGGGCTTCAGTGAAGAGAAGGGAATCCGCCGATATACCATGTGCTGGCCCATAATAATATTGCAGCATGGCGAGCTGCAGATGGAATAATTTAAAGCAGTACTGAGTTTCGTATCTTGGATGCACATTGGCCTCGCGGATAGTCGGGGCCGCTCCTCGATGTAGACGGAATGTCCTGTTGGTTCTGTATGCCGGCCCAGAAGGGTTGACATAGTCCCTAAAATGGAGAACAGAGCAGATATAGCAGAAAAATTACGACGGAAGATCGCGTTGGAGCCGCTTTAAAAAGCGTTCCCGGTCCCTGGGAAGAGTATCTAATGTATCCCACACGCCACGGCTAAGGATAGATAGGTTCCTATGATTACATAGTGCTAGGCAGGCCACATCAACTGGTGAGAGATGGCTTGTAATCATATATATAACCTCTGTTGGAAGTCTTATTTGGGCTATTGTCTGTCGGTTCCTGGTCGTCTTCCATCACGGTGTGATAAGGGTATATAGAGAATTTAAATATATGAATCAGATCCAAAACTTAATTATGGTATTAGGGAGCCGGATTAAATGGCTTACTTGTAAAACAAAGTCCCGAATATCAAATATCAGGTTGGAGGCCTTTTTTTATATATTCTCGGACGTCGTCGGATTTCGGGTGGTGTCAACTTCGGCCCGGGAAAACGGAGTCACATTATTGGTCAGTTGATATTAGTCATCACGATAGCTTTATATTGATAACAATACCGTTACGATTTACACATGTGGATGAATGTTAGGAAAGCGAAGAAATCCTTGAATGATTTCACATCACCGAGCCGTAAGGGGTATATACATGATATCTCCTGCGGTTGGTCAATGGTGGCAAGATGGGCCACACTGCTACGTTCCCATAACACATCACCAAAGCGCATATGGTTGGTATAGTTCATATCTCCTGATCATTTGAGATATTCGGTAGCTGATAGTTTGTATGAGCTTTTAAGGAAATCTCGTTGGAGGTAGAGAGGTTCATCGAACTTGAAGTGTTCTGATGGGGTACCCTCTATCTTTGCCAGTTGTGAATAGACAGCCACAAGCCGTACATACGCTATACCCGCAATAGTTTTGTATAACTATGGCCATTCTTTAACAATAACACTTCCTAACTTGGCTTTCTATTTCTGACATCATTGTAGGTGAAACGATGTTTTTTTAATTGCCGCTATAGGGCAAAATGCCTTATTCACGCGCAACATCAATGACCGAAGGTCTCTCCCAGCTCAAACGGCCTGCCACTGATGGATCTGTGGGGTATGCCGTAGGGACCGTCCGTCTATCGAGAGACGGGATAATCAACTTTCTTCTGACAGACGAAATCAGATCAAAGCCTGTCCAAACACCTGATGAGACTTCTCTCCACACGTCGAGATGCACGCCGCTTATCTTCGGTATGTTCATATAATATCCGTCACCCACGCAGACGCGGGAACGGTGGAGAGGACAAGGAGCGGCGAAAGGGATCGAAGAGCTTGGGTGTTTGGGGAGTCGGAGAGTCAGCGTCCGGCTTGAGGGAGGTGGCCAGTCCTTACTATGTATGATGCCGTACTATGTATACTACCGACTCGCCGTGTTAGGAGTTGATAATGATAGAGTATAGCACATAGATCTCAGAAACGAACAAGTTATATATCAGAGCAACGAAGCAACGACGCAAAAGGAGTGAAAAGGAGCAAAAAGGAGGACGCGGGGAATATCGGAATTGCGGGCGTGGAAGAACGAAAAACGTCGGCATATTTTTTTGTTGGGCGAAGGATAAAAAAGAATATATATGACGAAACCAAAAACAAGGAGATACAAAACCAACGATTTCTCTCCCTCTTTCACTTGTTTTATATCCAGTTCGCCGTCACCAAGTCTCTGCTCTCGCTTCGCATCTTGACTCTACCACCAAAAGCTCTCCAGGTACGTTGTGATGTCTTTGCCCGCGCCGTGCTTCTCTTTCTGCTCTGCCCCGCCATAGTTGGAATATGTAGCGCATTTGCCGTGGCGGGGTTTTATTTCCCTCACTCTCTTCTCTGCCTCGACAGAGAGGAAGAAAATATTCACTTTGGGATTTATTTCGTTATAAATACCATCCTGATTGACCGTTGGGGTTGTCTAACCAGTCATTCTAGACAGAAAAAAGAAGAGAAAAAATGGGTGTCCAGGAAGTTCTCTCCCGCAAGTCCGGCGTCATCGTTGGCGATGACTGCCTCAAGCTCTTCGAGTACGCTCAGCAGCACACCTTTGCCATTCCTGCCGTCGTAAGTCCATCGTTGGCTACAGGAGAACTGTTTTGTAGAAGGGATATGGCTGACGATTGTACTCTGTCGTCTAGAATGTGACCTCCTCATCCACTGTTGTGGCTGCTCTCGAAGCTGCCCGTGACAAGAACTCCCCTCTCATTCTCCAGATGTCTCAGGGTGGTGCTGCCTACTTTGCTGGAAAGGTGAGCTGTACACGGAGACCAGGTACTTGACTGCATGGTGTTTCTGACGTTTGGATGTCCAGGGCGTTGCCAACGGTAGCCAAGAGGCCTCTATTGCCGGTGCCATCGCTGGAGCTCATTACATTCGTTCAATTGCTCCTAGCTACGGAATCCCAGTTGTCCTCCACACCGACCACTGTGCTAAGAAGCTCCTCCCATGGCTCGACGGCATGATGGACGAGGATGAGAAGTACTTCAAGCAGCACGGCGAGCCACTCTTCTCCAGCCACATGATCGATCTCTCCGAGGAGGAAGTCCAATGGAACATCGACACCACCGCCAAGTATCTCAAGCGTGCTGCCCCAATGAAGCAATGGCTTGAGATGGTATGTATCTCCTATGCATTCACCTCAAAAAACCAGAAATCTTCTAACAGCCGGACAGGAAATTGGTATCACCGGTGGTGAGGAGGACGGTGTCAACAACGAGGATGTTGACAACAACTCCCTCTACACTCAGCCAGAGGACATCCTCAACATCTACAACACCCTGGCCCCCATCAGCCCTTACTTCTCCATTGCGGCTGGTTTCGGAAACGTTCACGGTGTCTACAAGCCCGGCAACGTCAGACTTCACCCCGAGCTTCTCTCCAAGCACCAGGCACACGTCAAGGAGAAGACTGGCTCTTCCAAGGACAAGCCCGTCTTCCTTGTCTTCCACGGTGGCTCTGGATCTACCAAGGAGGAGTACAAGGAAGCCATCAGCTACGGTGTCGTCAAGGTCAACTTGGACACCGACCTGCAGTATGCCTACCTCAGCGGTGTCCGTGACTACGTCCTGACCAAGAAGGACTACCTGATGAGCGCTGTTGGCAACCCAGACGGTGAAGATAAGCCCAACAAGAAGTACTTCGACCCCCGTGTCTGGGTACGTGAGGGTGAAAAGGCCATGTCCAAGCGTCTTCATATTGCATTCGACGACTTCAACACCACTAACCAGAAATAAAATGGTGGAATGTGCCAAAAGTCTTCTATCAAGTACATACTTTAAACTAGTTTACCCCAGCTTTTTTTTATAAGATATTTCAAGCATCATGCTGAATAATTTTTTCACAAACATACTCCGTACTCGTGACCTCACCAAATTCCCCGATCCGGTAACTATAGCGTGTCGAAATTGGGTAAGGCGCCTTCTACTAGTATGTAGTACGAATTAATTTCAAGTTTAATCTTTAAAAAGAAGAATATATAATGTGAATCTGCATTTAGATATACCAGTAATTTTAGGAAGCAGAGAAAGAAAGCTTGGAATTGCCAAGGGCGGATATGGCCTTTTCAATTTTATACTATAACTAAGCTATAGGTTGTCTGTTTTCTCCTACGGCCTCCTATGCCTTATAGAATATGGGAAAGGCGGTTATAGTATGGGAGAAGAGGAGAGGCTAAGGGGTAGGTGGTTTACGTAGTGAACTCCTCATAGTCTTTGACTGCATATGAGTATAATGAAGAAGAATAATAATAATAAGGGGTAGGTGGATTAGGCTAAAAGATTGATTAATGTTAAAATAGAAACATGAGCCTGCAGCTTTAATAAAATTGACTCTCTCTTCAAACAGACTTCACTTTTCATAGAACTGAGGAAAGCCGAAGACGTCGACTGAAGCTTTCCATATCCTGTTAAGCACTATTCTTACGCGAGAATACTGCTCTGACCTGCCTTCTGCCATACCGAATCTGCGTATGGACCGAAGACAGTCTAACTGGGACATAAAATTACCATCTCCATTAAAGATTGCACATGATTCCTCAAAGCCGTCCACTCCTCGACTGCTCCAGGTAATTTTACGGGCAACAACGTCCCATTCGATCTTGCCATTAAATCGTAAAGTCCCAGATTCGATTGTCCTATGCATACGTATAATTAGATAGATTTTATAATACTTAGAAGAAAATACATACCGAAATAGACATATAAATTTTTTGGTTCCATGTAGTTGACGTAGGCATTTTTTAATAGCCTCTGTTTTGTTTTGTAGCGGAGTAAAATCTTTAAAGGTAGCATCGCGAATTGACTAAGCCATATTAGCATATATTTTACTAGAAATATTGACAGATTAATGGATTACACTTACTCTGAAGCTGAGGGTGAGATGTGGAACTTTTACAAATTTCCAAGTTCCTTTAAACCCTTTCATTTCTTCACCTTGATCTCCGGAAAGAAGAGTCCTTGCTGACGAGTCCACAACAAGACCACTAGGACTTACTGCGGCGCGATGGCCCCCATCTGAACTATTCTGAAAAATAAAGTCCGCGCCCTCTATACACTCACAAACAAAAATTGTGAACGACGTGCACAATCCATCGCCGCTTTCCCATAATGGGACAAGTCTGACGGGATCGATATTATCCAGCGCGTGATCTAGTATAGATTTATCCCAAGTCCCGGATGCAACGAAATCATCCCAGGATCTATTGGAGATTTCTATTAAGAATTGAAGCATGAAAAAGGATGTATAGGCTGACTCCTGCCATGCCTTTGCGTATACTGCCTTTGCGTTCATAGTAGACGATTTCGTGGCACAATAGACGAGCCTAGATCATGTAGCGCTAGTATTAATAGGCTATAATAAGTTGACAGAGGATGTGAAGGAAGGAATAAAAAGAGAATGCTTACAGGTGGAGAAAAAGGTTGTATGGTAGAGTGTTGGCCGGGTATATAGCAGTCGAGACGCGTTAGGGGAAAACAAGTCGACGTGGTAAATAGCGGTGATGTTACAGTTATGGTAGCTGAGATTAGAGGGGGGAACTTGTAGTATTGCAAAAGAAAGAAATATGAGATTAGAGGGGGGAACTTGTAGTATTGTAAAAGAAAGAAATAAACAAAGTAGTCGATACACAACACGAACTAGTACGGCAAAGGAAGCTAGAGGGTGAAAACACAACATTGCATAACTAGCAGGAGAAGGAAAGGACATTGTAAAGTAAGCAAAGCGGGAAGCACATAGTAACCCCGTCACTTCTTTTCCTTAATGGGTATTCATATCCTGGGCTGACAGCATCAGTTCTTCCTCATAGGCAATATCGCTGCCATCATCGTATGGAATTGAAGGGCCTCTAAAATCTTATAAAATAGGTTAGTTAAACTGTCTATAGAAAGAGAAGTTAAAAAAGTAGCCTACTCTTATGGCCGAGCTCTTTATCAAGTGCATCGTGTTCCTCCTTGCTCATATCATCAAAATGAGCTTGTATAGAGTCAAAATCGAGTTGTGCTAGAAACTTGGCGTCTCTCTTTGGATGAGGTTTTGGGGATACATTAGAATTTACAGGAAGTTTTGTTGGCCGGGAGGACATTGTAATCTTAGCGCTGGTAGTAGCCTTCGAGGGCGAAAGAGAGGTAGTGGTAGACATTGTAATCTTAGCGCTGGTAGTAGCCTTCGAGGGTGAAAGAGAGGTAGTGGTAGACATCGTTCTAGTTTGCAGTAAACGGGTTGGATAGTTAGTTGAGAAGGAAAAACGAATGGCTTATAAAAACGAAAAAAATTGTTTGAAGGTCGATGACGTCATTAGGGAAATGTGGTTCTCGCTGACTAACCGTAACTAAATAATCCAGTCATGTGATAATGACTGAGCTGGTGAAGTAAATACGGCAAATATCATAAATTTCAATAGCCCTAGGACAAATATAAGGGAAGACCTCATATTCTCTAAGATCTATCTTAACCAATCTATATCCCTCTTCAGAAACGCGGTACTATTGATAACTATAAAAAGACCCCTGTTAGTCGGTTATATCCTAATTCTCATGTGGTGATAAAACTGCTATCTATTAAAAACCTCACTCGGAAGGCTACATAAATTGCGTCCAAAGGCCACCACCTGTGTCAGTGAATTTGGTGACACCTCTATTTACTCCGTACACATGCTCTGTACAGAGTACACTGATTATGCATGAATTTGCGAAAGAGGTTTGCCCGACAAAGATTATTATTACTCGCTGGGGTGGTTGGCTTGCAATCTGAGACAGGGTTCTATAAATAAATACCCCATTATTATTTAAGTCTGACATAGTAGGCGATCTTATATACATCATCCGGAGTGCCCCGTGGAAATCCCATTAATCCTGTACTCCGTAAACTGCGGTGTATATGTTATTCTGCGGAATTAATTGGGTTATTTTGGTTTTCAGATTAACTTCAAGGATCAAATTCTTTCAATACTAAAAGGCTCAAAGTTGATATGTATAACCACAGAAAAAGAAAGATGGCTCACAACCGCAGCCAGGGGAATGTTTTTGCAGCCAAGGGGCGGGTGGGGATAAACATGAAAGAACAACAAGCGTTTATCGCAATGGCATCGAAGCTAGAGATGCCATATAGACGCCCTTTAATCCCTTGAAAACAGCCTTAATCATAATCATGCTTAGACCAGCCCTTCGCTGTCAGCAAAGAGTACGGAGTACATGACTCCGTCCTCTGCAGGAACAGTGCCACCTGTGCCTTTCGGAGGCAGTTCCAGGCATCAAATACGACGATGCTAAATAACAGGTGCGGGCGTTAAAACGGAGAGAAGCTATCGGAGCGCTTACTTTGTCTGGAGTATATGGAGTCGACGGGAAGGGTTTATGTTCGGTTGTAGCGATGCGATGGGGCAGCAAGGTGGACCAAGCGACACTCCCTCCTTGCATTGCCTGCAGGTCGATTTGCTGGCTGCCCTGAAAAATCAGTATAACTATGCACATTTACTGGTCAGAAAGGATGTTAGGCTCAGGGGGAAGTTTTGCTTCAAGTCAACCAGGGACACTGGTGGAACAGCCAACACAATTCAGCAACCATCAACCAGCATCCAGCATTTCCCTACTGGAGCAAGAAAAAAATACTAATAGTCCTTTCACTAGGCCCGACCCTAGGCCAGTGGAGTCAACGGCCAGCGAAGGGCCAGAACGAACAGCGTCTGGCTTGCTTGGGTGTGGGCTTGGGGGTACGTACATGTAGGGCTGCTCTCCACCTCGCCCTTTGCAATCCCGTTTCTCCCAGCGTCTTCCTTGTTTCTACAGACGCCACGAGAAAAGTGTCTCTCGCTTCACTCTTCTGTGTCTTTTGGAAAGATATAAAACATCTAGCTGAAGGAGAAAAAAAAGGGAAAAAGGTGAGGGAAAGAAAGGTCACGGGGTTCGCCGTATGTACGACTACCGAAAAAAAGGAAAACGACGTCTCATCCATCAAGAATCACCATAGCATCAACGAGCAGATCTGTGTCTTTCTTTGCTTTTTTTTTTCAGTCTTTTTTTTTTTTTTGAACAGCTGTCTACCCGCCAATAGCTGGCGTCTAGACCTGGTGCATCGCCTGTATTGCTTGTCCCCTCGTTTCATCTACCTTATCTTCTTTTTCTTTCAGCTTTCTTCGCTTTCGAACTGCAAGATCAGCTAGGAGTCTCATTGAACCACCACCTCGACTCAAGATACAGCTGCCTCTCGGGACGTTTGCTTGCATTCGACGCTTTGAACAATGACCTGGCTGGTCTAGGGGCATCGGTTCTCACACTCTTTTGGACAACTGCAGCTTCGCCTGGCCTGCGGACGTTGGACCAAATCTATCTCATGTCTATTCCCGCCGTCTTACGTTCCGCATAGATCCGCGATTTGAACCGAATAACCAGCGGATTTCATCCATATATTCTCAAGATGGTTAGGGGAATCGCACCGCGTGATGCACCTCCTTCTGGTGCCGAAGAGTTTTTGAAACTCCTTTCAAATCCATTTAGTTCTGAAGTTGGTTGCCTACGCTCCCTCAGACCCTTGGTTGCTGATACAAATAGCTGACGGGTGTATTACAATGAACTAGCTGAATTATAACGCTTTTTGGGTCTCACTGGGAACGTCTGTTGGTGTCACAGCCGGCCTGGCTCTCCTTTTCTCTCTGGTTCGCCCTCGAAACTCCGTGGTATATGCTCCCAAGTTAAAACATGCAGACAAGTCTCATGCGCCCCCTCCGCTGGGGAAAGGAATTTTCGCTTGGATAACACCCATAATCAAGCTCAAGGAAGATGAGCTCGTGGACAGAATGGGCATGGATGCGACTATCTTTCTTCGGTTCACACGAATGTGCAGGAACATGTTCCTTGTTATGAGCATAATAGGATGTCTCATAATGATCCCAGTGAACGTCCATTATAGCAACCGGAAAATAGCGAATGGTACGAAGTCGCTCTTTGATTTTATGACTCCGGAATTGGTCTGGGGCGAACCGCTCTGGTCAAACATTGCTTGTGCATGGGCGTTTAATTTCATAGTTATGTACTTCCTTTGGCACAACTATCGTGCCATCCACAGGCTCAGGAAACGATACTTCCAGAGCCCGGAATACCAAAAGAGCTTGCACGCGAGGACTGTGATGGTCACACACATCCCACCGTCTTATAGGACGGATGAGGGCTTACTGCGCCTGACTGATGAGGTCAACCCTACAGCTAGCATACCCAGAGCAGCCATTGGTCGAAACATGAGAGAGTTGCCGGGACTGATCAAGGAGCATGATACTGTTGTTAGGAAGCTTGAAGAGGTTCTGGCAAAATACTTCAAAGATCCCGACCATCTTCCTCTAAACCGCCCAACCTGCAAGCCCGCGAAAAAGGATCAGAGTGGGAGATCCTCCTCTGAACAGGTAGACGCGATTGACTATTATACCGACAGAGTTCGACAATTGGAGATGGAAATCAGGCACGTCCGGGAATCTATCGATAAACGAAACGCCATGCCCTACGGTTTTGCCAGTTGGGATGCCATCGAGGACGCCCATGCCGTGGCCTTTGCCGCTCGGAACAAACATCCACATGGCACTACTATCAGACAAGCGCCAAGGCCCAACGACATTATCTGGGACAACCTCGCCCTGTCAAAAAGCAACCTGAAGTGGAAACGGTTCATGAATGCAGTTTGGTCGACTATTCTAACAGTTATTTGGATCGTGCCAAACGCTATGATCGCTATCTTCTTAACCAACTTGTCTAATCTCGGGAGAGTATGGCCTGCATTCCAAACGTCACTTAACGGAAACCCCAAAACTTGGGCCGCTGTCCAAGGTATAGCCTCACCGGCTATATTGTCATTGGTGTACATTGTCCTTCCGATCATATTCCGGAGACTTGCAACTCAGTCCGGCAAGAAAACCAAGACAGCTCGTGAGAGGCAAGTTATTCACAGCCTCTACGCCTTTTTTGTCTTCAACAACCTAGTGGTTTTCTCCCTATTCTCCAGTGTTTGGCAAGTGGGGGCTGTAATCATCAAAGCAAAGAACGAAGGCCAAGATGCATGGAAGGCGCTTCAGGCTGGAGGAACCTTTCAGAATTTTGTCGTTGCTCTTATCCGCGTTGCACCCTTTTGGGTCAATTGGCTGCTGCAAAGGAACCTGGGTGCTGCCATTGATCTCATCCAGATGATCAACATGGTTTGGATTTTCTTTGCGAGAAAATTCTTAAGCCCAACGCCTCGCAAGTCAATCGAATGGACCGCTCCCCCTCCGTTCGACTACGCCAGTTATTACAATTACTTTTTATTTTACGTCACTACTGCGCTTTGCTTTTCGACCTTACAGCCCATCGTCCTGCCAGTGACAGCGTTATACTTTGGTGTCGATACGTGGCTGAAAAAGTATCTCCTTCTATACATTTTTGTGACCAAAACTGAGTCTGGAGGTCGGTACTGGCGACTTATTTACAATCGCGTGGTCTTTGCTGTCATCCTCTCGAATTTTGTCACAGGGTTGATTGTAACAGCGCGGGGATCCTGGACCATGGTCTATTCCTTAGTTCCCCTTCCTCTCATCATGCTAGGGTTCAAGTGGTACTGTCGAGTTACTTTTGACAACCAGATGCAGTACTATAACCGCGCGTTGGTCACTGATCCAGAGGCAACAGCTAATAGCAAGTCCTCTAAGAAAATGGTAGAGCGCTTGAGCTCCCGTTTCGGTCATCCTGCCCTCTACAAACCTCTTACTACACCAATGGTCCACGCAAAGGCAGTAGGGGCTCTGGAAAAGTTCTTCCAGTCCCGCCAAGGCATGGGTGCTGAGACTGGGGAGTATTCCGATATTGCCATGCATAGAATGTCGTCCACTCGGCCCGGAAAATCAGACAACAACCGCAATGCACCGTTCGAAGTCGTTGCTGAAAACCAGCTTGACTTCTCTTACTTCAAGGATCGACCGGACTTCCGAGACGAGTTTGGTGGTGGTATCTACGGGCGACCGGACGATGTGTTTACCGAAAGATCTCATACTCCTAAGAGCTTCCTAATAGGTACGGGCGACTCACCCAGTTCTTCTCGGGCATCGTCACCTACTCCATCCACCTACAGCCAACAAGGGCGTAGCGCAACTTTCCAAGGACCACATGGCCGGTTCCCGCAGCTTTCTGATCACCCTGCTTTTCAACCTAATGACTCTGAAGAACCTTCTTTCTACACAGCTCCCAACGAAAGTGAACGGGGACTATTGAGCCATGCCCAAACCACGCCACTAAGGCAAGACGGTGACATTGGATCCATAGACCGATGGCATTCTCATACATCTGAGATCAGAGACCAGAGCCCGTCCAATTTTACGCCATATAGAGGCCATCGTTAATCTTGGTCTTGCTAATCTATCTATACATATAGATTTGATATTTCATCCTTTAATGCGCGTTGTCTTATTTTGCTATATCAACTTCTTGCACTATCTATGTTTTTGGGGTGGGAAATGCTATACTATTGGTTGGCTGTTTCTTTTGGTGTTATAAACGGGGTGTTTGAAATCTGCCAGCATCAGTACATACAGGATTGGTTCTATATATTTCTTGTAAAGCACGGTCTGTAGAGATTTGGGATGTTCTATCTTTTTAATGACAATATATGACGAATTGCTCTCTTAATTTTGGCCTGAGATTTCTCATTTCGACTCCCTCCCTCTGGCTTCAGCCTTCCTCGACTGTACTCGCCATTGTTACGCCCGAATCGCGACGTTACTCCTGGCTCTATATTCCATATGCAAGCAAGACATGCGCTGTGCCACTCTGCGCCTTCGTCTCCTCGTATAGCCAGCTTGTGGCTGCTTCCACGTGATGTGACTATCCTTGCGGGCTTATCTCCATGGAAAGTCCGCTCTAGTAAGCTAAAGCTCTCTTCCCCCCGACGTTGGTATGAACATGAACACTACATAGATCACAGCAGTGGGACCAGTCTGGGACTTTCAAGGCCATGACTCTGTCTTTGAGGGTGCCTAACCTGCAACGGCTCCCCTGATTAAAAAGGGTACGGCATCAATCACAGGCAGACAGCCTTGTGCAACGGCATCAAAGTACTCATACAACGTATCCTGGCGTTGCTATCCGACTGTCGTGCTTTCGAAGCTACAACAACACACAAGATTGGGCAAGAGAAGATGACCTGGTACTCTCTCCTCCCGCAGGAGCTTACCGCATTCGAGGGGTGGTTGATCCGGTTTTTCGTATGCATCTCCCCATTTCCTTTGGGCACTGCCCCGATATAGCTATCGTATGATCATATGTGGAAAATTGGCTAACTCCGTTACTGTCTCGGAGCATGTGTGACTCTTAGGTTATTCTCGGTACGCTGATTATGGGCCCCTTTCTGTTTTTTATTGCGTACGATGTCATTCTCTACATATGGCGAGCAGCAACATACGAAATACCTGTCATCGGGGGACGTGCCAGGGGAAGGCGGAGGCCAGTTGTTCCAAGTTTTTCCGAAACTGCAAGTGGACGAAGAAGGGCATTTAGTATGACTGGGGTAGAATTCTACAGCTCTAGAAGTGAAGCGCCTTTGACAAGGGCCGGGCAAAACGAGAATGTTGCTCCGCATAAAGCAGCGCCCGATGCAGCCCTTTCTCAAAGGAAACCTTTCACGTTACCTTTTGATACCAGAAAGGATTGAGCACAGTTCTCAAGTGCCCGAGATTGGAAGTCGCTCCAACGACGGTCTCCCGTTCCCGACCCTCCACGATAATTGAATTCCCGTGTCAATACCATTCTCGAGGCTGCTATAAGTGCCTTTCTCTGCCTTGTCTACCCTACATACTCTTTTGTCACACAAAGATATATCACAGCTTAAAGGGCGCTTATCAGCCTCACCATGTAAGCACGTGTATGATCCAGCAAGAGGTTATCGCGTCTTACAATACTGCTAGGGCGAGAGGAAGCTTGCATTCTGCAACCGAATGTTTCTAGAAATATTCCCCTACGTTTTATGGAAGCTTGTGCCCCGTCAACGAGGTTAAGATGGTCTGCCATCGATACTACCTTGCTTCCAAGATAATATACAAGTTAGGGGGGTTTCCTTACAGCTTCTTAGCTCAACCAAGACGGGCGTTGTTTGATAACGGTTGCTATGAATATGAGTGTAGAGGCACCTACCTGGCTGGAAGGCCTAGTTTATCACCTGTGGGCATTCCCTGCCATTGTTGCAGAACGAAATACGGGCACCAGCCAGCACCTTCTTCAGCTGATCTCTTTCTCGGCGCCCGTTTGGTCTGTTGCATTACTTCTCTATCCAATCTAGCATATGGATGTTTGTCATAGTTGAAACTCTATATTGCTATGAGTTGTCATTATTGTGTGCAACGGGTCAATTGACCTGATTCTTGAGAGCCTACTTGCCGAGGAAGCGATACCCGCCCTATAGTTGTTTGTCATTGATGGCTAAGATGGCTTCCATGGCTTGAATTAGTATATGCATGCACCGCTCCCCATACCTCCGGGCGGAGCTGTCCTTAGGAATTGGCCATTAGGATACTCTGTGCAACACACAATCGCTCCACATGACAGCCCAGTATGATCTGTTTGTGGTCTTATCTTGCCATTATTTCTAGCGTGGCATATTGGGCTTATGAATTGACATAGCAACCTAAGGAGAGCAAGGGTAGTATTCCAGAAATGTACAATTGCATTGCGAATTGTTCCCATCACTTCCTGCACTAATACCATATTCAAAATCATGCCTCCTGCAGCAGTCCGCCTCCCTTGAGCCAACAGATAGGGCAGGATAACGCGGTGTGACAACTGAACGTGGTGCAACTTTTCAACCGCCCTATATTTGTATCGTGAGTTCAGCTCGCCCTCGGGCTGTTCTACTACCCCTTGACAACAAGGTATTTCAAAGTCCACTTCCGGGACTTATATGTCTGAAGCCAAAAGCCCCTACTCGTCAGGCCTCATACCCCCTCTTCTCGACTAGCATACGGATCTTAATTTCTGCCCTATTTGAACACTGTTTGATCCCCCATTCCCTTCTTCATAATTTCTTACCTATCCTTCGTTACTATTACTACAAAGAGACAATCAACAACCTCTGCCAACCACTTGCCTTTGACTATTTCCTTCCAAACTAGACGAGAGCATTGAACAATTATGCTTCCTCGCGGTGATGAGAGGTTCAGGTCATCCGCATTGCCCAGCAGGGCTTATGGATTAGACCCCCGGACGATGACTGCAAACGATCTTGGAATCGCTTTGCAGCACGCCCAGGAAGGAGTACAAGGCTACGACTTCTTTGGAGATCATTCCAATATGCGGCATCCTCATGATCCACCGTCACCATACGGCTATAACCAACGGCAAGAAGAACAGCTAAACTATGGCACGAACCAGCGCGGAATTCCCCATCCTTTTGGGAACGGTCATATACAAAACTCCAGTATCGGCCAAAACGACACGACCTTACCAGAGCTTGTTCGCCGGACAAACCTAGCCGTATCACTCGCAAATCATAATATCAACCCGCGAAGCCAGTTTACGCAAGTGCATCCCATGATGTGCTTTGACGGGAGATTTCCTACGGACTTCCGGAGCCCCAAGACCGTTGAGTCAGTCAAGCTTTTAGATGGTAAGATTTATATCCTGCACTCCCATCTCATCAAGCTCTCAACATTCATACTAATAACGGAGAGTAAAGGTACCCAGTTGGATCGAATTTTACAGGAATACAAGTTGCCTTACGACACCCGCTCGATAATGAGTACCTTAAGCTCAAATCTGTTAAGAGACGGCAGGGACTCGATCAGCTCATCACGTTTGCGGCAAGCCAAACTACAGATTCTATTTGAACACCTGGGAGCCAGCAGAATTGTTGAGCAGGAGAGACAGAAACGCTCTTGACTGCGCAGTATATCACAACCCAGTCAACACCCTTTGCTCTGCCCCATTCCTCGGTAAACATATATGTTCGGGAAAGTCACAATTCATCGCTCTCTTACTTTTGTTTTGACCCTTTCAAACGTCTCTTTTTGATTCATTGAGACGCGGTTATGATAACGATGGCTACCGGAGTATAGGAGTATACCCATTCTGAAAGTGCGATATTATATCATGATGACCGCCTTGTCAGCCTATACAATACATCTCTATCCAAGGGTGGCTGTTCTTCCCGCTTGGTCCCGAGTTTATCGTTATTTTACTCCTTCTCTCGTCTGTTGTCTCTTTCTCATGTATTTCTTGTGAAGCGAGTATATTAAACAGTAGTTTAATGCGAACTTATGGGACAAAATAGAAGTTATCGCACTCTCTTCTCAATATTCGTAACAGACAAAACTTCACGATTAAATCCCGCTCGTCTCTTAGCCAGATAAATGCATCATTCGGAAACAAAGAATCGAGGGCAACTTGAGGACTATTATTTTGTTTATATGTGGAGTTGTGAAGGCGGTTGGCTATTTATAACCAGACGTTCAACTAGTTAATCCATCGTCTTTCGATGTTCTCTTGTATTCTCCGCACCAAAGGGTTCTTCCGCCTCAGTTCTGTCTTACATTCATTTTCTGAGTATCTATTTTGCTCTTTTATTTCTATTTCATTTTATTTTAGGCTTGTATATTAATATCACGGTGGAATAGAGAGCTTCCACGGCAGTTCCGATCCCGGAGTTGTTCGTTTGATACCCAAGGCTACAATTACAGCGCATTCTATTCTGGTTTAACATCACGATTGCGAGCCTCGATCCTTTTATCGAGTATTGCCGTGCCTTATATCTCACAGGAAAGAAAGAAAGAAAGAGTCATGGAGAACGCTATGCCTTATTGGCACTCAGCATGGGAGTTTATGCTACGGGTGAAACCCCAGCTTCCTACGACAAATGTCATCTTGATCATATCAATGTTGGCAATGATGTGGTATAGATATAGGTCTGGTGGAGCAGTATGCTATATATCCTATGCCCCGGATACTCCTTGTTTTTATTTACTAACTAATATATTACTAGAATTCTTCCAGAGCGACCCGCAGGCTCACTGTCGTAGCTGAAGATGATTTCCCCCCTATCAAGCCTCTTGACAACTTTAAGTGGGAGACGACAGAGCCCATACGGCTACGGCCGTTCAAACCGAAATATAATCTTACCATGGGTAAGGCCCCGTCTTCCTGATACTTCTCTATATTTGGAGTTGGCTAATTTTGGACTGTTAACAGCGCTTGAAACACTTGAGCCAAGCGAGCTGATACCCATAGACAAGGAATATAAATATAGAATCTCCGAGCGCCGAAAGGTTCTCAAAGAACATCATGATATTGTCGTGGGTATCCATTCTCAACCTGGCTCATTAGATGGTGATACTAGAGAGATCCCATTGGCTCATGATGCCATCTGCGAGTTATATGAATTTGTTATGGGAATATATCTCCCAAATCGATACCCGACAATGTTCAAACTGCTTGAAGCGAAATACGAAAGTTGCAAGGTGTTCATGTTGCAGAATAAGGTAACAGGGGAGGTCCTGCCCGCAAGTGTTTCACCAGGCCGTCCATTGGTAAATGCATTAGAAACCTTAGCCAAAACGATTGATGAGGACATGCTTATTCTCCTACCCGCTGAGTTCGAGAAGAAATTAGAGAAAAACAAGAGCGACGGGCTAAGAGAGAGAAGTAAAGGTAAGGGGAATGATCCAGTTACGGTCCCATCGAAGGGTGAGAACGGAGACGTCAAATATCTACTTCAAGCATACGTGACGTGTTTCCCTTCGGGATTTAATACTCGGGAGAAACTAGGCAAACCATTGAATGGGATTCACGAGCCGGTACCAGGGTATAAAGAGAAGCTTGAGAGGAGTATGGATCGCTACTTTGAAAAGCTTGAGGTCGGAAAATTTGTGAAACGGGTGAACTGGGGCATCACCACGGGGGCTGAGCTCTTCTATGCATTCGGAGACATTCATTCGGCGAAAATCGAGAAGCTGAAACCATTACGACTCGAACAGCTGGATCTTGATGACGCAAGTTATTTTTATTTCTTATTAATTTATTATATCCTTCGCCCTTGGGCTGATCACTAATCTACTTATGCAGACATTCTTACGCTGTGAGCGGCAGACACTTTATCGTTTACCCAAGTCCGGGGCCATCGTGTTCTCGATTCATACCTACAGATACCCGATTCGGCAGCTCAAGGAGGAAGGCTGCGGTGAGGACCTTGCTGCTGCAATTGAGGGTCTTGAGAACGGGAATGTCCCACTGATGGCTAGATATAAACGAGTTCCGGTATGGGGGGAAGCAGTTAAAGAATACCTAAGGGGTTGAATATGCTCTGGCAATGTTTGATAGAGATATTGTTATATCTCCTTATATCGGCTAAATCTACGAATCTACTTTGTATACGGAGTACTAGTGCTCATTAAAAAAACGAGATTCAGATCATTTGTTTCGAAATGGCTGATGGTACAGCAAGACATGGATGCATGATATATTATATTTAATCAAATTTCCTACCATGTTCAATAGTAAAGTACACCTCGACAACACTCAAGTAAAACCAGGAGGAAAACGTCTAACGCACAAGAGTATTAAAATTGAGTGATTTCAGAAGATCTTTGAGAAAGATGCTGTATCGCTTGCTTTAGTTGGGAGGTAATATGACTGGAACAGCAGGAGAAGTGCAATCATAGAAAAGCCGGGAGAGAGAATATCCGGTGTGCCCGAAAAAGGAGTGTCAAAGGCAATGAAAGAAGCTTTTTTTAGAATAGTATGGGAGGGCAGATAAGTGTCTGTAGACTGAATGGTGGTAAACGGAAGTGGAATAAGGAGTATTAAACCACCCATTTCTTGCACTTTTAATATTTGTGCGTAAGGAATGCAGATGTATGGATGCAATGGGAAAGCTGCAAGGAGCAATCGAAGAAGATTGGGGAGATGCGCGGAAGGCATGTAACATGGTCATGAAAAGGAGTGTAGGTAAATAAACAATATGATAATGATTCCAGGTCCGAATCCAGACCCCGCACGCCGTGATTAAAAAAAACATCAAAAATTACAACAAGGAGATAACTCATAATAGAGGACGAAAGAAACCCAAACCAAAATGCCTTTCCGCATGAGTGTTGGGCGTGTTGATAAATCGTGCAAGTAAGAGTCGCAAGATCCACGTAACACGTCGCATCATCAGTACGGAACTCGTGGTTTTAAAAATTGGAAGCAGGGTTGACTGGCCCTGGTTTATGGTATTGGTCGAGAGTCGACTTGAATGGGCTGCTTCCAGGTGCCTCATGGGTCTGAGAACCCACAGCGGCACCGGTCTGGATCAGATCATCGTTGTCGTTGTCCGCATTGGCATTTCTCTTGCGTCGTAGTCTGAAAAAGACGATGGCTAGACCACCGAGGATGATGGCACCACCGACACCAACGACGACACCGATGATGGTGTTACGGGTGGTAGGGCTCATTCCGCCACTGCTACCACCGTTTCCACCACCTCCAACAGTAGGCTCGGGTGGCGGGGTAGAGACAGACGAGATGGTCGACTGGCCAACGGATCCATCGCTGTTGGTATATGTCTGGATGATGATGATGGTGGTAGGGGTAGGAGTCGACTTGGGGGTGGTTGTTGGCTTTGGAGTAGGCTGGTTGTTGGTCGGGTTGTCGTTTGTGTGAGTTGGGGCGGCGCTTGTGGGCTTGTCAGTGGGCGTTGGCTGCGTGTCCGTGGGAGTCGAAGTTGGAGATGGAGGAGGAGAGGTAGGCGGGTTTGGCTCAGATGTCGGAGTGGATGTTGGCTTGTTCTCACTGGTTGGTGGCGTCGACGTTGGCATATCCGAGGTGGTCGGATCAGTAGGCTTGTCTGGAGTGGACGTGGGAGTCGATGTTGGCTTGTCAGAGGTAGGCGGCGTCGTCTTGTTGCCGTCCACTTCGCTGCTTTTGTTATTACCGTCTGTCTTTGAATCAGACGTTGGAAGAGGCAGCTTGTCGTTGCTGTGGTTCGTGATGGAGTCCCCTCCGCTTAGTATCTGACGACGGTGACGGGCATGACGGTTGGAAGGCTGTTGGCCGGCAACGACGATAGCCAGAAGGGCAACACAGAGAACGATGAAGGAGAGTCGCGATGACCACCGCATCGTGTTGTTGTTTTTTTTTTCCTTGGGATTATATTATCTCCTTTCTCTGCCGTGATATATTTCCTGGTCGAACCGTTTTATGCGATCCGCCCTGGTCCGCGAAACGGATCTTCTTCTTCGTCTTGCTTTCTTTTCTATGAAGGAGCGTCGAGTAGCGAGAGTGATGAACGAGTGACGGCTCAGACAGAGAGTCCAAGCAACTTCGAAGTCTTCTTCTTCTTCGTCTTGCTTATTAGATGTTGACTTGCTTTTCCACCAAAGAAAGAAGAAGAAGAAGAAAAAAGGCGAGAAAGGGGAAAACTTCCAAAAGAGGAAAAAGTGAGACAGCGAAGGATGGAGGGTCACGGGAGGATGACGTAAGCAGTACCTGACGTTACCGCAGGCGTATCCGAGGCGGTTTCCGTGGCTCTGAAGCGGGAGCCCTGATTGGCTCTTGGCCTGTTCCTGGCCCGTAAACTATCGTTACCGGGAGTACGGCTACTGTACCAGCCTTGTATGGCTGGCCTATGTCATCGTGCTTACTAAGTCGCCGTTACATCCAAGGAAAAAGAAGAAAAAAGCAAATGCGACTTTGCGATGGACGACGAAGAAGACGAGGATGGATGAAGAGGATGGATGACCTGAGAGGATGGAGAGGGTGGCCAGCATAGCCACGGATTGACATGATATGCTGCGATGACACGGCATGACAACTCATGCAACCCTCTCTGCTGCCGGATATCATGCTCGTGATCTTTCTCTTTCAATATCTCAACCAATTATTAACTACCCATGTCTTCGTCTAAAGTGGCCTTATGACATGGATAATATATCTCTTATCCTGGATCCTCCTTGTGGCGCTGGAGATCACTCTGGATAAAGATAGAAAGAAACGAGCACTTCCTCAAAGTCGAATACCTACATAGTATGCACCTAGAAATGGGATCAGCAACAAGAGTGTTGGACTATCAAGCGGAAGCCTTACGTGCATAGTGGGTGCTCCGCTGCGAGAATTTTGTTAGTATTGGTATATTTTTGTGACCTGCAAGTGCTCCCGTATACGGTGATTGCACAATAATTGTTCGAGAGTTCAGATCCTCACTTTTACTCCCACATCGGATTTATGCCAAAGGCTCCCAACGAATTGACGAATCTAGGCTTGTTTCAAAACCAGTGCCAACTGGGTTATTTGACTATTATATAGTTAAGGGGGTTTACTGGTCAAATGTTTCTCAGTCTCCGCTCATACTCCAACTTTTATAATCATTTGAATCAAACGTAATATCGCTCACCAATATCTGATATACAATAGTTCTTCCTTTTGGAGAACGGATTCGACCATGATTTTTCCACATTTGAATTGCAAACTCGAACTCCAGGCACAAAACGAGATTAGCTGCCGCACTTTGGACGTAATATTCGTCAGAACTAAGATGTTATCCATAAGGATGGAGAACTCGTTGAAATTTTCAACCTAACGGCCTCAAACGCCAACGCTTCAGTTGCCTTTTTATCCCTTCCTTCTTGTCTTTAATAGAGAAGGAGAGGCAGAAAACAAAATGGCGAAACAAATAATTGTCATTACTAGGCCTTAGATTCGAAGAAGCTCGATAGAAAACGTCTCACTTTCTTCAGCATATCCGTCATCTCCTACTTCAACTTCTTACCCTCTCCAGGGTGGCTCCTTACTATCACCTCCAGCCGTGTCAAGAGTTCCCACTAGAGAACGAAGGAAGTTAGCATCTGGTTGTGAAATATACTACTGTGGCCAGGAGATATGATGGATTAGTTATCGAATTAGTGTCTTCGCCAGCACAACTATTTGCGAAGTGCAGCATGGCGGGGCGTAAGACCTCGAGATTTTAACCAATGAATATTTGTCGCATATTGATCCATTGTTACAACTTTTTGATTATTGACTGTGTAGATTATACGTCAACCCTAAGCCTTACTGATTTCTTATAGGGTTGGCATCTCCACCACTTTAACATTATTCTCCCCTAGGATGCTGGGATATCTTCTCTCTGCGATATACTTTCATCATTCATGAAAAGCTTTGTTGGCGACTTCGGGCGGGTCTTTCAATTACGCCCATCATGCGGCATGAACGCGACATTCAAAGGGTCTAGCGGCATAGTGACCATATCTAATTTTGGTAGGATAGGTCGTTGTCCACCCGTGATATCTAGTTGGGCTAAGTGCATTTTATTCTAAGGGCTTCTGTTTAATATTGATAGATGTCGAATGAAACTTGCTCATTATAAAGTGTCTCAGAAGCATGCTGTGTATAGTTAAGCCGTGAATCTTTCGAATTGTGTCCACTGCTCAAAAATAGGGAGTCACTGGCTTCGATAGGAAGGGGACATCCATAATCTTCGTTGTTTGGATATTGTTATAGAGAACTGACACCATCTATTATCCTACCGGAGTAACTTGTCAAAGAGGGGTATTCCCAATTCAGGTCATCCATTAGCTGTGTATCACGTCCATCAGTGTTCTCCTGTTTTTCAAAGCTTGTAGGGCTGTGAATGTTATGTTGATTAGAATCTATATTTTCACCCATAGCCTCGGGTTTGTCGCAAAGTCTGTAGCATGTAACGCGCCGGAAGGATAAGATATGAGGCAAAGTGCCTTACCCTGTACACGGGCCCTAAAGTTCTCGATGCTGAGGCCCTCGTTGTTAAGAAATGCCCTTATCCCTACTCTAGCTTAAATTAGATGTCAAAACCGCGTGTCCAATAATCAATTAGAAATAATCACGTATAACCGGCAAAAGATGGTATTGGGTGTTAGTGGCAATTACCAGTTTCCTTGAGTTGCTCACAGGAAGGCATTTTAGGAAGAGTTTTAGGGCTGGCTGGCTACGAGAAGAGTTGATAATTTGCGAGCACACAGCACCCTCATGTGAATTGAATATTGAAGGGCAAGCCCGAGGGATAAATTTATCCCACCCAGTTGCTTCGTCGTCATCTCCTTGAAGGATAAACCCGTTGGATGGGGTTTCTTAGCGTTGTTTTCCCGAATCTTGCGGGACTGCATAGGGTAAAGCACCCTAATGAGAGCAAGTCGGTAAGTTAAACGTGTATCCAGCTCGTCATGTTCCCCACATGATGTGGACACCCCTGATCAACTGCCAGCATGCCTTAGATTTCTTCTTCTTCTTGAAGATGAGATGATGAAGATAGTCAAAGTGTTAATGAATGAAAAGCGTCATTGATATCCGTACAAGCATGCCAAAGTCCGCTCTATGGGGTATTTCGGAGGCAACTGTCATCTTGTCGGTAATAGCCTCATGGCAGACATTTATGGGTATGACCTCCTTCCTAGTAATTATTCCTCTCCTAGGGAACACTATGATGGCAACGATGAAGCAGAGCGGTTAGTAGAATGGTAAGATTTACTATATAGTAAGAAAAAAAAAAGCAAAACCAGACTAAGATATTTGGCCGATTGGTTGATAGTTCGGCGCAACGGTGGACAGAGAGAAAATTCCAAATCCCGTTTCTCAGGAACAGTTATATCCTCGTCTCCGTTGAAGGACAGTTTTTCCTTCTGTTGATAAACAAGAGTTGAAGTTGGCGTAGGGCATCACAGAATAATCAAGACGGAGTATACCTTGCCAATAAGACTGGAGAGTATGGTCCAGCCGAAGATTCGTTGACTGTTTACTCTGGCAAAGCTTCCATGGAGGCAGGTTTATACTGGAGTGTATATCGACCCCTCTTGGTGGCTCAACGGTGCTGCACAACCGTTTGGTTTTGTTAAACGTGTCAACTCCTGTATGGGGAGGAAATTGATGCCGCTATTGGAGGTACGATGCGCCTATCCGCCCGTCTGCATTGGTGGTTCGATAGTGAAAGAGATGGACAAGGCTATCCTGCCGTGCCAGTGATCCTACACCACTAAACGAGTGAATACTCGAGTCTCACACAGAGCGACAAGCCCGTCCTTTGTCTTCTCGCACATCATTAGCTTCTCACCATCCGGACGGCCAAGCAGCATGTTAGAGACGTTCACAAAGCAACAAACAACACGTTTAATTAAAGTAATTTAGGCTGTTTTTCTCTCCTTTTAGCTATTTGAGCGGGTCGGCGTCTGGCCTGTTTAGGTAATATGTGTATTATCGTTACTTATCTTGACAACCACAGTTCTTCTTGCACCCTCCTCTCTGTCCCTTTTATTTTATATGTCTTCTCTTTATGTTCTTCTACTCCTCTTCTTCCTTTCTCAATACTTTTTCTCTCTCCGCTTCCTTTCGCCCTGATTATAAATACCCGTTCTGTCACGTGAATGTTGCTCTGAAACTGCTGAATTCTGATTGGCTGCCAAGGACCGGTAACTGAGTGGGTCTCTAGATCCCAGCCAATGAGAGCAAGTCTTTCTCCGTCTGGCCAAAGCAGGTGGATGACTAAGCTCGGTCGAAAAGCAGCGCTTTTGCTCTTCTTCTTCTTCTTCTTCCTTTCTTCCTTTTTCCATTCCTTGTCCTTCGTTTCGCTTTCGCTTCCATCTGGTTCTCCTCCCCTTTGGCTGTCTCCAGGCATCATCACCCTCCTTTTTTCGCACCATCAGTCAATTGCTATATACTTAAGACTGTTACAATGGCTTCTGTTGCCCGTACCTTCTCCAGAGCTCTTGCTCGCGGCGCCTCCGCCAGACCCTCGGCAACTCGCAATGCTGCCCGATTCGCCCTTCCTGCACAGACCTACAGGGCCTCTTCACGGAGAGGTTACTCTACCGCTTCTGAGCCCCAAAAGTCTTCCTCTGGGATGTACTGGGCTCTCGGAGCTGTTGCCGTTGCTGCTGGTGGAACCTACTACTACATGAACAACGAGAGCTTCGCTGCCGCCCAGAAGCCGTTTGTCCCAACCAAGGAAGACTACCAGAAGGTCTACGATGAGATTGCGCATCTCCTTGTGGAGAATGACGATTATGATGATGGTAGCTACGGACCTGTAAGGCTTCCCCCCCTTTATTTAAAATGATTTGCGGAGAAGTTATGGTGAACGGCCGCTGACGCTACCCGTTTTTCTAACAGGTTCTCGTTCGTTTGGCCTGGCACGCATCCGGCACATACTGCAAGGATACCAAGACCGGAGGAAGCAATGGAGCTACCATGAGATTCGACCCTGAGGCTAACCACGGAGCCAACGCTGGACTCAAGGCTGCCCGTGACTTCTTGGAGCCCGTCAAGGGTGAGTACTTCACATTCCAATGCCGACATGATTGTAATGATAGCACTAATAATGTCGTTTTTAATCTAGCCAAGTTCCCATGGATCTCGTACTCTGATCTCTGGACCCTCGCAGGTGCCTGTGCCATCCAGGAATTGCAGGGTCCCACCATCCCATGGAGACCTGGCCGCAAGGACAACGAAGCCTCAGCCTGCACTCCAGACGGCCGCCTTCCTGATGCCTCGAAGGACCAGAAGCACATCCGAGACATCTTTGGCCGCATGGGCTTCGATGATCGTGAGATGGTTGCTCTCTGTGGTGCTCATGCCCTTGGCCGTGCCCATGCTGATCGATCCGGCTACGACGGCCCATGGGACTTCAGCCCTACCGTCATGACCAACGAGTTCTTCAAGCTCCTGCTCTCTGAGAAGTGGGTTAACAAGAAGGTATGTTGTCACATCAGCACTTCCTTCCCTTTTATAGTTTAACGTCAGCTAATGTTATATCACAGTGGTCCGGCCCCGCCCAGCTTACCGATAACAAGACCAAGACCCTGATGATGCTTCCCACCGACATGGCGCTGATCAAGGATCGTGAGTTCAAGAAGCATGTCGAGCGCTACGCCAAGGACTCGGACGTTTTCTTCAAGGAATTCTCTGAAGCTTTCGTCAAGCTCCTTGAGCTCGGTGTTCCATTCACCTCTAAGCCAGAGGACCGATTCGTCTTCAAGGCTTCCGAGTAAGCTAGCCAATCGGTCTGATCCAAACGAACCGAGACAAAAAGACAAATAGAAAAACAAAAACAAAAAAGGCTAAAAAAACTTGAAGAAATGGAAGAGTACTTTCGCTCTTTTTGTACGAGTTAATGCCCTGACAGCCTCCAGTCGTTTCATTATGTACCACTTCTACCTTCTCTTCTCTTTTCCCCGAATACCTCCTTTGCTTACTCTTTTGCTTGTACCGATTAAACATCCCACCCTACCAAGATTTATTTACCTAGATCCATTTAACTTAGCGTATTTTGTCATCGCAGGGTACTTCACGGCCCCTTACCAATCAAGCAAGCAGTTCATTCTCTTGTTTATTCAAGCTTCAATTTCTGCTGCTTAAACACAGTATATACGTCATTACCTGACCAATCTCCACTCCTGTTGCTATTTTCGTTTGGCAGCTCTCACAAAACGGTGACATAAAACGGGGTAACCTGTAGGTGCAAAGTAAAACTGCCATTGACTTTTATTTCTATAATACCCTATATATTACATCTCCCCCAGCGCCTTTCCGCTATAGGCTGCAAATTTTTGCCTGGTTTCAAAACTTCCCGTGAGCCAGCTGCCTAGCCATCAGATCTGCAGTCAAATAACATGTCTTCCATAGATTGACAAAGTCAAGGTTGCTAGTAAAAGACTCCACCAGCCCGAAAGGAAGCATACTTGGAATCCAACCTACCGGCGTTTACATTAGTATTTCACGCTTAAAAAGTTTTTATTTTTCGAGTTTACTCACCTTGCGCCAACTCCAATGCCCATCCATCCATCGCATAATGGATTGACTGTCCTCTAGGCAAATGGTTCACATCTCCAGGCCAATATGTGGTAGCCGCCAGCTGTCCAGGTCTGTATGCCTTTTCCGTACCGTTGAGTATGATAAAGTAATCATCAGCCAAGTGCAGGCCAGAATGTCCGTTAGAATAGATAGGAGTTCCGTAAAAAATCAGGTATTCAGTGACTGATGCGTGGAGAATAGTAAATGCTCCCATGGCGCTTCCATGGTTGCTATTTAACCCGTTAGTTCTATATCACGCGCTAAATCTCGGAATTTGACGATGGAGTGAGAATGCAAGGGAAGTAAGTATACCTCCATATCCACTTATCTGTGTTCGTGGTAAAAGGTGCAACATGCTGGCTACCGTATTCTTCTCGAAGCGCAATGTTCAAATCCTCCATCAACGCCGTAACGTTGGTTGGGTGTCGGTCAATTGACGCCTTTGCAAGTTCCTGTAGTCTTGCCGGCTTGAATATGTAGAAATTACCGATATTCGAATCCAGCCAGTAGAAAAGAATGGTAAGAAGGGACAGAGTCCCGACCCAGTTGACGGCGCGCATCGTGAGATAGTCTGGTAAAGCGCACCAGACAGCTGTGTTCGGGACTTGATTTTGTGGAAAGGTAGAAAAGGAAGGATTTTGCCCTATATTTAAATCCTTCGAAGGCAGCAATATTTTAAGGTGAGGCCGTAGATCGCAGATCAGGATCAGCTTTGCTCCCTAGTTTCGGCTCCCGGAAAGACACTGAGCTGGATGGGCTGATGTAAGGCTCACATAAATGAGCGGCCACCACTTTTTATGCTGTTGCAGCTACTTTTTTTAAGCCTTCAGATATAACATTGAGCACCAAGGAGGTCTAATGTATGATTCATAGTAAAGATGAGGCTGCCTTGTATGTATACATTGTAGTATTTATGGTGAGCTTCTCCTTTATAGGAGGAACATGTGGATGACTAAGCCGTAAGAGCACAAATTTTGGCTGAAATTTATGGAGGCGATGCAGATTTAAATCGTCAAAGGAGAAACAGTTTCCTTCTCTGATGGCCCCTTCAGACGCTGGCCATGAGGCTATTTCGCACTATGAAATCCTTCATCTCCCACACCCTCCAGTTTCGCTAAGAAACCAAGATATCAAGGCTGCCTACCACCGTGCCTTACTCCAATATCATCCAGATAAATCCGGCTCTTCAACACCCTCCTCGCCAGGAGAAAAGGCAGGAAAACGGGAGATTTTTCCCAGAGGACTTAATACCCCCAAATATGTGGCGCCCCGCACCGTTGATCAAATTACAGCTGCCTACAAGGTCCTCTCCAATCCAGCAGCAAAGGCGGAGTATGACCAGGCACTTCTGTTATCTGGGTTTGGAAAGACTAGTACGGCTACTAACCGAAATGAAAACGATGACCTGGTATTCCGCACTGGCCTAGAAGTCCTCGATCTTGATGACATGGTGATGGAGACAGTAGTTAGTCAGCCGGGTGGAGATGAAGAACAGAACAGCATCGAGACTTGGTATCGAGGCTGTCGATGTGGTGACGAGAAAGGATTTATGGTTAGCGAGACGGATCTAGAGAACGAGGCCGAGAAGGGAGAGATTATAATTGGATGTCGAGGGTGTAGCTTGTGGGCCAAGGTGGTGTTTGCTGTTCATGAAGATACGGACGGGTGAATTCTGATGGCCAATATCGAACAACATTTTCACCACGAATGCCGAAAGTCACTCGATTTGGCCATGCGGCTAGACATATCCCCCACGAAGGAAGCAGTGCCAAAATAACGAATACTTGGGCTGGAGTATGGAGGCCAGAGTACAGCCTTCACGGTTACATATCGGATATATGACTAGCCTCCGTGAGCGATGTGAATGTCTGATCCCTTTTCCGGCCAGGGTAACCTTGAAGAGTTTTGTCGCCGTGGGAATTCAAATTCCTTAGGGAGAGAGCTTTTGATTGGGCTTCTAGATGTAGAAATTACCCCTTGCCAGGGTATACGCCTGTGATTAGTCCTACGTGGCCTATCCTATTACAGCCCGCTTACAGCACTTTGGCCCTCGATAACTGAATAATTCAGTCAATTCCCTTTTGGGTGAACTATACAGATGGATTTATGGCGCCTGTATATCTGTGGTTTTGCCATCCATAACCATAATTTCGTTTAATCCGGCGAAATCAATTAGTATCGATTGAGCAAATGTTCTAAGTATGGTACTATAAGCTACGTAATATATTTATGGAACTATTGGCAATGCATGGTAATTGTTATAATTACTCAAATTAAATGTTCTCGGTATAAAATATCCTTTCTAGACACGAATAATCTAAGGCCTGCTTGTTCAGTAGTGGAGTTGGTAGTATTTGCGGCTCAAATAGGGCGCTTGGTGCTTAAATACTGGAAGGTAAAAAAATACATCTAAGCGCGAATTTGTCAACGTTCTCAACAACCAAAACAAGCCGTCACCGTGTCTCAAACCAACCACTTCCACGGTCAAGATGTCAAAAACGGTTGAGATCACGTCGCCGGAACAGTTTCTAGCACTGCTATCAACGACTCCCATCTTGATTGCCGACTGTAAGCCATCCATCCAATCCGAGCATGCTCTGTCCGCCTGCCCCTCGTCACCCCACCGGGAACATCTATGATGTCAAGCAACGCGTTTTCCTCAGCTATTCTCTACCTCAGCCTCTAAACTAATATGTTTGCTCTACTATAGATTATGCGGACTGGTGCGGGACCATGTAAAGCGATAGCTCCGGTATTCGAGAGCCTCTCGGCGCAGCATTCTAGGCCCAAATGTGAAGTTTGCGAAAGTCAATGTCGATAACCAACAGGACATCGCAGGTCTCTTCAATATCACAGCGTATGTACTTGGTGATTGCTCTATATGCAGAGGCCGTGCTATCAGCTAGGCCGAGATGAGCGAAGGGATTGTTAATGGCTAATACGTGCTGCATTTTCTGTGATAGCATGCCAACCTTTGTGATTTACAAAAACGGCGAGGTTCTGCGAGAGGTGAAAGGAGCGGAGAAAGAAGCTCTCACCAATGCTGTTATGGTTGGCGTGCGGGCTGCTAGCGGTGAAGCCGGTGAATCCTCGGACGCAGCAGGTGATGATAGCCAGACGTGGCTAGGTGCTCCCGCTCCAAGATTATACCAGGACATTACGGATGAGATCGATGTTAAGGGCATAGATATGCTTAACCGCGACGATGAAGCCGGACCTGGGAAATGCTTATTTGACAACCACATCCCGAGAACGATTACAGCGGCCAAAGGGAAAGAAAAGGAGGCGATACTACCAGACTGGGTTCAAAGTGACACGGACGAGCAGTTGATTGTGTTCATCCCGTTCCAGTCCTCCACCAAAGTACACTCTCTACACATCACCTCGCTTCCCCCTTATAGCGATGATGATGAGGCACCCATGCGGCCAAAGACAATAAAGCTCTTCACGAACCACACCCACATCATCGGTTTCGAGGACGCGGACGAGACCGAACCGGTCCAAACGTGCGAGATATCACCGAAGGACTGGGACCCAAAGACGGGCACTGCCACAGTTGAGCTTCGTTACGTTTTGTTCCAGCGAGTATCTTCTCTGGTTGTATATTTCGTTGATGGGGATGGGGACGGTGAGAAGATAAGAGTTGACAGACTACGGCTATTTGGCGAGAAGGGGGACAAGAGGGAAGGCGTCATACAAAAGGTTGGTGGTCCAGGGATGTGAAGCAAATTGCTTCCAGAAGAACTAGCACAAATGTTCGTAGACCAAAAAACAAAGGAGTCGGCTGCCTGGGAATACTGGGAAAACTTTACGAGGGTTACATCAAATTATCAAAATTCCATTGTCAATAGGTACTTCTAAGCGAAATTTACATCAAACGGAAGGGAATATATAAAAAGGAGTGTTTGATCCTAACAAAATGGCCATTCCAGTTGACATGAAATGACCAACAAAGTAAGAATCAACGTGCAATTTCATCTCTCTGGGACGCAGCTGACACCTAAATGGATAACATCACTGAGGAAACCATCTGTACAGACAGCTTCGGACGCATAGGTAACACGGGTAATGATAAGAATCATCGTACGCTGCGTTCGCCGCACGAGAGAGAGAAAGAAGAGAAGAGACTAAGAAAAAAGCGATGAAAAAATCTTTTTATTGTAAGAGCGAGGAAAGCACGCTAGTCCGTATATGGAAAAGCAAACAGTGCAAACACAGAACACCTCGCCTAAAGATTGATTAGTCATAAAACTCATCGACCTCAAAGATTTTTTTTTCTTGCTCTCTCTTTCTCTTCTTTCTCTTCTTTTTATTCATGGCCAATGATGGGGTATACGGGAGGCATGATCTCTCGGTATCTATGAAAACATAAATAGGAAGAGACTGAGTGGCTGTATAGCCCAATGATCTCAATTGACAACTTTCGCTGAGGCCATTCCTCCGCTTTTTCATATTCCGCTTGCCCTTCAAGATAGGCATTTCTCAATATCCTCGGTTTTTCTCTCCCATCTCGTCTCTCTCTGGAATGGGATTTAATCTTTCAACAAGTGACTGGTATACCATGACGTCATGGTTAATCACAATCCTGATGTCCATCCTTTCCTGCCGCGGGAATAAGCATCCGAGATATCATGTGTCTGTGGAGTCCTTTGATATGGATACCAGGAGAGTAAGAAAAACGGACCTCTCTTCTTTGGTACTTTATCAGATAAAACTACCTTGTGGGTGGAATGCCCTTCACCTCGGCCAGAAGAGGGAAATGCTAGTTTATGAACGTTGCAGGTGAATCTGATGGCAATAATATGATCGCCTGATCAGCCTTTCCCGCGAGTCGGTTCCCGTCCCATGTGGCACTTTGGCACTTTGGGGAGGCGAACTCCATGTGAGTTTTTCCCATGAAGGAAGAAGAGTTGAATAATATTGGCAATAACTGCAGATGCTAGAGGATCACTCTTCTTCTGGAAGACAAATATATTTTTACCTAGCCCTTCATGTTTCAGAATGTCGAGCGTTCGACTAGATCGATATGCACGCGATAGTCAGATGGAATCATGAAATCATTGTCGACCATCGACATGCCATTATCTCTGTCTCCACCAGCTTATTTTCTCTGGAAGTACTAAGTATTCCATCTTAAAGGCTGGGGAAGATCGAGAAGATTCAAAGAAGATAAATAGAATAAAATAGCTGATGGACTTAATCGGAACTTTATCAGTGATCGGACATATGGCACCGATTTTGGCAGTGATGACGCGATGGCAAAATGCAAGAGAATAGAAACGAAGTAATTCGCCTCAATCGGTAGTTTTGAAATATGTAGTACAACCGCAAAATATAAAGCGATCAGTGGAGTCTGCCAAAGTTGAGATAGTCAAGGACGAACATGGGGAGAATGTTCAGGATCGACGGCTGCATACTCTTAAAAGGCAAATCGCTGGTGTGGTCAATAGTCCAGTGTCTAAAAGCGAGGCAACCGTGTGCTTGTACTGTTGTGGGGGAACGTTCAAGCACTCTTTCGCGGTTCTGGCTCTGCTAGCGCATAAAGCTACCAAGCAGAGGATGGAGCAGAAACGCATTATATAAACTCCAACACATGATTGGGGGTTAAGTTTTGTGCGGGAGGAGGCGAGCTAGCTTGGAGGAGTAAGTCCGAACAGGAGAGCCGACAGGAAGCCTCTGTACTTTATCTCGTATTCCGTATTCCCGCAAGGTGGCACGGGAAGAGATTCGGACTTCACCTATTTGTCGTCATCCTGGACACCTTTTCTATAATCTGCATTGAAGAGGACATGCAACAAAAATAAGCAATTTGAAGGAGAATTGTTGCCGGAACCGTATATTTATTTGCTGGAGCGCCCATCTCGTGTGCTGTTTCCCATGTACCTTGCCAGCCATAACTCCTCTATGGTTCAAGGAACATGCCTCATATATCTTCTTGCGCCGATCTAATCTAGGTGGATCTCGCAAAGTGTTCCTATTCAATCACATGTACTCCGTACTCCGTAGCTTGATGCAAGTAAGGTGATGGGCTAAGCAGTGACTCAAGAAGAAAAGGAAAGAAAAAAAAAGTCACCAAAATACGTCCGAGACAGCGTCAAACGTTATAGAGGGTAGTTCGTCCCATTATTTAGCCCAGCATGGGGGATATGCAACGGGGCCCTGGCACAACTCGTATACATAGTAAGAGTGTTGGAGCCCGCCTGGTGGTCCAGATTGCCCATTGGGTATAGCATCCTCCGCCTGGCGTTATCACTAGGACGTGCATCCACCACACGGCAGATTTGTAGGCGCCTTTTGGATGACGGCCAATGCATGGGCTCGAATTTCTCACGATGGTGCTTCCAGTGTGCCATGACTTGATCACAGAGCAGGCTGGTATATGGAGTACTCCGTACGGGGGAGGTAGGATGTCCCCAGTTTCTGCGGTGGAATGGTATAGAGTGAAGAAAATTTTCTCTTCTTGAGTTGCGCGCGCTGCGTGTATATGATTCTACACTACAGCCGCCAAGCGCAGTCGGGGCATTTTTAGCCAATGCATATATTGGGACTATTAATATTAAAATGGCCAGCCTGTCGGCCTATAGCCATCGTGCTCACCATCGCACTATATATGCAAAATGTTGCTTTCTCGTCACCGATTCGAACGGTGGTGTTTCGAAACACAGTGTCATGCAACTGTATACCAAGGCAGCAAGCATCACTCCGTGAACAACTTGGGCGAAAAAGATCTCTTGAGTTGGCGGTGAACTATTGTTTCGATAAAGGTCAAGTCCATGTTTTACATCGTCTCTTGACTTTCGTGTCTGTCATCCTCATGTGGACGCCATTTGTGTGGCGAGATAGAGGCCTGGCTCATTCTAGAACCCAGAACTTGTTCAGTCCACCGTGTGATTAGGCGACAGAGATGTTTCAGGCCACAGTCAGAGCATATACATACTACTTCTGGATGTACGGAGGAGGAATATTCCCAAGCCGGGATAAATATTATCTGTTTGGTTGTTTCAATCGATAAGATATGAAAAAAAAAAAAAAAAAAAGAGAAGAGACCCTTTTGGGATTGTTCGGAGATGGGCGATGGTGTGTGTGTGTGTGTACATGTAACGTTCCTGGGATGTTTAATACTATATGTGGTGACCGGAAGCGACGAAACGATACGACATCTATTTGCCATTTATAGAACTTGTTTCAGTTGATCTTTCTGAGAAGCCCTGCGACTCCGACAGTCTGTCCCCGTTCCGTCCAAGGGAAAACACAGAACAGGTTATCCGGAAAGCCCTTCTTGTTGGCAGGCAGCTCTGGGACGTGCTTGGAAGGGCTGCTGACCCCAATTGCAACAGTGAGGGAAATTAAGTATACGCACGATGGAATCAATCCCATGCACAAAGGTATTTATTTTGCCGCCAGCGATCGGAAGTACTTTGGGCAGGCATATATATTATATGGAGTATTTGTAGTAGTAATATATATTCATCTTGTCCTGCCTGGCCTTGCAAGGCTGTATTTCCAACCCACCCGCCCTCCAAGGCACAGTGGACCAATTGCCTCTGCTCGGATGCCTGGTTGTTGCCTTCCCTTGCCCTGCGTCAAGTCACTCCGAATCACCCTGGCCCTGGAGGCCTTGGGAGAAGCCAGGATAGAAGAACACTGCTTCTGGCGTGTTTCACAATAACCTAGGATTGAGGCACTAGTCGAACTTAACTTGATATGCGCGGGTGGAGCAACATCACATCGCCTGGGTCAGGAACAGACTTTCTTGCGACTCTCTTGCCAGGAGGGGCGACGGTAAGGTTTCCCTCCTGGCCAGTCTATTTCCACTTCCCATGCTATTATTTGCGGAAACTAAGATCTCTAGGCCCTAATTTGCTCTGGATTCAGGCTGAGAGTGGTGATTGTATCCCTCGCTTGAGGGTTCGTAATGGTCCAATGTTCCCAAGCTAAGACTTGGGTGATGGGAAGGTGGTCGTGTGCAGCCCTCGGCGGGACGAATTATTTTGTGTATATACCATACATACTCTGTATAATCCTGCAAACAACCTCCTCGATCAGTAAAAGTAGTCCATATCTTGTAGTAAGAAGGTAAGCCGAAAGAAAATTTTGACTAACCGAGTATTCTCTATTTACCTTTTTTCTTTACCCCGGATCTTAGAGGTTTTGTATACCTCGCGCGCCCTTGCATCTACTCATTCACATGCTTTCCTTCTTCTCCTCGCCGTTATGCCGCAAGTTCAGGTTGATTATTTGCCATTGAGATTTGCCGCCATAGCTGTAAAGTTGATCGACCCAAGCCGCTGGCTGTTCAACGATCGGGGTGACCATGTCACAGCTCATCTCGATCTATTTGATCTGTCGCTGTCGCGCCGGAAGGTCGATGTGTATCTTTTCTTCGCTGTGTGTGTGTGTGACGACAAAGGGTCATGAATTAATCTTGTTTTGATGCCTTACATAAGCTGTGCGTCCATGATGTATATCAAATTTCAGGTTTTGCTTTAACATCAAAGGAAAAAAAACCTGTACTGGAAACACTTCCATATGAAGAGAAGCACGCGTACAAAAGCTGCGGGACACGTAGCGGCTACATGATCGGTATATTCATTTTCTTTTTTGCCAGCCGTGGAACAAGACCTCGATGAGATTGATGAGATATTAGAGGAACACAGAGCAGATTATCTGCCGTTCTCTCAACCGCCGCGGCCTCTTCTCATGACCCGACCCAGCTAAACAAGATGCTTTGCGTTTTTCTTTTATTATCAAGCCTCTGGTCTTGCGACTATATACCTTGATATCAGATACGGCAGAATGTGGGGGTTGCTATTTTCGCTTGTAGCTCGCGGTTTGAAAGTATCACGAAGGTTTTTTTTTCTTACTTGGGCTTTGGTTTCGGTACGCGGTCGTTCCTGGAGAGGAAACCACTGCCACCAGTTGAGCCGGAAGTCTTCCAGAGGGGTGACTGGTAACTAACACCTTGAGCGTCAGGGCGGCTGGGAAACGAGGCAGAGAAAGAGGTTGGATGAAGAATATGTCACGTCCCACAGAAGCTAACTTGGACCGGGTTGATACACGAATGGGAGAAAAACCACAGAGGCCCACGACAAAACCAGGATCGGCAGTATTCCGGCAGAGATGACTTCTTTCTCTCGCCTTCACGATTGCGTCGAGGACACCTTGTCCTGGTATGTATTCCGTCCATGCTATTAGAGATTTCCATGGCGTGGCTCACAGTCCATCGGTTGGATACATGCATGCAGTCCAGCCATAATCTCACTAATCGGAGCAAAGGCGCAGGCACGCACAGTCACATCACATTTTTCTTCTGCATCAGTCATGAGGGAGAAAAGGAAATGTCGTGCTGCTCTGTGCACGCTTGATGCGTGGTACTGTTATATTCGCATAGCTGCAGGGGTAGCTGCCAATTAGCGTACCGTCTATTTCTGATGAGAAACAGCAAAATGACTATCGAAGGTCAATGCATATTAGGCGTCGAGACAGTAGTTGCAACGTCCAAGGACAGATTTGATTCCACTCAGCAGAATGAGAGCCGGGTTAACGTCAAACAAAGCATCTAATCGGTCAAGACAGAAATTGTGGATGGAGCCGGGCGTATCTGCTTCCCCGGCCCATTCTTGAGGATAGAGTTCAGGTCATTGGAGTACAAGATGGCAATAGTGCCTATTTTCCCCATCATGGATTTGATGCACGGCTGCTAACTAATAGTGGTGCTATCATAGCTATCATGACTAGTTATGACAGCGTTTGGGACAAACAAAGAAGGCATGATGCATGCTTTGACAGTGCGGCTGGAACCCGACAGCTGGGAGACCCTCGCTTCGTCCTGAGTTTTGGTCTAGTAGGGAAGCACCTTGTTTGCCCGCACGACTCTTAGAAGACACCTCTGTGGCTTCTCTCTTCTTTGACGATCATTCCAATGTGATTTTATATCACTGATGGCAATGGGATAAAACCCGAGTGTGAAATTGAGTCAATTAACATGGGTACAAGGAAGCAATTTTCCATTGCAGAGCTTCAGAACGGTTCGTTCAACCTCATGGTGTTGCCAACCAGAACCTTTGCTTTTTAAAGAGAGATCTTTGATGTTCATCCCTCCTACCGTTAGGGAAAAGCTGACAAGAAAGAAAAAAAAAGGTTTATGATACTGCGTACTTATGAATAATATTTCTTATCTTTCGACTTTCTTTTTTCTCCCTCTTTGCCCTTTTGGAACTTCCATCTTCTGCACGCTGTGTCAGAAAGTCTCTGGCACCCAAAACTGTGCATAAGTATGGATCCTTCGTGGGCAATCACCCATACCTTACTCGTTCTTTTTTTAGGTGAGGCAGTGGGCCGACATCACCGACAAGGCGGCACACGGAAAGCGATGAAGAAAAAAAAAACAAAATGGGATACACAGCAGGCAAAACAAAGTCGACAGTCAACGACAGCCAGGAATATAGATTGCTTTTCGGGCGGCTTTTTCTTCAACGGCGCTTCTGTAAATTGTCAGCGCTCGCATGGCCGCATGAACGTCTCTAGTTGGACGCTTCAACCAAAACAAGGCACACTTCTTACAAGAGCACCTCCGCTTAGAAAGCCCATTCAGGTGTTGGAGCACGCTGCCTCTCCCGCCAGAATGGGTCAAACACGATCCTTTTTGGCTTGAGAGACAAGAAAGACGAAGGAGAGGGTTCCTTTTAAGCATGTTAGCGTTTGGAGTGGTCACTTTTTGAGGGTTGAGCGCGCGTGCTCTTGTCAACATCGACATGTAAGAAAAAAAAAAGGACGAGCACAACAACTATACAAGCGGTGCCCGCGAATCGTATCTGCCGCACAGAGCATCCTGGCGCTCAACATTCCTCTCTAACCTCCGCATTTTTCCCGTCGAGTTTCAAGTCCACAAAGTGGCTCTGGGCCGGTGGACCCTTGGAGTACTTATGGTTAGATACAGAGGGAAACACTTTGAGAGCCAAAAAAGGTTGATTTTCACAGGCATTGGTTGTGATATTTGAGGTATCGGTATCCAGCTGTCCAATCTGGCTGCGTGGAACCGGACGCGACCTGCGTCCTGTCATCGCTTTCCGGCGTCGATAGGCTTTTTTTTTTCCCTCTCTGCTCACCACGCCAGGCGCTGGGTTCGACCGGCCCACACACACCGCTCACTATCACTGTCACGAATTCTCGGATGCTGGCTGCTCGCTCGGTCAGCGACGATCCAATAGCAGCGCCAATCTGGCGTTCCTGAAGGTTAATGATCTGGGGTGTTGTGTGAGTTAAGTGCGAGAGTTAAGTGTGTCTGAGTGAGTGAGTGTACACCTCAGGTCGACCTTCAACTGGTACAGAGTACGCGAGGTACACTCATGTACAAGAGATATGCATTCCATATACATACACAGCATGCGCAGGAATGACGGTGTATGTATGTGTGAGATGTACGGTTCAGAGTGCATGATATTACGTATTTGTCCCGTTCCTGGCTTTCCACTCTTCGGAGCACAGGGTTGGCGAAGGAAAGTCCACATACCCTGCTATGCAATCTTGTTGGTTCGTTGGCCTCGCCGGAACTCGCTGGGGTGCCTCGCTGACCGCTGCAACCACAGGCACAGCAGGGTCTCCGGGGCCAAGGGGACCAGCAGCGAGAGCCTGTGAGAGCGTGCTAGGTGTGGTGTGTCCTGCCTGTCTGTCTGAGATCAGCAGCGCAATGGTTAGCTCTTCCTAGTGTTGGTCCCCCCTCCCCTTTTTTCTTTTTCCATCTGGTGGAGTCGCAGGCTGCGCCATCCTCCGACCAGCGGCCCCAGACCAGCTAACGAGGTTTGTTAGTTACATCCACAGGCATATCCATTTTATTGTGCAATTACAATCGGCATGGTTTACTGGGCCGTAGCGTCGCCTGGGCGAGTTATCAAAAAAAGATGAAAAATAAAATATAAAAAGCAAAAAGCAAAAAAGCAACAGCAGAGAGTTGAGTCCACTGGGCCACTGGGACCTCGCCCGCGCCCGCTCGACCGCTCACTGGATGGCCACCCAGCGTGTCTTAACGGTTCATGCTACTCGCCGGATTGGCAACTTAGCCTGGGAAACGAGAGCGAGAAAAGTGATTGACACGCTCTCCTTCTGCCACTTCTCTCTCTCTCTTCTCTTCTTCCACTTCGTCCTTCACCATGCTTTCTTTTTTCCCTTCTACTTCTTCTTCGTCTTCCCACTGATATACACTCTTTGCCATTTCTTTTCTTTTTTTTTTTTTTTTACTTCTTCTCTTTCTGAGCCACACGCCACCATTCCGCGTTAATTTACCTGTTCTTCCCTTCTTCCCCTTCGTTCGTTTCCACCCTCTGATTTGGACAAAACTGTCGTCCAGTCACTCACTCTTAGTTCACTAATTGTTTTTTCCTCTTCTTTTCGCCTTGCCCGTCAACTGGTCGTTTATATACTTATATCATCTTCTCCATATTCTTTTTTCCTCTTCTCTTTTAATTACTCTGGTTCTGTTTTATATTTACTCTACTCTGTTGGCCTGCCTACTTTCTCTCACACTCTCTCTATCTTATCCCACCAGAACTCAGGCTTCCTCAGTCATTCCTTAATCCTTACTACTCCCTCACCCTCTCTCTCCTCACGCCCTTTTCTTCCTACCGAGGAAAAACCCCGAGTCAAACAAGCCGTTCTTTAGCAAGCCCCAGAAGAAGTTATATACCATATGGGTGGCGGACAAACGAAACTCGACTGCTGAACTCGACAGAAAAGCAGCCTCTAATAATCTAATCATCCTCAATCTGCCACTCCTTGTCGAATTTCCAATTCTACACACTCCTTTGATACACACGCTTATCTGGGACCGTCTCTAAGAGATTGTTCCTATACCTTTTTTCCGTTTTCGATTGATCATATATACTTTTAATTGGTAGGTTTGAATGGGATTTCTATTGTATGATCGGGAGAGATGTTTTGGCGAATGGGTGACTGATGAAATTGGCTAGGTTATCCCATCATCATCTTTTGTTTTTCACAATGGACTCAGCCTGTGTTGCTCAACAGGCAGCCGGAGCGGTTCAGCCTTCATTCTACTACTACAATCCTGAGCCGGAATCACGCCACGGCCAACACGCCTTCTTCACTCCCCACCCAAATGACTACGCCCAGAACCAGATGCTGATGGTCCAGCCTCAGATGCCACAGCAGTACGCTCAGCATCATCACATGCAACCTCAACTGCATTTGCACCCATCCGATCAGCAGAACGGTGCACAGTTTAGACCTCTCAATGCAAAGGACTATCTATCTACACCGAATACGACAAGCAGCCCGTCGCCATCTCCACAGCCAATGCAAATTAAGCCTAGCGTTTTCCTGCACGGCTCGCCTGCGCTCCTGTCCCTGGACACTAACTGTGGCTGGGCTGACAGCAACGGATTCCCTTCCACCCCTCCGCTGTCGACCTCCGGTAGCAGTATCAGTAGTCCTCCATCGAGCTGTGGTATGATTCACACTCCAGTTAACGGTGACTCTTTCCGCATGGAAGGTATCGAGGGTGTCAAAGAGGGCTGTGAGACGGATGTGGAACTCGAGCTCCTAGCCGACTCTCACTGGAACCGATCTGCCTCGCCCGAGATGACTCCTCGTAAGTCATCTTATGATATTGTCCTCGTCCTGATTTAATTTCATCGTTTATATTTGTCTGATGTATACTAACACTTGGCAAAAAGTATACGTTCGTCCATTTTCGGTGCAATCCAATGCTGGTTTACCGCCCGCCGAGCCCAACCACCAAACCATTAATAGCGGCACTGAAAACGGATCGTCGCTTACATCATCCTCTCGCTCACCTTCTCATTCTCCTAACATGACTTCTTCTCTCCTCCACGAGACGCCCACGACGTCATTTCCCTCGCAGCAGCCCTCCAGCACCGACTTCTGTGACCCGCGCCAGCTCACCGTCGAATGCTCGGTGCTCTCGCTGCCTGTGCCCGACTTTCCGCCACTCCCGCCACTCTCGACCGTTGACGAGGATAGGTCTCGATCCATCCTGCTCGGCAACTCGCTAAACTGTAAACTCGAACAGAGCCTCACCGTTCCTGGCCTGAGCCACGACGATTCCCTCGAGAGCTTGTCTACCTTTGATGCCATCTCGGATCTCGACTCTGAAGACGAATTTGTTAACGGCATCGTCAATTTCACTCCCACCGAAAACGGCTTCTTATTAGGCGAGAAGCGTCGACGTGCCACTAGTAACGGCAACAACAACAATACCAGCACTGCTACCACTTCTCATGAAGACGACATTGTAAGTGAGCAGAGCTTGGAAGATTTGGAAGACGGTGACCTGTTTGCCCGTTCCTGTATCCCACTTCCAGAGTTTGATTCTGTTGACCAGTGCAACATCGCTGGAGACATGAGGACGAAGAAGCGAGTATCAGCCACTGGCCGACGTATTAAGCAACTCCCCACCGCGCCTGAGGACAGTGATGCCGACAGCCTAGGTGCCATCATTCGAACTGCCCAGAACAACGTCAACAGCCGCACTTCTCACACTGACTCATCTTCCACACAGGCTCAACAGCCATCTGGAGCACCAAGCCACGAAAGTTCAGAGACCAACCCACAGAGCACCTCTTCGGAGACTCCCGCCCCCGCTCCCATGGTGCCTGTCGGTCGACGTGGCCGCAAGCAGTCCCTGACTGAGGACCCATCCAAGACTTTCGTTTGCACCCTCTGCTCTCGTCGCTTCCGCCGTCAGGAACATCTCAAACGCCACTATCGCTCTCTTCACACTGAAGATAAGCCATTCGAGTGCCAGGACTGCGGGAAGAAATTTTCTCGTAGTGACAACCTCGCCCAGCACACCCGTACTCACGGTGGCTCAGGCATGCCCATGAACATGTCAGACCATCACCCTGAGTCATCACCTTTCGACGACCAAGATGCTGGAGCTCTTGGTGCTGTCCTCTATGAAGTAGCTCAGGCTGCCGCCAACAAGTCGACGACTAGTGAATCATCTGATAGTGGCCTCTCAACCCGAGAAACCCAGTCCAATACGCCCTTTACAAACCGAAAACGCCCACTCAAGAAGCGCAAGCGTGAAACATCCGAGTAAAAAAGGCTCTCGGTTCGACCTTGCACTTGCGTTAATGGATAATGAATCTCTTACAAAATCATTTCATTCGAGTGGAAGTAAATTTCACCGAAAGCATACTTTCTATCCATGGGCATTCAATAAACTTGTCACTCATACATTCGGCGCACAACTCATAATAAAGGGGATTGGTGTTTAAGGGCACTGGCGTTCTCAAAGGTTGAATTTTTATCGAACGGCTTTGGGTTATTCTCGACAACAATCTTTCATCATACAATGGTGATTGCTTCTTGTCACTTTCAAGCTCGCTTGCTTATAGCTCGGGTTTTCCTTTTCTTTTTTTTTTTTTTTAGATATTCGTGCATCGCTTTCGCTTCTTGATTATTTACCTGTTTTAATCCCTTCTCACTGTCGGATTGCAGTTGACTTGTCCTCAAATGATGGCAACAATACTCTACCCAACGACTACCTTATTTTCACACAAATGCTTGCTGGTTCTAGCATTCTTCTTATATCCTCCAACCTTTGGCCTTGTCTCTTCCTCGCCACTCCCAATCCTACGCTCTATATCCCGCTTATTCCTATGCTTCATAGCTCTATACTTGATAATATTATTGTAATTGCTTGTCTCTTTTCATCTTTTTTAATTCATGGCCACCTTTTCCTATCTAGCATTTTATTTTTTATCTTCTCCGATTTATGACTTTTATGCCACACTGCTTTTTGCCTACTTGCAAGTTTGCGAGCTACCTAACTATATTGCTTGCTTCCGCAACGTATCATTATATCCTTTTTGCCTTGATATTTTCTTAACTGTCGCTTCAGTATTATATTCAACTTTTCCTTTCAGCTACTTTGATATTTCGCTCTTTCGTGGTTGAGCGTACATAACTTTTTCCTTTTGTTGACTGTAAAAAAAAAAAAAAAAAGGCACTTGTCGATATTATTTTTTTCTTTTAACTAATTAGTTATCTATTTATAAATGAATATATTTATTGAGGTTCTTTTCATCTCGTAGACTTGATCTCATATAAAAACTTACCAGTAGAGAATTGCGTGTGGGGCGAAAACTTTGGCAGCAGCAAACATTTCATCGAGACGTGACATCGACCCAACTGACCTTGATAATGCCAACATACTGGGCTAGAGTAATGGAATATTGATACTCCTTACGGCTTGCTCTATTGTCTAGAACATTAAAAGCGTATGCAGAAAGAAAAATATCCAAGCGCAGTCCACCCTCCCACCAAAGCGGTTTGCCATGCCAGAACAACTAAACGTTATAGCCCTCATATCTGGCGGGAAGGATTCACTCTATACCATCCTACACTGCCTGAAAAATGGTCATCGAGTCGTTGCACTCGCAAATCTATACCCCCCACCTCGACCAGGACGAACTGAAGGGCCTGATGATGATACTGCGGAAGAAGACGCGGACCTGGACAGCTACATGTACCAAACCATTGGATACAGTATAATTCCACTTTACAAATCGGCATTGGACATCCCTTTATTCCGGCAGGAAATTCGCGGTAGTGCAATAGATACGTCTCGGGACTATTATTACCACCAGCCTGCCGTAAACGTGCCGGGGGAGAAATGCGAGGAAAAACAAGATGAAACGGAATCTATCTATCAGCTACTTATACGGGTCATGGATGCCCATCCGGAAGCGAATGCAATCTGCGCGGGCGCAGTTCTGTCCACGTACCAGAGGACAAGAATTGAAAACGTTGCATTGCGGTTGAATCTCGTACCTCTGGCGTGGCTGTGGATGTATCCTTATCTCCCTGCGCCTGCACAGCGTGAGAACGGGGATACCGAGTCTGGACCTGGAGCTAGGACTCCGCTAACGGGGTTGCTAGACGATATGGCTGCATGCGGATGCGAAGCAAGAATAATAAAAGTAGCAAGTGGGGGACTAGATGAGAGTACCTTATGGGGTGATATCGCTAGTAAAGACGGGATAGTGAGGAGAACTATGGTGAGAAAACTGGGGCGGTTCCTTAATGAAGGAATTGAAGCTGCCGTGTTGGGTGAAGGAGGGGAATATGAGAGTCTTGCTATAGACGGGCCACGGGTTTTATGGAAGAAGAGGATCCAAATTGACTCTGCGGAGAGGCGGGTTGGAGAGGCTGGTGTGGCGTTTTTATCCCTCAGGGGCGCTAGGTGTGTCGACAAGGAGCCGCTTGACAATGAAAATGAGGCAACACTAGATGATGTGAGGACACCTCAGATTTTTGATGATGAATTTAGACGTGTTCTGGATTCCATGAAGGTTAATGAGGTGAAGCATAACGCTCCGTTATACCAGATACAGGAGGTTAGCGGGTATGAGAGAGCTATGGTGCAGCTCAGGGAGTCTGGGAACTTCTTGAATACCTACAACTTGACAGCACCCGAAGCCGGGAATGGAGCTTCCAGACAAATGGATGCAATTAAGGGGAAACTAGCAACACTTCTAAATTCTCGGAAGAAGAAGGATGGAGAAGTGTTGACTACAAACGACGCTATCTTCAGCACCATCTTACTCCGATCAATGGACGATTTTGCATCCGTTAACGCTATATATTCCAGCTTATTCACTCAGCCCAACCCACCAGCAAGAGTCACGCTAGCATGTGGAGACAATTTACCTACGGGAGTTGATATCATGATATCCTTTACTTTCTACCTATGGCCAAGGACCCTACTGCAGGCGCTACATGTCCAATCTCGGTCCTACTGGGCTCCAGCAAATATAGGTCCTTATTCCCAGGCAATATGCGCGCCGATGCGGTCCGCTTCTGGGCTGACGCAGATAGCCGGACCCGTTTTCATTGCCGGCCAAATCCCACTGGAACCTAGCTCGATGCAATTATACTTATATAGTGGAGATACTGGAGGGGACATGTTATTATTTCACTCTCAAGCTGTCCTGTCACTGCAGCATCTGTGGAGAATAGGCAAGGCCACGGGAGTGGGGTGGTGGACGGGAGCTGCGGCATTCCTTTCTACCGGTGCTGACGTTCGGTCTAGAGCTGCTGTGGCGTGGGATATATGGAAATTTATGAATGAAGACCACAGCACCGAAGACCCGGAAGAAGAGGATAACAATCCGTCTAATTTTGATGTCTGGCATATGAAGTATGGGGGGCAATACGGCCAACCAAAGGCAGAAGTGTCTACACGCCCGATGCCGGACTTTAACATTGTCAATGGGGAACCAGCTATACCGTCTTTCTTCGCTATTGAGGTCGATGAACTACCCCGAGGAAGTAGTATCGAATGGCAGGGCCTTGGGTTACGAGCAAGCAGCGTTACTTTGGCATACGATCAAACCGATGAGCTGCAGATTCTACATGCGTCGGGGCCCGAGTTTGGCTGCTATACATCTATTGCCGTCATGGCGCATCCAAACACTGATCTAGAAGCTTTGTTGCAAAAGGCAGTGTTAATAGCTGCGGAAAAGCTGCCTCAAGGAGGCATTTTTTCCCATATGGCCATTTACACACCGCATGCCGCAAAACTCAAAGATTGGGAGGGTCAGGTCATTCCGTGTAAGGCTGTGTATGGACCTCGAGCACAAGAGCTTGTTGCTGGTCTTATTTTTCAAACACCCTCGCCATAGGGTATATGATATAAGATTAAGGGATGGAATGTTCCTGGCGCATATACGCTGAGTATCTATTGATGTCTAACAGACATGGTCTCACGTTGATGTTTGGAGTGTGATAGTTCCGTGATTATTCATTATGAGACACTGAATATACTCATACAGCATGGAGGCATCCACCGATTGGGTGCAACCTTTCATAGGGAGTCATCAAGCCACAGATGTGAAACTGCATTTACCATGCATTGAGTAACTGCAGACATCTAACTAGGTAAATAGCCAACGCCACCACTAAGACGAGCATCACTACTCGATAGCTGTGTATACTCCAAGCATTAGCTGGCCAACAATCCAGTTGACCGTGACGTTTAATAATATATCTATTATAGCCGGCGGCCTCAAAACTAGCGTTATAAGTCTCGCCACTCTGTCAAACCGCATCTTGCGCGACAGTATCATGCTACAGATTGATTATCATTGGAGCAACTTTGATTCCTCCGGTTCCGACGCCCATCACCCAGATAATGCCGTACCTGAACGAAATGATATACTTCTCGGCCGGTTCCCTTCCGATCTCGCGTGGATGACCCGAAATCGGAAGAAGGGATGGCCGTATATTTTTGTTTTGATAATCTTATTTCTAGAAGGTTGGTTTATAGTTATTATATTTGACTATGACTGTATTTCTGACAGAAGCGTCGCTAATAGGGTTCAATAGGTGAAAGACTGTGTATAAAATAACCAATTTGATGGAGACCCAAAAGTAACCAGACTTCAGTTTCAGATTGACGCTTGTTTCCATTTCAATTGGTGGTGTATCTATACCAGCCGAGCTTGAAACCAAGCTGCTTAGGATCATCAGAGGCAAGAAGGCGAGGAAGTCCGCGATCTTCTAGATCCTGACAGAATGCTCTTTTCCAAGAGGGTTCTTCTGTTGTGTCCTCCTCGACGTTGTTTTGTTCACCGTTTGTACCTTCTGCAAGGAGCGTGTCCGTTTGTGCGGCCAATTCTGCAACCGTGGTGTACTTATTGTGCCAACACTTGTCGATGATACCGTCAATCAGCGGATCACCATCTAGCTCTGGAAACTCCATATCCTGCATTAACTCGACGACCTTAGGGCCATGTTCCCTTGGATTCTCATGAAGACATCGATCTCCATAAACTTCAAAGCCGTAGTTTATGAGATAATATAAAGAACCCAGGGCGAACTGCTCCGTTCTAGGGCTTAGGAAGCCAGACGACCCGCGTGGGCCTAGGTCTGCTTCGCTGCTGTTTAGCAGCCTCCCATATGGAGCTATACAGGCTTCAAAGTCTGCCCCAAATTCTGCTGTACAGTCAAAATCTGATAACTTCAGCCGGTCACGGTCAAGCAGAATGTTTTCTGGTCGCAAGTCGCCATGAGCGAGGTTGAGTGATTCGAGGAAGGCGACAGCCTGAGCAAGGTCGTTCATCCATCTCTCCCGCAGAGCTATAGGTTCAAGTTTTTCCACTTTTGTAACCACCATTGTATCCTGGTCCCGAACATGGTTGTATTGTATTCTTAAAGAAAGGCATACATCTAAGAATGCAATCAGTATGTTAACCTATTCGATGACTAACTAGGCTCGAACCTCTCATATACTCAAGGAAGATGCCATTTTCTGTGTATAAAAAGCACTGTACTATAAAGGGACAGGGCGGGTGCTGCGCGAAGGCTTCATAGATCTTGATTTCTTTCTGAAACTGCTCTCTCTCAAATTCTTCGGGCTTTGGGACTTTGACAACTATACGAGGATGTACTTCGTACACGGCTGAGATGCCTCCTCCCCAGATCCAGTGTACACCAGGAAACTGTTGTTGGATGTTCATGGCAAGGAGGCAACGTAAGTAAATTTTTCTTGGATCAGAGAGTGTTTGTCTCTATGCCGAAGGAAAAAGAGAGCAAAAAGGACTATTTAAACATGCAAGGGAGGCTGAAATTTCTTTCAAGTAGTCACATACCAACTACACTCTGATTGGTTTAAAACCCCTTGCTAGGACGTTTCAACATAACAATTCACTATGCACATCGAATCGGATAAACTTGAATTACCAATAGCCACAATAGTTCTGCCCAGGCAGCAACATTCATGTAGGTAAAGAAGAGCGCTTGTTGACATGTGCTCCCCCAAGAAATGAATGTGGAAACTTCATCCTCAGGTGCTTTCATATGGACCTGTTCATACCAGAAACCATTTAAGCCCTTTCTCACTTCCCATTCTTCCTCACCCAAGTCCCATTGGCGATGCAGTCACAGTATGGACCTCTCTTAGTTGTTATCCTGAGTGTCCTATACTTTTAATGATGCCACAATATTTGCAGCAATTATACTCCCAGACCAGTGGGGGAGAGTAAATCCTGTGCCTGCATCCGTACTCAATGCTGTCTCATTGTTGCTGGGTTATATCTGCATCAGTCATACTTTTAACAATTTAAACAGAGTTTTGGGTGTAATGTGACTTGGTAGGACGCTGCCGCCTGTGAAAAGAGTTGTTGCGGGGTATGGTACCCATCTATGATGAAAGGGAGGGGAGGTTGACTGTAGCCTGGCGGTATTTTGGCGTAATGTGATAGGCATGCATGTTTGAGAGTAGGCTGGGAAGATGCATGGGATAATATTCTCAATAGCAGCGAATCAATCAGAACATCAAGCGAGGTGCACATAGCGCACCCAAGCCACCGAAGGCCTGCCTGCCTAGTCTCTGAAGTTGGCACTTGTGATAATATGTAGCCCGACCGAGCGAGGGTTGGTTAATAGGGAGTTCTAGAGGGTATGAATTTAGGTTGCAACCAGCAAAAGAAAAAACAACTTGCACCCTTCGAAGTTCAATCTCTGAGCCGTAGGTATGGTTCAGGGAGATAGAAGAGTTTCTACTTGCCAGATTATACCTCTGCTTGAATTTCAGGGGCAGCTTTTTGACAAGATTAAAAATGAACTGCTTCATTCACAAAAGGAGAAGCTTGCTCAGTCCCTCAGATTATGGTATGTTCCCGACCCAGCATCGCGACAGGTGGCGGGAGAACAGGCTTGGACTTCTGAGATGCGTTTGCAATGATAAAATTCTAAGACACATTTGCGGTGTTGGAAAGACAAGGGAAAGAAAAGAAGCTTTCTCCCACACATATATCCGCTTCTAACATTTCAAGTACCTTGGGCACCAATGATCTACAAAAGTCCCACAGGTAGCAGCAGAAGATGAGCAGGCCCAAACTGACAGTAGCTTCTCGCTCTTCTGGAAGAAAACAACCCCTTCCTGGAGCTGACGCCTCTAGAACCGCCACAAAAGCGACCCCAGCATGACTCACCGATTTCGAGGAGCATGGCATCATATAGTGACGATGAATGCATCCCATTCTTCTTTAAGAAGCGTAATAAGATCAACGAACTCCCGAAAAAAAAATCTGAATAGGTATTGAGAACGGTAAATTGTGGAAGAGCAACAAAGAGATGATCTATCGCTCACCAACTGCCTATCTCTGTATCTTCCGGAAAAGCGCAACAAAGATGCATTCCTAGTCGTTAGTATGGGAGTTGAAGATGGATCCAATGTTTCCAATATACTTGAACTCGGAGACCCAGTCGATTTGGAGGAACGCAATGAAGTGTGATGATTATTGCGCTTTTCAAATTTGACCCAGGCCATCATTATGTAGCAAAGATAGCCAGCTGATATATTTCTTGTTACCAGTTCGCTTTTTAGATTGAGATTTTCGACAAGTTTCCCCTCTCCACTGAGGGCTCGGGCTCCGACATCAGACATGACAACGTATAAAGTAGCGCTGTAAACGCGAGCTTTGACTGGACAATATAATCGTTGGTGGGCTGTCGTGGAAGTAAAATCTGGCGACTGTGATGCTTAGAGTTATGGGCTCAAGAGAGAGGTCAAGATAATCTATAAGCAACTGATATTCTTCACATACTCTCTAGTTCGATGGGAGTTGATCCATCCATGAAGCCAGGTCATGGAGTGTTGATGATGGAGAAGGCAGCATTATAAACCAATGTTGGTTCTAACTAGTGGGCCACGTCGAATCAGGCTTAGCGGCCCACGGGAAGTTTATACAAAAGTATTTTTTTAGCACCAAGCAAGATTTAAATTTATGGTTCAAAGTCGATGAGTTGAGGATATAAAGGACGAGGCATTAGGGTACGATAATATACACGCTTACGTCTTTTGGATAATAGAGATACTTTGTCTAAATTATTTTGGTTAAATAATTAGCCCATAAGTGAAATTTTCCTTACGATGTGAGAGTAATTGATTGAATTACTTAACTAGTTCGGTGGAGAGGAAGGAAACAGATTATATTGAAGTCGAATATGTTGATATTATAGAGTGGTTAAACTTGCTAGGTTAACTTATATTGAGTCAATAATAGAAAGTAGTAAAAGTATGAAGATTTACTCCTCATAGAGTGATATCGTTAACATTATGATTTGTTTGCGGAGTGATAGCGCAGCAATAGTAACAGAGTACGTCTTGTACAGCCACCTCTACGGGACCAATTTGACGTTCTCGAATGGCGCATGGAGTGCTCTGTAAACGCTGCCAATGACCATTTTATTTTATAACTATATTTTTGAGCTCTTATCATGTCTATCCCGTGTGCTAAATTGGTACTCCAGCTGCGGTTTACTGGTTTGAAGTATGAGGTTAATGGCTGTGAATTTCCGAGCCTATTTATTCTGTAGGAATAATCCTTGCCTGCCTCCGCTTGACCATTGGAGGAATGTTGAGGACTGGGAATGCACATTCGATTGCCTCGTAGGCCTATTCACTGGGCACTCTAGGGTCTGCAGTAACTACATTGGTTATTGGGATGATATCTTCTGAGCCGTATCCGGGGTAATACCTGGAGGCATCCCAAGTTAGGTCCACGCGTCGATGGAAAACATGCGCCATACGGTGATGCAACTATCTTTGAGGTTGAATGAGATGGAGGAGATGCATATGATATATCAAGTCGATAGAAGAAAGGCAAAATAGTGGTGTGGGAGATTGAGAAAAATTTAACAGACATGACTGTACCTAAAGCTATGGATATACGTGCCCTTGACATCTCAATTTCCAAAAGTATTCCTCTATAAAGTCTAGCATGTTATTTTCTCGAATCCATAGCTGGGGTGTTCTCCAGTCTCGGGTTTGCTGGAATTTCTGAAAAGAATAACACTTGGAATCGAGCTCTTCGCTATTCTTTTTTTATTCTCGCTAGGGATAAATATATACTTCTAAGCAAATTGTTTGTAGCTTTTAGAAGACGAAGCCGAAGATTGAGTTACGGCGCGGGTGTCGCTTATGTAGCTGGATCTGTAGACGTCAAACAATGCGAGACCTGAAGCACCAGCTTGCTATAATCCATTGATAGAATCCATCGCAGCCGTCAAAAAATATTAGCAAACATGCGAAGGAATAAAGATACCAATATAATTTGGTGACGCCACAAGGGTGAAGGTCGCTCGTGCTATAGCAGTTGATGGTATGTTGGACTAGGAATACGTATTACATAACCATGAAATCCTGTCTTTTGTCGGAGTTTTGTGTTATATTATTGGTCAAAGACCTTTAAATCTAAATATCTATTGGCTGGACTACTTTAATTTTGATTGAAGCAGCCAGTAGTAATTTATAATACTGTACCAATAATATACGAGCTAACTTTAATCAACTGGCTAAATCGATCCATGATGCAAGGTGTCTCATGTGAAAACATTTGTGGACATTTGACCAACATCGAAAGCTCCCCATCTGACAAGCATCTAGCTGTCCGCCTCTACACCCGAAGGTGGGCTAAGCATAAACTGCCCGTCGGTCGTATGGGCAAAGGATGGAAGCAAGCTGTTCCCATCCGGCCTCCTTTGAAACCATTTCGAGCACAGTCTATACCTCATCTATGATGGGATGGCAACCCATGAACTCACGAACGAGAGTGAGCTAGAAAACTCACTGGCCGTAGAACCGCAACAGGAAGAAGAAGAGAACAGGTTACAGCGTCACCTCCCTCAACGATCGCCGCATCTCTATCGCCGTTCAAACCAGGAAAACGCCACCACTCCGACAACCGATTCTGGAGAGAGCCTGTATACATGGAGGAAGCCATTTAGAACACCCAGTGATAGTGGCACAGAGGCAGACGATGAGGCAAACGGAGCACTGAAACGTGTGCCTGCACCTCTGGTGAGTAAGAGGATTGAATATCGGTTTAAGAGAGGTACTACTGAACGCAAGGAGCATGGGGACTCGACTGTTCTCCGGCGCTCCAAAAAGCGTAGAGTTGAGACACCGGATATAGAAGAACTGGAATTTCATATATCTATTGGGGCAAGGCTTAGGATTGAAGTTTTGCGGCGGATTTGCGAGACTGGACTTGTTCTCGGTGTTGCGTTTGCTGTGATGTTACGACGTGGTGTCCGCTCGGTGGTAAAAGCTTGGTTTTTAGGTAAGGAAATGCGAGGTTATAGACCTACTCACAGTCCGGGCTGACTGTTATGTGTGCTTTATCTAGAATTATCTGTTTTCTCGCTCCTTATCTTGGGGCTCTATGCCATATTCCCACTCCGCAAGTGTCCGTATGGTAGCTACCGCACAAAACTAAAGAGGATTGTAGCTTTCCCGTTCTCGAGAGATATCGATCCAGCTCCTCTGATATACCCAATATTGATACCAGTTTTGACTGCCCTCTCACTAGGGCCGTCCTATGATGGCCTTGTCTTGTTGAACATCATTCTGAGCCTCTCTTCCCTACCAGCTGCAACTATCCCTTTACATGGCTCTGGAAGTTATAGTGCAGTTCACTGGCTGATCACCGCTATTCCTCTCTTTGTTTCTGAGAGGGTGCCATTTTGCCAAAGCCCAGGACGAGCCATGTCGGAGCTCGGGCTTGAGCCGGAGCTTCTCATCCTCATTTTCCCACTACAAAAATCAACGATTTCGATTATCGAGTATCTGGTCACGTCAAGTTTATTACCAACAGAAGTACAACTTCTGGGAACTGCGTTGGTCAATGTATTGCTTGTCTCCAATTCCCCACAGGCGCAGATCCTGAAAGCTCTAGTTTGGTTAGGTGCGTTCTGCATATTTGTTACCTGCAAAAATGCGCTGCTATGGGAGGCCACTTTGGCTAGAATTCCATCGTGGAAGTTCCGCCGAGCATCTATCCGAACGACTGACGATGAAAATATACTCGGTGCATTAGACCGCCAAGTGTGCCATACCCTGAACCACCCTTTTTCAGAAGATCAAGCATCAGAGAGCGAGGCTCTGGTGGACATTGTTAGAACGAGTGGTCGCCAGGCTAGCCTGTTGTATAACAACTTCACGAAGATTTTGGCGACGGAGCTGGACTTTGACAAAAGGTCCTTCAAACGGCATGAATCGACCCAACAGTCCGTTTCGGCGGTGGAAAACGAGACAAAAATCGAGGCGAGTCTGGATAGCCTGGATGATAGGACACAGCTCTCTAGAGCAGGCAGCCAGCACAGCCAACACATTACAACTTCCAAAGCTGGAGGGATGACACCCCTTCGCAGAACTACAACTAAAGGTGGCCGACGAAAACGCCAAATTCCGCAAAGTATGAGAGCTTTTCTTTCCCTGACCATGGAGCAGGCCACTATTCGGAAATGGGCTTATGCGGTGTATGTTTATGCTATGGTTCTTGCTATCATACTGGTACCGGTGAGGTGGTATGTGGCTAGATATGCACTTGGTGGGCGCGAGCCTTTTGGATGGGCGATAGGGTATCTCTTTGGAAACATACCGTCCATCAGGTTTACACTGTTACTCTGGAGCCTGGAGGGCTGGGCCTGTATCCCACCACGGATATACGATAGTTCGGCGTCCTGCCACCTAGGTTGGGTCGAACATCTACGCCGCGACACTGTTGGAGAAGCAAACTCTCGCCTGTTCCTCTGCGCCTACTGTATCCTTATCCTGGCCGTCGGGCTATCGCTAGTGTACCGGCTCTCCCGCGTCGTGGAAGTGGACACACGCCGGAAGATCTTTCACGGCATGATGGTGGCCATGTTCTTCCCGACAGTCTTCATCGACCCAACCTTTGTTGCTCTGTCGTGTATACTTGTTCTTGCGATTTTCCTCCTGCTAGAGCTCTTCCGTGTCTCCCAGGTGCCACCACTGGCTCGGTGGTTGTCGTATTTCCTTGCACCTTATGTCGATGGCCGTGACCATCGTGGACCCGTGATTGTGTCTCATATCTTTCTCATGCTCGGCTGTGCCCTGCCGCTGCTGCTCAGCCTTGCCGGGACTCCCCATCTGGGTTCTGTTCCGTGGGAAGGATGGGAGGTCGACGGTCGAGATGTAAGCATGGTTAGCGGGATTGTCTGTGTCGGCATGGGCGACGCCGCCGCCTCTCTTGTTGGTCGACGATACGGTCGACGTCGATGGTTCTGGGGCGGAGACAAGAGTATCGAGGGGAGTGCTTCGTTCGCCGCAGCCGTCTTTATCGGCCTTGTGACCGCGAGGGTCTGGCTGGTCGTCGGAGGATGGGAGGCCAACGTCTACTGGGCTCTAACGATAACCAAGTCTACGATTGCAGCAGTTGCATCGAGCTTCATGGAAGCCGTCCTGACGGGAGGAAACGATAATGTAGTTGTTCCTCTAGTTCTATGGTTGCTGGTGCGAGGTCTACGGTTATAACGATCTTCTCATAATTTAACATATCAAGGAAAATCTATGCGCGGGCTATGTTTGGTTGAGGATATAAAATGCTTTTTTACGGCCCATTTTAATATAGATAAAACGATGTATACAGCCAGGTATATACACTTAACGTATGCATATGCATCTCTTTGCCACGTCGACCACGGGTCTGTACCAGGAGCATACCTAACGGAAGAATAACCGGGCATGACTGGCCAGGGAGAACCAGCAGGCCAGGTACATACATACATACCAACCTATACCAGGATTCCACATAGTAGTAGCTATGCATGGCGAAAAAAAGTATACATCTACCTGCCATGCATGGTCCGGGGAGACTAATCCTGGCATCTTGGACTCAAAATCAGTCGATTCCAGCGAGCCATCCTGCAGAGATGTTTCCATACACCCACTCTCAAAGGGGCGAGCAGGTTTAGTCACTAAGATGGCCTTTCATCTAGGCTGTGTCACTCCCTTGACTGCTCTATCACGGGGGGGAGGAGGAGGAGAGCCTCGCCCTGACTAAGACGATCATCGATGTAGCGGTACCTCGTCCTGCAGTGTGGACGTCATAGAAACGACAAGTATACAACTACCTGGAGCTCCTTTCAAACAGCGTCATACACTGTAGATGGGAGAGGTACATGATCTCGCCGTGTGATTTGGCGTGGAGGTCGAAGTACTTTTGATGGACGTTCGTCTGCTTGGAGCGAGTCCCGTGGCCCGGCGATAAGATAAGGTCATCATCATCGTCCTTCTTCTCACCGTCGCCATCACCATCTCATCTTCTCTCGCCCCCTCTGTCTCTCTCTGTCTCTCTCTGTCTCTCTACTGATGTTGTTCTCTTGCTCGCTCTCTCACCGTACTCTCCAACGACTCATCTCGAGGTGACACACCGGAGCTGCTCGATCGTCTCTTCCTGTGGAACATCCCTGCCCTGGCCGCCTTCGTCTGCCTGTTCTCTCTCGCTCGTAATATAACTGCATATATACATATACACCCTGATCCCTCGCACAGCTTGCTGTTATATAGCCTGTCGTTATTAAAAACAACCTGGAGGGATACGTTCTGGCTACCGGCAGCCTATACATACGGGGAAAAGTGGTTTGGATAGCTCCGATTACCAGCTGGCTTGGGAATCGACCGCATAGTAAGGACGCCTGCCTTCCCTTTGGTCCCTCTTCCTCTCTCTAGCTCTCTCTCTCTCTACTCGACTCTTCTTGCTTCTGTTCTTCGTTTAATGGCATCACAACGGTCAGGGGTTGCTTGCTCCGGGTGCCTGACTACAGCAGTGAGATGATTCAAGTAGTAACTACCTTGCAGGCTGCTGGCTGACATCTCTACCTCTGTCTCCACAGGTTGCATTATTTTGGCCTTTGTCCGAACTAGAACTCTTCTATACTTTCTTGTGAATTCACTCTTTCGTCTGGTCCTCCCTCTTCACTGGACTACAGTCTCTTTGAACCCTCTCTTGCATAAAAGGCGCCGGCCTCGGCCTCGACCTCGACCACGACCAGCAGAAACTACACTTTACCCAGCCGTTGACTCGTCATTTCTCAACTTCCTTCTCTACAATAGCTTCTACCATCGTACATAGTTTGCTTGAAAGCTGCCTCAGATGGGAGCGGGAGGATACCCTGGCTGAGGAAGAATATTGGAAACATATTTCGGTCTGTGTCGCTCAAACCGATGTGCTACCAGACTTGGGGGCTCCATAAATCATGGCTACACCATCGGCAGAGAGCTCGAAACGGGCTAGCACAGTTGTGGATGATGAACCGGTGAACCTGAGGATAGGACAGTACACACGACTGAATGAGATTGGCCGTGGTAGTTTTGCAACAGTCTATCGGGGAACTCATAATGTAAGACTTCCACGGCATTGATAAATCCTGCTCTGGAACATGCCGAAAGCTTCTGGAATAAAGAGGAGAGCAAGCTGATCAGGTTTCTTTCGCCATAGGAATACAACACCTTTGTTGCAGTCAAATCTGTCACACTGCTTCGCCTGACTAAGAAGCTGAGAGACAACCTGAAGCTGGAGATAGACATTCTGAAGAGCCTCCATCACCCGCATATCGTTGCTCTGATAGACTGCTATGAGACTTCATCACACATACATATCATCATGGAGTTCTGCATGCTCGGCGACCTCTCCCGCTTCATCAAGAAACGAAACTCCATGGCGAAGCACGAGCTGCTGCGAGACATGATGACCAAGTATCCCAACCCCCCCGGAGACGGCCTTCACGATGTTGTTGTCCGCCATTTCTTAAAGCAGCTCGCTAGTGCTCTCCAGTTCCTCAGAGCCAAGGACTTGATACATCGTGATGTCAAGCCTCAGAACTTGCTGCTTCATCCTTCTCCCGTTATCTGTTCGAAGACCCTTATCCAGTCCGTCTCCTACAAGGGAAGCGAGAATTCATTTACTCCTATTGCTGGAGTTTCGTCTTTCCCCATGCTCAAAATAGCGGACTTTGGATTTGCTAGGTCTCTACCGTCCACATCTCTTGCCGATACCCTCTGTGGATCGCCGCTATACATGGCCCCGGAAATATTGCGGTATGAGAAGTATGACGCCAAAGCAGATCTATGGTCTGTGGGCACAGTACTTTATGAAATGGTTGTTGGAAAACCACCATTTAGAGCTTCTAACCACATGGAGCTACTACAAAAGATACAGCTAACGAAAGACAGAATAAAATTCCCACGGGACACACCAGTTGCCAGCGATATAAAAAAACTAATCCGTAGCCTACTGAAGTTTAACCCTGTCGAAAGACTGACATTCCCCCAGTTCTTCGAAAGCCCAGTTGTTGAGTGTGATATTCCCGGTTTGGTAGGGGAAGACCTGGAAGAACAAATAGGGCGGAATGCTGCTCACGAGAGGGAACGGCTCGAAGGTGAAAGCTTAGGACCAGAAGGCCTTGAGCAGGAGGTATTAGACCAGCCAGGGGAGGGCATGGGTGAAGATACAACTGTTAAATCTGCCGATAAACCCCTTGGCTCTACAGCAGGTCCGCCTGTAACTCGACCTGGCCCACGACCAGTGGTAGGACGAGTTTCACGGCCCAGTTCTGCCGCAAATCAAGGAGAAGTGCGGGAGAAGCATGATACACAACCCACAGAGAATCGTCAGCACGAAGGTTCTCCTGTACCGGCATCAACAAGAAACGATCACCCTGTCGTTAGTGAACTTGCAGTGAGACAGCGAAGCGATAACCAGCGATCTTCTATATCCTCCCTTACGGGGCAGATTTCTGGCCCACCACACAGCCCTCGTCCCCAAGATGCGAAGCAGCTATCGGAGGTTGAAATGGAGCGCGCCGCTCAAGATATTGCTTTTGAACGAGACTACGTTGTGGTAGAAAAACGAGCAGTCGAAGTAAATGCTTTTGCTGATGAACTCGCAGCCAGCCCACGGCTTCGGCAACAACAATTGAGCTCACGCCAGGCGGGCGCTATCATTCGGCGTGCTACAACGACGGCTACTCCTCACTCGCTCAAAACGAAACAAACTACTCAGCCTGATCCCCAGGACAGACCGACTAAGCCAAAGACTGATTCTACGCATAACCGACGTTATTCCTATGATAGGAGATATGGACCAAACCCAATTTCGGCAACATCAGCTATTTCCAAGGCTCTTAATATGGCTAGTGGGAGGCTTTTTGGTGTCAGCTTTTCTCCGCCGTCGGCATTGACAAAAGGCGGGCGGTCTCCCCCGTTAGGTTACAACCCATTCCCATCTTATCCTGTTGCGCAGAGCAGTTTAGTAGTGGTTGACGAGAAACCTCAACATCTAAGCCATGATTCGAAGACCGTGCATATCATCGAGGAATGTGCGACTCGAAGTGATGTTGTTTATGGGTTTGCTGAAGTTAAATACAAGCAGCTGATCCCCGCTGCTCCATCAAGCAGATCGGAATCTACCATCAAGCCTGCCAATTCGGAAGATGGGCCTGATGAGGGCCTGACGCTGGATGCGGTGCTTATCCTCTCCGAAGAAGCCCTAGTTTTGTACGTGAAAGCCTTGTCTATTCTTGCAAAGGCCATGGATATCGCAGGCGCATGGTGGGCACGGAAGAACCGCGACGAGAGCATTAGCAACGGTTTCCCCATATCTCGTACAGAAAAGGACATCGCAGTAAGCAGCCGAATCAATAACGTTGTCCAATGGGTTCGAACTCGTTTCAACGAGGTACTGCAGAAAGCCGAATATTCTCGCCGACGACTTCTAGAAGCTCAGAAACAGCTACCTCCAGACCACCCGTATCGAATGTCTCACGAACTGGGAGAATCTGAGAGCCTCCCAAGCTTTGACCAGTCATCCGACCAGGTTATCATCAGTTCTGGTATTACTGCGGAAAAACTCATGTACGACAGAGCACTGGAAATGAGTCGAACGGCTGCCATTAACGAGTTGACTGGCGAAGACCTGTCTGGATGCGAAATAGCATATGTCACAGCGATCAGAATGCTTGAGGCCGTGTTAGAGAGTGACGATACTTCTCGATCTTCAAAAGAACGAGGAGCTGCGGACGGAGGAAGTTCAAGCGAACCCCATATGGCGAATAGCCAAATCCAAGGAGAGGACTGTGAAGTTGTTGCTAAACGTAAGTATTTCATTAGTTGTATTGATCTCAAGGAACATCGCTCATTATCTCGTTTAGTTGTTGAGAGCATTCGCGCTCGTCTAAGAGCTCTTCGAAAGAAGATGTCGCTTATGGCGAAACGGACCTCTGCTCCTCCAGCCGTACTCTCGCCAAAACTCCCACCTTCACACCCACGACCAGCATCGCCTGCCATGGCTCATTCGCCATCCAAATAATCATACGTCTTGTTGCCGCAGTTGACTTACCCTTCAATGCACTAACCTACCTGTTCCAGACGCCTCTGGCAATATTTCTCTTTCTACCTGGGAATCGGACTCAGACCATCGATCTTTTGACATCTATTTTCTGGCTTATTTATCCACCCCATGGCCCCTATCCTATTTATTACCTATCATTTACCTTCCACAACCCATCACCCTCACACCCCTAATTACACTGCTTCCCATTGCTTTACCAGAATGTTTTTCTATGCCATACCCACCTTTTCTACCTGTTTTATAACCGGCGCGGTTCTTCTTTTCTCTCACTAGGAACCATGCAAAGGGTTATGCCATGCCCTTCTGCAGTCCACTTTTTGGTTATGGAATTTAATGAAGGCGGTCATATTTCATGTTTATTTTTTTATCATTTCATTGGGAGCCGCGTCCGGAGTGGTCTAAGAGATTGGGGTCTGGCTTCAACCTTTGCTTTTTTCTTTTCTTTCTTCTTTACTTGCTTATTATTTGTTTTTCAAGGTTCAAGATCAGTTTTGATGTGCATTTTAACTTATTATGGAGGGCCATAGGTTAATATAAAATTACATACTAGCAACTTAAATAAGTTTACCCACGTTTGTCTTTTTGGTCAAAGAGCTGGTATTATTGGCAGCTATATGTGCTAGTTCACCGTTATCTTTGCTTGCTTTCGACCCTCAGTCTATAGCATCGGAACTTGAATAGATCGAGAAGAAATAGTATATATTTGGTTCCTATGTTAGTTGAGAGTTAGGGTCATCGCCAGCCATGGGTGTTTCCTTCCTACACAGAAGAGGTCCAGCACCATTCAAAGTCCAACAAAACGACTTGGATGCTTCAGATATTATACCCAAATGCTAGTTTTATTGCATATTCCTATACTCTTAGTTATAGGTTATATCTATGTCGCCTGTCTGCGGAAAGTCTCTTGATACTTCTACTCTGCAGTACTGTCAGCCATTCCCTGGAGCACCATGGCGGACTCGAACGATACTATCTCCGAATCGACGTCCACCAAAACCCTGAGCAATTCCGTCATGGAGCTCCCGCCGTATAAACCCTTAGACGATATCGGGAGGTTATCATTTAGTGAAATCAACCTTCCCCCGATGGATCTTACTATACGTTCTTGTGAGTTTGCCAGAAACCAGCCATTTATAATACAGGAGGGAGGGAAAGCTGATATATATAATATGGCAGTTGGCAAGAGTGCCTGCTCTGAATTCGGTGATGAGGTGGAATATAATTCTGATATCGGTAACACTGTGTCCAGCAATGGGAGACAGATTGGTGTTTTCAGCGCTACGTTCCTTATATTCAATCGGATCATTGGGACAGGGATATTTGCTACACCTAGTGCCATCTTGGCTCAGACGGGCAGTGTTGGTATGTCTCTTGTGGTTTGGATTATTGGAATGTTGATTGCGATGGCTGGTACGGCCGTGTACCTTGAGTTTGGAACTGCTATTCCTAGGTAAGACAGTTATACCTGCTTGTCCCATTGGAATTTTTAATGTCATAGTATATGCTAACAGGTTTGATATAGAAACGGTGGAGAGAAGAATTACCTCGAATATGTTTACCGAAGGCCAAGGTTCCTAGCAACGGCGATATACGCCGCTTATGCACTGCTACTGGGGTGGGCAGCTGGGAATAGCGTTGTGTTTGGAGAATATGTTCTGCATGCTGCGGGCGTCGAGGTTAACCGGTGGAACCAAAGGGGTATTGGATTTGGCTGCATCACGGTAGCATTTTTTGTCCATGCTATCGAGATGAAATGGGGCCTTCGCTTGCAGAATGCGCTTGGGTTATTGAAACTGATCGTGATTATGGTCATCATAGTCAGCGGAGCGGTAGCACTGGCGGGAGGTACATCGGGAAAAACGTCGAACAACTTTTCGAATACCTGGGGGGACCGTCGTCCGAGTATATATGGGATGGTCACGGCACTGTATAGCGTCATATGGTCATATGTTGGCTATTCAAATGCTAACTACGTGAGTATAGCTGTTAATCGTTTCTAAGCGTGTGTTGCAGCTCTGACTGAGTGCTATACATAGTCTCTCAGTGAAACTCGAAATCCCATTCGGACGTTGAAAATCGCGGCCCCTATAGGGGTCACCTTGGTCGGCATTCTGTATTTGCTGGTCAATATAGCATACTTCGCCGCCGTACCAAAGGAGGAGATCTTAGGTTCCGGACGCATACTCGCAGCCTCCTTTTTCCGCAACATCTTTGGTCCCAAGGCAGAGCGGGTTCTGTCTATATTCATTGCGCTGTCAGCCTTTGGAAATGTTCTGGCGGTGCTGTTTTCACAGGGAAGAAGTATGTTCGGCCCCTTTTTCACTGTATGACCCTCTCTAACCAGGGATATTAGTCGTCCAGGCACTCGGTGAAGAAGGGGTCCTCCCGTTGTCGAAATTCTGGGCGAGCAAGCGTCCATTCAACTCTCCAGCCGCCGGCCTGTTGGAGCACTATATCCTATCGGCTATAGTGATGCTTGCACCGCCGCCTGGAGACGCATATATCTTTCTCCTAAAGTGGGTATCATTCATTCTATTATGAACTAAACCATGACTAAAAGTTATGAATTGAACAGCATGATTTCGTACCCTCTGTCGGTGGTAAATGTGCTGGTTTCCGCAGGACTTATGCACATATATCTTCGCCCATCAAAGTACCCCGGATGGGCACCAGGCATTCGAGCAACGCTGCCAGTCACGATTTTCTTCCTTGTATCCAACATTTACCTCACCGTTGCGCCGTTCCTCCCGCCGCCCAACCCAAAGGACAACGTGTACGTATACCTCCCATACTATTCGCACTGCGTGGCTGGGCTGAGTGTGTTTGTAATTGGTGCGATATACTGGGTGGTATGGGCCAAGTTTTTACCGTGGTTGAAGGTATATAACATTGCAGAGCATCCCTTGGAAGAGAACAACGGAGCAGTAAGAACGGTAGCGGTGAGGGTCCCATCGGTGAATATCAGTAGGAGACGGGAGAAAAGACAGGAGAATCTCTTGGGCTGGATGAATCCATTCTCTCATGTTGGCTAGGTCGCCGATACTGTGGTGGAAGCTGCTTGGAGAGGGAAGTTGATATGAGAGAAACGGAGACTGTAGCACATTGTATTATTCTCTCGACACCTATCATGTATACTATCCTTTATACAGAGGATTCCATTCATTTCGCAGAATAAAACAAACTGGTCGAATGGGCAGAGATGTGCCGACTATTCTATGGAGAAACAGTTCACTTCAGCAGCCTGGAAAAGGTGCGAACCGATCCCCTCAAACTAGCGGAGAGGTAATCTAGCATGGAAGGGATGAGACAACTCTGAATGTCCTTGTTACAAGATCGTAGCCGTCTATATCAAATAATCCTTCCTTGCGTTGATATTGAGAAAGAGAAAAGATTTTGAGGTGTGAAAAAAAAAAGAAATATAAAAGGGGATGCTAAAACGCCAAGCCATAATAGGTACTTATTTTCTCTAGTAAATTTGGTGTATTTACAAGTACCTTTTATGATTGGTTCGTATCTTTTTGTCTCGATATTTTTTCTTTGCACAGCAGAGTTGAAGAGAACGAAGTTCAAGCTTGTTGAAGTCGATAAAACTTCTGCACGAGAAGGGAGAAGACGAAGACGAAGCAAGGAGGGTTGACTGAGGCACTCTTTGATACATACCGTTCATTCCTTTCCATTTAATCCGTCGCTCCTTTTCTTCAATTGGTCTCTTTTCTGCTGCTGGAGGTCGTTATATGTATGATTTGATATACCTATTCAAGGCATCAACTAGGAGGTTTATATGCATGAAACCTCCCGACAGCCTCTCTTCCGGCAGCTTCTGAGCTTCTGAGCTTCTGAGCTTCTTGACTGCCTTATAGGTCTGTCTTTTCATCATATATTACCAGCAAAGATGCTGTCTCGGGCAGCTGGTGTACGCAGAGCTGGCGCAGCTTCATCTCTCTCCCTCCCAGCTCTGTTTTCACTGTCTTCTGTATCATCTGTATCATCTGTATCATATCTATCTTCTGCATCTTCTCCTTCGTCTTCGTTGTCTTCTTCTGGTCTCCGCCTCAATATTACTAATCCCTCCCGCCGAGGCTTCGTCCGCCCTCCAATCACGCCCGGCCTTCCACCCCGCCCAGCAGTGACTTTCACCCCGCCATCGCAGCGGTCTTCTTCTCTCTCTTCCGCCTCTGCGTCTTCCTCTATCACTCTTACACAGGCTCACTCTTCCTCCACTCGTCTACCCCGCCAGTTCAAGAGATTCTGCTCCTATAGGAGAATGTGTCGTGCAAGGCGAGGTGAAGATGGCGCCCCGGGCTCCATGCCTGTGGCCGCTGCTGGTCGTGAGATCCTCCCCGCCAACGTGAAGCCTTTGCACTATGACCTGACTCTGGAGCCTAACTTCGAGGATTTCTCCTTCAAGGGAACCGTCCATATTGAGTATGCAAGTCTATTTTCACTGATTTCTGCTGTTCATTTGAGAATTGCTAACTGACGGATGATTAGCCTCGACGTTGTTGAAGAGACTACCTCCATCACCTTGAACGTTCTCGAGCTCACCATTGATTCCGCTGCTATCGAGACTAATGGAACCGAGATCACTACCTCGTCTCCTGTAAGCTATGACAAGGATAAGCAGACTGCTACCATCACTCTCGGCGAGAAGGTTGCCGCTGGTACAAAGGCCAAGTTGAACCTCAAGTTCACCGGTACCCTGAACGATAACATGGCTGGGTTCTACAGATGTTCATACAAGGACACCAATGGCAACCAAAAGTACATGGCCTCCTCCCAGATGGAGCCTACCGACTGCAGAAGGGCTTTCCCTTGCTTCGATGAGCCCTCTCTGAAGGCCCAGTACACCGTCACCCTTATTGCAGACAAGGACATGACCTGCCTGAGCAACATGGATGTGGAATCAGAGACTGAAGTCAAGTCTACCATGGTCAGCCATCCCAGAAAGGCTGTTAAGTTTACCAAGTCTCCACTCATGTCCACTTACCTCGTGGCTTTCATTGTTGGCCATCTCAACTATATCGAGACAAAGGCATTTAGAGTGCCAATTAGAGTGTACGCTACTCCAGACCAAAACATCGAGCACGGAAGATTCTCCCTAGATCTTGCTGCCAAGACCCTTGCCTTTTACGAAAAGACATTCGACAACAAGTACCCACTGCCCAAGATGGACATGGTTGCCGTCCCCGACTTCGCTGCAGGTGCTATGGAGAACTGGGGCCTAGTCACCTACCGAATCGTCGATGTCCTGTACGACGAAAAGACGACCGGTGCCGCTACCAAGGAACGTATTGCCGAGACTGTACAACACGAGCTTGCTCACCAGTGGTTCGGAAACCTGGTTACTATGGATTTCTGGGATGGCCTCTGGCTCAACGAGGGCTTCGCCACGTGGATGTCATGGTATTCATGCAATGTCTTCTACCCGGAATGGAACGTTTGGCAGACTTATGTTATCGACAACCTCCAACAGGCCTTGTCTCTTGACTCCCTCAGAAGCAGTCACCCCATCGAGGTCCCAGTCAAACGCGCCGATGAGATAACCCAGATCTTTGATGCCATCTCTTACTCCAAGGGCTCCGCTGTCCTCCGAATGATTTCCAAGTACATGGGTGAAGAGAACTTCCTTCAGGGGGTTAAGGCTTACATCAAGAAACACGCCTATGGAAACACTACCACCGGTGATCTCTGGGCTGCGCTCAGTGAAGCTAGTGGCAAACCCATCGATAAAGTGATGGATATCTGGACCAAAGACGTTGGCTTCCCCGTCCTTACCGTAAAGGAGAACAAGGAAAATCAGACCATCAATGTCCAGCAAAACCGTTTCCTTCGTACCGGAGATGTCAAGGCTGAGGATGATAGGATTCTTTACCCTGTTATCCTCGCTCTAAAGAGTCGTGATAATATCGACCAAGCTGCTGTCCTCTCAGAACGAAGCCAGGACATCAAGGTCGACCTCGACTTCTATAAGCTCAACGCGGACCACTCATCCCTCTTCAGAACCTGCTACACCCCAGAACGCCTAGAGAAGCTAGGAAAAGATGCCAAGGCAGGTCTCCTGACTGTCGAGGACAAGGCTGGTATGATTGCTGATGCCGGAGTCCTTGCCGCATCTGGCTACCAAAAGACCTCTGGAAGTTTGTCTCTCCTCAAGGAATTCGACCAAGAGAACGAGTTCGTTGTCTGGAATGAAATCCTCACTCGCCTCGGTTCAATCAGAGGTGCCTGGATCTTCGAGGGCGAGGAGACCAAGGATGCTTTGAAAACTTTCCAGCGCAACCTGGTCAGCAAAAAGGCTCATGAGCTCGGCTGGGAATTCACTGAGAAGGACGGCCACGTCCTCCAGCAATATAAGGCCCTCATGTTCAGCGCTGCTGGCTCTGCTGGTGATGAGAAAGTCGTTGCTGCTGCCACCGACATGTTCAAGCGCTTCGCCTCTGGTGACCGTGACGCCATCCACCCTAACATCCGTGGCAGTGTATTCGACATTGCTCTTCGAAACGGTGGGGAAAAGGAATGGGACATCGTCTTTGACAGATACAAGAATGCTCCTACCTCTGCCGAAAAGAACACCGCTCTCCGCTGCCTAGGCTCCTGCGAGGACCCAGCCATGGTTCAGAAGACCCTCGCTCTTACTCTTTCCGAGGAGGTTAGAATCCAGGACATCTACATGCCCATGTCCGGACTTCGCTCCCACTCTGCGGGTATACTAGCACGCTGGAAGTGGCTACAGGAGAACTGGGCACCCTTGACCGAGAGGCTCCCTCCCGCGTTCTCTATGCTGGGATCTGTTATTCAGATTGCCTGTGCTAGCTTGTGTACTGAGGAGCAGTTGAAGGAAGTCGAACAATTCTTTGGGGACAAGGACCACAAGGTAACATATTCTTTCACTTATTTCACATTGCTAATATATTGCTAACCATTATATACACAGGGTTACGACCGATCCCTAGAGCAGAGTCTCGACGCTATTCGTGCTAAGACTGGCTGGCTTTCGCGTGACCGTGAAGACGTAGAGACTTGGCTCAAGTCAACCGGTTACAAGGCCTAAGCCAACTAACAAGTGTATCACTAGGGTACATACGAGAAAGACTTTCAAAAGATTGAAAATCAGTCTTACAATTACTTAGGACATCGTCCTTGGCTTTGGGATGACGGAGATTTTCATAACTACTCTTATCATTCTTCAAGGTTAAGGTGTATATAGACATGATACTTTGAAAAACCACCACCTCGAAAGTGTCGTAGGCGTTATGCCTCAATTAAAATCTTCGCTTATTCAGATCATATATATCATATGTTACAAACAAATAACGGGGGCAATGTGCTATTTACCACCCATTACCACCGCCCTTGCCTGCAAATCCGGAACTTTCTTCGATCTTCTTCTGGCCGGCTGCGCCCATTCCTCTCACTGGCTTAGACTGAGCAGCTTCATGTTTGCGCAATTCCTCCGGTACTCTCGATATGGAAGATTTCATAAGCATTTGTTTAAGATCATACCTGTAAAAAGAAAGTTAGTTAAGCACATGAGCAGCAAGAGTAGGAGGTATAGGGCATTAACGTACAAAACATCGTTATCTTCATTTCCCAGGAAAGTGATAGCAACACCACTCTTCCCTGCACGACCAGTTCTTCCAATACGATGGGTATAACTCTCGATATTGGTAGCCATATTGAAGTTAACTACTAAACTGACGTCTGGAACATCAATACCACGACCAGCAAGATCTGTAGCAACTAACACATCTGTCGAACCGTTACGAACGGATGCAAGTGCCGCCTCTCTTTGTTCCTGTGTCTTGGAACCATGTAGCGTGACGGCTGAGAAGCCCATATGTTTGATATCCCTAGCAACAGCATCACAGTTTCGCTTGATGTTGACGAATACAATGATTGGAGGACGATATTCGCGCGATGTAAGAATATCAGCAAGTCGTTTCTTGCGCTTATCTTCTCCCGCAACGAACTCGACACGTTGCTCAACGGTATCAACTGCCTCTCCAACGTTACCTATCGTAACGATTGCTGGGCGACGGAGGTACTTTCTGGCTATCCTTTCGACAGCCGAGGGCATAGTAGCCGTGTACATCATTGTCTGTCGGTATCGGTCCTTACCACCAATATGTTGGCTCATTGCCTGTGCGTTCTCAGCTTCTTCGGTATCCGGTTTCTCATTTGACACTGGTAGTGCATCAAGGATCTTGTTAACCGGTTCCTCGAACCCGAGGTCTATCATTCTGTCTGCTTCGTCCATGATGACATAGCAGCATTGACTGAGAACGAGGATTCGTCTCTCGATACAGTCGACTAATCGACCTGGAGTGGCGATAATAATTTCAGCTCCATTCCGTAAATTGTACGCCTGTTCTTCAAGCGAGTGACCACCCACGATACTGACGACGTTAAAATTGAGAGGTGCAGCAAACTTCATGGCTTCTATCTCAATCTGTTGCGCAAGTTCACGGGTTGGTGCTAGAATGATAGCATAAGGGCCATCGTTCCGTCGCCATTCAAATTCGTCTAGTCGCGGAAGGGAAGAGATATAGACAAGAAGTGGGAGAAGGAACGCTGCGGTTTTACCGGAACCGGTGACAGCAACACCAATGAGATCTCTATTCTGTAATGCAATTGGTATAGCAACTCGCTGAATAGGCGACGGTTCTTTATACCCCACCGAGTCAATGATATCAAGAAGCCGCTTCGGAAGATTCGACTCAGACCATGCACGCATTGGGTTCGGCAAGCTGCCTCCTTTTGTGCTGATGTTGAAATCTTCCTTGAAAATTCGCCAATCTCGTTCTCGCATGTGTTCCAGTTTCTTCTCACTCCAATGGGCATCAATGGCATTTCTCCCGCTTTCTTCCTTTCTGCGTCTTTCCATCTCCAGTATTTCCCTTGCTCGAACACTCCCGGCTTCAAGATCTCTATCTTCCAAAGCTCTAGCATATCTTTTCACGGTGTCGTCGGCAACTTCGTCAGCAAAACCAGCTAATCGACCACGGCCAAAAAAGTTCGCTTCCGAGCGGTTTTGATAGAGGGGGTTGTAGTCCGGGCTTGTATCTTCCTCTGCATTCCATTCAAAATTGAATTTCCTTTCCGTAGTTCGCCGTCGCTTTTTCTTCGCTGAGAAGCTAGATCTCTGGTCTGCGCCCATGTATCTCTGTTTTATGAGTTGCACCTGAGTGTCCTCCGGCAAAGTACGTTTCTCTCCCTTGTTGCCCAAACTGGATGCTGGAGGGCCTTGTGTTATTGTGTCGTTTCCTTTCTGTGAATTTGATGATCGCATGGCCGCTGGCCCAGTAGGTGCTTCGTGCCTCAGCGCACGAGGGCCTGTGGGGATTTGTCTTGAATCATCACCCTTGCCAGAGTCGCCTAGTCTAGAGGTGGAAGACGACGAGTATCCATTTGATTCCAGGCCTGGAGTTCTTGAATCTGACCCCGAACTGCCATTCGTCTGTGTCTTTGCGCGGCGACCACTGTCTACTTCTTTCATTCGTTTTTCCAACGCAATCTTTTCTCTCTGCGCTTTGCTTAGAAATTTAGGCTGAAATTAGGGGCAAAGGTTAGTAACATTGTCATATAACTATCATAATGCAAGAATGGCATAAGAGAGGGTATCTAAAGATAAAGTGTTTAATCGAAGAACATACTTTTGAAGCTGCCTCATCCGCCTCTTTCTTTTTCCGGATCAATTCCTCAACACTCAGAGGAGTCGCCGTTTTCGGTGCGCCCCATCCCTTCTTTTTCTTAGGCTCTGGAGGGGGCGGCGGCGGAGGTGCAAGGGAGTCTGGGGGTGGAGGAGGAGCTGGGATATCTGGGGGTGGCGGAGGAGGTAAGCGATGGTCGACGGGTGGAGGAGGTGGTGGAGTCGGGGGCCGTTCGATGGGCTCTGGAGGAGGTTGAGGAGGAACTGTATACCCGTAGCTACCTTCTGTTCCCCCGTCCATCCTTGATAGAAGCTATTCTTGTTCTTGTCTTGGAGTCTTTAAAACAAGAGAAAGCTTGAAGCTTTTTTTATTTTTTGATAAAGTCGGTTTTATTATGTCAGCAACGACGCTAATCCCGAATGGGCGAAGCAAGCAAAAGAGAAATCGCTTTGATTTATTATTTATATACATTGCAACTCGTGAAAATTTATCATACTATATACAAAAACGTGTTTATTAAGGCATTATTCATTTGAATCGACTCTGGTTCTCATTTTGAGGAAGTCTGAGTCTGAGGGTATACGTTGTTAAGCTTGACGCTCTGGCGGGCTTCTTCAGACCTACTGAGGCTGTTCCTCTTCGTCATTCTTGACGGTATAGCTCTCATTGGCGGAAGTCAATATCTTTCTGGTTAAGGGAGTTCTCATGACCCGATCTCTTGGACCGGTTTTTCATGCTAAGTGTAGGGGTGAAGGAAGGCCGTGAATTATTAGAGAAGAGGCCAGATCGAGAAGAGAAGAATTGTCGGACGGCAGGCATACTGGAAGCAGTGATACCAGCAAACATCTCGATTTCCCTATAAAATTTTCTGTTAGAGATGTGTGCATAATGGAGCTCGCGGAGAGAACTGGCTGCCTTACGTCCAGAGCAAAACGTAGCCGACTTTCCATGATGCATCACTGACATCATTTTGAAGCAGGACACGGTAGTAAAGATTCACACCGGAGGCAGCAACGGCACTAAGATTTCGTAGATGTCAGATTTTATGAATCACGATAAAGCCATGTTGAGTGGTCGATTGCTTGGAGATGCGCAGACTTACAGGCCACCAGTCATGAACACAAGAATGATACCAACTTTCTTCGCAGTAGATAGCTGCAGCTGCCATACTGCCGGCATTGGAAGGATGAAGAGAACCAGATCGACCAGCGAACCGATGATGCCGGTAGGAATGGAGAATTCGGCAAATTTAAGGTAGTGCCATGAGAGGATGCAGTCAAGAATAGACTCTCCCGGCCATGGGCTGCTCATCACAAACGATGTGATTGAAGTTGCAATGTAGAAAAGGCCTGATAGCGTGGCTCCTACATACACACTAATCCTGACATATCGCCTAACTTTGAATAGGAGGTAATATTGGATAAAGAGGCTGAGTTTGATGAGCCCTAATGCCGGTGTTGCTGTGATAACTGTAAGGTAGCTTTGCTGCTCTGATTATCAGTAACAACCTTTCTATGAGCCGGGACTTCTGACACATACATAAAGATGGGCATTTCCAATGAGCTTATCCAGATGCACATCCCATTCGTGTCTACCCGCGATACCATTGACACATCCTTTTAAACAGTCAGTCTTAAGCCGGGAAGAGATGTTTGGCGGAGATAAATATCGCTCACCATTTATTGTTGCCGCATAATATACGAGACTGAATAGCTAAAAACCACTGTTAGATCCCACATTTTAGGTATGTTGCAATATTATGGCTGCTCACAAATCCTATAGATATTGTCACTAGTTGGAAGCAGTCAGCTTCGAGTAACTCATAAGTAAACCCAGCCTGTCATTGACGCCTACTTACAGTCATCCCATTTCCATGTTTTTGAAATGGCAAGCCGCGTATACATGCGAACGAAGAAGCAGAAACAAGCCATTGCGAGGAAAGCTGTCCCTACTCCTATGATAACCGGAACTTGGGACACTGGATCATTGAAGTTTGGTGTGACTCCCGGCGGCGGCTGAGCGCCCGGAATAGTCGACAGCAGCTCTGGCGGGATGCTCTTCAGAGCACTAGCATCTGGTGTATGTTTAGACATGGCTGCTAGCTAGATCAGACGTCTCGATGCTAGAATAGCTCCAGAGCATGCCAGAAAATCTCAAAGGATTTGTAAAAATGAAAAAAAAAAGGACACTACCAACAAGTCGGGCGCTTCGACGTTAATATTGAAAATAAATGGTCTTATGGCACAGCTTTGGAGCAACTTACCATAGTATGTATGTACCATGTACGTATATTAGGGTATTGGAAGGCAACGAGGCTGTGAGAACCAGGGTCTCTTTGCTTCTTCTGCCTGCCACATGTGCTGCATGGCAAGGGAGGCCATGTTCGTTTCCTGAAGATTACTGGATGTCTTGCTGGTCCATCGGGGGCCATCCGTATACATGGTCGCAATGATTTCCATGTGGAGTTGGCCGAGAGATAGGCTATGACCAGCAAACACCCTGCCACTGCGGCTGATCTCTCAATGCGCAAGGATCAAGACGTGGTATTCGCACGGCAACCTGAAAAACATGCTGTAACCCCCTCCCGGACGTTTCCACATGTTATCTGCACGAAGGATTTTAAATTCGTCCGTTCAGTCTAGCGTGGGAAAATCATATTCGTCCATGGCTAGGAGTGGGTATTCCCAAATGCTCTGTCTTAGGCTATTTTTGTGTGCGAAATTGGTCCGTTTGGATTTGGAATTAAGGTAGGTCGGCCCGAAGTCCCTGAATGTACTATATTAATATCATGTCCCCGTGCAATATACGCTTCGCATCACGAAGAAGGCCAAGCAAGCCATGATCTTCCCTTCTTCCGCCCATTCAGCCCCCAAACTTCCTGGAGTCGGGTAAGGAATGATCGACAGGGTGGAGGCTGAAGGGCTGCCTTGCCTGTACTACTATGTATGCATATGCATACGATATGTTCTTCTGTTCTCGAAATAGCTATATCAACCGCTTGAGGGACGCACCAACTCAGCTCTCCTCCACTCAGCTTTCCCAATAACGTAGCCCCAAAAGTCACGCAGCTAAGACACTCTGCCGCAGCAACGCAGCTGGGCCAAGGCTTGCCCGGGGTGAGGTTTCGTAGTAGTAGCAATTCAAGGGTCCACTAGCATTGGGCCCATTGATAAGAGCGGTGGTATCCATGTGATGGAGAAGACGAGCAGAGACAGAGAGACAGGGAGACAGGGAGACAGAAGCTGAACGAATTCTGAGGCTGTCCATCATGCACTCGGAACCACCAAGCAAGCACATCGTCACAATGGTGATTCCAGTTCTCCCGTCGTTTTCAAAGCTGGCTTCGGCTATTGATTCTCGTGGCTGGAGCTGGCACTGGTATTATATTGTATACCTCCTTTTGGCATGGCAGACAGTACAGATACTGTGGAAGTTTTGGTGGAAGGCGCCGGTATGCATAGATCAGGCGAAAAAAAACAGACCCTCTTGATGCTGACGGGCCGTTCAGTCCAATGTCAAGATTGCAGCATATCCAACACCTTTCGGGAGGTTTCTGACTGCGTTGCATATGGTATTTGACTCTGGAACGCTCCTCGAGAAGGCGTATGAATCGGTATGTGTATTCCACACTGTTGGTGCAGTACAGTTGTTGATAAGTATTAGTCCCAGGGCAAACCGTTTGCCATTCCCATGCTAGATCGCTGGATAGTCTTCGTTTCAAACCAGGACACGCTCAAGCAGCTGGATCGTGAGCCTGAACATGTATTATCGCTACAACAAGCGCTGCATGAGGTACGCCGTGAGAGCTCTTTCTCCAGACGTTGTTGAAGGAATATTCGCTGAACTGCGATGTGCGACAGCTCGCGTCTACGGGGCCAATATTAGGCCCTCATCAAGTAAAGATAGAGAACAAGGGAACCCAGAGCGAAGTCTCCCGTGTCGTCGTTGGCGTGTTGAAGAACAAGCTCCGTTCAAATATTCCTTTGATGAGTGATACCTTGCGAGAGCGCGTCAGGAAAGCGATGACTTTAGAGATGTCTCCGCTATCAGACGGTATGCATTTACGAAGGATGAGATACGATATTTACGGATCATTTTCTAACATTAAACACCAGATGCATGCGAGAAAAATGAATGGAGACCGGTACGGCTTATGCCAGTGCTCCTTCGCATCTTTACCAGTGTGAATCTTCTACCCTTGGTTGGCGAGGAACAAGGTACGTATTGGTGTTTGTCTGCCTCCATCAAGGCTAGCAGGTAAAACTGACAGGATGACAGCCGACCGCCCTGAGGTTTACGATGATGTTATGAACTTCTTCTGGAGCTGTGCGCGGGCTTTCCCCGTAGTGGACATGATGCCAGGTTTCCTTACTCCGTCAGTTATAAGCCCTGGGCTACAAGGCCAATACATTGAAACTTACACGTCCATAGACTCGTTGGTCCGATTGCAATGGGCTGGGGTGTAACCAGAACAAAAGTGTACAATCTTCTGCTCTGGCATACCACTCGGGCCCTTGAGAACAAAGACTCAGGCAAGGAGAAGCAGGTATGCATGGCCTTCCTCTCTACATAGTAAAATGGGAAGCAAGAGCTAAATAAATAAATGTCTAGCATGCCGGGGGACATGTCGCCCAATGGGCATCAGAAATAACAAAACTTCGAGATGCAGCTGAAGTGGCAAAGATATCACTTGGTCTTTTGTTTGCCAGCGCATTTCAAGTGCCCATGGTAGGTCAAGGCAATAATGCAACTGCAACCCTCCCCGGTGTCACCATCGATCCAATACTGAAGATCCAAAACAGGTGGTTCAGTTCTGTATACATAGGCTGTGCAAGCACCAGGAGTACAGCAACAAGCTCAGAGAGGAAGCTCAAGAGTGTGAAAATCTCTCGTTTGGTTCCATGAACCGAGAGATGCCTTATCTGGACAGCTTCATGAAGGAGACATCTCGTCTGAGTCCAGGCCCAATCGGTAAGTTTGCCAGCCCTTCCTCCGTTAACGTGTGTGACTGAAGGAGCTGTATACCTAATATAACATTCAACTGTACAGTCAGCGCCCCTCGTACAGTCATGGTCCCGTACACCATGGAGGATGGCTGTCACATCCCGGCCGGTCACTGGATTGCTATACCACAGCTCGCCCTCATGCGAGACGAAAAAATCTGGCTGGACGGCAAGGAATTCAAGGGATTCCGCTTTGTTGATGAACAGGGCGACGCATCAGAATCTCGCTTCACCCATCCAAGCCATGAATTTCCATTCTGGGGTTCTATAAAGCATGCCTGGTGAGTTTTCCATACGTTTTATCCGGACTTTCGGACTTGGCGTTCACATAACTGACAAATATAATTTTTAGTCCTGCACGCTTCTATGTCTCCGTCGTCATCAAGATGGTCCTCTCGCATCTCATTCTAGACTATGAATTTAAGCTAGAGAACCCGACGGCAGCACCGTTCCTGACCTTTGGGAAGGTCAGAGTGCCCAGTCCCTTTATGACCCTCCTGGTGAGGAATCGCTCGAGAATATAATAATACGTATATAATATGCAACTGGGGGTTCAGCCCACCCGCGGAGACCCCACTCATGACCAAGATTCCGAAGGATTCTCTCCTCTGCTCCTCACTTGTCATAGGCCCGGGGGGCTTGTTATTGATTTACATTATAGTTCATGTAAAACTTTCTGTAATTTACTTTTTGAAGGATGAAAGTTTAGACTTGTGGAGATTAGAGTTTACAAGGCTGGAACATTAAAGCACATGCTTGCAACCTTATTTTTATTCCTTTTTATGACGCACTCTTGGTTGATATCGCAACGATAGGTGAAGGGGGAGGGTGTTTTATATGTGAGAGATAAACAAGGGTGGGCTGAGCTTTGCTATAGCTTTGTTGGAAGAGGACCTGCAGGCAAGGGCCGTTGGCTGGACGGGTGAGGGACTTGTCATACAGGAACGGAGAAGCTACGTCCGCGTTCTTTGAAGGGGATGCGCTGCCTCCCTCCATCGTCCTGCCCAGCCTGACGAGAACGCTAGAAAGAGGAACGGACAGGACACTTAGGACAGCCAAGATGGTCTCTTCCGCTGCTGCAACGACACTCTTGTTTGTTGTCGTTCCCCTCCTCTTGTTTGCTATGCGCCGTCTCCGAGGCAGCTCGAAGGAGCTCAAGGAACCCGAGCTCATAGTTCGCTCATCGGAAGCTGCTATACGGCTTAACAACCTCCTTGCGTCAGCTTTGCCTGAGGATGTTGTTGTCCTCCCCAAAGATGCTACCAATTTCAGAAAATCAATGAACACGTACTGGGCCCGGCAGGAGTGTGAAGTTGTACCAGCGTGCGTTGTCAGGCCACAGAACATCAACCAGCTCTGCACGGCTGTCACGATCCTCAAGCGCGAGTATGACAGGCGAAGAAGCCAAGATGGCGAGAAAGAATGGATCAAAGCCAGTGGTTTATTTGCCGTTCGTAGCGGTGGGCACTCCGCGGTCTCGCACGCTGCCAGCATCGAAGACGGCGTGATGATTGATATGAGCTTGTTCTGCGACGTGACGCCCTCTGAGGACGGATCTAGCGTTGTTATCGGTGCAGGAGCTAGATGGGGTCCAGTTTTCGAAATCTTGGCCGCGCAGGGCCTTGCTGTTGCTGGTGGAAGAAACTCCCATGTAGGGGTTGGCGGCTTGACACTGGGAGGTATATCTTGCTATCCTTCTGTTATCTATGCTTCACATAGTTACCACCAACTGAGCCTAAGCTAACCGAAACAAACGATATTGTTAGGCGGCATATCGTTCTTCTCCCAGCGAATCGGTTCGGTATGTAACAATGTTCTCAGCTACGAAATTGTGCTCGCGTCTGGAACCGTCGCCATAGCCTCACCAGCTACCAATCCTGACCTCTGGCGCGCCCTGAAAGGCGGTGGTAACAACTTCGGCATCCTAACTAGCATCACCCTTCGTAGCTTCCCATCCTCCGACATATGGAGTGGCTTCCTCTACTTACCCTCCAGCGGTGCACAAAAGGCCCTCCACGCCTTTCATGAATTTGTCCACAGAGCACACCCTGAAAATACTGGCGTTAGTTACGACCGTTACGCATCTGGTCCTATTGCTTGTTTCACCTATCTTCAACAACTTGGTATACAGGCTGTTTCCGTGAACCTCGTTTACACAAAGCTCCCCGAGAAGAAGAAAAAATGGCCTGAGTGCTGGGATAGCTCTGGTTTCAAGCCCCTCTGGCGCATCTGGAGCACCTGCAAAGTCCGTTCCCTCGCAGACGCCTGTGATGAGATGAATTCGCTCAACCCTCCCGGTAGACGCCAAGTTCTTGCTACCACAACTATCAAGAACGATATGGCCACTCTGCAGGCCGTCTACGCTGCCTATAAGGATGCAATCGCCCCTATCAAACAAGCAAACATCAAGGGTATGTCGTGGACACTTGTTCTACAGCCAATGCTACCAAACTGGGCTGGTGACGGCTGTGATGGGGGCCCTTTCGGATTGTCTGATACTACCGAACCTCTTGTCATTGTTTCTTTTACCGTCAATTGGATTGAGAAAAGTGACGACAAGCTCTCTGAGAAGTTGACTCGCGAGGCAATTGAGCAAATCGATGCTGCTGCTACCGCTAACGGAACGGGCCATCGGTATCGATATATGAACTACTGTGGAGACTGGCAGAAGCCATTTGAAGGATATGGAGAGGAAAACGTGAAATTTTTGCAGGGTGTAAGCAGGAAATATGACCCAGAGGGCTTGTTTCAACGAGGTTGCGTAGGCGGGTTCAAGCTTGGTATGGAGGATAGCTGAGTTATACAGCCTGCTTTGCACGCTATATCAAAAGAAACACCACCTGTTTACAGTATAGTATCTAATATATTGAAATACCAGTCTCCAATCTGGACAGAAAGGATGATAGTGAACAGTTCGAATGGGATAACGAGTATAAGCTACATGGTTGTTATACTAAATGAGTAGAACTGCCTGGCTAACCGTTATAACCGCTATAGATCTGCGCTACTAGCTACCTTGTCTTCCCTTTAGTTTAAGCTTAGAAAATGCCTCGGAGAAATCTCGGTGGAATGGCAGATAGGGGATAGAGGCCAAGCGAGGGTACCTTAAGTTTTAAATCATCAGGGACGACTTGGAAGAAGTTTGGCCTGAGACCCCCTTAAAGTGTCTGCAGTAATTGTATTAAGCCTCATAGACGCCGGTTTGGGTGTCTTTTGGTTCAATGGTTCTCCATACCAGAATCGGCTTATTTCTTTGAAGAACCCCTAATGCTCTGTTGAGAGCTGTTTAACAATAATAGTGGTGACAGTACTTATATAGTGCACTTGATACTCGTTAAAAAAGTTTAGAGTTAGTAAAAGGCTGGAGTATTACCACAGCGTTACAGTGCTCATAAATGATTCGGCTACAGTTAAAAAGAATTTTAATTATTTCCTTGCTACCAGGCTGAATAAAAAAGGAACCACCCAACCTACTAAGCATTCATCTTATTATTACAAAGACTAACTAAATAACATTGCATAGAGTTGCGAACAAGTGGGCGTAGTATCACGCTGTAGGTGCCGGGGCAGACATGTCGGATCTGAACGTAGAGTTGGGGCTGTTTTGGCTGATCACAAGTTTGTCTTGTGTCTCCTTTGAGAGAGATGTCTTCATGACCGACTGAACTGATAGTGGTCCATTCACTTCGCGGTTTAGGGTCATGTACTCTTTGGCCGCTTCGCTGGAGCCCCTCTCCAGCAAATAAACCATGTAAAGGTGAAGAAGTTCCTTGGCTGCCTCGGCTGGGAGTGTGCTTTTATTGCGGATATCATCGATAACCTGTTTAATGCGTTGATATTGTGCAGGTTCAGTTTCAGCACTAGTTGGTTGTTCCAGCTCAAACATAAGATAGCTTGTCCAGAAAGGACGACTGTCAGGATACCAGTGCTGATTCTTGCGGAACACCTGGCGAGCCTCGTCAGATGTACCCTTGACTCTCCACAGGAGTTTTGCCCATTCTGCTACAAGAGCTGCTTTTGTCTGGATATCGCACTCTGCGGAGTCAAGTTGGGTTTTGTAGATCTCAATTGCAGCATCTAATCCACCATGGCGACGTGATAAGTTCGCAAACGATATTATAGTTTCAATGTGGCCGGGAATAGCGAGCAGAACTGCATTGTGAATATCCTTGGCAATATCGACTCGTGAAGCCATTTCTTCAAAGTAGGCATAGTGGAGTCGGATAGCCGGTCTGGATATAGGCACATAGAGGGAACATGCCTTTTGGTAGATAATCCTAACTTCTTCCTCCTTTCCTTCTTGGCCAGACATCCAGGCTGCGTAACGCATCCAGAATTCGTCATAGTGTGCACACGTCACCAGACACCTCTCGTATAGGAACTGGGCGCGAGCAAAGGAACCCTCTGCTTCCTCAAAATCTAAATATTTTCTCCAGTTTGATAACTGACCTTCATCGAGTTCGGTAACGTGGAAGTAGGGCCTTTTGATTTCAGACTCATAAGTCCATCGTTTTGTGGTCTCAGTTTGGGTGCGTGAAAATATCTCCAGAAAATGGGCATCAGCTCGGAGTCGAATGTCTCTCTCGACCTCGGCTTCGCTTCTTGATCCAGGAGGGACATTACCAGCCGCATTTTCTATCTCAGCTCGGAATTGAGCCAGAGTTTCAGGAGGAACAAGTTCATTTACAGGCCGAGTTTGAGCGAGTTGCCGGTATCTTTCAAAATACCTTGCATACTGATGCATTGGTATCTGGATGATCGTACCAAGCACAGCAAAAATCTTATCAGGGCATTCTACGCGCTCTTCGAACTCAAGATATTTGTCCCAGAACAAATGTGACAAGAAATCGAGACCAACGCAGCTGACACCTCTCTCAAAGAGCCTAGAGTAAGCATATTAGTAAATATCTAGTCTAGAAGGAAGATAGGGGAGGGGGTGGAGGGGAGGGAGACAAGAGGGAGGGCGGAAAGGGGTGGGAGGATGTCAAACATGGCATATGCATTTAAAATCTTCAAAGTAGGGTGCCGAGTCAGGTCAACGATTAATAGATGTAGGTTTAGCTATCTCAACCGTGCGTAACATAGGAGAAGGATTCCCGAACAGTATCCAAGATGTAGTGTGCGAAGAGCAAAGGAAGCCTGAATCTTATGGGTGAGAAGTAGTTTCAACGAAACTAAGGTGGCAGATGACTATCTCACCCATATAAGGAACCTTGATAATATCAATCTGCCCCTATGACCTCAAGATTGCGAACGATTCACGCACTATGTCGGTATGGTTATAGGGAAGGGTACCAACATATTATACTTACTCTCGAATAATATCGGTGTCGTGTGAGGTTTCAACTTTGAAAGTGCAGTAATTCGTCCATAGGTCGACTGAGTTCGTAATGCTAGCCACTCCGCGTTCATATACCTATTAACAAAATAGTGGTGACGTTAGCCATTAAACGCGGTTTAAATAGATAGGATACAAAAAAAAAAAATCCTAACCATTTCGGCAGCTTCGGTACCAGCGATAGAAAACTCTAGGTCCGCATATTTCTTCCAATAACCAAATAGCAGGGGAAATTTGGCAAGGAACCGGTCGTATACAGTTCTTGTAGCTGTGATGGCCTGGGGGCTTGAATTGCGATTGATTCCGCCTTCTTGGCTCTCAGCCGCACGCACAAGTTTCTCCCATGCCTCGAAACTGTCGGTGTCTTCAAGCTGTAGCAGAAATATGTTAGTAAAGACAAGTATGATGGGATGATACGGCATTTCCGCGCGAAGACTTTGACGGATGGTAAAGGGGGACTTACCACCTCCGCATAGAGCTTCTTCAGCTCTTCATTTTCCTCATCGGTCCCGCCAAAGAGCAAGTCTGCCATTATTTCTCAACAGTGGTAAGGGTGGCGTTTTTCGACGGATAACCACAGAATCTAAAACAATACAGTGCCGTGAAGCTCTTCCTCTTTATAAAACGAAGCTGCGCGTGTTCAGCGTTGAAGTGAGAATTGAACGTCAGAGCGAGAAAGGCAAAAAAAGGCGGGCAACATACTGCCGGATTACATAAGCCAGATAGTAAAGTCATGTGACCTCAAAAAAAAGGTTGCGCAAGTTGAAGGTCACAAAGATCTGAAAGATGTTGAATATCAAGTTACAGCTACAATCACTCCAAAAAAGCGAGCACAGCCAGAGTTTGCATTCTCCCGCAGACACGCAATGGCGGCACAGTCGGCATTTGGCCTTGTTGAGGGGCTCCCTCTACGACTTAGGAATTTTTTCGCCCGTTATCCACCACAATTCTACTCCTCACAAGCTATACCGAAATCCCTACCACAGCAAGAATCGTCAGCGGGCGACTCCGAGTCCTCCGCGGCCCTAAAACCTGCTCCAAGTCCTTTTGCTTCACGGAACATGAAAGTCAAGTTGTCAAAGACCAAAGATGCCAACTCCTTTTCATACACAGACTCCTTACTCCGATCTCATCCCAATGGGCTATACCCTAACCCATTTCTTCCCTATAAAAACCCGGAAACCGGTCGGTGGCGAGGAGCCGTTATATCACTACGTCGACAAGCAGAATTGGTTAAATTGGGTATCAAATACGGCGTGGAAGAGCTATTGCCCCCAGGACGGAAATCAACCGAATATAAACAGGCAAGGCTTATTGAGAAGGGTCTCAGGGTCAAGGGTACCGGTATTGGCCAGAAGGTCAAGGGCCACAAGTGGGAGAGAGCGATGAGAGGAAAATTGGAAGACAGGAAGAAGGCTATGTTGGAGATGCCGGAAATGATCCGGTTGTGGAAACAGGTACGATTCCCCTCTTCTGACTCTATTTCAATTCTCAGTTGGTGCATTAAAGTAACTGATACTTTTCTTTCTATAGCGTGGTCATGGTCGTGGCTGGAAGAAGTATCCCCGGGCATAACCTCCCTTCTTATATGGCTGGGAAAGCCTCAATTGTAACTCAATGTACTATATTTTGGAGTTTTGGTGGTTAAGAGGCTGTTGTACCTCTTTTGCGCAGCAATACAAGCTTTGCATTAGCTCTCTGAATTATTAGATATTTTATACACGGAATTTCATGATATTCGTGAACCTGCTTGGTGTACAAACGTTAAATATTCCAAAGAATCTCCCACCCTTGATGTTGCAAGATACAAAGACCAACTCCAATAAAATTTTGTAAAAATGGAAAGGATAACATCATTATCAATCATAAACTGGCGTCACTAACTCACCCGCTCTGAGTGTTATATGTCTCTCTTCAAATTTTTCAGATAAACAAACATGCCTACCAAAATATACCTTCCCGTTAACCTTCCTGGTCTTAGCCAGGGTAGAAAATGGCTCATCACTGCGTGTGGCAGTGTGTTGGTCAATGCAAATCATTTGACACCTTTGACAGAGTCCGAGTGTATCAAAATTGATGCCTCCAACTCGGAATCCAGTCCATAATTCTTCTATATATGGTTGTTCAGATGGAGTTGATGAACAATGTGCGGGCGGTGGGTTAGATGTAGCTGTGGCAATGTTCTCGCAAACAATAACATTAGCACGGAATACATCTGCTGCAACAGTTTTGGAGGTAGAGTTTGGTTTCCCTGAAGATTTTATAGTTTCATTAACCTTGTTGACGCTCGAACGGGATATAAGGAGTATAGGACCCTCATTAGATAGGAGGATGGGGCGATTTGACCCGGAGGCAACGGCTTCAGGAAATGACCCAGGTATTTCATTCGTGGGACTGAAAGGGCGCATATTCCTTTTTGCAAAATTTTGAGATGTTTTTGAAAACCGGGCAGATGAATGGTTCTTTTGAGGGGGGAATCTTGCAAGCATGCAAGGGACACCTAGAAAATTAGAGAAAAATGACGAGAGTCGATCAGATTTATACACTTGCACGGAGACTCTATCTCCACAAACGGTTGACTGTTGCCTTGTAGAATTATTGTAGAGCTGTCCTTGTCCTTCAGTAAGATCGGTGGACTCAACAGATAATGGTATCTCTATCGTGTTCTGACATGATCCTGAGTCTGGTAGTGTAACTCGCAATGTACGTCGATGGAGATCTATGACTGGTCGTATGAGTGCCATTTTTGTGTATCGTTTTTGGCTCAGAGCCACCATCGTTCCTTGGTGTATCAAACACCACTCTCTGTCCCAGGCTAGTCCCTCTGGCTTGACTTCCCATGCCATCGATTCAGGGACAACGAACGCTCCGCAGCTCTTTATCGGGTAGACACAGAGCTTCTCAATAAAAAACCGCGAGGGATACTGTTGAACAGAAGGGACAAAGGTGCCATGATGAGGTGCAGTTTCGCTAACTATGCATTCGTCAACGTAGAAATCTCGGATGAACCCGAGAAATATATCAATATCTTTTCTTGACGTCATGGCACCTAAACTAACACGTAAGCCACCTGTGGGCTTTCCGGCAATGATATCGTTGTCGTCTCCGCAGCGTTGTCCGGCGCTGTAGTTTCGTTTCATCTCTTCAGCCTGCAACCCAAGATAATACGCCATCCCTCCGGGATTGCATAGTGTCCCCGAGCGGATCTGAATATTATTGACAGCTGCTAGCTTCTCTACCTCCGACTTCCGAATCCAACCACCAGTGCTGTCCTTCAAATTAAATGATACGATAGGGCCCTGGAGTGCGCGATCTGTATATGCACCTGGCCCCTTGTATATTACACATACTTTTGTACCATTTCCATGCTCCAATGATGAAAGCCCATCGTATAATATCTTAGCCATATCCCTAGTATGACGAGATATGTTATCCATGGAGCAGTATATGCGTTCATGTACATCAAACGCAGAATGTAACGCAATGATATTATGAAAAGGCAAGGTGCCATCTTCAAGCTGTTCATGGAGAGAAGAATCTTTTTTGGCATGGCACTCTTCCCCAATGGACAAGACCATTCCAACTGTTCCTCCACCAAAGTACTTTCTGTTCTGAAAAAGATGGCTCGCATCTTTGCGAACGATGAGAGCTCCAAGGTCAGGAAATCCGAAGATCTTATAGAAACTGACGACAGTGAAATCTGGGGTGCGGGTGGAATCACTGAGGTCCAGGGAAGATGTAGAGGCAAGTGACGCAGCATCGAATAATGTGAAGGCCTTCCTTTTTCCATCAATGCTCGTGCAAGCGCGAATGTCTTTGCACCAACCTAATGGCAGCCGACGACCGGTCATATTGGACTGGCCAGGATACGCAAAGAGGACCGGCCGGACAGACTCTAAAGTATCATGCTCACTTTTCAATCTCTCAATCCACTCGTTTACCTCCTCGTCACTAACGAAGCACCTGCTTCCCTGATCGGCCATGCCTCTAGCACCAACCAAGCTGGTATGAGAGTCAACATGGTACCCGTACCAGAACCCTTTTGAGTCATAATCCCGAAGGCTTTCTGCTACAAGTTTGATTCCAGCGGTTGCATTGGCCACGAAGATAACATCGAATTCTTCCGCCTTTGCGTTGAAGAAACGTAGAATTCGTAGCCTTGCATCATCAATTAGGCTAGTAGATAACTGGGAAGGTGAAGAAGCAGAGTGAGGGTTCCCAAAGAGATTACTCGTCAGACGCTGCGAGAAAGCCTCTATAAGAGACTTGGCATAGAGTGTTGTCCCAGCATGATCGAGATAGGTTGTATCTAGGGATAAGATGGTTAGCATCAAAGCCCAATATAATAATATTTAGATGGCGAGACTTAAAAAAGAGGATGACAAAAGAGCCAACAAGAAAATAGATTGGTATACCAACCTTTTAACAAAGGGTATTCATCGGCTCGGATCTTCTCAACAGGCTCCCTATATAGGAGGGAGTAGCTTCGATAGTGACATCACTATAAGTGGAGCTTGAATTATTTAACATTATTCAAGTATTGAAATGCAAGACATAAAAAAGAGTTGGACGAAAAGTATTTAATATATACAATAGAAGATAGATAGGAGGCAAGCAAACCAAAGATGCATGTAATCTGCGAGCTTTCTCACCGTTGTGTCTACCTAGGTAGCTTGCAAGCTGCAAGTTGCATCGCGGAGCTCTCCGAAAGTTGTTTTAGAGGATGATAAGGAAAGTCACGTGGTGATAATAGGTGTGCAACCTTTGCTCTGTTTACACTGTTTGCAACATTTGACCTTAAATCACGTAATATATTGGTAACTGATTAGTCATGATTTCCTTTCAAAGCAAGAAAGCAGATGAAAAAACCGAAGGAAAAAGATATCAAATGGAAGATGATGAGCGTATGGAGATGGAAGGATGTCTGTCTCTCAACTTAGACAATCAAACAGTTTATATACATGAACATAGTGCGCAGCAGGTAAAGTCAGAGGGAAGAGAAAAAGCATTCGTCAATCATTTCTGCATCAGAGGAAGAATATAGAAAAGGTGTGTTAAATATCAAAGAACAAGGAAATAGAACAACGCAAAGATTGAGAAATATGTCCTGTCCGCCTGGTTATTGTCGGCGCAAGGTTGTTTGCTGACGATATGACCGGTTACTCCCCCTTTCTCGCTCACTGTCTACCCAGATCTACCAGCCAAACCAGTTCTATCCGCCAGAGGCCTCCGTCGTCAGTCATCAAGTCAAGAATGCAAGGAAATAAGGAAGGACCCGAGCCTAGACATGGTACGAGTTCCGTCTTCCAGAGCTGCTTCGATGTCTGTGGTGGCTGCTTCGTCGGCTAGAGTGGCTTCCTCTGCGCGATCGCTTCTCGTGGTGCTCTTCATGGTGGGAGATGAAGTATGCGAACACGGCGGTCCAGAAGAACGAGATGATGTTGATGATGCCGAAGGCGAAAGAGGCCTTTAGCATGGAGCATACTTTGTTAGGGTCATTGGCCAGCGGGTTACCCTGTTGCTGCCCGTAGTACCCAAAGGGTCCCAGGCTAAGGAGGAACTTGCTGCGTGAGAAGTTATTGCAGTTCTCGTTGGCGATGTCACGGAGGAGGTAGACACCAGCGATCAAGGAGCCAAAGAAGCAGAGGTCGACAAACGAGACAAAGATGGCTGAGCGTTTTGTGTTTTTGAAGCGGAAGAGGGTTTCGAGGACCCAGACGCCGCCTAGGACACTGACGATGAAGAGGACAAGGATATATGTCGGGGTGATGATGTTTGCCTTGACGAAGCCATCGATAAACCACGACTGGATGGAGAGGGAAGTTTAGTACCTGCTGGGCTTGTGGAATCCTTAACGCTGGTCAACTTACGAGCATGCCAATTGGCGGTATCAGAGTGATCAATTGGCCGATTCGCCAGCAGATGAAGAAGATGCTAGAGAACATTTCGGTCGATGCGACTTGCAGACCCTAACCCTCGCCAGCTGACGGGAAACTCGGGCGCAGTACAGAGTGGGAAAAGAATATATTATCCAAACAAGCTGTTTCTATCCGAAGCTGCAGCCAAGCGGAGTAAACAGAGTGAAGATGTAACAGTTATCTATGAGCTTCGTATGCAGGACTGTTGGACAAGATCGACAATGCGAGTTATCCGGAAGATATAAACAAGATCGCAGAGTTCCACGTCACCGTAAGCCCTGGCGAGCGAAGTATCTAAGTATTTATCGCCTGGCCAACCCTTGCATTCATGCTGGTCCACCATGTACATAAATAAAATCTACCTGAGGCTGGGAAATGAAAAAGAAGAAAAAAAAAAAAAGATGGCGGGGCGATTGGCTGCAGCTGTCATGGAAACCGGCTGAGTTGCCAATCAGCATTCCAGCTTTCTACACGGATGGATTCATGGCTTCTGGTGAGTTTTGTTGGCAACGGCGGTTGTGGGTTCCGTGGCTGCTTCAGGTACAACCTACTTCCATCCCTACATAGTAGATAGCCATGGCTTCGAGAAGGTCAGCATCTGAAGGTGCTTTTATTCAGATTCAGAGCCTAGTGCCCGTCGGTTTCGACTATCTTGAACATCATAAGAGAGGAAAGTTGCCCATTTCTGTGTTTTCCAAGCTCCAGGAAGAAACATGTAGAGACTTTGATTAACATTCATTCTCCTCCTTCACCACTTCAGCCTTGACGGCTTTCCTGGCCTTCTTCGTAGAAGTAGTTGGCTTGTCGGCGGACGGTTTATCCTCGGCGCCAGCTTCGTCCTTGACCTCCTTGCGCTTTTTTCCAGCAGCTTGCTTTGTGGCCTTGTGGGGAGTATTCGGCGGAGTGGAAACCTCGTCAGTCAGGGCTCTCGCCTTCAGCTTGATGCGAGCGATGCGGTTTCTGATAGCTAGGGCATTGTATTCTATAGACAAGGCGTTAGACGTTTCTCAGCTAACTCTCTAACCCATGGCCTTGACTTACCGCCGCCCATCATCTTAGCGACGGCTACGTTGTCTACTTTTGTATTTGCGGTTGCTAGGATAGAGGCGAGCAGCTAGTTCATCAACGAGACTGGTTAGTTTTGGCATTTGATCCGGCTTCGAGAACGAGCTTACCATGGCATCAGCCTTGTCATCCCAAACGACAGGCATATTGAAGTCAGAGAAAAGCGGATGTAGAGTGAGAGAAATGGTTCAGTGCAATATGATTGTAGAGTATCTTCGGCTTTGTAAATCAGATTCAAGTTGAGAAGAGGTTGAGTGGAAAGTAAGAAGGGAGTGAGAAGCTGGATATTTTCGATTTTTATAAGGTGAACGCCTACGGAAGTTCTCTGGAAGTGAGAACACATTTAAATAACACACAAGTTGCCCGGCTACCTAGCCAGCCATCGAGGCATGTCCTACACATAAGGAACGGTAACCATTGATATATTAGAGAAGCAATCTGGAGATCTTATAAGCTGCTTTATGCAAAAACTATCAAGTCATGGTATCATAGCGGATAGTAAAGACGAGTTAGGTTGCGGGTACTGCTTCAATTCGCTGCGATCCGATCCAACTGAGAACAAGCGCCAGTATCTAGGGAGAACCACATATTCTGACCTCATACGAGGCTCCAAGCAAGAAGAAGCAGTAGCGGAACGTAAAAGGGATTAGTATAACATTAGTCGGGAAGTCGACACGAACATGAGACATAGAGGTAGAGAAATAACAAGAAAGGTGACTGGTGAAGGTATCGTTGTGAAATGTTGGAGAAAGAAGAACATGACGTTGTCATTGCAAGAACAATCCTTATGACTTGACCAGAGATGCAGGGTGGCGCTCAAGGGGTGGGCTGCTAGACGGCGTTCTATGATCGGGAGGGTGATAAGCAGTGAATCTGGGAGCAGCATCTGAGCTTGTGTCGGCCACTTGGTGGTGTCTGGGCTCGTATTGTGTCTGCTGCATCTCATAGCCTTCTGACTCGCTGCTGGACGCAGCGTAATCCGCATCCGCGAGCCGTCTCCGCCTTTGGCCCTTCTGGTGTTCAAAGGGGTTCATAAGAGCTGGCGTGGACTCCGGTACTGCCTGCGGTTGATCTTGAGCCGCGTGCGCAGCCTGGTACTCTTCATCCGTGCGAGGAACAAGCTTCACCTGATCATTTTCGTACTCGAGCAGTCGACGACCAGTATATATCGGAGGCTCTGGAATGGACCCCCAGGTGCGGATGGGGTGGGCCCGGCCCTTCTTCCAGGGTTCTGCAAGGGAGGGGAAGTACTGGCGATATGCAACCCAGCCGCAGCCGACTCCCAGCAGTGAGCCAGAGATGACGTCGAAGGGATGGTGTCGAGCATCCATGATTCGAGATACAGCAACTAGCCCTGCAGAGAGAGTAGGCACCATGACGATAAAGGCTTTCCAGACTTCTCCACGGCTGTCCATAACGTGCAGTTTTCCAGCAAGGTACAATGATAGATAGAAGAGGCCGGCAAAGGAAGCTATATAGAAGTTAGAAGAGTTCGGAAGTGCTTATCTTCTCGCCATTAATACGTACAGCTGCTATGTCCTGAAAAGAAGAAAAGTTAGCAAAAGACATGCTTCAATTGAGTGTTTAGGTGTGCACTATACCTGATGGGAATGAACGGAATCCATCCTTTAGTATCTCATGGTTAGTCTGGGTGCAAATCGTGTAATTTGATAGCCCAAACTCCGGCTGCTCGAAGCTCTTGGGCTTGCACCGATCGATCAGATCCGGTCGAGGTTTACCGCAAGCATTCTTTAATGCGCCCGTGATAACGAACGCCGCTCCCTGGGCCAACGCAAGTCCCAGAACACCACAGTTCAGCTCCCAGAGCCTGTCCTTGAACCGGTATTTCCCCATCAACTTCCTCTTCCCCGTAGCAATGTTAACTGGTTTGCTGTGAGAGAACAACCCATCTAGAACGATCGTGTAGACGACGATGACGAGGATAGGAAAGCCGCCAGAGATCGCAAGGGCGAGAGGGATGGGAACTCGTTCATGGACGGCGTATGGATAGTGCAGTGTGTAGTTCTGGAGGGCGAAGGGCTGGTGAAATGGTTCAACACGGTCGAGGATGAAGAACCCAATGATGAGCGCTCTGCCAAAAGGAATGGGAGTGGTCAGTTCTTGATTGGGAAATGGGTCGCATGCCTTTGCGCCATCTTGAGAAGCGGGCGACTTACATGAGAATCACATAGTCCGATATATATCTGCAGGCAGTTAGTTGTTTGTTATTATATATCCACCTTGTCTGGCAGACCGCAGCCCAACTCACGATAGGATTATCCTTGCGCGCAGTCTCTTCTTGGAGAAAGGAAGCTTGTTAGGGAGCTGAGCGTCCATGGCTAGGTATAATTTCGAGCCAGGCGCTTGTGTTTTATACGCAGTTGAAGCGGAACTGCGGGCGCAAAGAAGAGAAGCCGGAGGAGAGGAAGAGACGGTGAGGATCGATCAACTTTTACTCTAAGATTAGCATGACCAAACGTCTTGGGATTTCGGCGATGAGGTTGTCTATAATTCTTGAATTCACAGAAAATAATGCGAGCAAGGAAGAAAATATGAAGATGAAAAGAAAAAGCAAAGAAACAGCAGAAAAGAAGGACTTGTTCCAAGTTGAAGCACCTCGAGTGTGGGTGGATATCGGTTTTGCTGGTCATTCAATACCTTTTTAAATCTTTCATTCTTGCTGGGCTGAAACGCTACTTTTTAATTGTTCACTTGCACAGTAGCGACATATCGACTTGTGATGCGGTGAATACTACTGCTTGACTATTATTAACTATCACACTATCCCCATGGCGAGAGGAAACCGGGAGGCCCGCGGACGTTTAGCTGATACAAGTTGCATGTTTTCGCCGCATTCTTCAGGCTGTGAGGGCGCAGCAGGCGCTTGTTCACACTCGGCCATCCCCTTGTTGCTGCAGGACGCGTCATGAAGAAGAGACAGATTATTATCTAGCCAAAGAGTGGCTGACAAGCGTCAAAACTCTACGGTCTAGGCCAGCGGGAAGCTCGTGTGACCGCGTAATGGCATTGCACGACAGAATGAGGCTGGGTTTAAGAGGCGTGAATTTGGAGAATATGATACTATTTTGGCTTACGGTATCACGAAGGAAAAGAAGAAAGAGAGAAAGAGAAAAAAGGGGCCTTCTACCCGTGGTAGACAAACTCGCCCGGTTTCCAGTCGAGACGTCGGTTGCAGTACCACGTATCAGCCTCTGCGGTGCTTGAGTCCTTGGAGCGCCTGCTGTTGTGGTTGATGGTGGCATAGAGGCTGAATCCTTGTTGCTCAAGAACGTCCATGACGGCCAGGAGGATAACCCGGGTCTGCACCGTCTTCGTGCCAACTGCTCGCCAGGGGTTCCCGTGAAGCTTTATCTCGAACATAGTACCCTTCACCTGGCAGTTTTCAACATCTGGACCTAGAGCATCGGCAAGTATCAGTCCAAAGCCTGTCGGGGCATCGACGATGCGCAGTCTATCTGAGTTGTGGAAGGAGATGCTCGTCCATATACATGGCGGCGGAGCTGGCTGTTGATAGCGGAAGAATAAGCTATCTTATTTTTTTGGCGCAGGGTTAGTTAGCACTGTCTGTACATATATCGATGGAGCCAGGGTAGTAGTTAGTAGTGACATCCATTGAAAAACGGAAGAACTCACCGACATGTCCTATATCTACAGAAGCCTTTATAATCCAGCCTCGCAGGTATAGCCCGTCGAGGAGCCTTGTTACCAACCGACGAGCATCCACCTTAGACTCTCCCCAGGAGTGCGGTGACCACGGGTTTCCGTTCAACTTGATCTCAAGGGATTGGCCATATTCACGCGGAGCATTGATGCCCTTTGGCCAACCGGTGCGAACCATCTCTATTATCTGAGGTACCATATGAGCTGGAAACCTCATCAGCCGGATTCGGTCCGTCATGTGCATGGACAGACAGGCGAAGCTGGTCCTCGACTCTGCTCCTGGCACCGGCCTTCTTGCAATGGTGGAAGGGGATGACATCTCTGAGGGGGACATCGATGGGGCCGGACGGTAGTGCCCATGGTATGACCCTGACGACACCACTGATGCTGCGGTCGGTGCATTCGTCTGGTATGGCGGCGCGCTCATTTCTGGCGCCATGGCCGCTCTATCGCCTTCGTTCGCCTGTAGTTCGATCGTCTTCATGCTCTTCTCAATACTGGGGATAGTTATGTCATGATCGTCATATTCCGGGTCGGGTGCTTCCTTTCGATCCATCCTCGAGTATAAACTGCAGTTCCGGTCTCCTTGTATATTTGACGAAGTACCAGTATGATAATATCAAGCAAGCCGGTTCATTCTTCTTCCAGAGGGGCAGCTTAAGTGGTCAAGAAAGCCAGCCTTTCATCTGAGAGTCACCTTGGTACTTAAATACCTTGCATCTGCCATGAAACGGCGCCCTATCTACAAAGTTGGCTGAGGCCTTGCCAGGCGATGCCTTCGTATTCCCACAGGTACGATCAAACTGACTTACGACTACACATGGCTTAGACCCTCGAGCAGCCGTGTCTTTGTACTTTATTCCATGATTTGCTGGCTGTGTTTGCCCTGGAACTCACGGGATTATTATTGGTTTTTCCATGGCAAAAGCCTAGGCTGGCATATCCACAAGTGCTTCCACCAGCTCCACTCTTGCTAAGGAGTTTCTTGCCATAAAGAGGTTCTTGGATCAAATCTACGAGCAGTTTACCAAATGGGTTAATCGAAAATATGAAGGATTTGAACGCACAGAAATCAAGCATTGACAAATACTCCGTATTGATACATGGATTAATCAATCGAGCAGCTATATTAAGGACAGCCATTTCCATCAAATGCTTATTTCGCTTACGTCCGAATTCCACCCTCTTTGGATCAACAGTAGGAATACCCAAGAAAAAATAAAGATCATTAGGGGAAAATGTGAAAGTTCTCGGTGTCATTATTGTGTGAAAAACGTGAATGATCGCTTTACTTTGCGCAGCGAGTGATGTAAAGCCCGATTCTAGAAGCAAGTATTAGCTTTTTTTTTTCTACACTAATCCCTCCAAGTTAGAGGCTAGTAGGAGATCACTTACGGGGGGTTGCCATAGTCCTGGAAGTACTTGAGATTGGTGTTTCCAGCATTGGACATCTTGAAAGCAATTCTCTGCCCAAACGGACAGTCGAAGGAGGTAACAACGGTGGAGGTCCCGGCGGCAAGAGTTGATGTGCCGAGCTCTGCAGCTACCTTTGGTGCATTCTCAAAGGTGGTTCCATCGTTTGCGGGGGCCTCCAGTCTAGCCATGCCAACCTTGCCGTCTCCCTCAAAGGTGTAGGTCCAGGCAGGACGTCCCTCCACGCTGGGGAATAAGAAGACTAGAGTGCAGAGGTTGGGACCTTGGGTAGGAATGTCAAAGTTGAAGATGGATGAGATCGTTGATGAAACTTCTCCGTAGTATGAAGTTCCTTTGGCAACCTTGGGTGCAGAAGAATTGACTGGGATGATCAAATGAGGGAATTCAAATGCTCCAGAGAGATTGGTTGGACAGTTCTTGGTTGCTCGTTCTTCGATGGGCCAGGAGGGGATTGATAGAGCATTGGTGCCCATAGCAAGGCATGCTACCACAGAGAGCCACCTCATCTTTGATGCTGGAGAGTTGTTTGACTTGGGGGATTGGGATGGAAAATGTGCTTCTTGCTTGCTTCTCTAGAGTTGAGAGATTCATGCTCGAAGGGGGTGGCCGGTATTTATAGCCAGAAAACTCCGTGCAGGCAGTTCACAGCTTCCAAAGGTCTATTCAATTGCCGCAAGCGAGAAGCATGTCTTGAACCAAAATCCACGGTAAAGACAATCTCTATGCAGCTTCCCTTGGACGGTTCCATCGCTGAGTTACACTCGACGCCGCGGAGTACTACGACATACTGCTGTGTATGGCGGCATCACATGGTCCTGTCGACGATGGGAAGCTCTGAGACATTCATCGCAGATCCCGCTCTCCACCCTTGCAGCATTGTACAGGAAAGCTGCTTGTGTTTGCTGGTTCACTGCTGATACGTGTGTTTAATCAGTAGATTTCGGCACACGGCCCGCTGCCTCTAGTGTTGAGATGTGTCCACTCGACTTTGCACATCTCCCGGTTCGATGGTGAACAACGGTTGGAATTAGAATCCTTGGAACTGCTACCTGCATCAAGGGCATCCATTCTGCGTGGTAGATTTTGTGTTGCGCTGTTGGCCCGCTGTGCGGGATACCTGCATGGGCTCTTTGCACGTCGATAGGGACTTTATGAGCATGCCTAAAGCCGTATCAATACAGAGTAAATCTGAGTGCCACCAAACATGCTAGGTATGGCGGCCATCGTAAGAGGATGGATAACAATTGCCGAACCAACCTATCCTATAAGTTTCTGTCATTAACTTGAACAGGTAAAGGACATGAAAAAGCCTGCATTTTGATGGATTAACGTTTTGATGGATTAACGAGCTTGCTTCCTTTTCTAAATATAGAAGCTTGTTTTAGAGCCTTCAGACCTTGAAAGGGCTGGGCCAATTCACTGCTACAGCGAATCATACTCACGGCCACCTTAATAATAATAATATAATAATAATAATGGCTAACTACGTTAATAACTACGACTGCTACGTTAAATATGAAGGTCATGGCAAACATATCAGTGAATTTGATAAGGAGTAAACGAGCAACTATCAAAAAAAAACAGGTGAATTGAATGTTTTAGTCATTAAAAAGGCGTGAGTGGGGATGACATAACCCAATAAATCATAAAATATCACATGATATAGTAATGAGATCACGTGGATTATTATATAAGCTAGCATCGCTGGCATTATTATTCATTCACCCTCTATCTTTCACTGGCCGTTCTAGCTATGTTCTTTGATACTGCAGTGGCTATAGCCTAAGGCAGTGACTCGTTGTGGTACGCCTACGAAAACTGGTAGCTCGGTCACTGCTCTCGCACTCGTTCTTCAATAGGTGTTGGTCCTTTGTATAGTTATATCAGAATCTACCACTACACTAAAAGGAGTGAGCCCACACTAATAGTAGGCAGATGTTGAAGTTTGACAAGTTAATACGTCCAATCACGTGATTTGGCATTAAGGAGTTATATAGTACACTAGGTAGTTTCTTTCCTCTCGCTGTCTTCTGTCATCTCTCACGTCTTACCTCTCTGTCTATTCATACTTGTTTACCAAGTCTTTGCATCCCTAAACTATTGCCTGTCAAAACATAGATCCCTAACTCACCGCCACAGGTAGACGGAGAGAAGGTATAATCTCGCTCTTTTCTCATATAGAGCCCTTATTAAGTGAATTACTATTCAATCGAAGAGTATAGAGATGGAGGACCTCAAAGCTGCCGGAAACCTTCCAAAGCATTTAAATTTGAAATACTATATTGCATTATATCAACTATGAAATGTCGTGGGTACATTTTGTCCTGTTTGTCTCCGTCGCCAATGTTAATTGAATTTGGTCACAAGATACTTTACAGAGGCACCGCCAAGCTAGTTGAGTTTCTGTTTTCTTCTTGTCTTTTTCTCCTTTCGTTAGAGTATACTCCTCTGAAGATATGCATGGCGGCGTTATGGAGCGCAATACATTTGGAGGCGATGGGAAGAGAGTCCTCGAAAGTACCCGGATATGGTTATCCAATCCTCAAGGGAATTGCCTAGTAACACAATCAACTCCATGCTTAGCTATATCCCTTTATCATGCATTGCTATCAAATATGTTATGTCGAAGAACGGCTTTAATGTTGATAAGGAAAATCCTGAATTTCGCCCCCATAAGTAAAGAAATCTACTATACATTCAATGCTATGATTACATCACAATATGTCAATGATAACAAATGTCTCGCTTGTTATATTTTGCCTCCCGTAAGCTCCTCGGCAAGTTTCTTGGTGCGTCGCTGTACGGTCTCCCATTTAGTCAATTCATCCTTCGTCTGGTTTCCTAGAACAGCCATGGTAGGAGGAGGACCCAAGTTCCAAATATTTTCTCCAGTTCGGCTCCCGTTGGCCCAGTCGGGGTTGTTATCAATGGGGAAAACACGATCAATCTCAGCGTTGAGTTGCTTTTCATTGACAATAAAAGTCTGTGCATTCAGATAAAGCTCATGGATCGAGTTCACCATATCTTCACGCTTGGCGGCCTGGATCTCCTTAACTTTTGCGGTTGACTGGGCCAATCGTTCCGCTGCACCCGGGTTGGGTAGCACTTTACATTTGACGGGCTTCATAGTCGAAACCGTCGTAGCAGCTGTGAGACGCTTGTCTTCTCGCTCTGGCTGATTCAGGATTTGAGTTCGACGATTCTCTTTGGCATTACTTCTCGCAACCATTCTCCGGTGAGCATTCTTCTTGCGCTCATGCAGCTCCAAAAGACCTTCACGTAAATGCTTCCTCCTGACGTCTGCCATTTTTCGTTTCCATTCGAGAATTTCATATTGGGGATGACCTGGTGCCACCCTTGGAGACGTGTTTGATGGCAGTGGTGTAGCGTCTGCGATGTATGATTCGGTAGGTTTATCGGGTCGGCGGGATGGGAATAGCTCTCGAGGAACAGGCAGGGTGCCTTTAATCTGTGGACGACGGGGGAGGTCTGGCTGAATCGATTGTGGTATATCAATGTAGCTGGGGGCTTCGGGACCGACCATCATGCGAGCAGTCGAAGAGAACAGACGGGATTGAATCCCGGGAGTGGTGCAGGTTCGACATAGTGCTATAGATGACTTCGCACTGCACTCTCGTAGTAGAGACGCCATAGTGAATCAGTTGTGACGAACGCTCGCCCTCGACGTTGAATAGAAAGTCCAAATTCAAACTCATGAGAAAAATGAATCGCAAAGAAGTTTTTACATGGTCCGTGCGTTAAGAAATCTTGGCAAAAACTGCACAAAAATCAAAAATCATTCTTTTTTTCTCTTGAAAAGATATGAAAGAAGCAACAATCGAGGATTTCAACGTCGAAAGCCTCAAACTTGCTCATTCGTAGCAGAGTTTGTTGTTGAATCTCTGCGAAAATGGGTACAGGTAAAAAGGAGGCGTCTCGACGAGAGCGCCAGGGGAAGAATAATGATGGAATGGCCAACGTTCGAACCAAAGGAGAAAATTTCTACAGGCATGAATTCCCTTTTCTATACCCACTACATAATGGCGAAGACTAACCGTCCGGTATGTCCGTAGAGATGCGAAGAAGGTGAAGACTCTTAACATGTTCAAGGATGGGAAAGCTCAAAGAAATGCGTCTGGAAAAATCACAAAAGCTGCATCCTATCAGTCTCGAGACAAGCCAGTTGCCAGGATAGAACCGAATAGGAAATGGTTTGGGAATACTCGAGTCATCTCTCAAGAGGCCTTGAGCTCATTCCGGGAGGCCGTTGCTGAAAAAGCGGCTGACCCTTACCAAGTCCTGCTGAAAACAAACAAACTCCCAATGAGTCTCATCCAAGACGGTCACACTCCAAACGGCCTGAAGCAGCACAAGGCTAAGATTGCCGTTGAGAATGCACCGTTTAGTGACACGTTCGGACCCAAGGCTCAGAGAAAACGGGTCAAGCTGAGTGTTGACACCCTTGAAGGTCTCGCTGGAGAGACGGTAAAGATGCATGACAGCTATGTGGATCGTCTTGAACAAGCAAAATTACTCAGTGGTACATCAGGCGATGCCCATAATGCCGACGCTGATGGCGCAGATGCAGACCTTACCGCCGCCAGAGAACCAATTTTCTCGAAGGGCCAGAGTAAACGAATCTGGAATGAACTGTACAAAGTCATTGATTCTTCAGACGTTATAGTTCATGCTCTGGATGCCCGAGACCCTGAAGGGACCCGGTGTAGAAGCGTTGAGAAATATATCCAGGAGGAAGCGCCACACAAACATTTGATTTTCGTTCTGAACAAATGCGACTTGGTACCAACTAGTGTTGCCGTAAGTCTATACTCCTCCCCCTTCTCAACAATATTTTCCTTCCAAAATCACCTTAAAAGGTGCCATCGCGTTTGTCAAGGCTGCTTCCTGTGCAACTTTTATTGCCGCTTTTTCCAATGGAAGATGGTCTGTTACCGCTATGGCAGATCAATCCCCCCCGTAACTTTGGCTTCTTTCTGAAGTCGAAGTTGACTCGCTTTCGTTTTGAAGGCTTAGTCGAAAAGGGCATGGTGTGTTTTGTTTTGAGTTGAGTCCTGCTTCCACTTTACTGTGGCATAATAGCTGTTCTCTTAGTAACATTTCATATATTCTTCTTTATATCCTTGCTGTTATGATTACATCTTGGCATATTTGACTAATTCCTGGTCATAGGCTTCTTGGGTCCGTACCCTGTCAAAGGAATACCCTACTCTTGCCTTTCATGCAAGTATCAATAACTCGTTTGGAAAAGGCTCATTGATTCAGCTGTTGCGCCAGTTTTCAATCCTCCACTCGGATCGCAAGCAAATATCAGTGGGATTCATTGGCTATCCCAATACAGGAAAATCATCCATAATTAACACGCTCCGAAAGAAAAAGGTGTGCACTGTTGCTCCCATCCCTGGTGAGACCAAAGTATGGCAATACATCACCTTAATGAAGCGAATTTACCTCATTGATTGCCCTGGAGTTGTACCCCCAAGCAATAATGCTACTGAAGAGGATATCCTCCTGCGTGGAGTTGTTCGAGTAGAGAATGTTGAAAACCCAGAACAGTACATTCCCGCAATCCTCAAAAAGACGCAACAATGTCATATTGAGCGAACATACGAAATCAAGGGGTTTGCAGACGCCACCGAATTCCTCAGCATATTAGCTCGAAAGGGCGGTCGGTTGCTAAAGGGTGGTGAGCCCGATGTTAACAGCGTTGCAAAGATGGTTATAAATGACTTCCTTCGTGGGAAATTGCCTTGGTTTACTCCGCCACCTAAATCCGCAGAAACTGGAGATGAGAAAGTCAATGGCCGTGATGGCCGTTTGGGGGAAATGGGATTAAAGAGAAAAATGGATGATGTTAAAGATGATACTAGAGAAGAAACGAAATCTGATGCTGATGCTAGTGATGGTAGTGCGGAGAGCGCTGAACCTGGAGATATGGAGGATGGGTCAGATGACAACGAAGATGAAAGTGAATTCGAAGGGTTTGGAGATTCGGAAAACGAAGATGGGGGTGCTCCTATAAACACAAATCCCAGCACATGAAGCGCATACAAATGGCAAAGCTGACGTTCCCCTCATTTACGGCTTTTTTTTTTTTTTTTTGGTGATTATCATTCGTGGAGTTTCGCATTTCCACTTGTGATATTAGTTGGTATGTGGGCAACGTCAGCCATATATACCCGGTGCCGTTCCGGCCGGCTACCACAGTCTAGCCAGCTTGAGGACAAGCCATGAACAGAATGATACCACCGCCTGCCGGTCTATCACCCGCCGTGGACCGCACATAGGCTCGACCGAGGTTCGGGCTAAATAACCACGAATAAATCCTGGAGGATTACATCTCGAGCGTCCCGCCTCGGCAATGCTTGAGAAGAAGGCCTGAACTGTCAGAGCCCGTAGCTGGAACTAGATTCTCCACAATCCACATCATAGCTGAGACAGAACTTCCATCGAGATGGTACAGCCCTTGTCGCGAGTCAGAAGGAACAGGGGGCTAAAACACGCTTTAAATGAAGTTCACTGCGATTAGTTACGTACAAAGAAGAAAATATAACAATATCCACAAAACGATATGTTTCTCGCTACTTTAGCCTTTTTTTCAGGCACAACTTAGTTGAACCAGACACATAATGCCGTTTCCCTAAGCCGGCTGGCGGTTTGTTGGATCCAGCTTCCAAAGGAACAGCGAAAGCTTAGCCGATCAAGCATTGGATCATGCTCCACCCCTTTTCTACCCCCAGACAAACCACGATATCCGTTCTTATCTAACGAAGGGGCGTTTTGTGGAGACGACACACGCTGTTTGCCGCCGTGCAGTTCATACATAGTATCACCAGTTCAACCGCTTCGGCGGTAGATAACGCATTGTATTTCTCGGTCATTGCAAAAGCTTAATATCGTAAGAGCTGCTGCAGCCGTTAAGGCCTCGCTGGCAGGCCAAGCAAGCCGAGTCCAGAAGAACGTTGAATAAAAAAAACACCCCTGGACAGCCCACCAAAAAAAAAAAAAAAATAAATAAATCCCTCGAAATTGCTGAGATGCATATATATATCTTCCTGTTCATTCCTCCTGTTTCTCTCATCTGTCGTTGCCTTTCTCATGTTTCTCCATTGCAAAAGTCGTGATATTATTCTTCCCCAATCCTAGAATTATTTCCGGTCCGGTGCAGCCGAACTAGGAAAATCAATCATGTCCAATCCTCTCGTCCAGCCGAGTGCAAAGGTGCCTCAAACGGAGTGGTCTTCGCTGTATGAACAGCCGGAAAGCAAATCATCCACTGCCTCCAATGTATTGTTACCACCCTCGAGCAAGCTTGCCAACCCGAGTCCCCTAGGTCTCTTCGGGTTTGCAGTCACAAGTTTCGTGGTAGGGTTGTATAACTGCGGTGCAGGGTAAGTTGTGTGCATGCAGTCTGCTTTCACTCAGCTCTTCACCAGAGTTAACATGATGGCCGTTGGTATATAGGCTTCCCGGCTCCAACCCACGAGGCAGCGTTGGACCAGATCAGGCTGCCTTTGGCCTTGCTCTATTCATGGGAGGCATGATCCAAATTATTGTTGGGATAATGGAGTTCCGAGTCGGAAATACATTAGGCACCACGATTCATTCCTCGTACGGCGCATACTGGATGGCGTATGCAATGCTCAAAATTCCCGGATTGCACATACAAGAGGCGTACGGAGACGAACGGGCGTACACATTCGCACTTGGCATATTCCTCATCATATGGGTACTGTTGACGATTGTTTTCATGATTGCGTCGCTGCGCTCCAACGTCTGTGCCCTCCTTGTCTTTGTCTTCCTTGCATTGACATATCTATTCCTGGCCATCGCCAACTTTATTGCAACATCACACCCCAAGCAGAGTGTTCAGGTGAATAAGGCTGGCGGCGCAAGCGGCGTGATATGTGGGATGCTTGCATTTTACTGTGCGGCTTCTGGATTAATGTCGCCAGAGATGACTCCTGTTAGGCTTCCACTTGGCCCTGTTCCATGGAGTAAGGAGCATATTGTGTGATGACGGTGAACTGCAGCATGACTTCGACGAGACTTCATTTCCTCTACAAGAAACGGAGACTCTATACTGATTTTCTTGATTGTTTTTTTGATTTAGCGAGCATTGTTTGCATTTTATATATTCTATGCATGGAAGGTCATCTTCAGTGTCAGGTTCGGCATTATTTTGCTTAATAGAACCTATCATTTAAGTCCATAGAAGCAGTTATACAGGCATAGAAAAGAGAATCCTGTTGATATTCAATAGGCATTCTATGCCACTGTAATCCAAAGTCGAGACAACTTTGCGAGGGTTTTCGAAGGCAGCTGTTGAACGCCACATGTTCCCCTCGATCCCTGGTTAAACAAAGCATACCCGAGACAGGGGAAATTTTGGGATATAATATTTGACAACTCAATATATGGCGGGCGTGCGGGCCATCAGTCTCTTTTATATTCTGCTATTGTACGGAGTACATACTAAGGTAAGAAGCCCTGTAGCTGACTGAAGAAAGGACGGGTACGGCATACGAATGCTACCCTCATGATGATGATTATACCATGACTTGTCGGAGAAAGGAACCAGTGTGGCCGTAGGTAGCCATCGAATGCAGGATATGCGTTGGATTCCATATAAATTAAATGCAGGATTGCATGATCATCCCGGGCCTTAGAGCACAGGGTAAGAGATAACCCAGGATTGCAGCCATTACCGTTGAAAAACTGTTCATTGATGCCACAGGGTAGTCCTATAGGACAATGAAGTGGACATGATGAGCCTGGAACTCCGTCCTCGGAGTTGTACCGCTTCAAGGGTTTGGCTGAATATTATCCACATATTCATCCGGGTGGATGTTAAACATCGTAGCTTCCCGGGAGCCTTCACGTGACATTTCTAAGATGGCAACGAAGTCGAAGAAGAGCATGAGAAGAGCTTGAAAGAGTCTGATGATGCTCAAACGTTCAAGCCCTTTTGCCTTCTTGAACACCCTCGTACTCGTTTATTTCATCTATTAAGATTTATCCTTGCATAGGATGGCAACATGAAACCCCTTGCTCCAAACCACGCGATTTGTTGGCCCTGCAAGTCCTGGTTGGCAGATATATACATATATGCACCATACCATGCACCATGCACATGTATTGTGTATATACACGTAGTATATATATTAAGCCGTTAACCTTGATCCGCGTGTTGACTGCATAAAACGCCGCAAGGATGGGCAAGGTTATCGTCATCTGTCAACTCGATCAGTTTGATTAGCCAGAGGGAAATGGCTAGTTTCAAAGGCAGGAGGTGGATGAGCTTGATATATTCACTAGAGCCCGATGGGCGGATGGCTTTTTTCATTTCAACTCAGCAGCTGTTATACAATGTTGGTGTGCCGTGGTACGACGACACGTATATATCCGCAAGAGCAAGGCTGCGAATAGTTTTCATATATTATATGTTAAGACGCAGGTGGCTTTATCAAGTCATAAGTATTCGCCCCATCTATATATATACTCCGTATATAGTTATCATTCATCGCTGGCACATAAAAGGACGCTCGCAAACGGAAGAAAAAAACTCCTGTGGCTTTCGACCCATCACGAACACGGATATCTATTATAAATGATCATACAGAAAAAACGAGGGGAAGAGAAAAAAAGGAAGAAGATAAAAAAGAAAAAAGCAAGGAAGATCGCTCACGAGAATGCCACCAAAAAAAAAAGAAAGGGTAAGAGAGAATACTATATGTAGAGCTGGTCTATCAGCCTAGTCGTTGTCATGAGGTTGCCTCAGCCTTCTCGGGTTTCTCTTGCGCCGGAGGCTTTTGTCCGTATACCGTATGTCTAGAGGTCTAGGTTAGGCGAAGGAGCGAATAAAGGGCGACTTTGGCTGAGAAAACGAAAGACTTACACGACGGAGTACATATGATAATTCAGGTTCCGCAGGTCCTCTCTGACACCAGCCAAGAGCGCCTGTATCTTTGCATTATCCCATCGTAGAACTCGGGTAAAGAGAGCAAGGGAATACGGCTCGATGGATTCCATCATCTGTATGTTCATGTACTGTCCAAGAGCCTTCATCCGCTTGTCCTTTGCCCAGGGTGACAACGGTGTCTTTCGTTTCTCTTCCGTAACCGAAGTGAAGCCCGCATTCCTCACGAACTCCTCAAATCTGGGCGAAACGTTCATTACTTTGCCAAATTTCTCCGCAGCCAGGTTGAGTTGCACTTGGTATTCATGATATGGCGATGTTTCCGGGAGACTGTTATCGTCGGTGGTAGCCCACGTCTCAAAATCGGTTATCTCGATCCAACCACCGGGGTTCAGGTTGTCATAGGATTGCTTTAAGAGTCGCTCCCAATTCCCTATACTACCTCCCATGCTTCGGGCATGTATGTAGTCGAATTTATGGCGAAAATCCCATTCTTGCTCGGCGTCATCGATCCGAAACTGTACGTTAGGCGGGATCCATGATGGTTGTATCGCTGAAAGGTCGGTCGCAATCACATTGCATTCGGGATACAGGTCAGCAAAGTCCATAGCCCACTGTAACTTACGGTTAGCCCTTACGATATTCTCAGAAAGAGAGGTGGGAGGGCTACATACAATACCCGTTCCAGTGCCGATGTCAAGGACATTTCCAACAGGCGATTGTAGAGGTGCGCGATGTAATTCCCCACGAAGAAGAAGGAGATAAATATGATGCTGCATGTCCATTCGCTCTTGTTCCTTTTCGTCGTTGGGTAGCGGATATGCGCCAGCGCAATATGCATGGTATCGCCTCCCGTTCTCGTATCTAGAGCGTTTCCCATCAGCACAGCTTTTATGATATATACCTACATATTTAACCAGACGATGTCAGCGGCTCACTCATAATTTAGTATACTAGATGCCAGAGACTGTGTAGAGCTCTCCCTATTCGAAACCAAATGAACAAGGTGGCCTTATATTAGCCATTTTTGCCGAACAAATATCGATCACAGAGAGAGAGAGGTGTTACCCATCACTGCCAAACGCAGAGTCTGCATCAGAGTTATCATATGGATTCTCATCCGGCTCCAGCGCCTCTGGAACCCTGGTGGATTCCTGGACAACCGGAGCGGGCAGCCCGTCTATCTTCGCCTGGTCTGCCATGGGTAAAAATAAAAAGGACGCAAACAACACCAGATATATCAACGATGCCGGTGAGCGGGCGAGAGACAACGAGAGCAACGGACCACTCTTTAATAAATGGGTAAAAAGAGCCAGCTGGGCTTTTATGTGGGCGATGGCTTGCTTGGTATACTTAAATCATCGGTCGTATTGGCTAACCTGACTTATTTAGTTCGTATTCCTTCACTGCATGGCATTTTTCTTGCCCTTGTTTCAACAGGGAAAGAGGAAGAAGAAAAGAAGACAAGAAGAAAAAGAAAACGGCGAGGCCTGACGCTGCTGCAGCGGTGCGCTGGGTTCTCTTAATTGTCACTGTTATAGCTATAAATCTGGATGCGGGACGACAGGCCAACTCTGGCGTATTATCGAACCTCTACGCCGAAGTGCGGACGAAGTACGGAGTATGGAGGTTATTATTTTTATCATACATATGGTTATTCCGTTTCTCATGGGGCTAGCTCTCTCAAGGGCATGAATAGTTTACTACTCGATGGTTCCCACTGGAAGTGATGGCACAGGCGATCCATTGCTGGGCCGATATCAAAGTCGTGTCAAATACTCGCTATATGTCTTTGGCTCGATGTACAGGTACTTTGCTCCTCTATACCTATTTATTTTATTTCGTTTACATTTAAATGGGGTTTTTTTTACAAGTTATTAACTATGGCGTCCCAGAACCCTTTCTTTTATCAAGTCTGATGGCAAAAGAAAGACATTGAGTTGTACAGGCATGATTGACACGCTTAATTAAGCCTCAAACTGCGCGGCTTCTCTTTGACTGGTTGCATTGCTGTGGCCCTGTTTAAAAGGACACCAGAGGCAGACGCCAGCAGGCGCCAACAGACGATTCCCGGAACATCGGGATAGAGCCAACTCCCCTGATGGAGAGACGCAGAACCTGTCAGCCCAGTTAGAAAGGATGTGGCCTGTACATACATCCAGGACAGGCTCAACATCTTGAATTTTTCCCTGCTCAGCTTACATGCACACTTAATTACCATTTCCGACGAGATGATCCTACAAACATCAATCCAAAATATTGATCAAAAAAGACCAGCGTCTCAAGATCGACTAAATTTCTTTCTACATGGTCTGGGAAGATCTCCCCGTGTTCATAACCATTGCGGTTAGGCCGAACCAGGAGAAGCAGTCCAGATGAAAATTTTGGGCTCATGGCTTGTTATGCAACTAATTATGTCGCTGCATGTGTATGGGAGACTGGGGCTAAGTATGATAAGCGTTGATCTGTGGCCAAGATAGAGCCCTCACCCCGGGAAACTCTCCGCGCTGCGCTACGTGACAGTTTGATATGACCCTAAGCATTGAAGGTGTTTAGCTCTCACATCAAGCTTAAAGGTGCCATCACCTCAACAACATCGAAATATCTTTAAAGCCTCTACACCGCATCTGTATGTTTTTATTAATAATAGCGGTTAATGAGGGTGTGGTTAGACATTTTACAAGGTTCTAATGCACAGCTGCTTTCCCCGAGCAGGGTAAGCAAACGGCTGTTTGACCAAAAAAGAGCCCTGAACTTGATTTCAACGGGCTACGGGTTGCATGTACCTCGTACTCAAGCATGCATTTCGGACTTTTCTGCGAAGATGGAAACCGTCGCAGCATCTATACGACGCAAGTCGGATCTTCTACGGTCCATTATTGGATGCATCACTGCACTCCATGCCAGGGAGTCCAGTCGAGCATCCAATATCCAATAATTTACTCCCTCCATCTGCTGGCGTTCATGTCTGTAGAGACACATATATATACCCCTACCAGACCTCCATTCCTGGCTCATAGCCCTAACATCGATAATCTAATTACAACTACAAAGGGGTTTCGAGAACCACGATGGACACCTCAGTGAGAACGCATGCCTTCATGCTTGGCGTAACGGTCCTCCCGCCGTTAGGTTCACTCTATCTTGGGACGGGCATTAAGGGAAATCCAGGTTACGTGTACCTATATCATGCTATCATCTTTCTAGTGTGGATTTTTGCGATCAAAAAGATTGTCTATAACCATTATTTTGGCCCACTGAGCAGAATTCCTATGGCACCAGGTGATTGGTTTATATTCGGACACACACCATACATGTATGGTGCAATCCCAGGGGGTTGGATTCTTGACTTTATCAATAGGCCTAAGTACAGCAATTGCGGAATGTTGAGGATGAAATCCATACTACATTTGAGTGATACTGTCATTTTAACCGATCCTAATGCATTTAACGAAGTGTTGAGCGCTCACTGCTATGACTGTAAGCGAAGTCTACACGTTTCTCATCAGCTACAATATCTAACAACCCGAAGATATAAAACCTCCTAAGCGCTCCGCAATTGTTGAACGGATTATTGGACGGGGTATAGCCACTGCGGAGCTCGCTGAGCACAAACTTCACCGAAAATTCGTTCGACCGGCTTTTCTCGGCCATGTAATCAAAGAATTTGTTCCTAAAATGTGGCTCAAATCGCTCGAGTTTGCCGAATTTATGGCAACCAAGTCGAAAGCTGCTAGGGGTGCCATTGAGTTCAATGAAACTGTCTCCTTGATCACTCTTGGTAAGACATTACCAAGAAAACTAGATTCTATCCTGATTTTCTAACACACCCCCTTTATTTTATAGATATCATTGGAGTTGCTGCCTTCGATGAAGACTTTAGGACTCTGTATAATTCTAAAAATGAGCTTGCAGCTACTTTTCGTCGGGTGTTAGAGCCCTCCTGGGATTTCATTCAATATTTTGTTGCGTGCATGCTGCTGCCGGGATGGGTTTCTATCAGGCTTCCTATGGCAGGAAACAAAACCCTAACGGTATGCAAGGCTAAACTGCTCGGTCTATGTCACCAGTTGGTTGCAGAGAAGAAGGAAGTATTGCAAAGGAGTGATAAGAACAACACCACGGTCCTATCGGTGCTTTTAAAGAATGGAGATCTTTCCGACGATGACGTACGGGATCAGATGTTGACCTTTCTTGTTGCAGGGTAAGATTGGATATTCAGCAAAGTAGTTCTACCGCTTGAGGGTCTTTACTAATGAGAATATCCAGGCATGAAACAACGAGTACATCAATCACTTTTACCATCTACTTTCTTGCTACCCATCCAGAGCTTCAAGACAAACTCCGGGACGAGATTAGGGGAGTTCTATCTCAATACCGCGCAGATGAACTCTCTGATGAAATCTTTGGTTCCATGCCTTTTCTTACGGCTGTCATATCTGAGGCTATCAGGCTCTGGCCGATAGTGGTAAGCCTCCCAGAAGCACTAAGAATGGATCAAATATTTTGTCCAGCCTATATGCTAATTGATATTTCGTTTCCGTAGCCTTTACCGACGCGTGTTGCAATTGTAAGTAGGAAAATAGCTCTTGTTGATACTATACAACGTGTCTAACTGTATCCCAACAGAGAGAGACCGTCATCCAAGGCGTCACAATCCCAAAGGGAACCTGGGTCAACATGTCTACCTTCGCAGCCAATCGCTCTGAGTGCATATGGGGAGCTGATGCAGCCGAATTTAAACCGGAACGCTGGCTCGGTGAGGGCAAGGCGACTCATGGGGGCACTAATAACCGTCTCGCAAATAATATAACTTTCTTGTTCGGGCCACGAAGCTGCCTTGGACAAAGCTTTGCTAGAGCAGAGATGAAATGTTTGGTTGCTGCTTTCGTTGACCGATTTAAATTCGAAATGTTGCACCCGGATAAAGAGCTTGTTGTTGCTGGGGCTGTAAATATTTTCCGACTGAAACTGACTGTCTCTTTCTGACTCTTTCTGCGCACTTAGCTCACGATCAAACCGTTGGATGGCCTACATCTCCGTATCACGGATATAGGCCCAAGCCGCAAATGAGTGGCTAGCCGTTGAGTCAGCTGTTTTGATTTTGTTCCGGATTTCCGCAATGTTTCGTGATTGATTCCTTTCATTATATACTGTGGGTACTTGGTGCCTGTACTATGTAAAAGCCCCTTTACCCTAGCCACACTAGTACGTCCTTCAGCGACTTGCCTTCTTCTGGCTAACTGATATAGCCGCGCTGACCCTTGGTTACATGGGCTTCTGCAAGGGCATGGCCGCAGGGGATTGCAACTAGTATGGCGTGTTTCTGCAGGGCATGTTTCCATAATAAACGGCTTTCTACGGGGTCATCAAGTCCAACTTTGATTGGTCACCTTTGCAAATTACATTATCTTTATTGTAGAGGATATTTTGTCAGAGCGTGGATGCTGGTTACCCTCGTTTCAATGTTGAATAGCTTCATCGCTGATCCCATGGATGCATCGTATACCGTGTATGGTACAATTTATAAGTAAGAAGCTCAACATCTTCGCTGCTGGAGCTTAAAGAATAAAAAGAAACGTTTGCTGAGCCCGTCGATTTCGTGGTAATAACAATTCCCAGTATTATGGAGCCAACCAAGCCCGGTAAAACTCCCCTAGTCCTGAACCCTCTCAGCCAAAATCCCAATCTTCCGCAGCCACTCGCAACCCGCAACCAGACACTCGGGACTCCAAACGCCCAAACGTATGCCCTATGGATGCTATCGCTCCCGGCCTGTCTTCAGGGCTGTTGGCTCTCTGTGCCATCGGCTTCTCCGTGGCGATATTGTTTGTTTACCAACTACGGTTCAGCCCTTTAGCTGGCGTCCCTGGCCCGAGAGCCGCTGCAGTAACGCGGTGGTATGAGTTCTACTGGGAGTGCATCAAGCAGGGTCGCTATACCTTCAAGATCGAGGAACTGCACAGGAGATATGGTAAGTTTACGGCCCGTCC